AGTACGAAAAGAAGAAGGAAGAGTGTGAATGAAAATATGTCCTCGCCGACTGTGCACCCTTGCGGGTGGGTGCATTGCGAGTGGGTGTGCAAAGGGCGGCGACGGCGGTGAGACAGCAGCCAGTCAAATCAAAGGCAAAAGTGCTGAGATCCCAGAACAGGGCACAAGAACACAGCAGCACAGAACGAGGCGTACAGAAGTACAGTGTACAGGAGGCGTATAGTTGGTGAACTGCTCTGTCCGAGTTGCCTGGAGGTCGCCAGTGCGGGCTCAACACAGGGTTTGGTTAACTGGGCTTTCTGTGCTCTCTGTGCTCTCTGTGCTCTCCGTGCGGGTTTGTCCCTTTCTTGCTGGCCACTTGCTATTTCCTCGCTCCGTGAATTCTCCATGAATTCACCTTGCGAGCGGCCCATCAGCCAGACCGTATCTTCGGAAGAGAGCAGCTTGAGCGGCCAGATAGAGCGGCCAGATACAGCGGCCGTTGTGACATGCTTTGCAGCGTGGGCGGTCGCACTGTCGGCCCCACCCACACACAGGGACAGGGCACACCTCTCTTTATGCACATGAGGCTACCTGGTACGCCGACTCTGCTGCACGTCGCATCCCGCCCCATCTGCAAGCGGTTTCCTTTTGTCAACATATTGACAAGGACTCTGCAAAAGAAATGTGTGCATCGCACTTGCTGTTCTTGAGTTCCTTGTCCGTTGTTGCCCGTTGTTGCCCGTGGCCGCCCGTGGTCGCTCCTTCCTTGTGGACGACACAGCATCCACTGGCTCCTTCTCTGTCGATTCGGGACGTGGTAATTACCTTTTGGCCCCCAGCGCTCTTTCCTAGAATGGTAGAATGGCCGTTTCCCTCGCATCGCGTTGTTGCCTTCCCGTTTCTTTGCTTTTTCGTATTGTTTTCCCTTTTCCTCCTTCCGTAATATAAGTAGCATCGTGCCCCCTCCTCAGGGACCCAAGTTGACCTTTCGAGCCTTTCATTTTCAACATCCTCACCCAACGCTGCCAACGGCCGTGCGTTTGCTGAGCCCGCTGCACGACCTCGTCTACGTTCACCGAGATTGTTTGACGACCGGATATCGACGAGATTGGTTGGCTCGACCCTGCCACTGGTCTCATTTCACTCTATTGCTTTATCTGCACCACCACCGACCGCTCCAAACATCGCAGCTGTCCGCCATTCTCCGCCATTCCGTGGCACATTGCAAGGGCCCTGCTCCATAACAGTGCCACACCGCGTTCGTCTCTTGTACGCCGTCTCTGGTTCCTCTAGTTTGTCTGTGCCCGTGGCATGCAGCCAGTCGTTTTCGCGTTGATGTTTCTAGCTTCTTCGTTGGCTTCTTGGGCCTCGCTCTAGCTCGTCTCCCCTAACAGCGTCTTGTTTTAAATACAGTCAGGATCTCGCCACTGACTTTCTTTCTTGACGGTAGAGGTTCTCATCCCTTGCCAAACATTCTGTCGTCTTGAAAAAAAATGGCACATGTGGCCTTCACCCCGGATGCGGCCGAGTCGACCTCGACGCCTGCATCCGATGCCCAGTCCGTATCGTCTCCCCTAACGCCTCGCGATACGCATCCGGCCTACAGCCCCAGTGCCATTTACTCCAGGAGCACCGGGCAGCCGTCCCCGTCTGCGCGCTCCATACACTCCGTGCAGTCGGGCGAGTCCAGCACTGGAAAACGGCGGTTGGGTCTGCTCGAGTATCCGACAGTCCACGAGGACCTCCAGTTCTGCCGGGAGGTTCGAGATAAGTTCACGGCCTACCAGAGAGGCAACCCCGCTGCCACGCCTCTCGACCTTGAGCAAGTCGCGCAGTCCAGTCTCGGCCATCTCCGGGCGACCTTTGAGGACATGTGCCACATCCCCCCGCCAGAATGTGTCTTTTACCAATGGTCGTACCGCCAAGCTCACAGCGCGGATGCCGAAACATCGGGGGGCGACGTTTTCCATTTGCTTCATGCCCACTGCTACATGTTTGACTATGACCCCAACGAAGCCGGCACAAGCTTTCCAGTGCCTGACCAGAGCCAAGTCATGGCCGTCATCAATCTTGTCGGATGCCAACCGACATCGCTGATGCTAGCGTTTGGTCTTCGCCGTGGCATGAGACGGAGTACCACCGAGGGCCGCGAAATCTTTTGGACGATATACGGCACGCTGGCAGACCTTTCCAGCACCATTTCCGAGGAATTTTTGAGGGCACAGCCGTTCTTGGACCGCAGTGTGCAGCTAATGTCCACAGTGCGTGCCCAGCGCGGCGCCACTGGTGCCCTGGCATATTCTGGCGTCTTCCCGACCCGCGCCGAGGTCAGCTACGCCATGGAGGTGTATGCCGCGGAGACTCGAGCAGCTGCAGAGAAAGCCGGCGCCGGTCTCGCCCTTTCTCCGTCTGCGCGCAGAGGGTCCTCCCTGAACTTCGCCATGCACCGTCTTGACCGGCTCTTCCAAGGCATCGAGGTGCCGGACGACGGCGCTCCTGCTGCTTCCACCGCACAGCCCCAAACACAGCCTCAGCAGCTCTTTGGTCTATCTCCTTTGCTACTTGCGGAAAACATTGGCGGTGCGGACGAGGGCATGGATCCAGTCACCGCGTATCCGCCGAACGCATCGCCGCATGTGCCACAGCCGTCGTCGGGTCAGTCATCACATGAAGCGCCGTACCAAGATTTTGAGCCGGACGAACCTGTTTTCTATTACCAGAACTCACACTAACAATAAAAGCGATGTAGATGATGCAGATGATGCAGATGATGTAGATGATGCAGACGCCCAAGAAGACCGCACTCCCTCTACGAACTCGACGTCGGCTTCGCCGGTGATGACTGACCGAACTCAGCAACGCTCCTCAACCACTGATCCTCCAATCACTCCTGCCGAGGTCACGATTGCAGACGCCAGCTCCGCAAGACCAGCGTCGGAAGTCATCAAAGACTCCTCTCAGCCAAGTGGTCCGTCCACCGACGCTTCGAGACCTACGCCTCGGCCGGCCAGAGCCAGCCATGGGCGACTACCCACCCGTCGCCGGGTGCCGCCTTTGGCAACCATCAGCTGTGGGGATGTCTCCGAGCTGCTGAAAGAAGAGAATAAGTTGCACGAAAAGTTTCTCGACTTTGTGGCTCGTTTCCACGAGAATGTGAGCGAAGACGGCGCCCGATGCCTCGAAAATCTTGTACAGCAACACACCGATCTTTTGTATCATCGTGAGCAACAGCAACGCCGACGGGAGCTGGCTGCTCGTCTGCGGCCTTCCCGTGGTACGCCTTACTACAGCCACCACCAATCTCACCCCCCGGCCCGAGCAACGGCCGAAGGTACAGCATCGGCCGGAGTTCAGGGCCCGGCTGCGAACAGCACTGGAGCGAACGACAACGGCGGCGGGAATAGCAGCAGAAATAGCAACAACAACAACCATGGTGATAGCAGGAATAGTAACAGTAACGGCAACAGCAACAGTGGCAACAGGGACACCAATCGTGGCTCCCACGCACCTGGCTATGTTTACATTGACATCCCCAGCTTATACAACAGTGCTGCATACACCGGAAACAACTTTGGCAACATCTTTACTGCACCGCCTGCGCCGGACCCGTTTGCTTATCACATTCATAACCAGCCCGGTCGTCTGCGTCAACCATTCGGGCAGAACTACCCGCAACATGCATCGGCGCCGTCAATGCCGGCACCACCGCCGCCGTACGAGCCGGCAAGTCAGCGTTTGCAGCCTGCCATTGGCCCTCCGATCCCATACAACTTGTCCTTGCCATCACTGGACCAGACGGAAGTTGTCGCGCCACAGCCGCTTCGGCCAACGCTGCCGGCCCTCGCCATTCCGCCGCCCACATCCGTGCCGAGATCGCTGATTGAACCCCGGCTTCGGGACAGTGCGCGTACCGAGGCCTATTCGACGCTGCTCGAAGCTCTGCATGCTCTACCGCCGGCCCCCCTGGCCGAACAGAACGAGATGGCTCGCCAGCAGTATGAACGCTACCACCAACAGCAGCAGTACCAGCTCGAGCTCCAACGGCAGAGCCAGGAACAAGACAGGATGATGCAAACCTACCAAGAGCAACGGCTGCAGCACCAGCGGCAAATTCTCACGCAACAGGCCATTATCCAGAGAGAGCAGCTGGCCCAGCTGGAGTACATGCAGCACCGGCACCAGGTCCACCTGCTGCGGACCCTCCACACGCACGTCTTGCAGGAGGCCGACGCGCAGAGACGGGCACAGCGCGATTCGACACCCGGAGAGAGCCGTACGCCGAGCAACGACGATGGCGATCCCGTTTTCAACACCTACACGGGGCTGGCGAATGAGGAATCCGATGTGGCTTCTGATGTTCACGATGACGACCCGGAACACGAAGAAGACGACTACCCAAGCGTGCCTGTCTTGTCCCGATACGACGAAGATGAAGAAGTCTCTTACATACCCCCCTTTGCACGCCACCGCACCGTCGACGATGCGCCACCTGATGTCGCTAATACGGAGCCGCCGCTGTATACCGTGTCTCAAAACCGACCTGCGTTCGGGGATGTATCTAGTCTTCCGGTCCGCCCCGCCGCGGTGTCGTCTTCTACCTCGCCGCTGCGCGCGGCAATCGCTAATGCGAGAAATGGGGCCGAAGTTCACGATCAACGGGATGCTGATGGACCTGGCTCCAGTCGTCAGGATGCTGACGAGGACGAGACCCTCTATGGATGATTTGATTTTCTATGTTGTGATTGAGTTGTGCTGTCCATTGCTTTCTTTCCGCGGGTATTCACTTTGCGAGATACCATTTGGTTTTTTATGTTTGTCACAATGTCATGATAGTTTATTTAATGGCTCATATCTCGATTATCTCCATGCTTGCATTACCACATTGCCCAGTCATAAAGCATGAAACACACTACTCACCGTCATCGAACTCGTAAAGTTATTCACGTAAATTCTATTGCATTCTATTCCAAAGTATTCCAAATCACTAACCAAACGTGCAATGATGTCCCGCCATCCCCTTAGATGGAGTAAGCCCGGCCCTGGATTCTGGGTGGAACTGACACCACCGACTCGTCATCGCTGTCGTCCAATGGCGACTCCGCGTCCACCGCGCCGTCAGCCACTGGCACGGCACTGCGCCTGTTCTTGTTCCCATTGTGGGCCTCCAAGCGGTTCGGAAGGACCCTGGGGAGAGGGGCCCGCGGTGCCAGAGCCGCAGACGGAGATTGCGCCGGTCGCGCCGGTCGCGCCGGTCGCACCGGTCGCACCGGTCGTGCTGGCCGTGCCTGTCTTGCTGGCTCCGGCCGTGCCGGACGTACGACCCTCGCGTGCTCCAAATCCTCGTCGTACCATGCGAGGTAGGCTTGCCGAGGCTCCGGGGCCAGGAGTTGGCCCGTGGCAGGGCTGTAGATGGCCCGGATCGGCCGGGGCTTCCGTTCCTTGCCCTTCTTGGCCTGCTTGGCCTGCTTGGCCTGCTTGGCCTGCTTGGCGGCCGGTGCCGGTCGTCGCAGGTGTTGTTGCGCCGGTGGTTGGAGGTCGGGGGGGAGACCGGCTCGCGCGGCAATGCCGGCGAAGTAGTTGTTGCGATGCATCCGGCTCATCGTGCGGTTGTATTGGAGTCTTCTGCCGTAGTTGTTGTGGTTGTTGTGGTAGTAGTTGTTGTGGTAGTAGTCGTGGTAGTTGTTGTAGTTGTTGTAGTTGCTCTTGTTGTAGTAGTTGTTCTTATTGTTCTTATAGATGTTGTTCTCGCCTTTGTTCTTCATCTTGTTACTTTTGTTGTAGTTGTAGTCGTTGTTTTTGTTTTTGTAGCTGTTGTTCTTCTTGTTATAGATATTGTTCTCGCCGTTGTTCTTCTTCTTGTTGCTTTTGTTGTTGTTGTTGTTATTGTTGTTGATAATATTACTCTTCCTCGGTCGCCAAAACAACATCTTCCGAGTGGCGGCCTGGACGCCTCGGGCCACGCGGCGAAAGGCTCGACGAGCCACATTGCCCGATGTTTTGTCCATCATACAGATGAATGCTTTTGATGAGCGTTTGGATTCCTGCAGGCACCTGTAGACTTTAGGGTTTAAAAATCACTCTATTGAAAGTACCGACAAACGGGCTTCATGTTTCTTTGTCGTTCCAATTTGATCTCCGCGGACGAGTTTACTCTTGTTCTGATGGCTCCCTTCGAATCTAGAAACAGGTAGAGTCGATAACGAGGCGTAGTAGTCGAAAAGAATGGAAGGTAGGTTGGTCGTTTGTCTCAAGGATATCCTCAGCAATATGTCTTGTTGATGGTTTTCGGTCGTATTGCTCTTCTTGTCTTGTTATGCGAACGAATAGACAATGTCAAGTGAAGATGGTACAGTCTGAACTTTCTGAGGATAGGTTGGCGCGAGCTCAAAATTAGTATTGTTGGAAATATCCATGGTAGTGTGCGCACAAATTTGCTGAAATACACTGGCTGACTACGCGTAGTGCCGCTTTGACATATTGTCATACTCCCGGGACTGGGAACATGTGTAAGAGCACAGTACATGGCGATGGCCCGTGTTGTCCTGTCAGCAACACTCTGAAGTTCCAAGACTGCGGTGGAAATCTTGGGTGGACATGTTAAGTCTCTTTCTCCGTAGAACAGAACATGTCTATCATTATGGGAAGAGGTGAGTAGTCGTAAGCATTACCATCAGAAAAAGGCGTCGCCACTGTCCCTATACTGTCTGCAAAAGTAGAAAAGAATAAAACAATACAGCAAAGTATCCGTGACAAGTAAGAGATGTGTGGTATAATAATAACGACAACAATAATAGAACGCCGTATACATGCAATGATACTGTGATATCGTTGTACTCGAGTAAAAAGGTAGCAACAGTAAAATAGAAGGAGCTATGCGTGCTTAGTCAGTAGCAAATGTTGGACAGCTGTTGGGTATCTTTAGGTGATAAGGTCACCGCTGCCGGCGGGTTGCCGAGGACGCCATGGGGTCGCTATTGTTGTTGTTGGGGTTGGGCGTCACGACGGTGTCCTCCACCTTGCTGGCGAGTGCCTCATCCAAAACGGACTGTGTGAACGAAACGTCTAGAAAGTCAATACGGGTGTGCAAAAATAAAAAGAAGAAGAAGAGTCGACAGAGACAAGAAACGTACCATCAAGATCACTGAAGCTGCTGCCGATGCTAGGGGTGGTGCCAATCTCACTGCCTTCGCGCGAGATGCCCGAGGCGGCCCGGGCGGCGCGGACGGCCGGGCTGCGTGCAGACAGCGTGTGTTGGAGGCGTGGCGGCGATCGGATGCCGGGAACGCGGGACGACTGGAGGCGGGCGGCAGCCTTGGCGCTGGCGCTGGCGCTGGCGCTGGCGCTGGCCGTGGAAGAGGAGCCCGGCACTGCAGTAGCAGCGGCTGCTGCCGCGGCCGCCACGGTGGGCGTCTTAAAGGCTTTGGTAGTGGGTGACGCCGAGGCAGACGAGGACGGCGACGCGGAGTCGGCAGTGGAGTGCCGCTTCTGATGGTGCTGATGGTGCTGATGGCGTGGATGCGGCCTGCTTCCACTACCGGTGCCCGTTGGATGCGTCGCTGTGCTGCTCGCTTTGCTGCTCGCTTTGTACCGCAAAAAGGCTGCCTGGGTTTCAGACTCGTCGCCGTCCCCATCGGCATCGCCATCGCCATCGGCATCGCCGTCGTCCGAGCCGCCCGACGAGATCCCCAGGCCAATCACGCCAAAGTCGCCGTCGCCTGCAGCGTGTGATTTGCTGCCCCGGTCTCGTGCTTGCTGCTGTTGCTGCTGCTGCTGCTGTGGAACATGCCCTGGAGGGCGTCGGAAGATGCGTGACATGACGGGCTCCGACGGGGTGGACGACGACGACGAGCTCGAGTCCGACGTGGCTGCGGGCGACGAGGGTGCAAAGGCCTCGTCCTCGTCCTCGCCCTCGGAGTCGTAGGCCCCCTGCCGCCCGCCAGCCGCATCCGTGGGTTGTGCCGGGCGAAGGGACAGTCCGCGGCCCACGGGCGATGCGGTAGAGCCACCGGCAGCAGCAGCCGCAGCCGCAGCCGCAGCTGTCTGGGGCGAAAACGACGAGATGGTTTGTAGCGTCGGCCGGGTTGATCGGATGGACCGGATGGACCGGCTCGGGCGAATCTGGCTGTCCTCCATGGACGGGCGACGTGAGCCACTGCTGCCGCCCACGGCACCCGGGGTTCGTGGCCCTGGCCCTGGCCCTGGCCCTGGCCCTGGCCCCGCACGACTGCCTGCCGAAGCTGTTCGCCGCATGGTCTCTGCCGAGGCCGTCCGCGCGCCAGCACCGGAGCCGGACGGTCCGGCACCGGCACCACCGCTCGACAACGTCCGTCCCATGGCTTCCGAAGTAAGCGAGGGCGAGTTCACCGGCGAGTCGCGGCCGGCCGCGGTGTTTGGATTGGCCGTGCCGAGCGTGGCGACCTTGCGCGTCTGCGCGCGGACCTGGGAGACGTGGCGTTCGGTGAGGACGGTGGCCTGGACGAGGAGGAAGTCGACGGTCGCATCGAACGTCTGTGCTCTGTTGCGAGAAATCGTTGTTAGCACGGGTCCCTGCATGACAAGGGGGGGGGGATGCGGGGCAATAGGGAGCGCAGAGAGGCCGTTGTGGGCTTGTTTGGTCGTACAGTTCTTCCCCTGCGGTACACGCGTTAGTCCTGTTCCACCTCGATTCCCGGACGGAAAGACGTACAATTAATATCGTTCTTGGACGCGCGGGACAGAATGCGCCACAGGGCGTCGTCCTTGTCCTTGTTCCAGTCGACGTCGGGCGGGTCCACAAAGCCGTTTCGCGGCGCCGGCACGCGAATGTAGACGGTGTACCGGGGCGGTGGCTGCTCAGGCAGGGCGGGCGATGGCGCCGGCGACTGCGTGGTTTGCTTCTGTGATGGCGACGGCTGCTGCGGATCTTGCGACTTTTGCCGGCGCATCGACGTCGATGCAGGTTGCGGTGGCTGCGTTTGCCGTTGCGGCGGCGGCGGCGGCTCGTCGACGGGGTCGTCTGGAAAGCGCAGCGGCAGGTCCAGCGCCTGGTCGTGCTTTGGGTCAAAGTCCATTGTCGCGGTCGATGGGGGGCCGAACCGGGCGGCAGACGAGAGAGGGAAAGAAAACGACGGAAATGGTCGCGTGCGATTAGAGAGACATCGGAGTCGTGAGAATGGAGGGCGTCGAGCGTCAAATGTGCTTTGCGGAGCACAAGGTGTCAGTCATCGAGTGAATGGCAAGGCCATAAGAACAGCCTTTGATGGGGTCAGTGTCTGCGCAGCCTGGTCCGGATGGGTCGCGAGGCTCGTTCGGAGAGGCAGAACTTGGGAGGACGAACGAATGGGCGAATGACGACGCCAGCCGTGGGGAGAGGCTGAAGTTGGAGATAGTGAGCTGTTATTGGCCCATGGTTTCGGCTCTAGTGGGGACTGCAGGAGCTCTCGTGGGGCATTTGCAAGCGTTCAGGGTCATTTAGTTAGGCACCCCAGACGCTAGAGCGGCTGGGCGGGTGCCTGCGGCGGCATGGTTCCCAGGGATGTGGTTTAGCCGCTGTGAATGGAGGAATTATGGAGTTCTGTTGTAAGAGACGTACTTTTCGTATTCGTGCCGGACGGCATAGAGACCAAGCGAACCGATGTTGCATTCTTGTACGAACGGTTGAAGTAAGTAAGACGGCCGAGAATGTGATTTAAGAACTATTTTACAGCGCTGCTGAGAAGCTGCACACATAACTACGAGTGCTGTAAATCCACCGGACAGCGTTAGCGGCCAGCAGGCCGCGTTGTCAATATGTTTTATTTTGTAATTGCATTGGATAAAATTCACTTTACATTTCACGTTGGTCATTTTGTTGTCTTGGTGAATAGAATATTTGTTTGGTTTTAATTTTTTAATATTTTTACTTGTATTTCAAAGATGTAATATCTTACCAAAAGGATCCGTTTGTAGTAAAGTCCAAAAGAAAAGGGGAAAAAAAGAAAAAGAAGCAAAAACAAAAGTGAGACTGCCCTACACTAGTATCTGCTTCACCAAAGTGAGTTGCGAAAACACTTGTTCTCGCCGAGTCCCAAGGTGGAGGAATGCCTTTCATGCCTACATGAAAGGGTCCTCCTCGTCCTTGATCACCATCTTCTCTTTGCCCTTGCCCTTGGTCTCCGGCGTCTCGTCCTCCGCCTCCTTGGGCGGCGCCGTCCGGTGTTCAAAGCGCTGCAGGCTGCCGGGGCCCAGGTCAAAGGCCGGCGGCTGGTGCAGCTCGACGTTGTCGGTGGCGTACGGGTCGCCCGCGCTGAAAAAGGGGCGCCGGCCCAGGTGGTGCGTGTCCTCGACGCGGTCCAGGACGTCGTAGTCGACATGGGCGCGCCGGGCCAGCGGCGAGAGAATGTCGTTGTAGAGGTTGCGGCGGGTGCGCCGGCGCAGAAGAAGGGCGGCGCGGGCGTCGAGGGCGTCCCGGTTGCGCTCGCGGTTCTGCTGGTGGTCGGCCGGGGACGGCATGGCCTGCGGCGTGAAGCCGCTGCCGTCCTGCGCAAAGTTGTCCATGCTGCGCAAGAACTCGGGCGATCCGGGAGGGCTACGGTCACGATCTTCGGACTTGCTCGCAGGAGACAAGAAGAGACCCGACGGCAGGCTAGACGAGAGGAGACTCGGCAGATCCGACGAGAGGAGACCCGACGGCAGATCCGACGGCGGGGACGGGTTGCGTGGGCGCGCGGGCCGCGAGGACGGGAGCGAAGGGGACGGCTCCTGCGTGTCGTTGGCAAACTCACCGTGGCTCCGCCGACGCACCGAGGCGGGCGCCAGACGCTGCGCCGGGCGCTGCAGCGGCCAGCGGTCCGCCACCATGCGGTCCGGTGCCGACCGCGCCATGTCACCCATCTGCAGGCGCATGCGCCGCCGAGCCAGCATCGCCTGCTGTTGCTCGTCCTGTCCAAGGTCAGCCGAAGACAAAGAGCTCAGCTCATCAATGGTCAGATCGGCCAAGGCGCGGGCGACATCGTCCACGTCGCCGTGCGCATCCGTCTCATCGTCCTCGTATACCTCAAAGTCCTGGTCATTGTCCAACCAGTCGGAAGCCTGGTTGTTGCTGTTGTCGTCTTCGTCGACCAAACCTGAAGTGGAAGTGGTGGAGAGTTGCAAGTCGTCAAAGGACGGAATAGGTTGGACCGGCGGCGTGGCCGGACGCGGGGGGCTAAAAGTCATCAAGTCAGACGAAGTGGAAGCGGAAGCATCACGAGTCAAGTCACCATTCCCACCCTTGTCCTCCACCTTGTTAGCAAGGCCAGCAGGAGACATGAAGCTCATTTTGGCGGTTGTTAGTATGAGAGAGATTCTAAAGTGCGATGGTGTACGGAGTCGAGGTGCTGAATTGTTGCTGCGTTGATGACCTTCTTTTTGTTGTTGAAGAGTAGAATCACGCCAGGTCCTTGTCGGGGGCCATGGCATCTATATATGCCAGTTTGCATTGCTGGTGAGAACACCTCGCATGTTCAGATGCAAGTCTACTGAACAAATGGCAGTTCAACGGCACATTGCTATGGTGAACTTTTCGTGTGCTGTTTGACTACACAATGCAGCTGTTCATGTTTCAAGGATGCCATGATGTGCTGTTCTCGTTGGTATGCAGGTGGGCGGAACAATGGCATCTCGTACAACAAACATGACTATCAAGTATGAACAATGCTGGACTTTGACATTGCACCAGATCAGCGTCTTTGTGTCTTCGGGATGCCTGGGGGTTCTGTTGTGTGGATAGCGTAAATTAGCGTACGTTCTGCCGAGACCCGCTTTCCGCACTGCCTCCACTTGGCTCCGACGTTCTTCGCATCGCCAAAGTCGCCCATTTAATTCGGCATCACGGCTGCGCTGTCAAACCAGTTACAGGGCCTTTGGTCTAGTGGTATGGCGTTCGCTTAGCATGCGAAAGGTCCTGGGTTCGATTCCCAGATGGTCCATGAGCGTTGTTGTCTTTTTGTGGCATTCCACCTTTCTGGAAGGATATCGTGAACTTTTTGGTGACTCCACTTTTGTTGCCTTTCTGATTAGGGTGAAGAGTTTTTGGGGGGTTACGGCAGGTTTCGCTGTCATGTCTTTTGGATGTTGTGGCTTCCGTTACCCGACGTTCGTGTTCTCCCCAAGCTGAGGCTTTAGATCAGGTTGTCTGAAGCGTCGAGTGTGTGCGTGCGTTGTGTCAAGTAGTTTTATTCTTAACTGTTCTAGAAGTTGTCCGCCGCAGACAAGCAAGTAAGGTCACGTCAGGAAGATGAGGATGCATCTTCGGCCGTGACAACAAGACACGTCCACCCACCACCATACCACTGCCTACTCAATGTGCTCCGGTCCAACCATTGGTTTCTGATCGGCCGAAAGCTCGCCGTCGTCCTTGACCGAGACGACGTGGTCGCCAAAGGCGGCGGCAATGCCCTCGAGTGTCTTTTGCTTTGTTTCGCTGACCATGTGTTAGTGGGGGCTGTGGAGGAACTATGTGGCACCAACCAAGTGGCACCAAAAGGAAAATGGAGAGGAGGGCACGCACGGATAGTAAAAGTAAATGATAAAGGAGTAGACGACGCAGCAGCCGACAAAGACGTAGTAGTAGTTCTCGCCGATGGTGGCAAACGCACTGGGGCCGGCCTCGGTGACTGGACAGTTAGGGGATGTTCATAGACAGGGTGCAGCGGGGGGCATCCGGGGGCAGGGGAACAGGGGAACGTACTGCCCACGTTGACGACGTAGTGGCAGGTGGCGGCGATGCCCATGACGCGGCTGCGGATGGCAATGGGCAGGACCTCGGCACCATAGATCCAGGTGACGGGGTTGATGAGGCAGTAGTAGCCGACGACAAACAAGTAAATGCCGAGCAGCGCAAAGCCCTTGCCGACCTTGTTGTCGGAGTGCTGGAACTTCCACTGGAGGATGGCACTGTAGGCCTCGGTCCAGACGACCCAAGCCATGCCGGCGAGGAGCATGTTGCGGCGGCCCCAGCGGTCGGGCAGGAAGACGATGGAGACGGCCGTGGCCAGGAAGGCGCAGGTGCCCCAGACAGCGGCGAGGGCGAGGATCGTGTTGGACGTGATGCCGAGAGACTTGTACAGGGAGGCTGGCGATGGTCAAGATACTGTAGCAGATTTGTAGATTTCATGTAAGTCTAATGAGATGAGACAAACTCACTTTGGTAGTACTGTGACGAGCAAGGATTAGTAAAATGAACTGTGCAATGAGAAAAGACTGGCCCATCCTTCTTACCTGGATGACATTGACACCCGTGATGCTGGTCAGAACTTGGACAGAGACGGACCTGCGCATACCGTGCTTAGTACAGCGGCTATTCAACAAGGGGGACACGACAGCCGGACATACACTAGGATTCGGTGCCGGTACAGCCGCCACATCTCCCGCCACGAAGGGATCTCGCGCTGCTCTTCGTACTCGATCTGCGCCTTCATGAGGGCAAACTCGCCGTGCACCGCGTCCGACAGCAGGTCGCTCCGGATGCGCGCAAACACGGCCTGGGCCTCGTCGAGCTTCCCGCGCTGGATCAGCTGGCGCGGCGACTGCGGCATGAAGGTGACGAGGCCGAGGAACAAGATGACGCCCCAGGGGATTTGGAGGGCGAGGGGGAGGCGCCACTGGACCTGGCCGTAGGGCGCATAGCCGCAGGCGAAGCCCAGCCAGTTGGAGACCATGGTGCCGAGGGCGAGGCCGGCGCCGTTGAGGCCGCCAATCATGCCGCGGATGTTGGGCGGGCTGATTTCCGACAGGTAGACGGGGACGGTGCCGCTGAGGGCGCCGACGGCGATGCCGGCGAGGACGCGCCCGGCCAGGAACATGCCAATGTTGACAGAGCCCGTCTGGATCGCGCAGCCGATGGTGACGAGGACGCACTGCAGCTGCATGAAGCGCAGCCGGCCGAGGCGATCGGCGAACAGAACCTGGCTGACGGCGCCAATGGCCTCGCCGGCAATGTAGATGGCTGCGACGGAGCCCGTGAGGCCATTGGACGGGTGCTTCATGTACTCGACCCAGCTGGGGTGGGCAATGGCTGTAGATGTCAGCAAGTGGACGGGAGAAAGGAGACAACGTGTTGCATTCTCGACGCACTTGTAGTGGCAATGCCCGTATCGACGCCCTATTTTGTTAGCCGTTGTCGTCGTGTGAAAGACGTGTGCTATGGACCAACGTACATAGAGAAAGGTGCCCATGCAGGCAAAGGCCGCCACGAGGATGGGATATGCGTCCTTCATCCTGGCGAGTTGACCGTGCTGATCGTGTTGATTGGCGACAATGATGTGATGCCAAGGCTGAAGATGGGCAGATACAGAGAGGACACGCTGTAATCGCTTAAAGAATCCAAAACAGCAACAATCGGAGCAAACAATGGAACCACGTCGGAGAGCGAAGGCGGAGACTGCCACGACACGTTTAATACAAATGAGAAACGGCCGTGCCCTTTTCCTCTCTCTCTCGACGGAAGCCAAGGACGATCAATAGCAGTTGACAGGAGGCTCGGTAATGCAGATAACCATCGCCATAACGGCGGGTTCTTCCCCTCGGTGCGCCCACAGATGACGTTGCAGTAGTTGCAAAAGGCCCGGCAGATCATTGTCTGGCATGCCCAAGAGAGCAAAAATCCCAAGACCCCAGAGTTGGCACCCCGCAAAATGGGGACGTGAGATGCGGAGATGCGGAGGGCGTCTGGGATGAAGTGGACAGAAGAGAGAATTAGTAAAAGAGGTCGAAATAGGAAAGGAAAGTAAAAACCAGGAAAACTGGTTTCGGTCGCAAGCCAAGATGCCAGGACTCCATTTACACCGTCTCCGCACTAGCAGGGGTTGGCGGTGTCACGGTGTGAGAGCTGCATCTCAATGATATCCCGGTCCGGCATTTGACTAGGGCGTCATTCACATCGACTGGACACAACGTTCTCGCCAGTCGGTCTGTTTGTCGCCGTTCGGCCCGTTCTGCTGTTATCGACGCCGAGTTTCGCTGACATGGCTCAACTTATATTCGTCCCATAATTGCATTTGGTTTTGTTGTCTTTTCATTTGCTCGCATTCGTTTGTTGCCACAGACACTCCCAACAGCTACCACTCAGCCTCACTGTCGATTCCGCATCATGTCAACAAACGGCACAAACGGTGTCCGCACCAACGGCACCAACGACTCCGTCAGCATGGCCGACAAGCTCAAGAACAACCGTGCGCGGCGCATCGTCGATGCCGCCGCCGCCGGTGGCTATGCCATCCCGGCCGTCTGCTGCTACACGCTCGAGGCCGTTGTTGCCACGGTGCGCGCCGCGGAGGCCAAGCAGTCGCCGGCGCTGATCCAGCTGTTCCCCTGGGCCATCGAGTACGCCGACGGCTTGCTGCTGCACGCGGCCGCCGAGGCCGCCGACCGGGCGTCGGTGCCGATTGGCGTGCACATGGACCACGCGCAGACGCCCGAGATTGTGCGGCGCGCGGCCGACCTCGGCGGGTTTGACGGCATCATGCTGGACATGTCGCACTACGACAAGGCGGAGAACCTGCGGCTGACGCGCGAGCTGGTGGCGTACTGCCACGCGCGGGGGATCGTGACAGAGGCCGAGCCGGGCCGCATCAACGGCGTCGAGGACGGCATCGAGGACACGGGCGACATGGACGAGATCCTGACGGGCCCCGCCGAGGCCGAGGACTTTGTGGCGTGCGGCATCGACTGGCTGGCGCCGGCGTTTGGCAACGTGCACGGCGTGTACGGCCCAAAAGGCCCGCAGCTGCGGTTTGATCTGCTGACGAGCGTGCGCGCGGCCGTCGGCGACCGCGTGCGGCTGGTGCTGCACGGCGCGCACGAGCGCTACTTCCAGGAAGAGCTGCTGCGCACGTGCATCCAGCACGGCATGGCCAAGGTCAACATCAACGGCCCTGTGGCGGCGGCGTGGACGCAGGTGCAGGGCGAGCTCAGCGGCAAGGTGTCGCTGACGGCGCTCGTCGAAAAGCAGACCAAGGCGATGCAGGACGTCGTCGAGTACCACATGGACTACCTGATGTCGACGGGGAAGGCGGGCGGCGTGGGGAAGGCGGCATAGACGGCACGCCAAGGATGTGTCCTCCCAAAGATAGACCCAATAGAATATCGTCAAGTTGAATGTCCTTATTTTGAGCGCCCTGTGCCATGCTCCCCGAACCGGTCTGTCCATGGTTTTGGCCTGTGATGACGGTTCGCGCCATTGTCGCTGAAAACCGCAATGTCGTAAAATCCGGGTCAATGATGCTGCGCATCGGTCTCGTGCGGTTTTTAGCAAGGTGGAGGTGAGACCGGCGGGCAAGTGAAGTGGACCTACCCCGACACGGCGCATTTTTGCGCCGCACGAAGAACTGGAGATGCGGGGTGTGCCACGGGGGAATTGAACGGGTTTGTCGTGAAGCTGTGGAAGTGTGGGTGCGACGATGCGTACACGTGCATAGGTGTCAGTATAACTGTCCGCCGCTGGGCGTCACGTTCGCATCGACGCGGCACGGATGGCCCGATGTGTACAGCCAACCGTCGACACTATGAAGCCCAAGGCCCTCTTGTTGGGGCGCATTGACCAGTACGTTGTCTCTGCTATTGTGTGATTCTTGTCCTCAGTCAACCACTCACAATTTTTTTCTTCAGCGCCACGGCATCGTGGCAGGCGCTCGCCGACCTCGCCGACCCCGTCGACCTCGTGACGACTGCCGCGACCTCCCGCGCCGAACTTCTTGCCGAGTGCCGCAGCGGCGCCCTCGACGGCGTCGTGGCCATCTTTGACCGCGCGCCGCACAGCACGTCGACGACGGGCCCCTTCGACGAGGAGCTGATTGGTGCGCTGCCGGCCAGCGTGCGGTTCCTGGCGCACAACGGCGCCGGCTACGACAACATTGACGTGGCGGCGTGCACGCGGCGGCGCATCCGGGTGTCCCACTGCCCGCGCGTGGTCGACGAGGCGACGGCGGACACGGCCGTGTTTCTGATCCTGGCGGCGCTGCGCGAGTTCAACAACGGCATCATGGCCATCCGGCAGGGCACGTGGACGGGGCTGCTGCCGCCGGAGCCGCTGGGGCGCGACCCGCGGGGCAAGGTGCTGGGGATCCTGGGGCTCGGCGGCATTGGGCGGTGTCTGCAGCGCAAGATGGCCGCGTTCGGCATGACCGAGGTTGTGTACCACAACCGGACACGCCTGCGGCCCGACGACGCGGGCGGTGCCGAGTACGTCAGCTTCGGCGAGCTGCTGGCGCGCAGCGACGTGCTGAGCCTCAACCTGCCCCTCAACGCGGGGACGCGCAACATCGTCTCGACGGCCGCGTTCGCGCAGATGAAGCGCGGCATTGTGATTGTGAACACGGCCCGGGGCGGCGTGCTGGACGAGGCGGCGCTGGTCGACGCGCTCGCCAAGGGCATCGTGTCGTCGGTCGGGCTGGACGTCTACCAGAGCGAGCCCAACATCCACCCGGCGCTGGTGGCCAACCCGCGCGTGTGCCTGCTGCCGCACATGGGCACGTCGACGGTCGAGACCAAGACGCAGATGGAGGAGCTGGCCATTAGCAATGTGCGGTCGGCGCTGACCACGGGCAAGCTGGTGACGCCGGTGCCCGAGCAGAGGCATTTGGATGCGCAGGAGACGTGAGCGAGACGTGAGCAAGGAGACAGACTTCACAGAGTTCATGACACAAGATAGACCAAATGTAGATGCTAAAATAGAATGCGAGACGTGTAGCTATTCCGCTGCATGGAAACCATTTTCTCCTACAGCCAGTCCCGGTCAAAGTCGGGCGACGGGTTGACAAAGCCAAAGCCAAAACCAGAGCCAAGCTGCTGGGGCGTGCCTGCAGGCGGAATCTCAATCAGTCCGGCAAAGACGCCGTCAAAGAAGTCGTCCGTGGCGGCGCCAAAGAGGTCGTGATCGCGCGCAAAGTCGAGTCCGCGGTCTCGGTCCCGGTCCCGGTTCTGAGCTTGGTCCCATTCTTGCGTCATGCCAGACTGCCCACGACCACGGAGGCTGGCCAGCGAGCCGAGCCGTCGACGGAGACCGTAGGCCGTGCGGCGCGTATCGTTAAAGATGGCGAGGCCGGTGGGCCCACCGGGGTTGTTCTTCGTGTCCAGGATGAGCTGCAGAATGTCGACGTAGCATTGTGCACAGGGCCAGTACCGCGCCGACTGGTGGAGCACGGCAACGAGCGTCGTGAGGTGGGGTGGCGGTGCAAAGGGAGACGATGCGGTTGCGGTGGTGGTATCGGCCACCCCGTCGGCCGTGTTGCCTGTTGTCCACAAAATGATCAAGCTGCGCGCGGCCACCCAGACAACAAAGGCAAACAGCGGCCCGAGCTGACCGACCTGCGCCGGCTGCAGCCCCGTCGCCAGCCCAGCCACTTGATCGACGGCCTGGCGAAGCTGGGCACGGGCAGAGCTCGAGGGCCGCATGTAGGGCGAGGCGGTGGCCGGGAACGAGGCGACGGTGTACATGCGAATGTGGATGAGGGCGTAGGTGGCGTGGACGAGGTACCACATGGGGTCGAACGGTACGGTGGTGGCAGCGGACGGCGCGGCCGGCGACGGCGGCGTGCGTACGTCGGGCGGCAGGTTCTCGCGCCAGGTGCGGCTCAGGATGTCGATGCGGCGGAACTTGCTCTGCCACTCCTGGCACTGGGCGGGCAGGGACAGGTTGGTCGGCTGGACGAGCAGCTGGTTGGACTGGTCGACGAGGGACAGGATGTCGATGAAGCACTGCCAGAGGGTGGGAGGGGATCCGGCTTTTCTGGCTGTTCCAGCCATGCCATACGGAGTGGTGTCGGGACTGGTGCCGGTCTTCGTTCTAAACCATGCCAGCGGCACGCGCTGGCCCCAGGCGTCGTCGCGGGCCGGATACTGCACGCGCAGTCGGCGGCGGTCAATGGCACAGGGCTGGCCGAGGGACACGCTGGAGAAGCGGTCGAGGTTGTAGATGGTCCAGAACAGGCGCCGCTTCTCTTCGGCCTCGACTGCCGACGAGGAGGAGGAGGAGGGGGCCGACGAGGCCATGCCGAGAAGGGTGTTGGCCGTCGCCGCGCTCTCCTCGGTGTCGTCGTTGGTCACGAGCGGCGAGGATGGCGACGCGGCACGGACGCTTCCGCTCGCACTGTCCATGCCGCCGCCACCCAGACCCATATTCGTATTCATTCCGAGGCCCATGCCCACGCCCACGCCCACGCCAATAACCCCCGTTACTGGTGACGGGTTGTGGTCCAGGTGCAGCTGCCGTGCACAGGCCACGAGCATGGCCATCATGTTCCACGTGCGCGGGCCGGGACCGTCGCCCATGGCATCGATGGCCAGCAGGGCCAGCGCCTGGTACGCGACGAGCGCCGCCGAGTTGATGGTGTCCACGAGCAAGCGGTCCCGGGAGACCTTGACGTACTGCTCGCGGGCCGCCGCCGACGGCCAGACACCACCACCCTGCCCGTCTCGGGTCGCCGTCCAGAAGCGAAAACCCAGGACAACCATGCCGTGCAGCAGAAGCTGACGATCCGGCAGGAGCATGTTCGCCTGGAAGGTCGGGCGGTGAAAGAGCGGCGCCCATGGATAGACGTGTGTGAAGAAGAGGTCGACGAGCTCGTCGAGGACTGCGCGGGGCGGCAGCGTGGGATCGAGCGGCGGTTCCAGGAGGGGGAGAGGCTGCTGTGAGGGAGGAAGGGGAGGATTGTACGATGCAGGGCCGTTCAGCTGTGTTGGGGCTTGTCCCAGCTGCTGGGCCAGCTGCTGCGCATCCTCGCTGTTGTTGGAAGGCGCGACAGAGCCCATGTCAACAGACGGCACCTGCCCGCTCCGCACACCTTGCGCCTGCACGTGCTGCAGCACATTGTGAATCGACTGGGCCATCTTCTCCACGTTCTCTTCCAGGAGAGACAGCCGGCCCTCGACGGCTCGCCCATACCCCGGCCGCAGACCGGGCTGGCCTCTCTCCTTGTAGACACAGGTAGTGCCTGTCATTTGTAAGTCATGGAGTCAGTGAGAGACAGGGGTGAGAGAGGTCAGTGGCGAGAGAGAAACACCTTTTCGTCGACAAGTGTCGCACTGTGGCCGCGAGCTGTCACATCGTGACTTTTTGGCCTTGCAAGTTTCACATCTAGGGAGGTCAGGGAGAGGCGTGAGAACGGGATACTGGGAGTGAATGCCGGCCACCCACGTACGTCTTGGACATCATGCGCGTCGGCTTCCGCAACATCCGCCTTCCATCGCCTGTCTCAGAGTCACCGGCGTCGCTCATTTGGACGGGCATCGGTTAAAGGGACGGGGTTTTGTGACCATAATTGACTGAAAGTGAAGGAAAAATCAACCTGACAAACAAGTATGGTATATATCCGGTGTCAAACAATGACGATGAAAACGTGGAGTAGGGAATGAGGAGATTTGTATGCAGTAAGGAGAAGCAAAGTGTTGGCGTGCACTATCATACAGTGGCTGCCGGCGGGTTAGTGGTATCTGTGCAGGGAGTTGCCAGCCGCATCCTCGGCAATCGTTAGTGGATTAGAGGGAGAAGCGTGGCCGCGTGCCGAGTTTACAGGGCATTTACAAAATACACTTCTTTTCTTACTCTAACTAGCAAAAGCAGAACAATGCAATATAAAGACACAGGCCTGTATGTTGACATTCTGGAAACCTATCTACTGTCATTCATTTTCATTATTCATACATCTGATGCCGCCTTCTCACAGTCGACAATATTTCTTATCGTCTTCGACCATCACATTTTCCCGCTCTTCATATCCTCCGCGCGTCTCTCTCTCTCAGCATACCTTCTCTCGATACGCCTTCACGCCCGCCAGCTTCAGCAGCTTGTCCGTCTGCTCGGCCGGCTGCAGCGGCTTCTCGCGGTGCCGCGGGTCCGGCGTGCCGTCCGGCAGCCGCGCCGCCAGCTCGCGCAGCTTGATGTTGGTGTGCGGCCAGTGCGTGGTGCCGCCGTGCGCCCGGAAGACGCGCTGCTTCTCGGCCAGGGCCTCTGGCGAGGCGAGCGACGCCGGCGCGTATGCCGCATAGATGACGGTGCGGATCGTGGTGCTGGCCGCCGTGGGCTCGCCGCCCCAGTGGATGCAGCGCGAGTCCCAGAGGATCAGGTCGCCCGGCGCGGCCTCGACGCGGACGGGCCGCACGCCGCGCGCGGTGAACCACGCCATGTCCTGCGCGGAAAAGTAGCGGTTGTCGCGCATCGCCCAGTCGGCCGGGTCGGTCTCTTCGTCAAAGAAGGCCTCCACGAGCGCCGCCGAGCCGTCCATGACGCACAGCGAGCCGTCGTCGGGCCCCGCCTGGCCCAGATTCAAGATGCCCTGGATGCAGTGCAGCCCGCGCTTGCGGGGCGCCTGGTCGACGTGCGGCCACGGCGCGCGCGGCGCCTTGAAGCTGGGCAGCGTGACGTTGAGCGAGTCAAACGACACCAGCAGCTCGTCGGTGCCCCAGAGCTGCGCAAACGCCTCAATCAGCTTGGGCTCCTGGCGCGCCTCCCACATGAAGCGCTCGTGGATCACGCTGTAGTGCTCGTACGTGTTCTTGTCCGTCTGCAGCGGCAGTTTCTCCTCGGACCACGTCGTCGGGTCTTTGGGGTCAAAGTCCGGGTCGAACGTCTGCAGCCATTGGAAGGCCTGCTGCTGGTAGTACTGTGCGCGTTCCGGAGTGATGACGCCGCGGACCACCGTGTAGCCCTTCTTTTCGAGTTCATCGCGCCAGTCGCCGCCGGGGTTTTGAATTCTGGAGGAACACACATGTCAGCGGGTGTTGAGTCTTTATGGTTCATGGGATCCAGTAGGCAACACGGACTGACAGGACTCACTTGAAGCTGCTAATCTCCTTGGTGGAGGCAGACGGTGTAGTTGCGGACGGCATGGTCGCAGTGGACGCGTGTTGCTTGACGCTATCAGGTATGTGTACTGGGTGTCGATTCCTATGCAGTGTCTGTGCAAGTTGAACGTAGTCAACAGCAACTGTTGGTCTAGTCTCCTTGTAGAAACCCGCTTCTTGCACTTATATACCCTGTTCTTATTGTTCCTCTCCGATTCATGTCCGGCGCCATGCAATATCTAGGCCACGACAAAGGTGAAGGTGATTTGAAGTGAAGACTGGGGCTCGCCAAGGAAGAACAGAGGCGTACACGAGATCATGCGGAGGTGTCGATGGAGGTGTGGAGGCGGACTGTCATTGCGCCGGACACTAGCTCTCACCCTCACTCCGTCCTGCGGGTAATGATGCCCCGGCGCTAAACAAACGACTCCGTCAACGGAAGCCTTCAACCGTTGTTGGCGACGTGGGAGGAGAAGTGACAAGTACAAGGAAGGAGGGGTGAAGAGTTGAGTGCAAGTGAATTAATATGTAACGGAATGAGGGGACCGATGCTGGATGAGAATTGGAGTATTCTCTGGCGACGACAGCACTCGCTGTGTATTGTTTTGTTACACCAGCAACCAATCACAGCTCACAGTTTACACCGCACAGTCCACAGCGTACACTGCACCTACTATGAGAGTCCTCATTACCGGCGCGGCCGGCTTTATTGGCCAAATCACCGCCAAGGCCCTGCTCGACGATGAGCGATACAGCGACGTCCTGCTCGCCGATGTCATCGAACCTCCCGTGCCGGCCGGCACAAAGTATCCCGAGCGCGCCCGGTGCGTCAGGGCCGACCTGTCGCGGCCCGACGACGTTGCTTCGATTGTCGCCGACAACCTCCAGTCCGTCATCTTGCTCCATGGCATCATGTCCTCCGGTGCCGAGGCCGATCTCGCACTCGGCTACCGCATCAACGTCGACGCCACCCGCGCCGTCCTCGACCGCCTGATCCAGTCGTGCCCCGGCGTGCGCGTCCTCTATGCGTCCAGCGAGGCCGTCTACGGCCGGCCGGTGCCCAAGCACGGCGTCACCGAAGACGACATCCCCGCGCCGGAAATGTCCTATGGGTGCCAGAAGCTGATCTGCGAGACCATCATCAACGACTACACCCGCCGCGGTCTCATCAACGGCTTTGCCCTGCGTTTCCCCACCATTTCGGTCCGGCCGGGTGCGCCCAGCGCGGCCATCTCGAGCTTCTTGTCGGGCGTCATCCGCGAGCCGCTGGCCGGCACGCCCTGCGTCCTTCCACTGCGCGACCGCGCCTGGCGCCACTGGATGTCCTCGCCCAAGACGCTCGTCCACAACCTGCAGGTGGCCCTGCGGCTGCCCCTCGACGCTCTGCCGCCGCATCGCCGCGCCGTCAACATGCCCGGCTTTGCCGTCACCGTCCAGCAAATGCTGGATGCGCTCGAGGCCGAGGGCGGTGCGGCCGCACGGGCGCTGGTCGAGGAGCGCGAGGTGCCCGAGATCCAGTCGACGCTGTACTCGTGGGCCGACGACTTTGACAACAGCCTGGCGCTGTCGCTGGGCATGAAGCAGGACACGTCGTTTGTCGACTCGGTGCGGGACTACAAGGCGACCTTGGCAGCGAGCAGTTGAGGACGGGGCACGGCGGATCGAGTGGTCGTCTGGAACGCGTTTGTTCTTTGACGTTTTTGCTGTTCATGGAGGCGCAGGCAGTATTAAACAACCAGGTATATTTAAAATAATGTACAAAATGTAAGAGTACAAAGTGTGCGCCAGCCAGTCTTCCCCTTCTTTCTCATGTCTCATATCTCGCATCTCATAACTTGTCGCGCCCGACTTACGTCCAACCCAGTCGGTCCGGTTGTCGTATCTGCCGTCCGTATCTTGTGTAGACGGGACGTGTAGTGGCCGTCTGTTTCTTCGTGATGCCGGCACTCATCCTCTGAGCCCCATGAGGACGAGGACGCCGGCGTGTCGCTGCTTTGATGCCGGGCACTGCTGGCGGTTGCCTTGTCTCAGGTGACGGTTGCGGCCGTTGTGATTGCGAGATGACAGCAGCCGTGGGTTGCTGCTGGTCCTTGTGCCACGTCTGTCGAGGGCGCAAGGGAGACACAGATTGCTTCTTCTTCTCGTTCGATTCCGCATCGGTAGAGCCTGGGCGAGTTCGGAGTCGGCTGGATCGCCGACAGCCGGCAAGGGTTGATGCCAATGCCGTACCAGCGGCTTCGTGAGCGCTGGTATCGGCGTGGCCAGTGCCTTCCTCGTCCGGGACCGGTTGCTCTCTCGTTGCTGTGGATGGTGTGCCGTTCTTTTCTGCCGCAGACATGATGACCCGCTGCTCTTCCATCCAGACCACCATCGCCCCGTGTGCGGCAATACGGCGTTTCTCGTAATTTACGTGCCACTGCCGATCCTCCGCGTCGTATGCGCCTCTGATGTTATGCCTTGCTATGGCCCACATTGACTTGCGGAGCCCTATCTCTCTCACCTGGTACTCGAGCCAGTTCTGCACGCGGGATTGCTTTGCGACATCAAGCGACCAGTCGACGAGAGACGCCGACTCGTTAAATTTGCGTCGCTTCAACAGGTAGCGGCCGTCGAGCATGTATTCCTCCAGCATGTGCTCCGGTGTGCGGTGTTTTGGATCGTTTTGAAAGTCTTCCCGTACTCGTTTCTGGAAGTCGCGAAACTCGTCCCATTCTCGTAGCTGGTCAACAAGCGGCATAAAGCCATGGCCATTCCGCTCGTTGATGATGTGAAACATGGCAGCAGGATGCTCTTTTGGCAACCTGTCCTCTGTGTCGTACGGAAACGTATAGTCAGGGGGGTGGCATGGAGGGCATCCAGTCTCGATGAGTTCTTGTCGAAAGCGAGTTTCCTCCTCTCTGTAGAACTGGACGAGCTCTTCACCTTCGAGTGGAGACGGAGGGTCGATCGTGCTCACTTCGGAGGGCGTTCGTGGACGGAATTCCGTATTCTCGTCAGATAGGACCTGGAGGCGCTCGTTGACGGCGTCGAGATTTACTCCATCTTGGGGAACGACTGCTTGCGCCCTGGCGCGCGAGAAGGGCAGCGGTCAGCATAAAAGGCAAATGCTTGTCTGGAACATAAAAAGGCAAGTGGGAATATACTGTAGTTCTGCAAGAAGTGCAAGCCGTTCTTCTTCATTTTCAATGTTTATGTTCGGGTCCTCTACAATACTAGGCAAATGTTAGCGTTGCAGTCGGCGCAAAGCGAAATATCCGCTGATGGAGGAAGGGGACGGACGTGACACCGTGGAAGTGATCCAGCGTGCGATTGTTTGAGAGAACCTGCCGCCCGATGAAGTTCTCTCTCGTTGCTTGGGCGAAGGCAGTCAGCATTTTGGCAATGATATTGTGCGTATGAGTTGTTTGCAATGAAGTGTGAAGAGGGAGAAGAGGACTTGTGTTTTGTGCGACAGGATTAGGAGTCAAATAAGGTCCGGCTGTTAAACGTCATATAAGTCCATTCTCATTTACTCCATGTTTAGCGCCGGGCGGGTATTTCCCGAGTCCTGCCTAGACTTCAGCGCCTAAACTTAGCGGTCCCAAAAATAGACAACTCGAAACAGAATATCATGCATCATCCGTCTCTTTAAATCACTCTCATCCAACCATATTTTCTTGACACAATGTCTACGCGCCCAACATGAGAACGTAATGTAGGCCGGTGATGAGGACTGGGAGACAAAGCGCACTATGTTCAAAGTCAGTTTGTATATTTTGCATACCTTTTTGTAGTTCCCCCAATCCCATAATTTTGCTTCTTACTTGGTTTTGTCCCGTCGACACATCTCACATTGAATTACGAGCTAGGTACATCCACGCATGGTCTCGAGTAGAGTGGCCGTAAAACTGGCACTTTTTATTAACTTTTAGCGAATGACATCAACATAAGCCCGTAGATATATAGAAATATGATACAAATCCAGAGAGGCTAACTAGAAATAACGAAATATGCATCATCATAATAAAAGACAAGGAAAGGGAGGCATGAAATAAAGGTGATAGGCGCATCTACAACTGTGATGGCGTCCCGTGGAATGATAACCAACGGCATTGGGGGGGAGGACCCGACTAAGAGTTGATGCCAGCCCAGGCAGCTTCGGCTGTGATCCTAGGACATCTGGTCACAAATCACCGTTGTGCCCAACATTGGCAATTTTCATCTTCTTTGATAGCCGTGCATCGTCCCTCGACGAGAAGAAGGACGACGTTGGCCGTGATACAGACGTGTTGGCATGCCGTGCCCGTTTTGTTCCAGTGGGGGGAGGTGCAGACTGTTTTCCTGGCATGATTGCTACCGACGTCCCTGGGCCTTCCTCAATCAAATGGACAGGCTCATGCCGGGGAGAGGGGGCTTGTTCTTTGGCCCGGGAAAGGTCATCTGATTCCTGTGCATCCATGTCCATCCGCTCTAGTATAGGTCCCACGTCACAGCTAGGGATGAGATCAAAGTTCATGAACCGGTCCCATATCGATGCTAGGCTGCGTTGGCTGTTGCTCCCGGATCCGGTTGGTCGATCCTGTGTGCGTCGATCCTGTGTCTCCTCTGACCCCCTTGTGGCGACCCGGGTCGGCATCATTTTGTATGGAAGCTTGTCGTCCGTCTCAGACAGCGGTTTGAGGCATGCCACAGACGGATTTAGTACCGCAGCTCCAGGTTCCTCTGGATCGTCGTCATCTCCATCAATGATGTCACCACTGCGTGTCATCTTGAACAGACCGTTGGCGCAGCCTCGAAGCAGGCATTCAAATGCCTTGTACCGTTTTTGGGGATCTATGACCAGCATGTATTTGAGGAGATCAATGACGGGATCACCGGGATGATCCTGGTCATGCTTCTGGACTGCGCTGAGAATAGTCCGCGACCAGAACTTGATCCACGCTCTCTCCATTTGGCGCATCATGCCGCGGGTGCTTGGCAGGCCGTACGTCCACTCGAGCATCATGACTCCAGCGGACCAAATGTCCACGGACAGCCAGTATCCCTGAGTGGACTGAGCGCGTCGGTGGCTGGGGAAGACGTCTGGGGCACCGTACAGCCACGTACAGCAAAATGTCGTCATGAGGCTGCCTGGCACGGCCTCTTTGGAAAGACCAAAGTCAGTGACGATGATATGGATGGGATCCAGCCTCTCTACGAGGATGTTCTCGGGCTTGAGGTCACGGTGGGCCACATTGCGCTTATGCAGATAGTCCAGGACGATCAAGAGTTGACGAAAGGCGCTGCGGTGCTGATCCGGGCGTAAGGACATCTTGTACATGTTGCCGTGTGGGTAGTATGGCATCAGCAGTCCCGGAATCCCGTCCGATTGGAGTGCGAGAAGTTGGATAATGTTTGGCTTTTGCGAAAGCACGCATTAGCTTAGAAAACGAAAAAAGAGAAAGGAAAGGAGGTACGATAGATGGTTCTCAGGCCGGTTTTCATCTTACTGCCGTCGAAACGTACATGTGGGTGTTGCTGCATCATGCGGGCTTCGTTCCAAAAGTCCGCCTCCACCTGATGTCTTTTTGCCGATGTGCTTGGATTGTTGAATTTCAACAGCCTCTTTCTAGCCGCTGTATCGCCCGTGGTGACATCGACAAGCAGCTCGACAACCCCAAAGGCACCGGAGCCGATGGTCCTCTGAAAACACAGACTGCCGAATGGAGGCGGCGTCGGTGACGGACTACTTGGAGCGGCTGCCAATGGATTGTTGTCTAGGCCTGCCGGCCCAAGAACAGGCGGAACCGCCAGTGCTGTCTTCTGCACCCACTGCTTCAAGTTGGCGTAGTACTCGGGTGTGGCCTCCCTTGTATGATTAGGGAAGACAATTTCAAATTGAACTTCCTGCGACGGCGCGGCCGCACCAACTTCGACTTTGCTCCAGTACTGTGGTTCCGACGGGCCAAGGCAAATAAAGAACTTATCGCCTTGCTGCGGACGAATTTCGTGACGGTGGCCTGGCTTGGCATGGTAGATTACTCGAGATTTTTGCGCTGTCAACTGGTGAAACTGAACGCGGAACTCTGGCGTGATGGAAATTGCAAAGTGCCGGCGACTGACCCCCAAGGTTTGTGGGAGGCAAATCATAATATCGGACGTCCTGGTACTGTAGCCAAACTGCCAGCCCTCGGCCGGATCTTTGAGCGCCGTATCGTCGTCCAACCGTAGCACGAGTCGGTCTTCGGCGCTGTGGTTGGGGTCGTTTTCTTCGTCATCGACGGATTCAACTATTGAACCTATATCCGGCGTAGAGTCGCGGCTGTTGCGGTCGACCATCCTTTCCTTACCGGGGGCAAAGTACTGCTTGTTCGCCGAAGAAGAAAACGCCCCCAAAGCGTTCATGGCACTTTTGGGAAGAATGAGGGCAAAGATGCTGGGATCCATCGTGAGTCGGTTGTGACATACAGCAAAACACAAATTATTGGGAAGTAAAGAGAAGCTACAAAACAAAGGGCAAGAAACTTTCGGAAAGACCGCCGGCCACGAGAATGGCCTGCCTTTGAGCGAACTAGACTTTTTTTCTTCCATCTCGCATTGACGGCCAACATTGCGGTCTCATGTCGAGCGCGTAGACCACGCATCCAAAAAAAAAAAAAATTTATGGTTGGATGAGAGTGATTTTGAGCGCAGTATGGAACGGGCGGTGCCCTGGTGTCTCCTTTCTTAACGACCGAGTAGGTGTTCAACGCTAGGCAGGGCCCGAGATGGACCCGCCCGGTAACGGCGCGTAGCGATGCTGCCCCCAGCGCTAAACCAGGGCTGGACCGGACCACATCTGACGCCCATATCAACGTACAGCAACTGTTCTGTTCTCCCGCTTTACACTTTCGACTCGGCCACACAACAGCCTTGTCCAAATGTTGTCGGCCTTCTCCCAAGCAACCGAAGAGAACTTCATCGAGCGGCAGGTTCTTCCAAACAATCGCACTGTGGTTCACTACCACGGCGCCACGTCCGTCTCTTTGACTCTATTAGAGGACCGATGGCTTTCCGATTGCGACGCCAAAATTGTCTAAGTGGTATGATAGAGGATCGGACATAAGCATTGAAAATGAAGAACGGGACAACATCCGCAACCACGAAAGAACAACCAGCTTCGGGTGAAGGAAAACAGCGGCAAGGGTGAAATTAGCAACCACCAAGCTGCTGGTACGACTGTGGCATCCACCGTTGCCCGTCGTCGGCGATCCAGCTGAATTCGAATTCGCATTAGCTCCCGTCAATGCTAAATCCACCGCAGAGAAAGACAGACTCTGTCTCTCCCCTGCGGCCTCGCAGACGGAAGATACGGCCACGGTACCGAGAAGGTTGGGTATTAGCAACGAGATATGTCTGTCGACAAATCTGTCTAGTACACAATTGATACCATGATATGCTATAATGTAATTGACATTATTTAGACTGTATCTGGCAGTTTAGTAATACTCCAGCTTCGTTAAACAGCTAGCATTTCGAAGAAGCAAGCATGCGACGCTCATTATTTAAACTGTGTTTTTTAAGTTGGATGTTCCTTGTTCGTCCCTGATTCACTCAACAAATCGGCTCCTGCCAGCCAATGGTCCATTTGGGGGTGCCGATGACGAGCACCACCACCACCAGACCCGTGGCCAGGCTGACCCCGCCATAGACATAGGCGTGCCGCCGCCGGAGACCCGACAGCTCGGCCATCCAGGTGCTGACCGTCGTGAGACAGCCGCAGAAGCCGTCCATGATGCCCTGCAAGACCTGGCAGCCCACGAGACGGGTGGCGGCGACGGCAGAAGCGTGCTGCAGGTCCCAGGCCATGGCCAGCATAGCCGTACCGAAAATGTTGGCGGTAAAGGTGCCGAGGGGAAAGGTGGCAAAGGTGCCGTTGAGCTTGAGACTGAGGTAGAAGCGCAGCAGGCAGCCAAGCGGTGCAAACACGAGGGCGAAGAGCACATCGGTGCGCCAGTGGTTGGCTTTGGCCGGGCCGGGCTGGAAGACGGCTAGGAGCACAGCGGCGAGCCAGCAGCCAAATGCGAGGAAGACGACGGCGTTGTCGGCGATGCGGAGGAGTGCAGTAGTGTGAGTACGTGCCCACGACTTGGGACCTACTCGACGAGCGACATGCTTGCCAGCAATGGCGAGGTGTGCGCCGAGCTTGAGTGCCGACAAGCACATGCCGACGGTCAAAAAGAGAACGGCGAGAGGGGCCATAATGTCGTAACCGACGCCGCGGCTGGCGACTTGTGTAGAATCGTCATTGTCGCCCGGATGGTACCGTGGCGCAGGCAGGGTGTTGGCCAATGCTTCAAAGACCTCGAGCACAAAGGAGGCGAAGGAGGTAAAAGAGCCGCAGAAGCCGGTGGCCAGGCCGACGTAGAGCGGGATTGGTTTGGAGCGTTTGATGGGAGCGGGTGCGGTGGCGGCAGTTGGTGGTGCCGGAGGTGCTGATGACACGGCAGCGGCGTTGTTTGGTGCGCCGTTAACCTCATTGACCGGGCCGGCATTGGTAACATCGCGGTTACTGTCGCGTTGGTCCTCCTTATCGGCCTCGCTCTGTTCCTCCTCGTCCGCAGGATGGTCCCGGTTGATCAGCGGCGCCAGCTCTGCCAGGAAGCCCAGCACGGCCGTGCCAGCAAAGTTGGCCCACAAGATGCCAATCGAGACGGGCGCGCCGGTGTAGGTCGTCAGGGACGCGAGGCCGAGGCGGGCGAGTGTACCCCAGAGAGAGAAGAAGACGAGGTAGGCGACGGTGTAGAGCTCGACGAGCGGTCGCGGGACGGCAGTGCCATAGCGACGGCGGCCTTTTCTTGAGGCGTCGGCGGCCCTTCGTTGACTCTGTGCATCCCTCTCGAGCTGGGCATCCTCCTCTCGGTTCTCCTCGAGGCTGCGGTAGCCGGCGACAGACAGCTCATCCGGGTTCTGGACGGGCGGCGGGGCTTCAGCCTCGTTGAGGTTGACGTACGAGAGTGGGACGTCATATTGTTGCGGCTTGTCAGCGGCCTCGTCGCGGGTATCTCCAGTCTCTGTGTCTCCACTCTCGCCTCGTCGTTGCCGACCTGCCTCGACACCGTGTCGATGCATGGCCTTGTGGGACGGGCCACCGGCCAGTGTCCAGCGCTGGTAGTAGTCTCTCTGGTTAATGTCGTGGGTATAGATGCATGTATTATGTTGCTCCCAAAGAGGGGAAGTAAATAAATGCTGTTTTGGGGCAAGACGCGCTCTGCCGCGTCGGCGGGCGCGAGGAATGCTGCAGGAAAGAGCCCCCGGTGGCTTGCGACTGCCGGTTTGATGGGTAGAATTAGATGGAACAGTCAGTTTCAATTGATGATACTGAGTTGATGAGTTGTAGACTTTCTCTTATCCCCATTTGCTCCCGTTTCCGAGTAAATATGACAGCACGATTGAGGGTCAATTTTCACATTTTTTTGTCGCGATCGATCTGAGCGGAAAAGTCGGTTGGACCGGCTAAGTCGGACTAGCCAGATGTGTAAGTCGGCAAAGTCGCTTGTGGGTGGTGGTGCTAGCGGTCACGTAACGCTACTGTCCAAGACGATACGTCACAGGGCAATCCTCCCGGCGTTCTACTGAACTTCTAGCGACCTTCCACCGACGTCGGCTGCCGTTTGCCACTAACGGCGTACTAACGGGTGTGCTAACACGTTTTTTTTGTATTATTTTTTCTCACAAGCAAACACCGAAAATGACTGATTTCGCAGAAAGATGACCATTCAACGTATGATTGGAATGTAAAGATGACGGTGGACCTGCAGCGTTTGCATGACTTACACGAGAATAGAGCGTGAAAATGTCTATGTGGAAACAAAGGAAAAGTAAACGCCGAAAAATGCTCCTGCACCTGCACAAATGGTATCTCAAATCAAAACTCAAACCGAGGACTCCGAAGGAATTCGCTTGTTCTTTTTCTGCTCTCTTCCGCCGCGTCATTTGTCACCTCCTCACTCGCCATCGCTCGTATTCCACTCGTAGTCCGGTGGCGGCTCCGAGACAATGACGCGCAGGGCCGTCTTTGTGTATTGAATGTCCGCCTTGGGCACGACGGGCTTCTTGCCTGGGGGCGTGCTCGATGTCGTCACAGCGGCCACGCCCATGGCCACCTCGAGCGTGTAGACGCGCGAGGCAAAGCACGTCGCAAAGCCCGGCTGGCCCTGGATGGCCGCGATGGTGGCTGGGGGGAGATGGATGCCCCCTGCCGTGTCGTCGCTGTTGTTGTCATCGCCGTGGCTGCTGCCGCTGCCGCCGCTGCCGCTGCCGCCACACGAAATGTCCACCTTTTCCTGGCGAATGGGCACGCTGCCCTTGACCGACCAGAGGGGCCACGTCGTGTCGTCGACGCGCGTGGCTGCGCCGATTTGTGCGTGGATCTGGCGGCGCAGACGGACCGACAGACTGCACAGCTGGAGCGTGCAGCCGGTGTCGGCCACCGTGTCGAGGAGCGACCGCGGCGTGCGCAGAAACAGGCCCAGGTCGAGGGGCTGGCCGGGCGTGATGACGGGCAGGTTCGGCATGACCATCTCGAGGGACATGGCCGGCGAGTACGCCGGCAGACAGCCGGGGAGCAGCGGTGGATTCTGCGCCTTGGCGGTCCACGCGTCCGCGGCGTCGGTGCTGGTTCGTTCCTCGATGCCGAGCTTCCTGGCCGGCATCCAGGCCGTGCTGCGGACGAGCTGGCGGGCACCGGAGGCGGTATCGGTGACGTCGGTGTGGGCATCCAGAAGGGGGTCGGGCACGATGGACACGGGCGATGTGGGCGGCGATTGCGGTGGTGACAACGGAAGCGACACCGTGGATGGCCGGGCCTGTACCGGCTGTATGGACTGAAATGGAGCCGCCGTGCCGTACAGAAGCTGCTCGGTAACGGGCGGTGCGTAGGTGACTGACTGGCGGGCGGTCACGGGACGGTGCAGCAGACGGTGGTACAAGCCGCTGCCCGGCCGACGGCACACGGCTGTGACGCCATAAGAGACACGGACTTTGACACTCGGTGTGACGAGCAGTGTCGATGGCGGAAGCGGGCAGACGGCCGACTTGGCGGTGGTGGCCCGGCCGCAGCAGCGGGCGGTGTCGGGAAAAGCAAACGCAAAGGGCGCGGACAGCGTGTTGTTGTTGGCTTGCGTCGGATGCAAGACTTGGATGGAGGTGAAGATCTGCACGACTGTTAAGACGCGTACTCGTTCGGTGGAATATTGTACTGGACCCCGTGGACCAGAGACGTCGACTCACTTTGTAACTTTGTCGCTTGTGGGTATCGCCGACCTGTGCCTTTGCGTCGAAGCCTGGTTTGAGTGTGACTTTGGCAATGCCTGCAGGATGTCAGAAGTTAATCCAAGTTTTGACTCTTTGCTGTGCCCTCCATCACCGTCAAGCCAGTCTGGACCGTTCGTCGGCAGATCTCACCTTGAAATACCACCCGGACCTCTGGTGTCTCGGAAACGTCGTCCATCTGCACATCGACGCGGCCTTGGACCTTGTCAGTGGCCTGGAAGACGTGCCCATTTAAGGGCTTGTTGACTGATAAGGCAAGCTTCATTGTGTGTGTGTATGTTGTTTGCGGTATAATGGTGTACGGTCAGACGAGAGCAATGGAAAGGAAGACGGGGAGAAAAGTGGTAGAGAATATATGTCAGGAGCAAGGTCAAGAAACGAGAAGCAGCATAAAGTATTTGAAACACATCACTGGCTTCACACCGACGGGCCATGAAAAACACGCCCTCGACAGCCAAGAGATGCCCCGTGCTTTTGAACATGCCGATCGCTGCCCAATGCCGAACGCGCTGCTGAAAGTACCCACGCAAAACGTGAATCGGCAAGGGCAAACTAAACTACGAAAATCGGCCGTGGCGTTCCAAGATCCCAAGTTCTGGGAATCGTGCGGTAGGGGGGCAACGGTGGGAGCCGTCGTCACCGCCCAAACGCGACAAGGATTTCGGCTCCACAAAACCCGACTTACACGAGGAAGGCTGTTTGACCCGCCCGAACTCCTCCCAACTTCGCCAAATTCACGGACAAACCTCGATTTTGAGGCGGCATCTGGCCGGCATCTGGGCGGTATTTTGGGGCGAGGCGGTTGAGGCAAATTCCACCAATTCCAGGGCAACGCGCCCCACCTTTTTCCCAGTCTTGGGATCTTGGATCTTGGGGGCCCACTTTCCCAGTGAGTCGGCAATTGGGCGGCGATTGGGCACCTGTCTGTCAAAGGAGACTTCCAGGTCTTGCCCCTACAAAGTAACTGATTTGGGCCATGCCGGCCTGCTTGTCGAGCCTTGGAACAAAGCCTGACTAGCCCGGACATGAACTGTTTTAGCGGATTTGGGCCGCCCTAGTATTTGCTTTACAGCGCCTTCCTAGGGTGGGTCTCAGAGCCTAATCTCTGCCACCAATCAAATGCAATACCAGATACGTCTAAGCCGGATAAATCGCATAACTCGCATAATCCGGTGATGGGCTGCTCCTGCCGTGGTCAGTCAGTCTCGTTCACGTACCTGCACAACCGGCAACTGCGACCCGCTCGTAAATAAACACGACAACCATTCCGAGTTATCCCAATATTCCCTTCATTTGGTTTCGTGTTTGCAAGCCAGCCTGGAGAATGGCCGGATTGGCAGGGGACCAGGGCTCCAAGCGGAAGCGAGTCTTTCGCGCCTGCGACTCGTGCCGTGCCATGAAGTCAAAGGTAAACGCCCCAGCAGAGCCAAGCTTTGCCTACAGCTACCTGCATCCTTACTTACATAAATGCGATTGTGGCCTCGGCCCTGCTGACGTTCTTCGCTTCCAGTGTGACGGAGCCCGTCCTGCTTGCGGCCGGTGTACGGGGTACGGGTACAAGTGCCTCTACGGCTATGCCGGGAAACGCAACCAACGCCACCGCATCGACGAAGTATCGGCAGAGTCGGCGTCGGCATCGCTGCCGTTGCCGTTATCCCACGATGACGAGTCCCACAACAACGCAATTGCAGCACTACAGCTGACGGCCCGGGACTACAGCAGCCTGGTTCGTGCCGTGGTGCAGAGGCTGCCAGAGCCCGAGCAGCCCTCTGTGCTCGACGTGCTAGAGAAGCTGGACGAGCGAGTCGTACATGAAGCACAAATCAGGGCGCCTGCTCGTCCAAGTCTGGGGCATGCATCTGCATCCAAGGCGCCAAACACTGCAGCGCCCACGAGGAACGCGTCATCCACCACGGCCGCCCGGTCGGTGGAGCGGTATCTGGGCGAGGTCAGCGATGTCCGTTTCTTCAACCTCGTCGACCGGGCGTTGGCGGGACCGAGGAACCGTTCGTCTCAGGTATCGGGGCATCTGGCGGCCGTGATCCATGATGTAGCAACTTCGACCGGCGCCAACGACGACGATGCTCTCCAAAGCTATGAGCAGGACGGCGCAGCAACAAACGAAGATACGATGGTCGAGTTCCCCGACGCCGACGCCGCCGGCCGTTATCTGGACATTTACTTTTCCACCATCCACGTCGCCTATCCGTTTTTGCCGCGCGCTTTATTCATGAAGACATACGAACGGTACGTAGGCCAGGATCCCAACAGTGCCGCTGCCGACATCAGTGACACCTGGCTAGCCACCATGTACACGCTCTTTGCCATTGGCGCCTGCTACGAAAAGGCCGCATCAGGCAGCGAGGACGCCCGCCACGAGCAATACTACCGCCACGCCCTGGCGCTCTCGTCCGGTGTCCATCGGAGCAGTGGTGCCAGCATGCACCCCGACACCCTCGAGCGGTCGCTGCACCAAGTCAGTTTTTTGTTGGCCCAGTGCTTCTATCTGCTGGCCGTGTGCCGCACCGACAAGTGCTGGACCACGCTGGGACTGGCGGTGCGCATTGCCCAGAGCATCGGGCTGCATGTAGACGCAGGTTGTCTTCCACACGGCACGCATGGCCAGGGCCAACGACGTGACGGCGATGCAGTAAGCGCTGCGGCTTTCCATAACGCCGAGCTGCGTCGCCGTGTGTGGTATTCCGTGTATGTTTTAGACCGCCTTCTGGCGCTGCAGCTAGGCCGTCCGCCGGCCATCCACGATGAGGACTGCCACCTGCTGCTGCCCTCGCGGCTAGGAGATGGGGACATTGACTGGCTGGGAACGACCTCGGAACAGCAGCCTCCTGATGCTGGCGTGCCGACAGTTGGCGACTACTTTGTCCACATGATTGCGCTGTCCAAAATCATCGGATATGTCCTGCGCGATCTGTACAGCCCGCGGGGCCTGAACGGACTGCGCGGCGACACGGGTGATACCAGCCTCGACAAAGACGACACCCTCACCGGCTGGCTGCTCCCCACAACAAAACGTCTCGACCGCCAGCTGCTCGAGTGGCGCCGCGCCCTGCCCCGCAAGCTGCGCTTCGACTTTGGCCACGCCTTTGACACCGCCGAGGCCTCGCCCGCCACGTCCGCCATCTTCAGGCGGCAGCGCAACATGCTCGCCATCAAGTTCCACCACCTGCGCGCCGTCATCCACCGGCCGTACCTGTGCCTGCCGCTGCTGCATGGTCAGGGCCAAGGCCACGGCGCGTCCACCATCACGTCTCCCATCGCCCGCCGCTACGAGACCGTCTGCATCCTCGAAGCCCGCGCTACGGCCCAGCTGTTGCACCATGTCGTCGACAAGCAGAATCTTGTGCACGACTTTCCCTGGTGGCAGATGATTTCGTGTCTGGTGTATGCGAGCTCGATTCTGGTCGTTGCAAGTGCTTTTGCGCGGCGAAATACGGCCGGTGAAGGCAACAGTCAAATCGACAGTAGCGATGGTGATGGCAACGACAATCTCGGCATTGATGGAACGTCCACGCCCGTCGACGCTGACGCTCTGGATGCCGCTGCCCTTGAGGACGACGCCGAGACGTGCTTGACTGTCTTTGAAGCACTGAGTCCGAATTCAGAGAGTGCCCGGCTGGCGCGCGATATGATGCGGAGGCTCAAGGCGAGGGGTGCGGCATGGAGGTGGAGGGATATGCATGGGAGAGACACCCCAGGCGACACGGCGGCAGAGGCGACGAACACTGCACCACCACCTTCTCAAGCACCAGATGCTTCTGTCCCGGCGCCGATGGAAACAGACGACCCCACAACCTGGCAGGAATGGCCGCTCGAGATTCTTGATTCGATGGAGTGGTCCACGCAGCTGTTCCATACTATCGACGGGCTGCCGTAGTCGCCGTCGTACGGCGTATTTGGAAATAAAATATGATTGATCATTGACGACTGCATTCAACGTGAAGCAAACCCTGCAGAGATGACGATTGCGACGCAACCCCATCAACGCTCTCGGCTTTTCCACACAATGCGACCTCACAACAATCAGAACGCAGACGTGAACGTCGCTTTTTGACGCACTTGCGACCTGACGCAGTTGCGACCTGACGCAGTTGCGTCGACGCAGTTGCGTCGTTCGACGTTTGCGTTGACGCAGCTGCGTCGCTTCATCGTGATTGGTGCTTTTGACGTACTAGTTTTCTCATCTATTCTTGGTGAGCGAATCAGATTCCTTTCAGTCACAGGCGTTTTTTACAAACAGGACGTTTGTGTTGACGCAGCTGCGTCGCTTCGTCATGATTGGTGCTTTTGAGTACTTGCTTTCTCATCGATACTTGGTGAGCGAATCAGATTTCTTTCAGTCACAGCCAAACAGGACGTTTTGACGCAGCTGCGTCGTTCGATGTTTGCGTTGACGCAACTGCGTCGCTTCATCATGATTGGTGCTTTTGAGTACTTGCTTTTTGGTGAGCGAATCAGATTTCGTTCAGTCACAGGCGTCATTTACAAACAGCCAACCAAAGGCCGCCGCCGCACACCCTCTTACCAAGCCTCCCACTTTTGGCCGCCAATGGCCACCAGCCGGTTGAACAGCTCGTCCCGCAGTGGAATCGCCGTCACCTTGTACGTCGTCCCCGTGCGGTCTGTAATCTCCAGCCCGTCCGCCATCTCCCGCCCCAGCGACCAGCCGACCACAATCTTGGTCTTCCACCCGAAGCCGCCAATCTTCTTCAGCTCTTGAATGTCGCCAATGGGAATGCTCCACCGCGGGTGCACCGTGTCCGGGTCGCTCGACACCTCCGTGCTGAAGGCCACGGCGGGGATGGTCGCCTTGGCCGTGATGTACACGCTTCCGCGCTTGCCCTCGTAGCGCGCCTGGAACTCCACGGGCCCCGACGTCAAGTCCGCATCGCCGCCCGCCGGCTCCACAACGCCCTGGCGCTCCTTGGCGTGGCGCGAGCCCAGCGCGGCGCGCAGGCTGTCGGTGCCCAGGGCCGCCTTGACCGTGCCCTTGGTGGTGCCCTTGAAGAGGCCCAGCAGGCGGCTGCCCTTTTTCCCGTGGCTGGCGTCCTTGCTGGCGTTGATGTCGGCCTCGCCCGTGTTGCTGCTGGCGGCACGTGCGCTCTCTGTATGGGACATGGCTGCGTCGAGCTCGGCCGGCGTGGCATTGAGCGGCGGCCCGGCGCCCGTCGAGCGCAAGTCGGCGTCCGTGACGGCGGCCGGCTGCATGGGCGGCGGAGCATTATCGGCCGGCCGGCGCGGCGGCGGCGGCAAGGGGGCCTTGTTGGCCTCGCCGATGCGCAGCAGCGTGAGCGTGAGCTGGGCGTTGGTCGGCACGCCCTTGAGCAGCGTGTTGCGCAGCTCAAACAGCTTCTGCCAGCGCGGGAACTTGCGGTTGACAAAAGACAAGCCGCGCGACAGCATCGGGTCGCCAAAGAAGCCGAGCCCGGCGCCGAGCGTGACGCCCTTGGTGAACATGTACGACGAGACAAACAGCGAGACCAGAAACAGCGGGACGAGCACGGCGGCCAGACGCAGGCGGTACATCTGCCCGGGGAACGGCGGCGTCGGGCACAGCGCGTTGCCCATGCGCTCCCAGGTGTCGGCGACGTCGGCCAGGCCGTGCATCGCGGGCCGCATCTTGGTCCACACGGCCGTCTCCATGGGCACCTTGGTCTTGTCGTGCTTGGCGCTGGGCTGGCCGCCGCGGGCCACGTCTTTGGCGTCGGCCACACCTGTAGCGATGGCCGTGGGGTCCGGCGCTGTATCGTTACCGCCCTTTTTGTTCTTTTCATTGCCGTCCTTGCCATTATTGTCGTCGTCTCCGTCGTCGCCATTGTCGGGATCACCCTGGGGATGCTTGCCCGCCGCGCTCGCCAGCGCCACCGATGCCACCGTATTGACAAAGTTGGTCGCCTCGGCCTCGGCGGCCTCGCCCTTGTGGTTCTCCGGGGCGCCCGTGGCGCTGTCATGGCTGCCGAGCACGCCGGCCCTGGGCTTCTGCACGCCGCCGTCGCTGCCCACGAGCGCAAGCGGCGCCGGCGGGAACATGACCTCGCGCACCCACGGCGACACGATCAGCGCAATCAGCGTCGCGGCGCCGAGCGGCACCAGCCAGTCGAGCAGCCAGGCCACGAGGTACACGCCGGCAAACGTCGCCGTCCGCGGCGTCTCGCGCCACGACCGGATCCGCGCCACGTGTTTGTACGCCGCCAGCATGCCCATCCCGACCGTCATGTACAGCCGCTCCAGGTTGGCCCGCAGCTTGTCGGGCGAGAACTCTTCTTCGTCGGCAATGTTGAGGTCGAGGTTGCCGGGGACGGGCGTCTCGACGGCCTTGACGTGGTACATTTGCTGGCATGGAGGTTAGGAGTACTGGTCAATAACAGGCTCTAGGACCGGGCCGGCCTACCTTGTTGAACCGTCGGGTGAGCAGCCACAGCTCCTCGTTGCCGAGACCGCCCACGAGCGGCGACACAATGTCCTGCTTTCTGTCGTGCCACCCGAGATCGGCGACCTCGTTCGTCTTGTGCGCCTGCTGGGCGGCCCCCTTGTCGTGCTCGGACTGGCCGTCGACGGCCAGCTCGTGGGACAGTGTCGGCGTGTCGGTGACATGGTTGCCGCGCGCTGTCGTTTCTGGGTCCGTGACGGGGGCCGTCGTCGATGGGATCGGCAGGGCATCGACAATCTGCTCGCCCATGGTTTTGTCGGCCTTTGTGCTGCTGGCCCGCGTGGCGCCGTTGTCTTCGAGCAGCGATTTCTGGCGTGCCGCCTCCTTGTCAATGTCCAGCATGGACGTCGGCATAGTGGAAGGTGGGTGAGGAAGATACTATGTGCTCTGTAGTGATCTGTTTTGATCTGTTTTGATCTGTAGATTCTGTAGTTTTGTCTATCCTGTGTTGTGCGGTGACAAAAGAAACGACGCCGTTGATCGCTACAAGCTATGGAATCGCAGCATGGTCGCTAATCTAGCAAAATGGTACAGTACCATCAATAAATACTACGTATTTAATCCAGGGGCGTCTCCTGACTTTTGAACAAAGTACATCCCTGACGGCCGTGTCTTTGTCTTCACTCGTATTGTTTCCATCGCCGTCTAGAACCAATGTATAACATTCGAGAATGAATGACGTCGATGGCTCCAGGACAGCCCACTCACCCGCCCAGCCACCCCACTATTTTGTTGCTTTAGTGGCCCACGCCAGCATCGTGTAGCGCACTTGTCAGTGCCATACTGCTAGAACGACCACGTGAAAATCATAATCGATGAAAAGTCTCTACGAGGATGGTCTGAATTGTCCGTTCTCATTGTTCACGGCTTTCTGAGCTTGTGAACTCGATACTTTCACCGGAAGCGTCTGGTGTAGATCCAAAAGTATACTGCTACCATCAAACTCGATATCTTCAAGTGAATGAGATTGCCCCATTTTTCCTGGACTTACAAGCATTTACGGCATACACTTTAAGACGAAGTTTACGATATGTGCGAGTATTTACGGTAATTCTTGTGACAATATGTCTTTGAGGAAATCATACTTTGGTGTTTTATGTGTAGGTATTTTGTATTATTTAAGCTTCTCACGTTTTACCTATGTATCTTTGCTTGTGAGAACAAAAGCAGTTACAAGTTACGAAAATAGGGAAACGGACAATTTTTTTTGTAAAAAGCGTCTGTGCTGACCAGCAGCAGACAAATTTATATTTTTTTTTATTTGTTCGAAGGAAAAAAATGACACAGAGAGGAGAGAGAATCAGACCAATCGCACCTACAACTCTACGCCTACAAAACTCACCTTTGGGAAACACCGAACCTTACGAGCGCTTTTTCCTGTTGCTCGCAGCTACAGCGGCAGCACGATCCTACGAGACCAGTGGCATACGCGCCCAGTTGGGCGTCGCCAACATCTCAGAGTTGGACGGGCCGCGACGACGCAGCCGCCTCCGCATCCATGCGCAGAAGCTCCTCGACGGGAGGGCCGAACAGCTCGCGCTCCAGGTCGGGCGGCAGCTTGTAGCCGTCGTCGCCGACGTCAATGACGAGACAATCGTCGTTTTGGGGAACAAAAAGGTCGCTGTCGTCGTGGTGGCCCTCCGAGGCGTCCGCTGTGAGGTAGCTCTGGCCAGGACAGTCGATGGGAAGGGGGTAGTAGAGCTCCATCTGAGCGACTGGGGCCAGAGCTGCGTTCCCTGAAAAAGGCACGGGTGATCCCAGACAAACGTTTCTGTGAACAATAAAGTCGGTACCGTTGTGGTTGCCCACCAAGGCGTCCGCTTTGAAGCGGCTCCGGATAGGACAGTCGAAAGTAAATGGGTAGTCGAACTGGCAGTTGACGTCCATCTGAGCGACTGGGGCCAGAGCGCCGTTCCCCGAAATGGGCATGGGCGATCCCAGCGACAGCGCATTGAAATCGCAGACGGCGGGCGTCAGAAGACCGTCCGAGGTCGAATTCGGCTTGTTGGCGGACCAAACTCTGCGCTTTCTGCGCTCCGTGTCGCCGTCGGACGCGTCAGCACTCGCCTTGCGCTTGGTCGACGACGTGCAAGTGATTACCGCTGCGATGGCCATTTTCCTTCTTAGTAAATACGTGTGCTGTTTGTAAGGGAATGCAAGACGGTTGTATGTCTGAAAGGGTGGTTCTGCTGGTTTCGAATGAGAAATGGACGACGTGAGACAGAGGCAGTATTTATAAGGAGTGTGCAATCCAGTCTTGTTCGTCATCTTGCGGCTGTTTGGCTGTACAAGACGAATCTCATTGTTTTTAGTTACGGTGTTCACAACAAAGCAGTATGTTCTCTGCCGCGCGTTGTGCGCCAGACGAGTTTGTTGTTTGTCTCGCATGTTGATATTGCACAAAGACGGAGAAATCTTTCAAAGGACACTGTTCAATGCTTTTGTTTTGGCAAAAGGACGAAGAGAGGGAGGATAGTAAAACTCAAGAAAACTCAAGAAAAAAAGATTAAAAAAATCCTAAAAAATAAAGGAAAGTACAGTAAGAATACATGTATTTACATAAAAAGTCAAAAGGAGAGAAAAACACAGGAAATGCGTCGGCCGGGAATCGAACCCGGAGCCAGTCAAGTTTGCCTGCGGTCCGCTTACTCTGGCGTCTAAGCGTAGTGGCTTCATTTTTTTTAAACGATATCCAAATAAAGTTCAACGAGTCGTATTCCATATTTGCAGACGAACTCTTCTCTGCTTTGTCCCGATATTCAAACACTAACCCATCACGGAGTTGGAATTAATTCAATTGCTATTGGTTCTGTCTTGTCTGTACTAGTTACATTACTGGATCGAATGCCGTCTTCGTTTTAGTGGCCTTGCCTCGGCCTCCATCTCGCTCTCTTGGTGCTCTTGATTCCTCGCCGCCTTGCGCTCTTCCAGCATCTTGATGAGTCTCTTTCTTCGCAGTGCGGCCTCCACCTCGCTCTGTTTCTTTGCTTCGTCCTTGTTCTTCTTCCTGACATCGGCCGGCAGCACGTAGAAGAACTGCTCGCGCTCGGACAGCTGGTCCCGGATTTCCTGGCGGGCCGGCCCCATCGTCGGCTGCCCGTCGACCAGCTTGCGGTCTGTGACCGACACCGGCCGGCGGGCATCGTAGTCTGCTACCGCCACAATCATCTTGTCCTGCGCCTCGCGCCGCTGCGCTGCCTCACGCTGGACGGCCGGATCCACGTCGGCGTTGAGTTTGTCCCATGGAGGCGGTTTGATTCTCGTGTACCCGTCGAGCTGGTGCACGGGCCGGGACGACACATAGTCGTAGCGGTCCACGCTGCTAGCACGATCCTGCAGGCCGCATTGCCGCAGCTTTGCGACGAATTCGGACGACTTTAGCTTCCGGATGGGATACAGGGCACCAGGTGGCAGCGGGGGCGACTCGCGCGGTGGCAGATAGCCGGCCGGCCGGTGGCGGAGCTGATCAAAGGGCGAGATCTGGGACTCGATAAAGTACGTATCCGTCTCGACAGACGCGAGAATCTCAGGAAGCTCGATGGGTGGAATTTCGGAATAAGGGTCGTTCGGCCGGAGAGCGGGTGTTGCCGGCCAGACGAAGGGTTGCCGATCTTCTTGTGTTGTGCTTGTGTTGTTTTGAGAGTCGATCGGTAGAGGCATTGTTTCATTTGGGGTGTCCAGATTGATGTCCATGTCAGTGGTGTCCATGTCGGTAGTGTCCGTGTCAGTAATGGCCATTTCCGTAACGTCCACTTCAGTAACGTCCATTTCCGTAACGTCCATGTTGACAGTTGTCGAGTTAGATAGTGCTGAGATTGAGAGAGCGACGCGTGGTAAAGCAATATCGGAATAAAGTGTTGCTTTGAGAGAAGTGGGAGAATTTATTTTGTAAGGAAAAGATAGAATCGACAGAGAAGAGTCATATAAAGGCGTAGACGTTTTAAAGTTCAGCGAGTGAAAGCCCTTCATCAATCTATGTAGCAGTTGAAATCTGATATACATGATGTGCGTTTGCAAAGTAGCAACTCACTGTCAAGGAGTGCATATGTACCTTTTCGATCAAACATATGAAGTTACGTGACTTTGATAATGTAATACACGACCGACTAGTCTAGCCAACGGCCACTCACTTGAACCTTAAATATTCCTCCTGCTTATTCACGACTACTATTTACGCACGCCTCGATACTCTCTGTAACTGTTTGTCCAGTCATGAGCTGACAATAATTGTTGTCGTTGGTTTATTATCTCATCTTTTGCGGAGTGGTGTAAGGAGAGAAGGGGGCGGATAAATAATTATGATAGGGTTCCGCAACGCCACAACAAACCTAAGCGTGGAATACTGTGGCCATGAGTATTTATGACACTGTTTTCGATTTTTTTTTTAATTTTTTTATTAATTTTTTGGAGAATCGTCAAAACGGACCATTTTCTTTTTGGCAACGTTGTAAACCGTGTGCACTCTTGTAGCGTGTCAGTTGCTGGGTTCTCCTAAAGTGTCCTACACGTTGGGTTGAGCGGGCAATGTTCTTTGTAAGGAGTATTTAGGACCCCGATCTCTACTTGGAGACTTCCAGCCTAGTCTGCCATGTCCGTCTCGACGAGCCAGAGCGGCCGAGCCGGCCAAAGGCTCTTCTGGTCCCTTGGAATTGTGCGGTGTGCTCCGTCCCACGACTCCACAAGGTCGCATGAGTCGTTGTATGCCCAGGCAATCCCGGCCGGCGCGTTCGCCCACGAGAAGACGACGTCGTGCGGCCCTTTTGTGCTCTGACCGACGACAATGTCCGTCACGTAACGGCAGTCTCGTGGCCGCCGCACGAACCGCTCGCACAAACAGGTGTGCTTCCTGGGCTCCGAGTAGCGGAACGTCAACGCGGTGGGCTGGGCCGTCGGCATCGTCGCAACCGGCCGGTCCACGTCAAAAAGGATCTCCTCGGTCACGCTCGCAAGGGGACGGCCGGTGTGCGACGCACTTGTGGCCATGAAGCGAACGTCGATACGCTCGCTCTCGATGGGGAGACCGCGAGGACGCCAACAGCCGAGCACCTCGGAATAGCCGCTGACGTAGTCGATGCGTAGACCCGAGCACCGCGGGCCTTGCCGCTGGATATGCAACCGCCGGATGCCCCCGCAGGAGAGCCACGCTGTGCGAATAGCGCCGACAATCGGATGTTTATCGAGTGGGTATGGCCAGACGATCGGGAGAAGGAACGACTGCGGCGTGGCCCCTGTATTGTGACCAGCAGCAGTACCTGTACCGGTTCCATGACTAGTGACTGGTCTATCCGCAGTACATACGCCGGTGCTTTTAATATGGCCGTCCAGCTCGGTCGTCTGCATGTCGACGACAAGCCCTGTTATTTCCTGCATTTCCTGCATTTCCTGCATTTCCTGCATTTCCTGCATTCCTTGTGCGCCACTGCCGGCGCTGGCGACGACAGACCACCTTACTCCAAAACGAAACGCGTTGGTCTGAGACGGAAACAACAGAGCGCGGCCTAGACTCGTACCGAAGACGAGAAACAGGCCGTCTCTGGCCCTTGGCATCCGGGGGGGGGGGAAGAGGGCCCCTCCTTTCGACTGCCGCCAATGCCGAGATCGCTGCGTTCCGGAGTGGCAGGCAAAATGACCATGACAATGCGCTCAGCCGGATGCAGCGGAACATGAACGGGCAGACCACGTGCATGGCCAACCGAATAATAGCTGGCAGACTGTCTGTGTCCGGCACGCCGCGGCGCAAAGTGAGAGACAAGTCCGCAGACGCCGCGGTTGTCGCCGTACGCCGTAAGACTCGTGGCGTATATGCCGTCGCTAGGACGTCGCAGCGGCAGATGCCCGCAAATACGCCAGTCGGCGTAGTGTAGGATTTGGCCTGGGAGACTCTCGGTATCGACCATATAGAGGTCGCGGAAGCGCCCGATCGGCCTCTCTGCATTCAGCATGGTGCACTCGGGCCAGGCGATGGTTCGTTTTGCCATCGAGGGGTGCAAATCAAGGCCGATGCGATTGACTTTAAGATCCTGCAAACGTCAGCATACTGCCAGATGTAGGCGCGGAAAATGCGATACTGCATGTCATTCTAATACACATGTACACATGTACACATACATCGACCAGTAGCTGCAACGTGCGCTCGGGATAGTAGACCTCATACACATGGGTCATGCCTGGCTGGCCGGGGGTGCCGAGCATAGGGGACGTCGACCGATCGGCATAGACAAGGACGAGAGCCTGGATGCCGTGCGGGCCCAACCAGGCCTTTGCGCCAACAACAGGCAAGGCTCGGACTGGAATGGCGAATGCATGGGTTGTGTTGTGGGTTTTGGCGCCCGATCTGTCCCGGGAACGGGAAAACGCTATCCTATGCAGGTAGGTATGCCGAAACATGGACACAGACGAAGCTTGGAGCGTGCCTGCCAGTCCTCTATCGGCAGCGCTAGCTTCGGGAGGCAGAATCTCCGTGACTGTCAAAACCGGGGTTGGCCGAGTATCTATCCGTGACAAGAGGACTTCCGCTGTCGCAAGAGCTCGGCAGAGCGCGGTTACGAGGCCTGACGAGCTGAGATAGCAAAGGATGGAGAGCTGGAGCTCTAATGGCATGACGTCTGTGAGGCGTTCCACAAAGCGGCGCATCGAGGCAGATGAAGACGACGACGACGACGACGACGACAGCACTGTCTCTGCCATCCATTCAGGTCGGGGTAGTCCTGACAGCATGTGCTCGTCCGCATGTTCTTGCTGCCGAGCACTGCGCGGCAGAATGGCCTGCGTTTGCTGGCCGAGCTTGTAGAGAGCCAAGAAGGACAGGCCTGGACACTATCGACGAACCACCTTCCAGCAGCAGGCGTGCATGAAGAACAGCACATGCTGTGGCCGATACTCGGGGTCGGTGCAGGTCCCTGAGCTGAGGCCGACGCTCAGCCGCTGACACGGTCTGCCTGGGCCGTCTTGTCTGCTCTGTCTGTCGCCGGGCCGATCGTCAGGCTTGCGGCGCAGCCGAAACCGCGTTTCATAGTGGCCTGGCCAAGAATCGACGTGCAGATCGCTGCGAAAGATGTGAAGCGAATAACTGGACAGGGGTTCCATGGTGGTGTTAAACACGCCCAGAACGTCCAGCTCCCAGTCTTCGCACCCGCTTTGGGCCGCGTCCGTTCGGCCGACATAATCGCAGTCGCGGTGTGGTGCAGGAAAGCGTCGCCGGCACAATATGCAAAACGGTTCCACGGCAACATGAAGATTGCTTCGGCGAAGTCTTGAGAAGTCCATGTTGCAACAATGTCGCCACATCGAAGGCTGGTACGGCCTTCACGCCCGGTCCTACCAAACGGATCATGTGAGAGCCATGCACTGTTGAATCAAGATGTTGTCGGACTGTCGCATTTTTATTGCGATTTGATTCGATGGATGTCTGACAAGAATTGTTTGTGGTAATACCTAACTGGGATGGGATGCCCTGCACTCCACCACATCATCCTACTCCCCGACAGAGCACATGGACGCTGGGGACAGGGCAATTCCAGCCATTTTGCAGGTAGTTGTCCAGCTGGTGGAGGACGTACGTATTCTTGTCAAACTGGATGTTGGAGGTGCATTTCGAGATGATGCGGCGTCTTTGGTGTACAACGTAGCAAGAAAAAAAGCGGGGACCTGCACGTGAGAAATCGCGCTTGTTCTGGCAGGCCAACTTCGAAATATCGTCCATCACCAATCTCCAACTACCACTGGCACAAAGCACCGCCCTCTCGAACACCACGATGACCTCCCCGGTGCCGCACCACCGGCACCAGGCGTCGCTAGAAGATGTGATCGACCTGTCTCCACAGCCGCCGCTCGGCCCCAGCCAACGGGCCCGCGCGCGACGCATCTTCTATCGCATCGCCGAGCGCTTCGAAGCCGCCGAGCCTCCAATCGATCCGCGGGCCCGGCCGCCGACCTACAGCCAGCCACTGCTGGTGCGGCTCACCTTTGAGTATGCACGGTCAGAAGAATCTCGCGACATCTTCCTGCGGGCGTTTTTCAAGGCCATGGCGCTTGATCTCGATGCGGCCGAAGGGGGCGACGATCCGGACCCAGAACTGGACTTTGGGGAGCTGAGGCCATTGTTCGTGGGCTTTGCAGATTACTTGATGGACAATTTCTTCCTGCCATGTACGGCATTTCAGCATCTCGACCCTCTGCTCTCGCACAAGACCCGGCCCGCTAACAAACCGCAGTGAAAGCATCGACGCGACGCACGCCGCAGCCGTCACCGGCCTACCATTCCGCCGTCCTCCGCGCACAGGGAGTCGAGACGCCGGCGTTCGTTGGCACACCTGAGCGGTTGTCCTCTCTTCGGGGCGCGTGTCTCGTCCGGGACCGCCACCGGTGTGTGATTTCTCGCAAGTTCAGCGACCGCGAATTTATTGCTCGGCTACGGCAATACGGCGATGACGCTCGTGATGACGACGGGATCCTGTTCTCCGAGCAGGATCCCAGTCTATTTGATGGTCTGGAGGTGGCACACATCCTGCCACACGCCCTGATGAAGTCCAATACCAATTTCGAGTTGGTATGTGTCAATTGCGCACAGCTGTCGTTTGTTTCCTTGTGCGGTCTGTACTGATACCGGGTTTGCATAACAGAATCAATCGCGCGAAGCGGCCTTGGCCATCCTGAACATGTTTGACAGCGGCGTCGCACACGTTATCAACGGCGTCGACATTGACCGCCCGCGCAACGCACTCACCCTCTCGATGCGCTTCCACCAGCTGTTCGGCTCCTTCGACGTCTTCTTTACACCCGTCACCGACACACAGCACACATACCGCATCGAAACGTTCCATCCAGTGCCCATAGCCCTCGGCTTGCCCGTGACACGTGCCCTGTTCATCACCGATACACGCACCATCGACCCGCCCTCGCCACGCCTCCTGGCCGTCCACCGCGCCATTGCGCACATCCTGCACTTGTCGGGCGCTGGCTTCTACATCGACATGCTGCTGCGGGACATGGAAGACAACGTGGTACGGAGCGACGGGACTTCAGCCCTGGGACAAATGGTGACGCTGGGCCTGGGTGGGTGGCTTGACGGGGCGGTTTCATCTTGATCGGTGGGGGAAGAGCGTTGCGTGTTTCGCGATATCCATTTGTTTTATGCCCATTCTGTTCTATCCGGTTGTTATACCCATTTTGTTATTTTCATTTACTCCATGGCAAGCTCAACAGGATTTATTCCCGGCTGACACTTTTAAAAAGTGAATTACTTTTGTGATGACCTGTGTCGCACTTTGGAGATGTTGCATAGATTCTTTGTATCATAGTACAAGCGTTGGCACATAAAACGTCAAAGGAAACTGGTTTGTTTGCCAGGTGAAATACATTTGCAAACAAAGAGTTCAAACAGCTCCACGGTGTTCATGGTCGGTGTTCGTGATGGCTAAGCTGTCCTCGTCGGACAACCTCGACAATGTGGTGGATCCACTATTACTGTCCTGAGCACCCTGAATGCTTTGACAGTGCGTCAACCGCCTGTAGCGCTAAATTTGCTATTTCGTGCCCCGCGTTCAGCGACGCGTCTTCCGGCCCCTAGCTCCAAATCGAAGCTACAACATCGAGCATCACCACCACCACGAACAAGCGTCGACAACGGCTGCTGGTTGGCGAGGCATCACTCATAACCTTTTTACTAGCGACGACTGGGGATAGTGATCCTTATCTCGGCGTCTCTTGTCGCCCGCATCGCTCAATTGATATGGCCATTGGCCAGTCACCGGCGGCATCTTCGTTTGTTGACATTTCGCCTTCCTCGACTTCCTCGACTTCTTCGTTCCTCGACTTCTTTGTCATTACATCGACCACCTCGACAGTTTCCTTTCCTTCTCCCTCTCAATTCTCATCCACAGCCAGCTGCCCACGATGCGTCGCTTCATATCGCCCGGGCGGATTGCCCTGCTGACGCTGGTCGACATGTACTGCAGCGAGGCCATCCGCGACAAGGACGACGACTTTATCCTCGAGCTCATCACCTGCTACGTCACCGACACCTACGCCCGGCCCACCAACCAGCGGCAGCGCTATCTTGCACGCTGGCAGCGTGCCTTTCTGAGCGTCGACCTGCTCGGCCACCTCCACAGCCTGCGGCCGGCCCTGCAGCGCTGTTTTATTGCGTTTGCCCCGCCGGGCACCGACGTGCCGCTGTGCGCGACGCTCTGGGACGACCTGGTCGCGCGGCTCTGGCTGCGGCTGACGGCGCTGGACGACTTGGGGGCTTTTTTTGAGCAGCTGGCCATGTACATTGCGCCCACCTACGCGGAGCTGCGGGCCCACCGCGACCTGGGCATCGAGGACCCGCCGGACGATCTGCTGCTGCTGGACCGCCGCTCGCCCGTCGGCCTCATGGTCTACCAGGCGTGCAGCGAGTTCCAGCAGCTGTCGTTTGCGCACCGCTGCGCGCTGTGGGAGGACTTTGTGCGCTACCGCAACCCGACGCGGACCGACTTCAAGATCCTGTGGCCGCACGACTTTGGCGTCGACGACCTGCTGTTTGACGCCGTCCTGACGCAGGGCCAGGCCGACTGGGGCGCCGCGGGCACGGACGCCGTGGCGCGCGTCGTGTTTGACCGCATGCTCAAGGACGCGGCCGTGTCGGCGAGCCACGACGAGACGGAGAAGCTGGTCACGATGCTGATTGAGCGCGAGCGCATCGGCTTCCGGCCCACGCCGGTCCTGCGGGACGCCGCCGACGCGGTGATCCGGAGCGCCACGCCCATCCCGTCCCAGGCCACCTTCTACCGGCTGCTCGACGCCTGGCGCATGGGCGACATCAACACGGCCTACGACCAGCTGCACCGCTACTTTGACCTCGTGTCGCGCCAGGGCGTCGGCGCCGCCTTCGGCTACAACGTCGGCCCCATGAACAAGGGCGTCATCCAGCGCGACTTTGGCGAGCACTCCAACGACCTGCTGAGCATGCTCGACGCCGTGCACGCCGGCCGCGAGGCCCGCGACTACAACTCGCTGCGCTTCTCGCTGCTGTGGCTCTACATGTACGCCCGCGTGCTGCCGCGCCACATCCGCCCGCACCAGCTGCAGGGCCTGGCCGGCGAGGCCACCGACGGCCGCCAGGTGCTGCCCTACGTCCGCGACGACGCCGACGCCTCCCAGTTCCACGGCCACCACGCGCTGGCCACGCTGCTCGAGGCGCGTGTCGCCATCGGCGACGGCCGCCCGCCCCTCTTCGCCAAGACGTGCCTGCACCAGGCCAGCCGCCGCATCGTCCAGCACGGCGAGGCCACGCTCGAGGGCCAGCTGACGAGCACGCGCATGCTCTTCTGGGACCGCATGGGCCACGGGCCCCTGGCCGTCGTGCACGGCCGCGCCTTTATGCGCACGCGCCACGACAGCGTGCCCTTTGACGACGCCGTGCGCGTCGCCTCGCGCCTCGCCCTGCAGTACGCCCAGAGCGGCCAGTTTGCCCACGCCAAGGCAGTGCTGGACCAGCTGAACCCCGAGGGGCTGACGTCGCTCAAGCCGCAGGGCATGGTGCGCCACGTCCTGACCTACGTGGCCGCGCTCCGGGCCGTGCGCTCGCACCAGTTCGACGAGGCCGAGGACTTGCTGCTGCGCCGCCTGCCCACGGCCGGCTACCCGTCGTGCGCGCCCACCCGCGTCGACCGCCAGGCCCAAGGGCCGTCGCAGATGGACCCGGACCTGGCCGCCCAAGTCGCCCTCCTCCACGTCGCCTCCCTTACCCGGCGGGCCGGCGACGGCAGCGACGGCAGCGACGCGGCGGCCAGCGACGATGCGGATCGTACCGGCACTGGCATTCTTGGGGGGCCTGGTCATGACACCGGCGGCGGCGGCTCCCTGGTCGCCGCCCGCGACGCCCTCGACCGCTTCGAGGCCGCCTACGACAAGGGCGTCGGCGACCTGCACGTGCTGCTGCAAATCGCCCTGGCCCGCGCCGCCTTGTACGCCAGCGCCGGCCGCGGCCTGCGTGCCGTCACCCTGCTGCTGCACACCCTCCAGGCCTGCCTGCGCCGCCGCTACCATGTGTTGCTGTGGGAGACCGTCGGCGCCGTCGCGCGGCTCCTGGTCGCCGAGGGCGAGTTCCGCGCCGCCCGCACGCTCCTGGGCCTCGCCCTGCCGCGGTCGCTCGAGACAGGCCATGCCGAGACGTCGGCGCTGCTGTACCAGTCGCTGGCCGATGCCTGCATGGGCTTGGCGGGCACGGAGGCGGGGCCGTCCCCCCAAACACCGTCAGCAAAAAGGGCCGGACGCATGAAGCAGCACATGGGCCGCGCGTGGTGGTATCTCGGGCAGGCGCAGGCGTGCTTTGACCGTGCGGGCAGCGGCCGCACGGTGGCCCACGAGATCACGATGAAGCGGCAGGTCATCCTGTCGGTGGCCCAACAGGTGGGAGGTATTGGGGTGTAGGATAAAAGGGAAATGGAAATAATACAGCATGGACATTGGCGTTTGGCAGGGGGACTGCATACTTCACGGCATGGACGGGATGTCATAGCATGGGATTTGCGTTTTCGGTTTGTTGCTTTCATGTCGCATCTATACCCTTACTTAGGAGCACCAGCAGAGTTCTGTAAAATCATAAATAAATTATACATAAATTGTATAAAAAGGTATCCCATATCTAAATAGCATACACATGTCTTCATAGTCGTGCAAGAGGTCTTGCTAGTATCTGCCGGACCCCCTAGTCCTGCATCTCTTCATCACTATCCCCGTCGTCATCCGCCTCCTCATCATTATCGCCCAACAATAATACATCAAACAAGTCTGTCTGCTCTTGCAGTGACCGCCCCAAGTAAGTTCGACCCTCTTCAATGTACTGCACCATGCGGTCGGCCTCCTGCTCGATACGCGCCATCTCGAGCCGGATGCTGCCCACCGACTCACGCAAGTGCTGCAGCGACTGCGTCATCTCGCCCTCAATCGCTGCCTGCCGCTCGGCCTCGGCCCGCACGCGCTTCTCCAGGGCGGCCAAGTCCGCTTCGCTGCGCTGGAGCTGGCGTACGGCCTCTTCGGTCTCGGCGTGCGGTGTGAGGTCGAGCCTGCTGCCATTGCCAGTGTCCGTCACCAACGCATAGCTCGATGTCGATGCCGACGTTGTCGAGGCGGCCGCCAGCTGCTGGTGTGCCTCGGCCGTGGCCTTTTGGATGCGCGCGTGGAAGGCCTTGTGCGACTCGCCCTTGGGCGGCGCGCTGTCCAGAAACAGGGCCGGCACCATCTGGCTGCAGCCGTGGCACCGCCGCATGGCCGTCGCAGACGTGGCCGCTGCTGCTGCGGCCTCGTCGCCAAAATCGACAAGGCTGTTCGTCTCGTTCTCGGAGGCGCTCTGGCCCTTCTCCAAGCTGTGCATGGCCTGGTGCAGCTGGTGGAACGCCTCCGAGTAGAAGCTGCGGCCGCACGTGGTGCACGGATAGCTGGAGGCTGCAGGCGGCACGGTCCTCCCACCACCTCCACCGCCTCCACCACCCGAACTGGCTCGGTCGATCGCGTCCAGCTCGGCACGCAGCGCCAGTTTCAGGCGTGCCAGCCGGTGCCTCAGCCGCAGCACCCGGTCCGGCAGGCGTATTGTCTCGGCCTCCGCCATCGCCAGGTACCGCTGCTCGGCCGCCAGGTCGCGGACCAGGCGCTCGGCGGCAGCGCCCTGTTCGCGGCCGTTGCTCTTGATCTGGCGCAGCCGCTGCCGCTCGGCTTCGGTGCTCTGCACGATGCGGTCAATGTCGGCGGCGGTCAGGAGCGGCAGCTCGAGCTCCAAAATCCGCCGCACGACCGTCTCTTTTGTCAACTGCTCCTTGTACGAGAAGCGCAGCTTCTTGAACAGGCCCTCGAGGTAGTCCAGCTCGTCGAGCGCCGTATGATAGTCTGGGGTGTTGTCGTCGTCGTTGTCGTTGTCACCGTTCTTCCCCGTCCGCACCTTCACAACGGCCAGCAGCGTGTCGAGGCTCTGCTGCGTCTCGGGCGCCTGCAGGTACTGCGCCATCTGGTCCATGTGCACGAGGTTGACGTACGTGGCCGTTGGCGCGTAGAGCGCGTCGAGGGATGCACCGCCATAGCCCGAGCCGAAAGCGAGGCCCATGTCGACGGGCGTAGTCGTCGGCACGAGCGGCGCGCCTTCTGTGGGTGTCGGCGAGGAGCCGTAGCTGTTGAAGCCGGAGGCCGAGCCCGACGTCGACGCCGACACAGAGACGGACGAAGCGCGTGTTGAAGCACCGAGGTCAACGGATGACGCGTCCGTCGACCCGCCCGAGCGGCGGGAGGAACCTGAGCGCGTCGATCGTGCTGACATCGCGCCCGAGGACTGTGTTCGTGTGCGAGGTGGCATTGTGTGGTCGTGTCGAGTATGCAGCCAAAAGCAAACGCGTTCGGTCGAGTTGCAAAGACGAGACGCGTCGAGGGAGGGATATGTCGTGATGGGAGGTCGAGTCAGGGTGAAAGGAATGTCGCGGCTGCTGGGTGTTCTGGAAGCGACCGCTGTATGCAAGCCCTTAATGGATGCTGGTGAAGTGAATGAAAGGTGGATTCTGCAAACGGCATCTGGAAAGTAAACAAAGTGGGGGTTTGTTGACAGGACCATAGATCGCGCTAGTCCAAAGGCAGTAATTTTTCTGATTAGTCAGACGAACAACATACATCTACACGTACGAGACGGCGATGATCTCAAGTTCAATCGACAGCACACGAAAACGGATCCAACTCTTCTTTCTGTATTTGAATGGAGTGGAAGTATTTTCGCTATCAAGGGACTGGAATAAAATTGTAGCGTGGGAGTAATGGAGGCGTTGAAACAGAGTATTGCCAGTTGCGTCCAAACGTCCAAGATGCTTCAAGTTTGACCATTTGACGTCAAGTCGCCCTATGACTTCCGGGAAAATTGGAGGACATTCGTGAATGTATTTCATTAACACGGTGAAATTATTTGACATATCTATGGTAAATTTATGGCTCGGAACCTTGAACGCACGGAAAGTGAGGAATACCTGGTGGTGATTCATAGTCGTCTGATGTCTGCTTTTCCAGCCTTTTCGGCACCTCGTCACCATTGGAGCTCGCCGTTGTCCCAGCCACCACACCTTGGGTGTTCTCGTCTCTTCTTACCATTGTTCTGAGCTTTTATGCTATTGTTACAAATGTGCAGAGGCCTCGCTCCTTCCTTTTTGGTCTCCAAGGCTCCAAGGTAAAGTGGATGTCAAAAACTCCCGAGAGATAAAATGTGACCTTCTCTCCCTCTCTCCTTGTCTCTCTTCTTCCTTCTTTTTTTTCTCAGCCATAGTGTTCCTTTTGCTACTTTTATCGAGCGGTTTCTGCTTCTTTTTGACCATTTTGCGCCTTGTAACATCGACACCTCAGCATCAGTGACACTAGCATGCACCACAACTTTATCACTTCCACTGGCAACATATCCATCATGGCTTACAACGCCTACAAGCAAGCGACGCGGCAGCTCGAGGCCACAGCTCAAGGTCATGACGAGGTCGATGAACTCCCACTTCACGATGCACGCGTCCCCGTCCCCGTCAACGGCATGTTGTCTCTTCTTGTATAAATTCAGCCCTACGAGCAGCTACCAGGACATCAACTGACTCGGGAAGAAACAGAAAACTCTGGCCATGCTCATCATGCCCCCATCGACACACCTAAGCACGTGTCGCATGAGCCGCCGATCCGCATCGATCCCGCTGTAAGTAGCTCGTGGAACAATCTGCTCCTCGCCCTTTTCTGACGTGTTTTTCAGTTTACACAAACGGAAATTTACGATGCCGAGGCCGATTGTGCTGCCTGTGGCGCCATTCATGTTGGAAACACCGGGGATGTCCCGGCTGTGAAGTCAGCCGAGGCTCGTCTTGCGACCTTTTGCATGCACGGCGAAAGCGACCTTGTTCTTGGCGATTTGGCCTGGGGCTACCGACTGAAATACCACCACATGGTGTTTGCCGTGCACATGAGCATATCCGGCACCTTTCCGGAGTACCGCCACAGACTCCTTCGACCCTACCAAATCTCGTCGAAGCCGGATGCTTGTGACGTTGCCATCAGGCAATTTGTCCGGCCCATTGTCACTGTCACGGAGCGTTGTCCGTCGTTCCTATTGTATCGGTCGACACAGGTGTCTCGACATGATGGACCACAGAGCGAACCATTGGATTCCATCTCCATTGGGCACTTGTACATTTGCCCTCATGCCAACGTAACCGGCGCGGACCACATCGCGGCCGTCACCAACTCGGCCATCGAAAACGCCATTGCCAATGCCAACATGGGCATCACTGCAAAGCAGCATCTCTCGTGCCGCAGGTGTCCGACCGACATCGAGCTGGTGTCCGAACCGGGCTGTGTCACAGTTCGCTCTTGGCACAATATGGGCTACTCCAATACCACCCCAACGTCTCCGGAGTGGATGGTGCACGTTGTCTCGCCCGGAAACAACGAGTTTGTTGGTCCGGTTGTTCGTCACCGGCAAGGATCCATCCGTGCACGCTACGAGAGGGCCATCCAGCTGCAAGATCTCAACAACGACGTGTATACACAAGATGACGAGAACAATCCGATGACGTCGGCTGCCCTCCGAACCGCTGGACGCACCCTGCTCGGCTACCGTGTCCAAGGCCGTCGTGAGCTTAGAGGCTACTGAATGCAGGTCCAGGCGGAACTGGTTGTACACGGCGCAAACAATCCTCTTCATTGTTCTATCTAGGGTGCTATCCATTTGTTCCTAGTATTCACATTCTCGCGGCCCGTTGACGCTTGCGTTTTCTCTTCCTTGCTATTCGTACTACGCCTTTATTTTTATTTACTGACCAATACTGCGGGGTCACCGACATGGTATATCACTTGTTCCAGGAAGGCAAAAAGGAACGTGGGTGGTCAGAGGGCGGCACTGTGCCTGGAGAGAAATGTTTCATCTGCTTTCGGTTTTTTTCATCTATTTTCGGCTTATTTTGTTTGATCCTTTTGATTCTTTCTCTTTGACGTGCTTTCTTTTCCTTTTGCTTTCAGTATTTTTTTGTCATCTGTTCTTCTATAGATACTTTATTTTTCATCTTCATTTTCTTATACGTACATGCATAATGTCAATGTGTGATCCTCGTGACCGATTAAGCCACAATCTACAATTTTACAAACAGACCAGGAGTGGCATAATATATGTGGAAGTCAAGCGTGCACTTTGCAACAGCTGCGCTTATCCAAGGCCGACTCCGTCGGATTGATGACATGGTGGCGTAACACTATTCAATAGAGTGTCTAATAAGAGATAATAACTTGTTTATATCCGTCTCCTCGGATTCCTGTATACCGGCACATTTCCATTCGTATGATCCTCAAAGAAGGGCGGCTCCCCGTCATACCCATTCAAGATATGGAATTTCATAATCTCCTCGTTACTTTATGACGTATTCCGTCCGTCACTAGGGAAGGAGAACATGTCTCACTACCATCTTTCTTTGTAAAATCAATACGGTAGACCGGCAACCTATTTTTCTCCAACTGATCTCCTGCCTTGGAATCGTACGTGTCATAGAAGAGGTCAAAGACGATGTGGATAAATCGGGGCCACCTGTTGATTGCCATGACCCGAGGTTGTATCCTCTCGTTATCACTGTCCACGGCACGACATTTGATCAGCGCCTGCACTGCTGCCGTAACGACTTCACTTTTCTCATCGTTCTTAATTTCATCCCATGCTTTGCAATAGTGGTCGCTTTTCGAAGAGATATGGAGTAGAACTCTAAGCGTAGAGGGCATCTTAAAAACACCTGTATGCACAGAACATTAGCCACCGTTAGCCCGCCAGGTCGGCCTCCAACAAGGTCAACAAGGTCAGATTGTCTCCCACCTGCTTTGTTAATGGGCCATAAGGGACAGGGTCGAGAAGAGACAAGGCCAAGGTGAGATGTATTCTAAAAGTTGGTAACGCGCTTGTTCGCGAGAACGTATCCCGGCGTCTTAACGTTATGAGAAGGACTATTGGTATCTGGTCACATGATAGAGTTTCACTAAATTACTTAATACCGTGCTCCTTCAGATTTACATAACTGTGTGGATCGCGTGTACAAGATAAGTCAATCTCTCAACAAGTCTCATCATCTCATGTGAAGACGTCAACATCAATTCAAAAGGCCCATGGCATTAGTCAAAGGGAGCAGTGCAGGTTTTGCATAAAAGGCGTAAATCACAGATTGGAAAAATACAGCTTTTTTTTTTCTGCATATCATATCCCCCCTATTGTTTACATATTCATTTTCATCCCAGGGCTTAGTGCATCACCACTTCGAAACCGCCCATGTCGTCGAGTGCGGCACGGATTCACTGACATACGCAGGAATGCCCCCGGCCCAGCACACGGCTCGTACTTCTTGCCGGACACGTTGTCGCCCATGTTGGTCAAGGTGGCCAGAAATGCAAAGGTCTCGATGGAATTTGTTGATCGATGTGTGCATTTTCACCGGTTTTCAACTTTTGGTCACCCCATTTTGCGAGTGCTTTCCTTCTTCTTTGCATATTTGTCCTGACAGGTTGTATTACGGAGGAAATAATCACATCGTGTCAGCGTCGCCGCCCCTCAGCAGCCACTCCTTTCATAGGCCTGCTATTCTATCTCAAACCGCCAAAGAATAACGGCCAAATTGTCCGACGCCTGTAATTCATTATTTTGCGGGGGCATACCATCTTCCTCCAAAGCATCCTCGATCCATGTCCATCGATCTTCAAGGTCACGTGTAGACTAAATGCCTGTGCCCGAAAAGGCCGCCCGTTGGAAGCTATCCGACTCGCCAGATACGATCCATGGCATGCACTCCGTGCGGTCTGCTGCCCTCCATGATGCTCGGTCGAAACAGTAGGACGTAACGTCGTAGAGGCTCTCCTGTTGGCTTTTCTCTGGAAGCTCACCGTATGTTCGTCTTCCCTTAATGTGACTCGCCGTTTTATTTCTTTTTGCTTGGTAGGTCTGGTTGTTGCCACTGCGGCTGAACCTTTAGGCGCCACTATTGTCTGCAGAGGCCGGGGGGTGGCGTACGAAACTGGAGATGATGGGCACCGTGCGATGAAGTTCGACATATTGTACAGATTAGAGGTGGTGGTGGAGGAGGAGGGCGGCCGAGGAGCTAATCCTGTCGAAAGCGAGTAACGCGACAAAATGAAGAAGCGACGACAAGGAGGTGACAGGGGACATCGCTGATAGCCAGGCCCAGAACGGGAAGAAGCTCAGAGAACAAGTGCCTCTGGGCATTGCTACTTCTCCCCCTTTCGCTTGCTGCCGAAACCAGTCTTTGTCGACATGCATGACGCAGGAAAAAGAAGGCAGCATCGTCTGCCAGTGATGCCGCAAACATGAAGGCGTCACCGCCGGTATCCTAGGGAAACGCCCACTCTCCCTCCTTCCGCCATGGTCTGTTCGTCAGTTTGGACGTCTACAATGCTGTGCTCCGTCTCCAGATACTCCGATCGCCGTCGTCCCATCCATCGTCGGATGCATATTCCATGACGTGCTATTCCATGGGGCGATGTTCAGCCGCTTTGGACCGTTCTCTGTCGCCGGCTCACCGCCACAACAGCCTCGCTTGCAACGGCCGTGGGATCGATCGCTCTCCGTACGTTTCCCATCCTTTCCGCGTCGTCACCCCAGAGCCAATCTGCTGGCTCAATTGTTTTCAATGCCCAAAGCTTTCGATGTAAGATCGGCCTGGCCCTGTTTAGCTCAGTATAAATGCGGGGAAGTGGAGGTTCTCGGCGCACCGGATACTCCAATAGTTAGACTCGGCCAGGCCTCTCGTACTCTGCCCTGGCTTGCTGCCCACTAGCACCTACCTAGGCGAGCTAGGTCTTTCCTTCGCTCTTTCACTCTCAGGACGACTTGTCGCCAGACCCGCTGGCTCCTGCCTTTGGCACCTTTGGCACCTTTGGCCTCGCCTCCAGTCTGTCTCGCTGTCTTGCTCTCCCTTTGCGCCTGCCCTGCCAGTCTCAGCTCCTCTTCCGCTCCTGACTTTCTCGCCTGTCACCATTCGCGTTGTTGACTTTTGATCCAACGGCGCCAAAACACGCACCACCAACTTTACATCTTGCGCAACCAACCGTACTGTGCGTGGCCCTCGGCTACCAACGAGCCGCACATCACAACGACGACAAGGACTGAGCTACGAGAAAACCAGGCACTGCCCATTGCCTGTCGCATCACTACCCGGCCCGCTCCACTGCGAGAGGACGTCGCTGCAGTCTTTTCTCCGGAGCACGGCAGCAACAATACGACGTTACGAGAGCACAACAATAATCACAGCTCAGCGGCAGACGACGACGACAACGATTACCTAATCATCTTGTCGTGTGATCCCAGAGCCAATACGCCTCGCACGTCACACGCCTCCGTTCTTGGCTTCTTGACCCACCTGCGTCGCATCCCGGCGCTTCGTTCCCGTCCTTATCGGATCCGTTTCTCGTCCCAGCCGCCGCAGGCATGAGACGCCAAAACCATTCCTGTGATCAGTGCCGCAAGGCCAAGCGGGCGTGCGACGCCCCCTCCCTCCGTGAGTCCGTACGCCGCAGCCTGCTCGCCGACTCCGACAAGGGCGATGCATTGCTCGGCCAGGGTTCGAATGGTAAGTGTCGTGATATGGCTCCTCGGCCCTCCTCACTGAATATTGTTGTAATCTTGTTCCCCTGTCGTCCAAGCCTAACCCAACACCAACAGCTAATGGCGCATCGATGCCAGAGACAGAGTACCGTCCATGCTCGTACTGCCTTAAGACCAGCAAGCACTGCACCCTGAACTGGGCGCGCTCACAGCTGCAGGCCTCACAATCCGCGGCGGCCACCCGCACCGTCGAGCTCCGCCAGAAGAAGCGGCATCGTGCAACGGACTCACAGCAAGCACAACCACATACTGCCGCGGCTGCCACATTCGCTTCGGCGCCGCCGGCCTCCTCAGCAGCACTGCCGACGGGACTGCCATCAGCATCCATCTTCCCCTCGCCTCCGCAGTCATCGACGTCGACTCTGCGCACAACATCCGAAATCGGCGATATCAGCGGTATGCCGTCTTCCGTTCCACTGACGACAACGACGGCCAACGTCGATATGTCGGCATTCTGGAGTACCGCCCAGCCGTCACCGTTCCAGGCCTTGACGAATCCTCTGGACCCCTTTGTACCACTCCCTAACACACATCATCCGCATCACCCGCATCACCCGCAACAACATCACAACTTCACCAACGACGTCAACGTATCGACGATTGGCTTTGACGCCGGTGTGAGCACGGACGGTACCGCTGGCCTGATTGGTCTGCCCTTCAACGGCATGCCTGCGACCACAACAGAGCTTGTCTCACGGCCTGCGTTCCACAACATGGTGACGCCGGATCCCACAGCGCTATGGGGTGTGATACCAGGCCAGACAAACCTCAATGCCACCACCAGCCAGGCCATGCTCGACCTGTCACCGCCCGAGGTCTTCTCCTCGGTCAATGGCGAGGAGGAGGACGGTGCGTCGTCGTCTGTCATCAACGACGGCTACTCCATCCAGCACGGCTCGTCCTTTGCCCAGCCGCAATACGGCGAGGTCGGCATGCGTCGTGTGTCCTCATACTCCCTGGTGTCGCCCACACCCAACCAAGTCGAGTTTATGCTGGCCACGCGCATGAACAACCACAGCATCTCCGAGAACCTGCTGCAGATCTACCACGATGTGCTCGAGCACAATCTCACCTGCTGGATCACCGAGGAGACGTGTCCGTACAACGTCTGGGCCCGCCCACCCAAGCAAAAGCCCGTCAGGTCGCTCGCCAACGACTCCGCCAACGGCGACATTCCCACAATGGCTGTCGGCGGCCGCCGGACCTGGGCACCGCAGGCCAACTACAAACAGCAGTTTGGTCCCAAATGGTCCAATCGTATCTACCGCCGCGTCACCAAGCTCGACAAGCTCGCGCAGCAGGTGGGCATCATGCGCCTGACCGCCGCGCAGAACCAAGCCAGCCAAAAGGCCCTGCACCTCGTCATCATGGCCTTTGCCACCCAATGGGCCCAGGGCAGCCAGCGCCAGCGCGAGACCTATGCGGCCGGCTTCGCCACGATGAACTACGCCACCACCGAGGAGTTTGATCGCAGCATCCAGCGCTCCCTGTGGCAGCAGGCCCGCATGGCCTTGCAGGAATGCGCCGACATCGAGTCGTACCGTGTCGTCTGTGCCGAGCTCATCTTCAGCATGACCCAGCGTCCCTGGGACGAGTATGAATTCGCCGAGCTCGAGATCACCACCAGCAACGCCCAGTATGGCAACGGCCCGCTGTCGGCCGGCGACGACGACGACGATGTCGCCAACGACAGTGGCGCGGAGGCCCGCCGCCGTCGGGAGGCCATCCTCGACAAGCTGAACGAGATCATCGACAAGGACGGACCGCCCATTTTCATCGAGCGCGCCGCCCGCAAGATGCACGCGCTCAAGTTCAAGTTTGACAACCACGAGCTGGGTTTCTTGGGCGAGCAGCCGCCCGGCAGCATGCCCAAGAACGACAGACGCAACGGCCGCTACACGCGCGACGTCACCGACACGTCGTCGCCCTACCTTGGCTCCGAGGAAAGCCAAACCGTCGGCCTGCTCTTCTGGCTGGCCGTCATGTTCGACACCATCTCCGCGTCGATGACGGAGCGCCCCGTGGTCCTGGCCGACGATGAGAGCCAACACGAGGCTGCCGAGCACGACATAATGTTCCCCAACAAGGAGGTTCGTCCAGATGAGACGGGCGGTCCTGGTGGTACTGGTGAAAACGGCGACGGCAGCAACATTGGTATGGAGGACATCCGGAACGCCATGTACAGCAACGGCAGCGGAAAAGGCAAGGACGGCGACGGAACCGACCCGGCCAATATGGCGGCCAGCAGCAAGCCGGGCAAGAAGAACAACCGGTGGCGCATCGACCTGTTCATCCAGGACGACCCGGAGCGCATGTCGCACTCGCCGTACCACTATCCCTGTGCGTACGACGACGCGGCGAGCATCATCACGCGCGCGGCGCCGGTCAAGGTGCTGCTGTACCGCCAGGTGCTCTACCTGCAGAACATGCTGCGCAAGCCGTACCTCACCAAGGGCCAGCCCATCGAGGAGCTCATCAGCGAGACGCTCATGATCTACCGCTACTGGAACCTCACGTACGGCGCCTTCTACCGCGAGCTGATCCAGCACTACCCCACGGTGCCCACGCGCATCCGCGGCTGGTTCGTGTGCATCCTGGCCCACTGGCACCTCGCCGCGCTCATGCTGGCCGACGTCATGGCCGTGGTGGACGACAACCGCCTCGGCTTGGCGGCGTCGCGGGCGATGCGGGAACAGGCCCACACCGTGGCCAGCATCCGCCGCTCCAGCGCTCTGCAGCTCGCCGACGTCGCCCGCGTCGCCACGCCGCTGATGCCCAACGCCGACGCGGACCCGAGCATGCCCGACTTCCACCATGCCGTGCGCGAGGGCACCATCTTGACAGAGCCGTGGACCATTCTGCTGATCCGCGCCTTTTCCAAGGCCGCCACCGTCCACCTCCGGGAGGCGGACCTGCTGGGCCACGAAGGCGCGGCCTGCCGGGCAAGCCTGCGCCACTGCGAGGAGTGCATCCAGGCGCTGTGGTACCTGGGCAAAAAGTCGGACATGGCGCGCAATGTGGCGGCCGTGCTGTTCCGCGCGATGAATGTGTGAGGCCGTCGAGATGCCGTCGTTTCGGTTCCTGCTCGACTGACGTCCTTTTCTTGCGTTTTTGGGGGTTATTTTCTTTCGCTTATGCGGCCATGGCGACGCTTACTATTCGCTGACTGTTTTTTGTAGTCACTTTTGCTGATTTGTCTGTTTTATTGGCGTGTTTTCCGGGCTTGATGAGAAACGGATGAAATTGGTTGTCCACTGCTTATGATGATTGTGCTTATTTGCCGTTGGGATACTTACTTTTTATGACTTTGGTGCTCTCCGTGGTGAATTGTCGTTCGATGACAGCGGAATGGGCGCCTTGAGGGTATGACTTTGATTTGCTGAGCGGGTGTTATTTTCTTGTATTTTTCGCGCCTATGGCTTGGGTTGCTTTGCTTGTATAAGTCTTGTAAGTACCGGACTCGGGATGCACAGGGTCGTTTCCAACACTACCGGGTCATGTATTTGAGGGTGTCTGAATGTCTGGGTGTCTGGTGTCTAGGTGTTTCAAGCATTTGAATTATGATGGCTAAAGGTTTGGAATTTGGGTGCTTTGACGAGTTTGAACACAAAATGGACACAGTTGACAGAGTCGCAAAGCTTTTGAAGTTTTCTATGGGGTTGTTCTGCAAAGTTATGAGCATTCAGTTTCAAGGTGAATGTCGTTGTCCTGTTGCCTTTCTCCACTTCGTGTCTTGGATATTGGTTCCCTTTTGTACGAAATACAACACATGTCGTATTATGCCAGTTTGATCCACCGAGGGGTGAGAAAGGTGGGCAGAAAAGGGCGTATTGTTTGTCCATCTGTCTTCTCATCTCACTTGATATTAATTCATGTTTAAGATTACGGAGTCACTCAAGATCCTTTAGCAGTATTCCTCGCTGTTCAAAGCATCTTCGGCGGCCAATTGCAAGACAAACTCCCGTCCCAATGGCTCCCAACCAGTCACGGCCCATACCTGCCACCCTCCACAGGCGGAGTGCAATGGCCACATGCACAACCACATGATAACAAGGAGCCTGCAGCGTACGCCGTAGACGGTCGATCGGATCCGCAACTCGTCGAAAAACGCTTCTCCCTTGGCTTGCCAACCGGGTTCTAGGTCCTTTTTTATCAGTCCCATCTCGTATTACTTCTTTGGGATCCGAGTCCATGTTGGCCTGCGCGGAGTGCGTTTTGCTTGTGGAGTTTGCTGCCCATCTGGGCCGCCCTACGTGCCGTCCGTCTTGCCGCTCATTCTCACAACCGGGTGAAATGAAGTCGACAGATGAGATGACGTAAATCACGTGTGCATGGATCTGGGGTCAGCTTATGGTCTGTTTGGGAGAACGACCCAAAATTTGGCACGTGACTTCGCGGCAAGGGGATCAAGTCTGAGTCGCGCAACGTCATTCCCTGACCATGAATGCTCGCCACCTTCTCGGCGAGCTCCGGTAGCTGCTTTATATACACGTTCACGACTGTTGATCTCACCGACTGCCCGAAGCCTCAACACACGTAAAACAGACACATACTACGGCCACCAGTTACCGTCAAGCCCCAGAGACTGCGGGCCACGCCCGCCTCGTCTAGTCTCGATGGTGTCTTCGAAACCGCCCTCGCCGCCCATCGCCGTCTACTCTCCAGCTGGCCGCTGTCTGTAACGCCTCTGCTGCCATGCGATGCTGCCAAGGCACGTTTGTCCCCGTGTCCGCTTTGTTTACGGGGTCCGGGGGAAGCAGAGTTCCCTCTCGTGGACACGACTCTTACCCCATAGTGTGGTCTGCGGACCATGAGTGAACTGCCGCATCGGCTAACCGGCACCTGCAGATGACGGTGCGCATCGTCACATGGAATGGTATGGTTCACGGCTGTTGCTGGGTGTCGTTGTTCCCATTGCTTAGACTTTGCGGCCGCTAACGCCTTTTCCCCAGTCAATGGCATTCGAAATCCGTTCAAGTACTCGCCATGGAACAAGGACCGAAGCCTCAAGGTACGAAACAAAACAGCAAGCCGAATGACCGACTGTGCCTCCGTCCGATCGCCTTCGACTTGATATCACGCTCACTTTTGGCTGGCCTCTTCATATTACGACAGCCGCACCACAGACCTTATGCTGACAGGCCCAGGCCATGTTTGACATCCTCGAGGCGGACATTGTCTGTTTCCAGGAGGTCAAGACACCCAAAGCGAGCTTGACCGACGATCTCGTGTTTGTCGACGGCTGGGACACATTCTACAGCTTCCCGCACACCCTCACAGGTGCGATACAACCGCCCTTTCCCGATCGTACCTTTCCTTTCCGCTCCGACGCACGGATCTTACTGACAGATGCTATGAAGGCTACTCGGGCGTGGCCGTCTACACCCGCGACAGCAAGTGCGTTCCGCTGCGGGTGGAGGAGGGCGTCACGGGCGTCCTCAAGATCCCCGGCACACAGACGCGGTATGTCGACGCGCAACCGGACAAACAGATTGGCGGCTACCCGACCGATAGACAACTGCGCAGGGCCGCCGTGGGCCGCGACGTCATCGACTCGGAAGGCCGGTGCCTCATCCTCGAATTCCCTCTCTTCGTCCTCATCAACGTCTACTGCCCAGCACGCCGCAACCACGAACGCACGGGCTACCGCAACACCTTTTTGCTCGCCCTCGATGTGCGCATCCGCAACCTGGCTGCCGCCGGGAAAAACGTCGTCTTGTGCGGTGACCTGAACATCATGCGCGACCAGCTGGACACAGCCGGCATATGGGGCCACCAGGGGCACAAGATGCTCTCGGAGGCTCTAGAGTTTGACGAAAACTACATGACCATGCGGGCGCCCAAACTGCTGAGCCAGCTGCTGTTCAACAGCCGTACCGTCTCCGACACCGGCACGCCCTTTATCGACGAGGCGGTGGAGACGCGGCGTCCGCCTGTGCTCTACGATACATGCCGCGAACTGCATCCCGAGCGGACGGGTATGTTTACCTGCTGGGACACGCGCAAAAATCACCGGCCGGCCAACTTTGGGTCGCGCATTGACCTCATCATGTGCAGCCCCAAGGTCATGCAGCTCGTGCAAGAAGCAGACATACAGCCGCACCTCCTTGGCTCGGATCACTGCCCGGTCTACGCTGTGCTGCAGACGGCAATCGAGGACCGTGGTGAAGAGAAAGAGGACGACCCACACACAAAACGAAAAACCTACAGTCTCGACTATCTCAACCCGCCTAGTCGGTTCGTCGGCGGCCAGAATGTGCTGCCACCAGACGAGGACACTGCGCTGCTGAAAACGCGTTTCCCACAGTCCGCTCGTCGCATGCCGCAGTTTTCCAATCGAAGACACATTGCGAGCATGTTCCAAAAGGCACCCAAACCCCCCGCTACTGCTTCGGTTACCAGTGCTACGCAAGATACAAAGTCGTCCGTTCATCCGTCACAAAAGAATGGCAGTGCTAGAAAAGGTCCCGCAGGGGTGCAGTCGTCTGCCCCCGAGCTCCCCGCGATCCTCAAAGCAGAAGCTGTCGAGCTTGTCGAATCCGACGACGAAGATGGCGGTGCGGGGACGATTGAGGACGACGATGTGGCCGTGACGGCGGAGGAGGAGGGGGAGGACGAAGACGAGAAACCTGAATCCGTTGCAGGGCCAGCAGACTCTACGCAGCAGCCGAGCGACATAACAGAAGCACGCGGCGACGACCGAGGATCACGGCCACCTCCCCTTCATGCGAACAACAAAAACACATTATCCGCAGTCGTCTCGCCATCCCTGCCGAGTCGGCCTCTCTCCGAGACGGACGACGTCGCTGCTGACGAAAGCCAACGTGGACATGTGAGCGAGACGTCGGCTGGCCGCGGATATGACGAGCCTTCTCACTCGACAGATCTTCCCTCTGAAGACGGGATGGGAAGACCGCCAGCTTGGGAGAGCAGCTTGTCAGAATCCAAGCCAAGCCGAATCCGGTCGTTTTGGGGTGGTCACTCTGGCGTTGTCAATAGTCGCGAGCAAAGGAATGATGGAGATAACACGAATGGCTCCAGGGGCTCCGGGGACTCTGGGGATGCCATATCGCTGCTGTCGTCAACTCCGAAGCCCAAAGCAAACCTACCTCCATCACAGTCGTCGACTCCGTCTCTTCTCCCGACAGGCACGACACGTCGCAGTCTGTCACAGTCCCAGAGTGGAACCGGCGGCTCAAACACATCGTCCGTTCGGTCGTCTTCTTCTGTTTCCGGCCGGCCGGCCAAAAAGGCCAAGACGTCCGCCCCGGCGTCCTCGGGCATCCAAATGTCCATGAATATGTTTCTCACCGCACGGCCTGCCAACAACAAACAGAAGGAGAATGAGAAAGAGACAGAGAAAGAGAAAGGGGACCCGAACCAATCAGCTGTGCCGGCCACGCCGAAAACAGAAGCAGAAGCAGTCAACTCTGCTCTCGACGAAGCGGCCACCACCGCCGTCGCCAACGATGACGACAACATGTGGATGACGGCCGAAGAAGTCGACGCCGCCTTCCGCAGCCTCGACGCGGCCAAGGCGTCGTGGTCGCGGCTGGGCCTCGGCCAGCGCCAGACGCCGTTGTGCGAGCACGGCGAGCCCTGCAAGACATTTGTGACCAAAAAGGCCGGCGTCAACAGCGGGCGCTCGTTCTACATGTGTGCCCGGCCGCCGGGTCCGCTGGGCAAGCGCGAAAAGGGCACGGCGTGGCAATGCACCACGTTTGTCTGGTGCCGCGACTGGCGACCGGACCGGCCAGAAGTAGAAACAAAGTAGAACCATTGTACACTACAATAATTCAAATGAAAGGACATACCGTTATGCACTTGTTTTTATCTTCTTTTAAAAAAGTTGAAAGTAAATACATAAAACAATTCTTTAAAAAAAAAAAAAAAAAAAAAAAAAAAAACGGATTTATCTCCTTAAATATAATAAAACCTGAAAATTACCATAAACCATACGTTGCATCTACTATGAGAGAATAGTCGTCGGTACGGAGACGCTCAATTGCTGCTGAGAAGTGTTTTGTATTTATTGGACGTAGTCAGCCTAAACGACTACGCTGAAGAACAAAATATAAACCAAAGTTGAAAATTCCAACGCCATGAGAGCTGATAATAAGACGTTAACCAAGGAGGAAATGAAACGGCGGGAAGGGCCAAAGTACACATGACATAACAAAATAAAGGTACTCCAATCCGTGCGTAGTGTCTGATGACTGATGGATGACATTAGGCAGAAAATCGTCAAATACGGAACAATAGAAACCCATTTCCCCCAAACAAAAAAACATCCCACAAATAATTAATCATAGCCACGGCTCGATGTCGTGGAATCAAGCTGTACAGTACCGGCTGTGCTGTCAAATGGTCCATGCAAAAAGATTATCAAAAAGAAAAAAAAAGACGACAAGAAAATGAAAGCGTCGTTGTGCAGAGCGCGTGTCACGGACTATGTGGCACATCTTGTCTATGCTGATTCGCCAGCCGTTGCACGCACGACATCGCCCTTGCAGATAGGACAGGTACGCCGGCGTGTAGTTAACCAAGGGGTGCTAGAACATGTCAGCATGAGCAGCACGGCGAAAGAAGCATATCGAGCAATCAGGCAGGGGCAATCAAAATCAAATACATACATGCAAGATTCGTGGAACTCGTGGCCACAAGGTAGGCTCATCACGCGGTCGCCGGCCACATAATCTTCCAGGCACACCACACACTCGACCTGGAAATACCGGGACGGCGGGTGTGGTTCGGCCGGGGGAAGGGTCACGGTTACACGGCGCTCATCGCCTGGCACGCCTGTCGTCGTGCGCGAACGAGGCCGCTGTAAGAGCGGAGTCGTCAGTGTAGGCTCCAGTGTCGGCGGGCTAGGTGAGCGAGCCGGCGAGGAGAGTGGGCTAGCAACGGCAGAGCCGAGAGGCACGGCGATCGGGGCCGGTGGTGCTGCGCCCGGCGGCACGTAGATGTGGACAGGCAGCTGCTCGACGACGGCCTTGGGGGCGCGCCATGCGCGGTACCGGTAGTGGGTACGGATGAAGATCAAAATACCCGTAATGACGATGATGGCCAGGAGGGGGCTGGCAATGACAACCAGCAGCGTGTCAAGGAGGGGAAGGGTGCTCCGTGTGGGTGCAATGGTCACAAAGAGCACCTTTCCGTTGCCCTTGCCGGGAGAGCCTGTGGATGTGGGGTCGGCACCAGTGCCGGTCGACGTGGACGTGGGAATGTACTCGTCAAGCACCCACTCCCGCGGCCGGGTCTTCCAGAACCAACTGTCGTCAGCAGCATCCGTCTTTTCGGGCGCGGGCGCTGTTGTCGTTGTCTTGGTCTTGGTCTTGGTTTCAATGCCAGGAGCTTTCTTAAGGCCCGTCTCGTCGTCTTGCACGGCTTCAACCAGCGCTGTCAACAAATGGGCCGTGGTGTGTGCTGTGAACACGGACGGAATGGTGACAAACGAGGTGTCCCCACTGGCGTACATCTGGATGAGAGGCCCGCCTTTGCGGTCGTCGCCCACAATCACGCCGACGGCACCGCGCCGTTGGGCCCACATGACTTTGGCCAGAAACCCACAGCCGCCCCTCCTAAGGAGCACAATCTTTCCGGCAATCTCAGCTCCTTCCTGCAGAGACTGAATATCACTGTGATGCGGCACCTTGCTGGCTGCTTTGCCATGCCGGCTCGGGTCCTTCCAGGACACATCTTTGCGTGATCCGCCTGAGCCATAGGGCTCAGCACCCGCAGTAAAGTCGGAAGCTGTCGGCGCTGAGTCGCCTTTGACACCAGCAGCATTGACAGCTGCAGCAGCACTAGTCTCAACTTCAACATCGACATCGTCACCGACTGCGGTGATGCCGTCGGCGGCCTTGCGGCTGCCGTCACGACCCCCGGTCGTGACGCCCGCCTTGGCATGGACGGTCTTGTGGAGGTTGCGGAAGTACGTTCCCGAGGAGTAGTCTTCCAGGTAATTGTCCGTGCCGTCGTCAAAGAAGCCGTCGGCAGGCAAGACAGGGTTACCATCGGCGGCACGCTTACCATCCCAGCCAGGGACGTCACTGCAACCGAGTTCGCCCTGGGGCTCGACGCCGTCTTCACCAAAGCCCGCACCGATCCACAGCGCTGCGCTAAGGCCGTCTTCTGGCAGCTCGGGGCCGAAGGTGGCTGGCCGGGCCGGGAAGAACGTGCTGTTATCCTCGGTGAGAGAGATGGCAGCATTCGGTGGGAACAGCTGAAAACCAGGGACGCTGGAGATGTGAGGTCGGTGATTTCGAGGGGGCACGGGATAGCTGTCGGCAGCTATGGCGCGGACAATGACAAACACTGTCACCGTGCTCGCGGCCAGCGCAGAAAGGGTGCGAACAAGAAGCGCCATGGTGAAGCGATATCCGCAAAAACGAATAGGACAAGTAAAATAAAAAAAGAGCGTATCTGGGGTATAAAGTAAAAGCAAGAACGAAAAAACGGCTTAGTGTAAGGGTGCGTATACGCAACACGAGGCTAATGAAAAATGTTGTCGAATGCGCAACTGGTGTCGCTGAAGTGTTTTGAGAACAGATCAAGATCGGTTTGAAAGTCTGGCTAAGTAAAGCCACGAGATGCACAAGGTAGGTGTGAAAGACGAGGCAATAAGGCGCCGCAGAAATCTAGCAACAGTGTGTTAGTAGGTAGATCAAAATCAACACTCAAGGAATCACTGGCAGGAAAGCAGGGCCGACAAGGAAGCGGGACCAGAACACAAGCACACAAGATACAGGAGAACAGAGGCCCAGATATAGACCACGGGGTACAGAGTGAAATCGTATGCAGGCTCTGTCCGACCCCTCATCTGGTACGTCGTGCCTGCCCCTCGCCATTCTCGTTTCCCTTGATGTTTCCGACTTACTCTATGGTGCGCAGCGAAAGCGAACACGAGGTACGACCATCCCAGGCTTGGTCAAGCCCGGCCGTGCTGCAGCTGGTGGAAGGATGTCGGTGAGCGATGTATGGGCGTCGTTAGAGCGGCGCCCACGACACAGCGAGACTCAAGTCAGGCCGGGGAGATGCCCAACACCGAGCAGCGACGAAAGCAGACCAGCGCTGCAGTCCCTCCCCTCCGTATCTGCAGGTGTTCGATTGCGGTCGTACTGTGGGCAATGCCCATGCACGGATCCGTCTGGGCGGCTCGCTGGTTGGCCGTGGTACCTCAAGATGCAAGAAGCTGTACACAAATGTGCTGCGACACAGCAGGACAAGGCAGCAAGCGTGACGGGAGAGGAAAGCGGTGGCGATATGTGATGTCGGAGACAGAGGGCGAGTCGGTGAGAGGCGAGGGGAAAAGGACGGTTCCGGCTGCGGAAATTGTCGTACAGGGCAAGGATGTTTGTCGCTTCGCAAGAGAGGTTGGGGAGGCAGACGGTTGCACAAGACGGGAGCCCGATATTAAGTCGCTGCAGAGGGCATGCAACGGCAGCACGAAAACATCGGCCGTTGGACGGAAAACGTCGGTTGGACGAGGGCTTGTTTGAGAGACGACGAGAAAAGGAACGGAAGAGGCCGGTGCGGCGTTGAACGCTGCCGAAATGTACAAGCACAAGGTGACGATAAGACGTGGGTGATGGAGGATGGCGGTGGAGAATATCGATCAAAGGAGGCGTCGAGGCGGACGAGGCTCTTGGGCAACGCACGCAAGCGAACCACCGCGCAGCAATTTTGCCAAGATATCCGGTCGCAGCAGGCGCTATCAGACTAAAACGCGCGTTGCCAACGGGGGCGAAGGAAGGCCGCCAAGTGGAAATATGCGTCGGACGACACGCTGAATTCGAGTGGGCTGAAAATGCAACAAGAGGGAAGAAGATAAAAGAAAACAAATATATGGAAAGTGGCGAGACAATATGAGACGACAACAGGTGGGATCTCGGGGACCAACAGCCCGCTAACAGCCGTGGAGAAGCACGAGAGGGCGGATGCTGAGGGTCGCAACATAAAGCCTACGACGTGAAATGGGGAGAAAGACAAGAATAAGAAGAAGACAAAGAAAAGGAAGATCAGAAGATCAAGACGATGCAGAAAAGAAGTCAAAACGGAGTTACTAGAGAGCTAGAATAGCAAGTGCAAGGCACGGAAGAAGACTCACGCGGCAGGAACGAACCTGTCAAGCAAAACGCAGGACAAGGCAGGTGCTGCGAAAGATGTCGATCAAGGCACGCGAGAGGGGCACGCTGATGACAGCGCCTGAGGGATGGCTCCTTCAGGGAGCACCAGTGCGCTGGTGATGGGTCGTCAGGTGGCGCCTGAATGGTCACTTGTGCAAAACAAAGGCGTAATGCCCAGCGGTCCCAAAACAGGCAAGAGTGGCCCATCCAAGCGTAAGTGACGTTATTTCAGATGCCCATGGCTGGAGCGGACCGAGTGTTTTTCCGGTACGGAGCAAGACTTGGTCAGTTGGCCAATCACAACGCAGTACAGTTGGTGGGGCGCGGTATTGGGAGTGGCCTGATTTGGCGTACGCTTGAGTGTGGTGCTTTTGCGGGAAAAGCTTCGTCTCCCGAGAGCCGGTGGTTTTTCGCTCTTGACCTGCTTACCGTCCTCGTCCATTGAAGATTGCCTCACCAGCAACGAACCACGACCCAACGTAACACCACATCGCCACTCCTCTGTATCAATCGCATTCACAATGCTCCGCGCTGCCATCGCCCGCCGCGCGGGCCCGGCTGCCCGTCGCATGTACTCGACGCCGACCACCGGTGCTGCCGGCGAGAACGCGTTCGTTCGCGAGCGCCGCGCCGTCAAGGAGCACGCCGCCCAGACGACCAGTGAGTAGCCCTGTTGCAATGGCCCATGATGCATGAATAGGGGTGTCTTCTGTTGCTGGAAGAGCGCACGTCAATGGCACAGCATCGCTAACCGTATACCTAGACCTGTGGAAGAATATCTCCATCTTGTAAGCTCCCTTTATATCCTACATCCTTGCCGTCAACCTTGCCCTCTCCGTCACCCGCCCTGCCGATAACGAGCCGTCCAACCATCCGAGTGATCGAATCGCGGATCGTTTGCGAACAATATGGATCCCACCGACGTGTCCCTCGCCGACAAACCGCTGCATTTATTTCGTGCTGCGCTCACGATAATTTCGACCAATCCCGCCGCTCGACCGTTCACATATCACTTCCACATTTCTTTAACCATTGCTAACCACCGGAAAACAGCGTCGCCATCCCTGCCCTGGCCGCGTCGGGCTACAACGCCTATCTCCTGTATAAGGAGCACTGGGAGCACTGGGAGCACCTCCCCCCTCTGGAGGAGCGCACCGAGTACCCATACCAGAACATCCGCACCAAGAACTTCGTGTGGGGTGATGGTGACAAGACTTTGTTGTAAGTATTGAGTTGGGAAGACAAGTGGAAAGACGAGAGACCAGAGGCGAGGAAGCGACCAGACGAGCAGTCGAGACGACGGTACGAGAACGACAGATGACCATATGAACTGACACTAACTCTCCCGTTTAGCTGGAACGAAAAGGTCAACTACCACAACAAGGACAAGGTCGCTTAAAGTTGCCGTTTGAGCTTGCTTCTAAAGTGACCAATGTAGCACTGCTGTGGTGCTATGTTGGCGGGAAAGAGGAAGCTGACCGACCAGTGGTGAGGAGTGTGGGAAGATGAGGGTTTTGCATAGAGTGGTGCGTTGTATTGGGTGGTCTTTGCTCAGAGCATGTTGGATGCTGTGCAAGCAAACACAACGACGTCACATGAAGGCCCCTACATGTACGGGTCGTTTAATATCATCAGAAAATCAATCCATACAAAGCATCTGCTAAAGACAAAGAACGCCTCGCCAAGTCTGTTGGCAGGCATTGCCGCTTTGTGAGAGGTCGGTTGGCGAGTGACGCACGACGAATACGAACGAGATAGAGTGCTCTGGTGTTCCCCAGACTGGTATATTTGCAAGCTCGTCCCGATCCCGTCCTGCACTTTAAACTCTGTACAACGCTTGCTTAGGAAGCTTCGTGAGTTGGTCGGACAGGACTTTGCCCTGTGAGTTTCTTAATTGCAGACAGCATCGATTTCTGCGCCTACCCTTTCTGAGTTATGTTGCCTCTGGGGAAACACCGGGATGTTTTTGTTCATTCGAAGATGAGTTGTGTAGCGGAACACCTCACAGAGGCGTATGAAACTAGACATGGTCTATGATACATAGGAGAGCATGAGTCGACCAGCGAAATTATATTTTATTTATAGCGAAAATCATAAGCTACCCGTTACGCATTATACTAAAATCAGAGAAAACAAAGAATAAAAGGAAAACGGCGAGCAAGAACAAAGAAAATAAACCACTAAAACAAAACAGAGAGTGCAAAGACTGGAACAGAACCAATTAAGAGAACCACAAAAACAGGAAAAAGAGACAGGTAAAAGGGGTGACGAACAATAAGGAATCGGGCAAGTAACACGGAAAATATAAAGAAAACAATGGTAAAGATGCACCAGGCATCTCACCTGCCACTACAGTTCACTCGGTAGCACCAGTCTACGCGCCGGTGCTGGCATTGGCTTCACGTCCAGTAATGCTGGGCAAGGTGGATAATCTGGTCGAGGCCCGTGTACGAGGTTTTCGGCCGATAGGAAGCTGTGGCCGGACTGTCATCGCAGTGGCAGGCAGCGGAACACGGGACACAGGACGTGAGAACGACTGAGCCGCTGATGTGCCAACGTCCACACTACCGGCCATATTGGCAGTAGTAGGGGCCGGCCTATTTGGCGGGCCAGGTGCCGCATGAACTGCTTGTGGCCCCTGTAGAGGATGTCAGTAACATGTCGACGCAAGTATCGTTCAATACGTGTTACTAGTTGCGGAGATAGACTCACCACAATAAACATGGGAAAGGTACCATTCTGGCCAACATTGAGCTCTGCGGTGCTCATTGGCTGATTGGGCTGGCCATGCAGCGACTGGGAAATGGTGGTCCGCTCAGAAGGAGATGGAGCGTGGTCCTGAGCCATGGAAGATTGAGCGTCTGTTGCTTGCGTCGCTACAGACTCGTTCACTTGGGGAACCTGAGCCTTACCTCTCGCCTCGGCCTTGGCCCGGGCCTTGGCAATGGCCTCGCCCCGTTTCTGCGCTTTAGCTATGCGGGCCATCTCGCTCTCGACCGAGAGCGGTTGTTTGTTGCGGCGGGAGTGCTCAGTTAGGCCTTGGGACATTTTCAAGATATATTCGGACGTTGTGGTAGCGTCAGAGTTGGCAATCACCTCTGCCGCGTAGACGTTGAAACAGGGGATAAGAACCTCGCCAACAGGTGTGGGAATAACGCATGGCCGGCCGAGGGTTGGCGGTACTTGACCGGGCCCCGTGGGAAAGCGAGGGATCCGGGCATCGTACTGATCATTGGCATCCAGGTCGTAACAGATCTCCGTCTCTTTCTCTCTCTCCTGATTTTGATGTTGAGTTTGTGTCTGCTGCGGCGATGCCTGGGCCTTGAGTGATGGCTGTTGTTTGGCACGCTTTAATGGAGACGACTCATCGCCCTCGACCTCGACCACTCGAGTGTGCTTCTGGGGAGACGACGAGGTCGGAGTTTGCACGTGGACAGAGACAGGAGGCAGGAATTTGATCCCAGTGCTAGGCACAGCATTTTTCTGGGGTGCGGGGACGGCATTGAAAAGAGGAGGAGGAGGAATAGATTTCCGGCGATTAATACCAGACACAGGATGTACAGTCCCAGAAGACTGCGAGACGCGGCGGGATTGTGGACGTTTGGCTTGGCCGACGCGAGACTCAGACGTACTGGAGCTCGGTTTGGGATCTTCAAGCACTATAGAAACTCGTCGAGGCTGCTGTGATTTGGGTTTGGGCTTGGGTTTGGTTTTGTGTACCTGGGGACTCTGGGGAGCTTGGGAAGCCTGGGAAGCCTGGGGAGCCTTGGGAACCTGGGGAGTCTGAGGAGTCACGGGGACCTGGGGGTGGAGAGGCCCGACAGGATCAAAAGGAAGTGGAGGTGGAAAGGGCACGGTCGTAATCTCTGCCACCGGCAGCCACGGAAAGTTCACAGAACTGCTCTCAAATGATGTCGGAGCACACTGGGCGGGTGCCTGTAGCATGTTGGGCTGCTGAACAAAGGGGACGTAATTACCGTGCGAGTTTGGCTCAATTTGTGGCACAGGCGCGTAGCCGACATTACCAATATGCCCTGCACCCACCAATGCTGGCGTGGGGTTCGCCGCTGCACTGGCGAATGCCATGTCCATGGACATATTCATGGTTGGATCCATTGTCGGCTGCGTCGTGGCGGGTGCAAAGACGTTCGTGGCGGGTGCAACAGTAAAGGGGATGTTCCATTGTGCTGCCTGAAGGACGCTGGAATCTTGGGCACCCACAAAGGGCATATTGCTCGGTACTGCACCAAAGGCTGCCGTCTCCGCAGTTGCCGGAGGCAGATAAGCCTGCAGGTCACTGTGGCCCATGAGCGATCCGTACATGGTGATGTCACTGGGAGTGAAGTTCATAGTGTCTGAGCTTGTAGTCGTGACCGCAGCGGGCGCCTCCACCAAGCCACCAGATGAAAAGCGTGGAGACATGTGCATCTGACCCGAGGACACGTCCGTAATGTCCGTTACCTCAGTGGAGGACGACGTGGTTGGTGACGAGTCATTCATAGGCTGTACTATGGGAAACTGGTCGAAAAATGTCTGCATTGTCGGTGCTGCCATGGGTGCCGCCATGGGTGCCGCCATGGGTGCCGCCATAGGTGCACCGCCCATATTCGCAGTGCTCATGCTCATCTGTGTGGGCGTGGGAAAGGCAAAGGAAGCGGGTGCCACGAGTGCAGTGGGCGCCGCCGGCGTGCTTTTCGTTTCATCAATCCACATGGCGGAGTCGGACCGTTCGCCTGTTTCAACAGTGGCATTCCAAGCACCGTCTTGTAGGTTAGACTGCTTCCGGCGGCGCTCAGGATAAGCGGCATCCTCGAAGCTGCTGTCTGGACCAAAGGCGCCGGCGTATGCGTTCGTTTTCATGTCAATGGACTTGGCAGGATCAGTCCACTTAGGTTCGACCTGGGGGGCAACTGCAGACGAGAGAGTGGTGGTGGTAGACCAAGAAGTGGTGGCTGGGTTGGCCGAGTTGGCCATTGTAGATGTCGATGTTGGCGACGAAGACCAAGCCGTATTCGGGATGGTATACGAAGTCGTGCCAGTTGTGGCAGCCGGTGCGTTAGTGCTGATTGGCATGCTGCTGGTGTTGCTTATGTTGTTGTTCGATGCAGATGTGGCAGAGGTGTCTACCGCAGTATTCTGCGGCAAGGAGGATCCGTCCGGGGGCACTACGTCGTCGTGACCAGACGCTTGGTTGACGATGGCGACTTGGTCCGGCTGAAGGGGAATCGTGTATCCCATGTTCTCTAAACCGAGGCTCAGAGTGAACGCGCCTCCACCGTGCCCATCTGGCTGAAATACCCAGCCGTTGGTGTTACTGTGTTTATACTGGCCAGGGGTCACAGCCATAATGAGAAAGGTGCAAGATTTTGTATTGGATTTGTTTTCTGAAGAGAGTAGAAATGGCGTACCCGTATATATGCTCTTTTATCGTCAGCAGGGTAAAAAAAGAAGGTAAAAGAATACTGGAGAAGGAATGCAGAGAGATGCAGAGTTTGAGCAAAAAGAAAAGAAAGAAAGGCCGAAGAATATTTACCCAACTCGCGAGTGAGGGGACCACAAGTAGATATATGATATTTCGGTAGTGGAGAAGGGAATGACCAACGGGGAGGAGGGGCAGATATTGGAAAAATAAACTCACCAACTGGACGTTGAAAGGAAGAGTACGGATGCCGCACGGTAAATAACGAATTACGTGACGAGCAACTTGACGGATGCTCAGAGTGTGGGACAGAACAAGTGAAAGTCGAGAAGTATGGTGGTCGAACTAAGATATCGTTGATAAAGGATGACCGTACTAGGAGATACTTGATTGACAACAGAACATCAACCTTAGATGACGAGAGACTGTGCGTAGACGGAATACTATTGATGTGGTTCAGCGGCGTTGGTGTTGTTTGTTTGTCTTCCCATCACGCTCTGTCTGCCGGGATAGGCGGTGTGGCAACTGCGGCCTAATCACCAGAAGGAGGAGGAGAGAAAAAAGAAACAAGTGATCCCCTAAAATAAATAGATAACAGAGGGTTTAATCAGAGAGGGGCCTATGCATAACAGAAGCGTGGGAACAGTAGACAATAAAGGGAACAGGATTTGGTAGCAAGCATGTTTTCTGCGTCAGCCTTCAATATTTATGAGAGGAAAAGGATAGAAAGGACAGCAATACGACACAGGATGAATAGCAAGCAGTGTGCGTTCATGTCAACCAAGATGGAGCCAGCCTTGGAGACTGTCTCTCTTGATTTGGCACAGAAACCAACCAGAACCGTCATGAAACAAGACATCAAACGAGATAAATTTGCAATATCTGGAAAGACAATAGCTATTAGCAAAGGCACTCTGTTGTTTTGTGAACGTGATCGATTATGTTCGGCGAATGCTGTAGTAGTAGAGCTCGTGTACTCCGTAGAACACCACAGAAGGGATGTCTCGCCTTGTTGGTCCCGTACGGACGGCGGCTTCCCGTGGTATGTGGGAGTTGGTCCAAAACAGGTCTAGAACGAGCACCAGGGGAAGAGAAACGCAATTGGATCACTACACGAAAAATGGAAAACGCCACGGGAAACGCACAGAAAGTCGAAAAAACAAGACAGGAGGGGAGAATGGGCCAGAAGACGTGGAAAAGGGAAGTGTGACAAATGACCCAGGAACGGCGACGGATGCACCTCGACGTGGACGTCTAGGGTCTTCCGAGGAGTTATCGGAACCTCTGGGTCACACAGTCGTGTGCTAGGGTCTGAAAGAGGAAATCCGAACAAACGCGAGAAAGCACAAACGGCGTAGAGGTGCTAGAGAAGGTTGAGGGAAAGGAGGAAAATGCAGGAGCGCAGAGAGACGCAGAGAAAAGAGCGAGAAAGTGAAGAGGGAGGTGATGCAAACGAGAGACGGGACTGTAAGAAGACAACATTCGTCTAGACCGCTCATGGGGTGACACCTGATGACGAAGAAAATGTGATATATGATTTCTGAAGCAGAGAACTCATACATAGGAAACCACATACGAGGTATCGAAAAAGAAACAAGGACAGGTCAGCCAACGAGAGGACTGTGTTGCCCGAGGCAAATTAGATGCAAACAGAACAGGTAGGGAGGAGGGGCCGGCGAGATGTTGATGTTGGGCTTCTTCGGCGTGTCACACGGGTAGATGCACGGCTGTGCTTCGTGGCAAGGGTAAAGGAAGAGGTGAAAACGAAGAATGTGAGCGAATGATCCGAAGCGTGTGCGATGTCAAGGGGCCAATGAAGCATTCGATGTGAAGAGAGGTGGGCATTGTGAGAAATGCGACACAAAACTCGCAACAAGAAGACAACAACCCGGGCCCAGATGGCGGGAATATGATGGGATGTGGAGAGGAAGAAATGAGGCGAAATTCGAGCAGGAAATAAATGAAGCTGAGGTTTTGCTTTTCAATGATGTCGTCTGTGTTTGGAGGAAAGAGTGAGTGGCTTTCAGCTCAGTTGCGGAGCACTATTTCCTGTTTGGGGTTCTAGGGGAGGGGAGACAGCCGTCGCTCTTTCCCGTGTTAGTGGTGGGGGGAAGACAAAGTGTTTGGCAGGAACGAACTATGGCGGGCCAGGAACGGAAAGAATAACAATAAGGTCAATCCAGCCCACAGTAACCATAGCAGACATCCTTACAGCAGGTGAAAGGTGCAAATTAGCACACTGCGGCGCAGAAAATTACTCTGTAGGGCAGGCACGATGGTAAAATTCAGCACGAGGCACATATATCTTGCCTTGACATAGTGGGTGGCTCTTTCCTGGACTATTATGGGATGAATAGGGGCTGCTCCGAGAGGCTGCCCAACCTTTTTCGTTTACTTCTTCCTTCGCCCGCGAACAAGACTTATCTCCAAAACACAATACTACCGACTTTTAAGCGAGAGGCACAATATACGGAAAGCTAAGAGAAGACACGAACACAGCTGGTAAGTAAATTTTATCCAACCTTGACGCAGCAGGAGATACGATTTCTGAAAAAAATAAAAGCTCCCCAGAACTGCGGCGCTTGTACTGTACTTCTCTTCCGGGACAGAGACAGCCCCCTTGCATCCTTTAGTTCCAAGATGCAGATTGGTTAATGGGCTTGCAGTCGGATTTTACCCGTGCAGAGTGCAGGACACAGCGCCGTGTTCCCTTGCTACCTGGTTCTTTGACCTAGTCAACGACACGTTAGTGGCTTGCGGTGCTGGGCCGAAGCAAGCGATACAACACAATAACGGCGCTGCATGCTAAGACCCTCTCCACGCGACAGGGAGTCCGCAAGTGACGCTTCTTTACAATCACCGTTAGCCCACGGTGCCGGCACTACAAGGGTTAGCACAAGGTATTACGGAGGCTCATAAAGATAAGGTTCCCATCCCATCTAACATTCTCAAACCCACTTGTGGAAACCCAGACAGTCGGACTGCTGGTACAGACAATCGCTCATATCTCTATGCAACAATATATAGCCCTGAAGGGACTGCATCCCAGAAAGGATGACGTGATGGCTTTTGACTCTTTCCATCCGTGTGTTCAAGCTTGCACTAGAGTCGAGTACTGCATACGGACAACATGCCTCCACACCTCTGCTTAAGAGCAGCGTTCCTCTTGACAGCATTCTCCACTTGGACGGCCTTCCGCTGACCAGTAACAAGGCATATGCAGCGCAAGACATAGCAAGAGAGGGTGCATGGGGAAAGGGGGGCTTTCGAGAGCAAATACGGGCTCCGATATGAACCAACTTTATCGACTGGCTTTGTCCCCCACCCTCTGCTTGCTTCAAGACGCTCGCAAGCTTCCCCGGTTGGTTTAGACCTGGCCCATCCTCAATACCCCCCTACGAGGTCGAATAATGATCGAGCTTGCAACGACTAGCAGTGCATTACAGCACTCACCCCTGTTTCCTATCGTGTCTCCCTGTCGTTTCTTGTTTACCTCCCAGCACCGGGCAATTATGTCCCTCAATATTTGTGGAACCAATTGAGCTCGGAGGAAAACTTCACACCCTCTACCATTAGCAACTCGATGGTTGCAAGAAATTTCCTAGAAAATGTACAACCGGTACTTCTGCCAACAGACAAGTGTCATACAAAGCCCCATGTCAAACGCCTCGAGTTGCAAATACGTTAGGTCCACCGCTTGTCCTTGGGCACTGGCTCAGCTAGGACTTTGTTTTTGTTCTTATCTTGCCACTCGGTGGCCCCTCTGCCTGCAAGCTCCCGAAGCGTGCAAACGAAAGTGGTCATATGAGCCTTTTTTCGACAGCAAATCCATGACAAAAGTAGCAGCACCGCTTCTGCTTGTCCATCTAGTCGCAGGTGCCATCCCGTCTTCAGTGCACGCCCGGGTGTCATGCTATGTGTGGCCAGCACAGCAGCCGTCGTTGGTTTTTCTTTTTTTTTTTTTTTTTTTTTTTTTTTTTTTTTTTTTTTCTTTCTCTTTTCAGAAATCTCCTAGGTGGGTGGCTCCTTCACACACTCTTTGCACCTCTCGTCTTCCGTCCAATCGCTGGTCTTTTTTTTCTCACTCTTGCCACACGTTCTCTATGAAGTTAGACGTGCTGTGAGAGCCATCTGCAACTGCCCGCAAAGCTGAACAGAAAAACATAATCACGGCATATTGCATATCTAGAGGCAATTTTGCACCCCTGCAATAAAGTTCATGACTCCAGCGTCACACGCAGACGACAAAATTACAGAGTATGGCGCGCGGGGTTTCGGAGCTGGCTGATGTGCTGGCAGATGCAGGGCTCGACTCAGCTGGCCAGCCTTCGACTTCTCCCCGTTTGCTCTCAATGCTTCATCAGTTTAGTCAACACGGCCTTGCCAAGTCGCTATTTTCCCCTTCGCAGGTTAGTGCGTACGCTCAATTTGAAAACCACCAGTGAGCGACGTCAGGACACACTTTTCTCCACCAACACTACTTTCGCACCACCCGGGCCGAGCCTCTGCTAGCCCAGTGATTGGCAGAATAGTGTGAACAGGGGGGAAGGAAACAAATCACCGTTACTACACAGTGCGGCGAGGATCACTAACAAACAAGACAGGGATTATTGATTCAAAAGAGGACAGGCAGATGCCGTTGCTTTTCAGATGCCTTAGTCCTGTCACGCGAAATGATGCTGCCCTGTGGGGAGAGTAAATGTTTGTCTCTAATGCCAGTGACGGCGAGGTACTTGGCACCTTGCCCAACGGCCACTCAAGGTGGATCCGTCCAAGTCGGCACGCAATGTGACAAACAGCCGGAACACACGACCCAGACGCAGAGAGCAGAGATGCACCCATGTCTTTGTTTTCTCCTCCGGCTGGATACTTTCTCGAGGCGGTCATCGAATCTGCAGTTCGACTCGCTCTGGCTCTCGTTCTCGCCGCAACAGGCGGTCGCCATTCCGCAGACACACGCGTTGGATGACAGTGACCTTATCGGCTCATGCGATGCAATTTGTGAGACCAAACCTCTGTTTTACTTTTTTCAAGTCTTTCTTAGTGATGCTACCCTCAGCGGAAGTGCCGTTTGAGCATCCGAGATGTGAGAGTATGCTCAAAGTCAGAGAGAGAAGAGGGCAAGCAGAACGAAAACGCAGCGCTGTAGCGGTCTTTGCGTGCCTGTTTGACTGCCCTTGACAAATTTACAATTGGGCTAGCTCCATCGTCCAGATCAACAAAGTTTTTGGTGAGGAAGCCATGCGCTTGGAACCCGCTGGCCATTCTCGCTCTGCTTTTCTGTATAAATGGTTCATATCCAGCAACCGTTTATGTCCTCGATTCACGCTTCTCAGAAGAGCCCACACCAAGTACCGATCACAATTCTCAAACTCGCTATCCAAGACCGCATCTCTCCAAATCTGTCACCATGTGCACCGTCATCTACGTACGCCATCACTTCAATTTGTGTTACGGGTCTCACACTGGCTAACTTCGCTGTCAGCTTGACTTCAACTGTGGTCACGAGCAGTATATATTTCACAATTTCTGTGAAGATTTCATGAAGCGCGGTAAGCGGTGCTTTTCTAGGCTGTGCGAAATGCCAGAAGACGCCATCGTCAAGATCGAATACAGGTACGAAAGCCATATGCCACCAACCCAAAACACTACTTTGCTAACCTCACTTCCCTTCCATTACAGATTCGATATCTGCGGTATGTATGAAATGCAGACTTCACGACGTCTATCCAAACACAATGACAATCTAACTGCTCTATCCTTTCTACAGGCAATTGCAAAGTGAGGCGTAACGCGTATATCGCGGCCAGGAAGGCTATGGCATCACGCCTCGAGAAATAAGTGGCAAGGCAAGCGGGATAGACTGCCCACTCTGTCGTTGGTTAGCGGCAAGCAGAAAGTCGCTGTATCCCAAAGTTAGATTCGATAGTTGAACTGCAGTTTATGAATACAACATAGACATGCACCAGCGATGGTTCAGCTGGGCCAAAACACCAAAGGCGACGCAACCCACCGTCTCTAACTGGCTCACACCTCACCGCCCATCCATTTCCCAAGATTTTATGCATCTTGGTAAGCGACCCTCCTTGCCAAGTACGGCAGCATTGCTACTCTGCTACAGCACCAGTCTCCCGAAGACAGTGGAGACTCGTATCTTTTTTTCTCTCAAGTTTTTTGCGTTTTTGGACCCTTTATTTTGGGCGGGCCTTGATAGACACTAGCGACGATGATTTGGGTGATGTAGTCCGCTTTTCAACATCTTGGTTCAGAGATCGCTTGGGTGCAGGGATTTGTTGACATTCAGCGCATCCAGCATATCCAGCCAGCTGGTCAATCTTAGGCAGACGTGATTTTTTTATTTTTTTTGGATATTCCAACTTTTTGCTTTTCCGTTACAACAATTACTGCAAACAGCCAACTACACCTTGCAAAGCGACATTCCGAATCACAAATGGGGTTGTGTGCCCATGGACTTCCGACTGACTACATTTAGAAACTTTCCCGACCGGCTTTGGCAAAGTCACTGTTCATTTTATTCATTTCCCTATGGTAGGTTGGGACGCCCTGGGCATGAGACGTTGGTCTGTCTGCTAATGTTTATCTTCTGACATTTCTAATCTTAAGCCAGCCCCTGTTTCTCTCCTTCACCAACTACACGCTTGGCCACCCCACGCTTTCAACCAGAAAGTCATCGAACTGCACTGTGGGGGAACACAACGTCAGTCTAGTGACCTGGTGCAGTCGACCAGACGAGGGTTAACAAATTGGCAACACAGAAAGACGCAAAAGAGGAAAGACAGTTTACTTTCTTTTATCGGAGGGAGTCGTCGGCCAATCAAACGTTTACATGACAAAACCACACTCGGCTTTCAGCGGCCCTTCGTCATTGTTGTCAAGAGCTCGACACCTCGCGTCACATAAAGCCTCCGTATCGTCACATTTGTGGCTTTCGGTTTCTCATTCGCTCCATGCACGTTCCCGGCAGGCTGTGCTGTCTGTTTTGTCTCACTTGTCTCTGAGGTTTCGTTTACATGCACCTCCAGAGACGGGAATTTCTCATTTTTACAAGTCGCTTCCGAAGCAAGTCAACTGCATCCCACTCTGGACATACGCCGTACATCTTTCCTAACGCCCTCATCGGTTTCCTTACAGAGCCCGCACAACCGACACGGGTACCAACATAACGCTGCCTTTTTTGCTTTCTTGCTTTCTTGTGTCGCCTATGGCACACCGCCTTATGCCATGGGCTCAGCCGCGGCCACTGTTCGTGCACATCGTTTGATTCTCAGTTTTGGACTTTTCCCCTCCATACCAGCACATATGACACCACCTCGCCATCGCGGAGGGAAGCCGGGTGCAGTCCTATTGGAAGCCGTTTGCACTTTTCGCTTCCGATGATAATGATTCGTTGCGACAAAAAATGACAACAGAGACTCGCCCTGTTCCTGTCGTTTGCACTTCGTATCGGCATTCCGTCCGACCCCGAGCCTAGCCGGCATCCCCGTATGTATCTCTTTTTTTCGTCTTTTATGTCTTTTTGTCTCTTGTCTTCAATTTCCCTTCAGTTTGATACCCACATTTATTATTTTGTCCCTGACTTAAGCCGTCGTATCCGAACGTCGACTCACTATTATCTAGTATCCTGACCTTTTCTATCCAGGCGCATATGCTTCCAGCTTTGTCCAACCCGAAGCACTCAAGGAGTTCCAAAAGTCAAGCACTTCAGGTTCCGCCCTACTTTGTCAATCACTTCTTCACAACCATCACATATTTTGAACCTAGCCCCTGAACTTGCACCTCCCCTCCACTTCAGAGGAGCACCCCTGCTGCCCAAAGACAACAGACGTGAGGCTTCCTTGACCGACTCAATTTGTGACAATGTTGCACAACCTGCACAAAATAGATTGCCCAACGGCACAAGGAAGACAAATTGCCGCAGGGGAGAACAGACAACTCCACGCGAGGCATGGTGTGTTCTCTGGGACGTTTCTGGCGTTGGCCGGTTTCTCATGTAGCAAGCTCGAAATGGAAGTCTTGTTTGGCATCACAACCGTGGCAAGGCTCTTTTCTCCTTCTTATTCACGTTTGCAGTATTTTGTTCTGTCCCACATACTCTATTTACAGACACAGCCATCTCACATACACTGGCGTCTCCACCATCATTTCAGGAGCTGTCACCAACGCACCAGCGGTACCTCGCAACCTTTCGGATCCTCCCCTCCTTTACGACACGAGATACAGCGCCAAGTTAACCCACCAGTTACAAGAGCACCTCCTTCTGTCGTTGCGCCCCGTTTATCTTTGACATTCTATCTTTATTTGTGTATTTGTCCCTTGCTGACGCTGCAAAGGCGCACCGGCTGTTTGTTGTTGCACCCGAACGAAGGCTTGGCACGAGGTGATTGCCTTCTTTTTGTCTGCTTGTCTGCTTGTATTCCTGTCTACCTGTCTACCTGTCTTCCTGTCTTCCTGTCTTCCTGTCTTCCTGTCTTCCTGTCTTCCTGCCTTCCTGTCTTCCTGTCTTCGTCTCATCTCGTCTCCTCTTTGGAGTCCAGCGTACTGTACTCCCTACAAAGCGCAGAAAGGGTGGGTAGGACAACGTTTGTCGTATTCCCCTCCTCTCGATTTTAGTCCGCCTGCATGCTCTGCTTTCTTCCTCTCTCTTCTTCCCTGTGCCTGTGCACGCATTCTCCCCTCGCCTTATTTCCCCGTCTTGTTCTGTCTTGTCTTTCCCTCCCACATCCCTCCCACATCAGCTGTCAGTTCAGTCGAACCGATGTATCCCATGCACACATGCACCCAGGCACCCATGAACCCACGTACATGCCATCCCAGTGTGTTACAGGGGGCTCTTGTCCATAGTCAGTCATCCTCCCTTTGCAAGAGTCCGGCCGAAACGACGACCAGGAGGGTGCATCGTGGTTCTGTCAGTTGTCAGATTTGTGCTCTTAGGACAGCATCATCGCTCGCCGCGTATCCAGCTCTGGGGAGTATACGTGTGCGTCGTGAGTGTTTGCATTTATTTCCCGTTTCCGTGTCGCTTCCGTCAATAGTCTCAGTTCAGTCCAACCTTCCTTACAAACCCGTATCCTCATGTGATTCGCGGATCCTGATAGGTCTGATTCTCTTTACCGGCCCAGGATGGGCATCCTCTTTTCTTGTCATTATTTTATTCTCTCATTTTCCCTTTTTTTGTTTGTTTTTGACTTCTTATTCTGTTTTCTTGTTTGCATTCACATCCGCGTCGACCTTTTCTCATTATTTTTCGTCCACTTCGCCCCACTACATGCTGCTTGTATGACTTCACCTATGCAACTTCCCGTCGTCCTCTTCACCGATTCCCCCACATCCTCGCAACGTTTCCTTTTCTTGTTCGTGTTATTTTGTTGCTGTTTATTGCTTCCTCGTACGTTCCGCGTTTCTCCTTCTCCCACCCCCCAGCCCCTTGACTCACGTCTTCCTTCTGTTGGTAACAGATAGACATGTTTTGGGTACAGACTTGGGAAGCGTCGGGAAGGTCGACCCGCCTGGATGCCGTGGAAAAAGGGCCTGTATGCTTTTATTCTAGATTACCGTCCGCTCGCAGTCTGTAGTGCAGAGTGCCTCAACTCTCTGGCATGGTCTTCCCCCCTGCTGCCGGGGACGTCTATTTGTGGACGCTGGCATATCTCTGTGTGGAGTACAAAACTAAGTTACATTTTTCTGTTTTTATTCTACCCTCGGTCTGTAGGCCTGCGTTTGCCTGCAATTTAGCATCGTTTGCCATGCTGATATGATTCATCAGAATTTTGTTTTGCCGCTGTATTGTTTCGTTTGCACAAACAGGACCATGTGCAACCCGCTCAGCAACCGTCACCAGTATCCGTCTCAATGCGCCGCCCCGTGCCATTCTGCTCACTTCTCATTCTGAATGTGGAAAGGGACTTGCATCCCGTCCTCTCCTCATGGCCTGACGTTCTCATGCCTCTTTCCGTCAAGAGTCGTCGATGGTCTCATCCCCTTTGTTTGCTTCAGTGCCCATGGCTTGTTTTCTTTCTTGTTGTGCTCAAGTCGGAACCTGATTCACGCTTTCGTAGTTTGGAATATAAGTATATGTGATTTCACGCTCTCGAGACAGATGTCAAGGACGGAATGTCATCCCCATCTTTCCGCCTTCACATCTTCCCACTTTCATCACCTTTCCACATCCATCACAGACTCCACAGCCCTCAGTCCGACACTCTCTTTCTTCCTTGTTGTCCTTGCGTTCTGTCCCCGCTCACGCTCTGTCTTTATCGTTTCATCGTATTCACTGCTTTATTGCCTCTGCGTTTTATCTACATCACCAACAAGAAATATTGCAAAAAAAAATATTACAAAAAACCTATACATTTTCATAAATTTTACTTTCTGTTCTTCTGCGTTATCGAGTTCGTTGCATTTTTACTTGACTTTCTCAGTACGCCGCAATTTCACAATTTCGGACTCTCTTTTGTTTTGTTCGTCCCCTTTCTCACCAACCACAATAAAAAAAAAACAATTGGAAAATAACACAACGTTCAAAAACACATAAAAAACACACACACACACAAACCCCACATCGCATTGCACAAGTGTGAGTTCGCTTTCGTTGTCCGTCTGCTCAGTTTCGGTCAACTTGAATTTCTTCGCATATTTGTATTGGCACCTCCTGTTTCCAAGTTCACAACAGCTAGCACTATTTTCAGTCCTGTCGTTGCCTTCATCGAGCTTCCCAGCGCCTTCACATATCCATCACGACTTCAACAAATTCAGCGACTTTTGGACTCGCTTACGGCGGTCAGTCGAAGGCGTCCTCCATTCGCATCCAACGCACCAAAGGTATGTTATGTTGACCTTCCGCTTCAAATTTATCTGTCTACCCTCTCAACTTTTTGCTGACGTACCTTTATGCAGACGTTTCCAGAGCCACCTGCAACTTGCACGTCCGACATGGCATCCCGCAACACGCCCGAAACGTTCTTTGACGAGGTGATGCTACGTGATCTTGAGGATCCCGGTGAGACGAGACTCGCATCCCTCGACCAGGACGGCTCCGCAGCGGACCAGGTCCCTGCATTGGCTGGTGGTGAAGAAGACGGCAATGACGATGACGATGGCATGGTGTTTGAGATGGACGACCCCGATCTTGACGTCCCTCTTCCGGACATGAGTGGAAGTGCAGCAGCCATCTTCAACGTCCACCGACGCTCTGTATCCCACTCTGACTACCCAGCGGGGACAGCACCGCCATCGGCTCTCCAAGCTCACAACCGGTCGCGAAGCGGCTTCTCTGGCGCTGCTGCATCGTCCACCATAGTCGCCCACCCCCACACGCCCAGTGTGCGTCCGCTTCTGCAGACGTCTTCCCCATCGGCCCCAACAACAGGCGTGACGACACAGACTGCGGTGGCGTCCATCTTGCCCTTCTCGCCGTCCCAGTCAGTGCTCCCTGTGACGGGTGGCCGCGACACATTCATGGGCTTCCAGCGCGACAGCCACGTCTTTGACACGCCCCCCTTTGCATCGGCCGCGGCGCGCGCGCACGAGCTGCAGCAGGCGCAGTTCTATGCCACGCAGCGCCCTTTAAGGGCAGCGGCATCCAGCCAGGCAGCAGGTCCAGCGACTGGCGCGCCCGCCAGTGGCAGCCCCGGCTCCATTTCGATGCCCATTCCCATTCCCATTCCGGCACCGCACGCGGCATCGTCTCCCCAGCAGCAGCCGCAGCCGCACTATGTGCCCGGCGAGCTCCATCCGCACCATCCACAGCACTCGCGCTACTACCAGGCAAACCAGTCGAGCCCTATGGAGCTGGCCGCGAGGCACGCGCAGGGAACCAGCGCTGCCATGGCAAGCCCCACGCGCTCAGAGCGCCGGTCGTCCCGCTCGACCACAACCAACGCGGCTGCTCTTCCACCCTTTGCCGACAGCGAGGCGCCGGCGTTCTGGTCGACCAACATGGTGCTGTCCACGACGGAGACGGTCGGCATCGACCCGGCCGAGCTGATGAACCCGTGCGTGCCGCTGCCGCTGCCCACGCCGCTGCCTTTGACACCTCGCGCGGTGGTCGATCACTCTCTGTCACAACACAAAGACATTGTCGAGTCATGTGCACCGTCCGAGCCCTCGTCTTCACAGACATTGCAAGCCACTGGATCTCCGGTCGACGATCTGGACAGTCTCCTGGAATGGGGTGATGAGCAGGAGCAGGAGCAGAAAGAGCAAGAGGAGCAAGAGGAGCAAGAGGAGCAGGAGGAGCAGGAGGAGCAGGAGGAGCAGGAGGAGCAGGAGGAACAGGAGGAACAGGAGGAGCAGCACCAACAGCAGCTGCAACGGGAGCATGCGCAAGCCCAGGAGCGAGAGCAAGCCCAAGAACGCGAGCAAGCTCAGGAACATGAACAAGCCCAAGAGCGAGAGCAAGCCGTGGTGCAGCAGCAGGACCAAGCCATGCGCGACCGCGATGAGATTGCGCGACGCTCTGCCGACATCGAGCGGCTGCAAGACCTGCTCGTCCGCCAACGCAGCGAAGAGCACCAGCGGCATCGGGCACGCTTGGCCGCGGCCGAGGCGGCGGAAGACGAACGCGCCCGCAGAGCGCAAGACGAAGACGAGGCTGCCCGCCGCGAGCGAGAGCAGGAACGTCCGCGTGCCGCTGCCAACAACGACAATATCCGCTTCAGCATCCCCGCGGCAGAACGATCCACATCGGTCCAGCTCTACGAGTCCTTCATCGCTCTTCGTGCTGTTGTGCAGAGAGACGGACGACGGCAGTCCCAGTTGGCCGCTCAGGCAGCTCGAGCCCATGCTGTCCAGCCAGCCCCTATTGCACACCCAGCATACCCAGCACACCCAGCGCAACCGTCGCGGCCTGCTCATCCATACCAGGCATCCCAGCCGGGCTTGTACCCACAGCCACCGCCGCAACAGCACCCGCCTCACTTCGCCGCCGGACACACATCGTCTCTGCAAGCGACTCTGCAGGCCGGCATTCAACGACGAACGGCCGCTCATGTGGCGCGCGAGCTGGCTGGCACTCAAGCCGGCACCAGAACCAGCCATGGCACACTGGGTCCAGCGCCCCTTTGGACTCGCCCTTCACGCCCAGCGCCTCTGTTCATCTCGCCCTTTGGCCCACCGCCGGCGCCTCGAGCACCTCCCCCAGGACCGCCAGGACCGCCAGGACCTCCGCTGCCTCCACGGCCTCAGCCACCTATGCCCCCTCTCCCTCCCCTGCCTCCTCTGCCAGTGAACCGCCCCCTCCCGACGCTGCCTCTAGACTTCCCATATCCGCCGCGCCGGACTCGTTTCGTCCTCTCACCTCTGGCGGCGCCCTTTGTCCCGTCCTCGCAACGCCCATCCGCTACAGAGGATGCAGGTGCTTCTTCGAGCAGTGCCGATCCGCCCGCACCCAAGCGATACGAGCCCCTCGTCGTCAACGGCAGCAAGCCCTACATCTATGGCTACGTCCCCAGCGCGGACCGACACCCCATGTACCACCACAACCGGTACTACACGCCCCCCACAGCGCAGTCGGCACCGCCACCTCCCCCGGCACAGCAGGAGCCTGCCGCCTCGTTTCCAGTCCAGCAGCAGCCCATCGCTACCACCCATGGTCAACAGCATGGCTCGGCTGCTTCCACTCCCGAAGTGGTCGTCTCCATCAGCCATCGTCCTCAGGAGGCATCGGCCGTGCATGCACCCACCTCTGGTGCGTCTCCTGTCGCGGATCACAACGCATCGATCGCAGATCAGAGCGAGCCGCGGTCGTCTTCGTCGCCGCCCCCTCCATCCGTGTCACTGTCCCGCCCCCCTCGTGCTTCGTCGTCGCTGGTCGTGCGGCGCCAACGCACGACGTCGTACCGTTCGTCCCCGCCGTACAACCGCGCAGATCGGATCCCCGCCAGCCGAAATCGACCCCGGGTTCGTCGAGCGCTGCGCACCGTTCGATCGCGCCGCCGGGCTGAGGCCAGTGCGTCCTCGGCTGGGCAGCAGCCGGGCGACATCGACGACATGGCCGAGATGAGCGACGAGGAGGACGGCGCCGACCCGACCTGGCCTCCCACCGCCCTGTCGAACAATGCCGACTCGCCGCCGACCTTTTCCTCGGGCCCCCCCTCGCCTGGCGGACTGACGTCCTCGTCCTTTTCGTCTTCCCGCTCGACAGACTCCACAGCGTCGCCCGTCGCCACGACCTTTACGTCGGCAGCGCCATCCCTGCCGTCGTCTGGCGCGTCTGGCGCGTCCGGCCCGCCCTCTGTGTCGGCCGCCAGCTCGTCGTCGGCCTCCACCACTCGCTCGACCACGCGCTCGGCCCCTGGTGGCAGCACCAACCGGTCGCTTTCGCTCTTTTCCACGACGTCAGCGCCGGCGCCGCTGTCGTCGTCTGCCCCTGCACGCACAGCGTTCGCCCTCCCCGACGCCCGATCGCTCCAAGGACGCCGCCTGGCCGACATGGCCGCGCTGGCCATGACGCCGATTGTGCGCCAGGAACCGCGCCCGCAGCGGCCCGTCGTCGAGAAGCAGCATCAGCAGCAGCAGCAGGCCATCACGGACAACTGGTCTGGCGACAACCATCCGACAAGCTCGTCAGCCGCGATGGATGCCGAGGCCGGTGGCGACGTGGCGGCTGTCCTGTCGCAGACGGCGGCACCGATGGCGCTGGCACACCGTCCTGATGCCATCGCGGATGCCATCGCTGAAGCCGACGTCGATACCAACGTCGATACCAGCGTCAACGTCAGCGTCGATCTCGACCTTGACACGCGTGCCGTGGAACCCGTGGTGTCGGATGCCGACCTTGATGAGGGCCATGACGAGTTGGAAACGGCCAATGCTGCAGCCACCGCCGCTGTCGAGCCGATTGTCCATGCACACGCGCGTCTTCCGTCGACCCATGCCAGCGATGCGAGTGCTGTCGGCGACCTGGCTATCACGCCATCGCTCCCTGTGTCTGTGCCTGTTCCTGTGCGTGTGCGTGTGCGTGAGCCTGTCCCTGCGCCGCAGCCTCGCCCTCTGCCCCCCATTCCTGTGGAGGGGCCCCTCTCCCCGGCCCACATCTTCCTCTTGCGCTGCCCGCCCTCCTTTTGGATCGACTTCGTCCCCCTCTGGGCCTACGAGATCAACATTGCCCGCTACAACTTTGTCGCCTACATGGAGCGCACGCGCCAGTCGCTCAAGAACCCGCCGCCGCCGCCGCCGCCCTTTGCGACCTCGCCACGGCGCCCGCGCCCGCTGCCCCCGCACTGGACGTGGCGGTGCAGCTGCCGCCGCCGGCACATTGTGGTGTTGACTCCTGCGTCGTGGGGGGTGGCACCGGATCCGCAGTGGTGTCGTCGGTGTGGGGATGTGCAGCCGGCGCGGTGTGACGGCGAGGAGGGCGTGGACGACAGCGAGGACGGTAGCGGTAGTGGTGGTGGTGGTGGTGGTGGCGGTGGAGGTTGTGGTGGTGAAGGTGGACGTGGTGGTGGTCACGGCGGCCATGGTCCTGGAGGCGGCTCTGGTGGTGGTGGCTGGCCACCGCCGCCAATGCCGCCGCGGGCGGATCATCAGTACCGGTACTGATGCTGTTTCTTTACATTGTGTTTGTTGTTCTACTCTGTTTGTTTTCCTATTCTGTTGTTGTCCTACTCTGTTTGTTTCCTATTCTGTTGTTTTCCTATCCTGTTGTTTTCCTATTCTGTTGTTTTCCTATCCTGTTGTTTTCCTATCCTGTTGTTTTCCTATCCTGTTGTTTTCCTATCCTGTTGTTTTCCTATCCTGTTGTTTTCCTATCCTGTTGTTTTCCTATCCTGTTCGTTTCCTTGACTTGATGTTCGAGTTTGCCAATGTCCTGTCCAGTCACTGTTTACGTTTGGATTCATTTTCTTTTCACCCTATGTCTTGAGCCCCATCCTGTACTTTTGAGTTGAGTATCTCCTGTCTCCTTGCCTTCGTATTTCCTTTCCTCTATTTTAATATTTGTTTTGGACCTGTTTCTTTTTGAGGAATATTTCCTATGTTTGGATTTGATTTTGATTTGACTTTGGTTTGACTTTGATTTTGATTTTACTTTGATTTTACTTTGATTTGATTTTAGTTCGTCTTGTTTAGTATACTCAATAAATCTCTCCTCTCTGACATTTCTATGTGCATGCATTTTTCGCGAGCCATTCTTCAGGTTTCCAGCAATTACATTTGCAAATATCCAGGCAGGTGATCCTTTCCCGTTTGTGATTAATACACTTCACTAACTCTGCTACTACTCCCACTCCGCTTTTGTCTCCGTCCAACATCAATTCATAGTTACAACGGCCACAGTCAAGATCACCGTTTGAGCCCCGTGGTCTGGAGTTCTCCCTCGTTTCCATCTTCTTCAGCCTTCTAGGACCATCCCTGGGTTCACGCCATAGACTTTGGGACGGTGAGCAACAGAAACGGGTCTGTTGGATGACCTTCTTTTCTCCATCTCGCAAACATGTCTAAACGCGTTTGGTCTCTGCAACGCGACCGCCAAGCGCATAGCGGCCGATGCAGTACCGATCTCTGGCCTCTCTCTCGGTCCAGACTGGGCTGCACAAATAGTGGTCTGCGGTGGATCAACTCAGTTGGGTCCATCACGAACTACTTTCGCAAGGTCGCTCTCTGGCGAATAAAAGGCCATATTCACAGGACTGTCGACTCAGATATCTCCGGCCGGATTTACCACAGTACATCACCGTCGACGTCTGCTGACCAACGGGCCGGAATCGAGGCGGAGGATACAATGTGCTATGGTGAATCTGGAGAGGTGACTTTCTTGATCTTGATACACCACTATGAGACAGACCCAAAGAAGGCCACAACTCATGGCGTAGAGCACACCTAACAGACACTCTTCCATTGGAAAGCTCCCTCCCTCGCACGGCCGCTACTGGGAGTGAGACGATTTCGGGCACTGTACGGAAGACAGAGTGCACTAACTCTCTGTGGTCGGAAACGAAGCCGTTCGCCAACGGCGAAGAGGCAATTCGACAACAGTTACAGCGTTCGACAGCCGTTGCTTCCGTTATGGCTCTGGTGCTCTAGTGCCTGCTGTGCCTTTGCCTGTTGGGGGCGACTCGCCGGAAGGGGAAATAGTCCGCCGGAAGGGATGTAGTCCAACAGCGGGAGGAGCCAAGCTGAAGAGTTGCAGTCGGCGCTGAAGCTAAAGCTAAGCTACTGCTGGGAATAGAAAGGGAGAGATTGCAAGAGATTGCACTATCATCAGCAGCCGACAGACTCCAACTGACGACTGGCAACTGAGCCGGCAGAGCATCTCCCTTGTCTACGTCATGTTCTTGGCGAGTGATCACAAAAGCAGACGGCAAATACCAGGAGTGTGAGCCCGAGATGGCCGAGATGACCGAAAAGTGACCACTTTGGACGAAAGAGGAAAAGAGGACAACATGAAATGAAGCGTGTACGAAGGGGCACGATGGGTCGCCTTTCGTCTTCTGTCACTCTCGCCTCTGTCGCCTCTGTTGTCGCTTTCGTCGCTCTCGTCCTTCAAATGGATCTCCAATGAGCGTCATCGGCTGTCCAAGTCATATGAAGTAGCCACAGTGGCGCGATGCTGTCAAACTGCGCCTACACCAGCCATTCAAGGCCGTTGCTGCTGTCACTAGCAGGCCGTTTCAGTGACAGTCCAGGCCAGTGCCTTTCCTCCTCCCGCCCCTGTCGCACTTGCTGGCCACCAACACGCCCAGACAGCTCCTGTTTGTGAGCCCCGCTTTATGCAGGCAATATTGGCGGGGTCGTCTTTCAGCAGGGCTTCACTTCTTCTGCAGGGGATCTTGAAGGACCCCCTGCAGGGCAGTCAGAGACCAACTTGACTGCTCTCCTCTTGTCGCTTTCCACCCAGTTGTCTGTCACCATATCAGTTGTCACCCACATTCTATTTCAGAAATGAGAGCTGTTCTAGAGTTTGCTCGTCGTTGTGCTTCAAGCGGCCATCTTCTGCCCTCTTGACTCTCGCTGGAGCTGAAGCCATCTTGGTGGGGTCCTCTTACCGGCTTCAGTGGATCCACCGGCAGCTCAGCAGGCCACATCCCTGCACGCGCTAAGACGTTCAGCACGGACCAAACCCACCCAAGCCCAGAAGCCAAAACCCGCCGATCGCCCGCTAGGGAAACCCTATTTGGACTCCTTGCCCTTTCCGGCCACTAACACAAAGTGAGCAGACGCCTGACTGGACAAGAAACGACAGACACGACAGGCGACATAGCGCAGGCGACAGACAGAGAGACAGCGACCGTTGGGCCTAAAATGGACTCTGGCATGGGGCCAGGTCCGTCAGGCCCCAATATATCCAACATTTGGACGGTATCCCTTCTTACGATCCTTCCCTTGCTCCATTTTTCCACATACTGTCGGCCATGGGCCTATTACGGGATTGTCTCGCTACAACGTTAGGAAACCAGCCGTTCTGAAAACAGCATGCCTCCGGGGGAGGGGGGACTAGTGGAAGCGTCACAGGGGGTTTAAGCGCTGTGCTGGTGTTGGTGCTAGTATAGAATCGAGGTTGGGTCTTCAGGGCGAGCATCCGGCCGGCCCTCGCAGTGTGGCCGCAGGTGGTCCTCCAACAGCAAATCGCCGCCTCCCATCTTTGTGTCTCCCTCGTCTCGACGGTCTGTTTTCCTTCCGTCATCCAACTTCGACACTACACCTCGACCAACGTCGATTCCACTATCCAGACGTTTGGATTTCTCTCCTGACGCTCTCGTAGCGCCGGAGCTATAAGCATCATTTTCGTTCGTCTTTGTCGCTGCCAGCACATCTCCGGGCTCTCAGCAGCGAGAACAAAGGCGCCGCCCAGCTTGTGTCACTCACTTTGTTTCTTCCACTTTCTACAAGATATCTCCGGCGCTTGCGAGTAGGGTGATTCACCCCGGAGCTAATGATCTCAGGGCAGGGCTGACGAAGGGAGAAGAGGAGGCGACGCGAAATGAGAATCATGCAGCGAAGCACGTGGTTGGGGAGAATTGAAAGACAAGAGGGCATCTGAATCCTGCCTAAGAGAACCCAATGCAATTAGAGGCAACAGAATTTGAACGGCGAGCAGAGAAGGGCCGACAGGACGTTTGAACCAGCCGTTGGTCTGCGCTTGTCCGATCTACGATCTCTGGCTATGCTCTGGGGACACGCTCGGCACTGTCACCGGTTCCTTTTTTGGGACCATCCTGAAGTCTGGATAGAATCCTGGGTCGGACTACTGCTTCGCGTCTTCGCCGTCCTCGCACAGCATACCACAATGTGCGACAGGAAACGACACGTTCTGGTGGACATTTGTCCGCAAATTGCACAATCTCTATAAATGTAATGAGACAGAGGAATCAGATGGAGTGATGGACAGGTTCTGCACCCCGGACCCTGCGTGTTATGTACAGTGTAAAACGTACGACATATCGTTTGTGTTGAACGAGCTGAGAACATCCTGAGGCAGATTGATCGTAAATCAAGAAAGCAACGACTTGAAGACCACTCAGAAATACATATCCGCTGGCCTGAGGAGGCGACGGCTAAACACTGGCTGTGACATTGGAAACAGACCACTGAAAGCACAGCGTACAGGAGGTACGACATACATTGGATAGGTATAGGCACCAGGAGAGTGGGAGGGATACTCGTAAGTGACAAACGACAGGCGACGGCGACAGGCGACGGCGACAGGCGACGGCAACAAGTGACAAGCGATACAAAAGACCAGACTCAGAAATAGTACGACGCACAAGAACGAGAAACTGAGCAGATAGCTCATATTTGCGCCCACGCAGGACAAATGGTGGGAAACCACCTACAGTGAAGTCGAGCCGGCAGACGAGGTGCCGAGAAAGCACACAGCACTATAGCTAGATTAGCGTTGGTGACACAAGAGGAAAAGGCAGCGGGGCCAAATGGGAACCGTGAAGGCCTCATGCCCCCAAATGGGAATAGTGGAAGTCGACTGCGAGCAAAGAAGGGGAGAGAAAAGGGAGGTGGCTGGGAAGAAAGGTGGCGGCAAAACAAAGAGGTAAAATCAGAAGGCTGGCGATTGTCTGAGAAAGGAAGAGACGAAGCAGGTCGAGGAGGGAAGACGACCAGAGATGATGGGAGCAAAGACGGGAGAAAGATGGGAACAAAGATGAGAGGAAAAAGAGAGAAAAATGAGAACAAAAAGAGACCAAAAAGAGAGCAAAATGAGAGCAAAAACGGAACAAAGATTGGAAGGATGGAAACATGCACGGGACGATGTTTAGCGGCTCTCCCTTTCTCCCTTTAGCAGAGGGCCAGCACGTCCAGTCGACACAGACGTCGTACGGCCGGCCATCCTTTGGCTCTTTAGCGTGTCTGTTGGATATGTTGGTCTGTTGGCGTCTGCAGGGCTACGTTTTAGTGGGTTTACAGTAGCGCCCAGTGACGAGCGCCTACTGGACGTGGGGGAAGTCCTCGTCCTCTTCCGCTGTGTCGCTCTCCTTGCAGACTATGGCAACTCGTAGAGCAATGACAGGCGTAGAGGACGACCGTACACATCGTCAACAAAAAGCGAACCAGTTCCTACAGAGTCCTGTATATACAAAGGGCAGCGTGGTGCAGACGCGACAGAATACAAAGGGAGACACTCCAAACGGTGTGCAGTACCTGTTTTGGCCATATGGATGTCCGCGTCGTCTGTCGTTCGTAGCATGTTCATTGTAGACGAGGAGTGTTACAAAGAAGAACAGTCTGTTTGATGAATGTGTTCTGTATTGGAAAAGTAAAATGAAAATTATCTGGTGCTCGGTTGTCCGAGACTTTGCCGTGGCTTCCATGCTGGATCCATGCATTCTAGGTATCCCTAAGTCCATCACGTCCATGTTCCATATTTCCTCCATTCCATAAGTGACTGTCGAAAAGAAAGGGTCACAAAAGAAAGTTGAACAAAAGAAAAGAAATCAGAAAAAACACATGATATGTTGCGCCGAGATTCAAGTCTCGGCTACAGGATATTGCTGACGGGGAAATGGAAATCGTAAGAGACGATGAGACAGAAGAAACGTGCTCAGACGGGCACACATAATGTGTGGAAATGAAAATGCAATACAGAAAAGAAATGACGATAGCTAATGAGTGCAAAGAAACAAGCCCTGACCTGGCAAAAGATGATGTAGGGAAAATGCCAACCTTAGAAAAGATTAAGAAAAAAAGAAATAGGAGAAAAAAACGGACGCAGTCCTGTCAATGCCGTCAATCGAGAACCACACAGGTCGATGAGAAAATATCATCTTAGGGCTATTTGAACAAGCTTTCCCAATGAATGCTGGTGATCGCTCGTTTGACATATCTTCGTTGATTCTTTGATCTTCTGAAACCTCGCGCCCTTAGAGCAGCAGTAGATGCCATGATACGTAAGGGAGAAACGCTGTCAACTACCCAGAAGGGACAAATCAGCTTTGGTTCGAAAGATAATACAGAATAGCTACTCACAGAATAATAATCTCTGATTCACATCTCGTTAGAAGGAGACGAATGAGATACAACAGATGTCGTTTCAGAAGTCCATCGGAGGAGTAGGCAGCGAAGCCATAGCAATGGAGGTGCTGGTCTCCTGGATCGTCTCCTGGGTTGTCGCGGTTGACACGTTCTCAACATTGTAGACACCGTTGTTGCCCTTGGCGCGGCGGCGGATCTCAGAAGATTTCCGAGGGTTGTACTTGTAGGTAGGGTGAAGGGCCTCAACCTGGCGCTTGATATCCACGGCCATCTTGTGGTAATGGACACGGATTTCGTCAGTTTCACCATTCCACTGACGACCAAGAATGATTGCTGGTGCATGTTAGACTTCAAAATGCTATGGTTAATTGAAATTTTCGAAAGGACAATGACTTACAGATTTCATTGTTTGAGAGTTTTGGGTTTGCCTCCTTTACAGCTCTGTGGCGATCCTTGCGATAGAGGATATAGGCATTGGGAGGGCGTGGGACCTTGATTGCACCACCACGACCATTGCGACGAATAGTGGAAGAGGAAATTGGGGCTGCAGGGCTGGACACCAGGGTCGAATCTTGAAGAGGATAGCCAGGAGGAACCCAAACATCAAGCTCTCCGACGCAAGACACAATGTTTTCAGGGCGGAAGTAAGTAGCGCGGCCGAGGAAGTAGCGATCTGAGTGGGTGCCACTACCATCAATCACGAATTTGACCATGGTTTCGCCGACAGCACTATAGAACATGGCGTTAGAATGTGTTAACCGTTGAACAATGCAAAATAGACTCGGAAACTTACATAGCAAAGTTATGGGCAATGTAATGCTTGCCACCGTCGTCAAGGATGCGAAATGTAGGGCCTGGAATGCCAACAAGGTCATTTCCAGGCATGACTTGAATGGCGAGGCTCGTCCAGAACTGAGCCAGGATAGCCGGGTCAATGATAGTATGGATGACAGAACCGTTTAGGTCAATGCTAAACATCAGCGGTGACATCTGTGCGACATCCATGGCGTATTGATTGGCGCGGGTGCGTTGTTGGTAGTTTGTTAGAAAGAGGCGAAATGGAACTCGCTTGTATAGCGGAATGATGGGTCGACGACGAGAAGTGAAGACAACTGATGATCAAGGAGTACTTGAAATAATTAGAGTTGGAGGTTTCTTGTTGAGAAAAAGACGTGGAAGAAATGAAGTGTGTTGGAAAAAAAAAATTGGCTGGAAGAGGGGGAAAGTTAAAGAAGAAGAGGGGAGAAAATAAAGAGGGAGAGAAAATGCAGGAGATTTTAAAGACATACGCTCGTGGATAGATTCCTTTGTTTCCAGCGAGAGGGTTGTGAGGTACATACTCCCAGGTACATATTCATTAGTGGCGTATGTACTCTATTGAGGAAATAAAATGGTTTATTCACAAACCCCATATTTCTGCCAAATTGGGCAGACCAACTCTACATACAGGAATACCATCTTCAAATGACAAGGTAATATGTTTCGAAGTATTAATTTTGGGAAAGAACACTTTGGATCCTTGGAAAAGTCATTAGATCAACGTCGACATATTACAGCAAATCGTGAGCATCGATACCCAATAAATGTTATACTTTTACGTCACATCATCTGGCAAGCAAAACAGCTAGTTCAGTGGCAGGATCAGAAACTTCTATACTTCCGGGGGAAGTAGAAGAAATGCAAATTGACTTATTGGCAGAAATAAACTGCTTCGTTTTGGAATTTGTTTGGCTGTGCTATTCATTCTCTTTGGAGGTAAATCGGGAAATCAATAACATATTCTGGACTAAGGATTTGACAAGTCTGTCGATCATCCTCTAACCCACAGTGCAGCTATAAGATGATTTTAATTCCCTTCGGGTGCCTATTCTTTAGATTGAAATAGGCAAGCATCTTTCTCATTACTTCTAGGAATCTCCACTGTCCTGTCCCTTTCCGAACATTACTCGAGGTCATATTAGGGTGGATTTCACACCTCTTTCAAGACAGCAGACTTGATCGAAGAGCTCGACATCTTAAGCAAGATTTCTCATTTCTCTCCTCTTCTAATATTCTATTTCTTATCCTCCGGCTTCCGCTAACTCCCGTTTTAAAGCCAGACAGAAATTGCTTTGCAAGTGCTTTCATATCTTGTCACTTTGGAAATGCCTCCAATTACAAGACTGCCATCAACTCCGAGACAGAGAAGTTCTCACCGTCAAGGATCCAATTCCAGCGGTGGAGAATCATCTACAACACTCATGCGAACAGATGTGTCGCAACCCTTTACCCTAGCTGTGCATTTAGAAAAAGGAATTTTGGCTGATAGAGAATGCCAGGACAGCAGAGATGAACCTATGGTGCTGCCTACGCTCACTTTTTGCACGGATACAACCCAAGAGATACGTGGTACAAGCAGCTGCAATCTGATTCATAGAGAAGCTGTTGATTTAATGGATCTCTCATGTGAAAGAGAAACAATAGAAGTTAGTCGGGTGGGATGCGAGCTGGAGCCAGAGACAGACAGTACTGCATCATCCATTACCTATCAAAGAGCCAATGGAAAAGACGACAGTAATGACACTCCTGACAGTTCTGTCAAGGACATATTACGTCGTGCAAGCCAGGCTGGTCATTTGGATGACGAGACAATTGTTGCCTCAGAGAACAACGACGAACTCAGCAGCCTCCAGTACAGAATTGTTCCCGAACATAGAAATGCCAGCCCCAACAACGCCACTATCGAAGACGGCAAGGAATGGCTTGACCGAGAGCTGGAGCGCATCTACAACACCGAGTCCAACGATACATCCTGTCATTGCGGCGGCGTCGGTGGCGACCATCTTTCGACCGGTGACCAGTCCACGACGGTCCGAAGCGGCCGCCCGGACGAAGTGCACGATGTCAGCACCACAAACGGGACCACACTCCAAGACGCGAACGGCAGTGCAAGACTGAATGCCTCGGCCCTTACCAGCAGCCAATTTCCCAACAACGGCCGTCTCGAGATCCTCAACAGCGTCCTGTCGACACATCTGGACACAATGGGCAGCGACAACGAAGCGACTAACTACATGGACAGGGTGGCGCGTCTGTCTGCTTCGTCTGCGAGCGCGTCACTGGCAGCATCGTCGGCAGCAGCCACCGCAGCTGCGCCCGCTTCATTCCCATCCTCATCCTCAACCTCGGGACACTTGAGAAGCTCGTCTGGACGCTGCCTTGGCAAGCGGCGTCGTGACAGCACGGACATTGGCAGCGAGACGCTGGCCGGCGGCGACTGCCCGACGATGCCTGAAGACGTCGATCCGGCGGTTTCACACGACGGTGGCCCCGACGATGAGCCATCGGAAAAAGCCAAGGGAAAGAGACCCGAAGGCGCCATCAGCCCCAGGAAGAAAACCAGGAGGCGCGAGGCCATCAATGGCTACAAGAAACACATGAAGACGCCCGAGCCCTTCCCACACGAACGTCCGTCGGTCTCCTTCAAAAAGGGATACAGCGAGAACCTGGCCAAGACCTTGACGGCTGTCACGCAGGAACTGGAGGAACTGCAGCCTTTGTCGACTGGCATTGCCGCTGCGTCCACCGCAGTCACTGCGGACACTACAGACATCGCAGACAATACAGCCACTACAGACACCGCACAGCCTCAGCCACCCGTCTGTTACACCCAAGCGCCGTCACCGCCTCCAACACGACCGCAACCTGCCCTCTCGGCTTCCCAAGCCATGCCAACGGCGACTTCAATGCAGGCCCCGCAGCCCATGGAGGTGGTCCCGCCGATGCAGCATCCGTCTCCCATGCAGAGCATACTTCCGATGCTGAGCCTTCCACCAATGCCGCCCATGCCGGTGGTCTCTGACGAAGAGATGCGCTCCTACCAGGACATGCAGGCCCTGAACGCGATGCGCGCCATCGAGGACCTCCAGGCCATGGACACCGTGCAAGCCATGCAAGGGCTGCCGGGCATGTCGGGTGTGGCCGACGACATCCCACTGATGCCCGCCATCCCCATCCCGGACGCCATGGCACACGCCCTCCAGCCCATGCCGCCCATGCCGCACGGTCTGCCCACGCCCACATACGACCACCACAACACCATCAACCAGGCCATCAACCACGACGCCGCGTACACGGCAGGCTACAATTCTGTGCCGCCCCCACCGTCGCTGGTGCCGGCGGGCCATGGTGGACTCCACTCGCCCGAGGTCGACGACTACATCGAGGTCGACGACTACTTTGGTGTGGCAGCCCCCATGGACATGGACTTTGCGGATCCGGAGGCGATGCACCGCTTCATGAGTTTCTGTGAGGAGCTGGGGACGAGTCATGGTATGTATAGACATGTTCAACGATTTCTATAAAACCAGTAGTGTTACTAACAGCAGGCAGACGGTCTCGATACCACGAGCGAGTTCCCGTGGATCTAGTGTTTCTTGTAATTTATTTCAATTTGTTCAACTGGATTGCACACTCGTGTTTTCTTGCCAAGATTGCACACACAATGTATTCCACTCTTGGTTTATTTTGCTTTTGGATTTTGTCATTGTCAATATTATATTTCTGCATTTGTGCAGAGACGGGGTCTTTTACTTTTTCTTTCCAAGTGCCAGCGTTTCATTTCTTTCTGTCTTCTTTATTTCTTCTATATTTTGGTTTTCAAAATTTACAAATTTCACAAAACATGACGACGTTTTCTTCCCTTTATTAATTTGACGACATGTCGTTGCAACAACCAATCGGCATTCAGACCCAATATCAGATCCTCCGGCACTTTTTCCATTTCCTGTGCTCACTTTTGCGTCGATGTCGCCGGTACGTGGGACATGGAATGTAGGCTAAATTGGTCGAACCGTTGTGTACTTCTTCTTCTTGGCCTTCTAGAACAATCAAGCCTAGGTCGTCGACACGATCGACGAACGAAAAAGGGGCGCAAGCACAGCATCCGGCATCATTCACAGATAGACTGTGCGCAGATCTCGTTCTACTCTGGACCAGATCGTGGTCGTAGATTCGGTGTGCCGCCTCCGCTATGGCCTCCACCTTGTCCACTAGAGATCTGGGGTTACAGTGGCTCGAGTGGGCCACAGCCAGCGTAGGGCATCTAAACTGCGGCGGACAGCAGCTGAAAGGTTCACTGTAGAAACAGCATGCCGCCATTATTGCGCCACTGCTGTTTTCTGGCTAGACCACACTGGTTCTTTCCACCCGCTCTCCTTCCGGCGCACTGTCCGAGGACCAGTCCCCCAAGTCAGCATCAACTGGTACCTTTCCCCGTAAAGAGCAAATCGGCCACTCCTTCGCTACGTCGCTCGTTCACTCGAGAGTGCAAAAACCTGGTGGCTTGGCAACAACTGCGGTGGCTGGGAAACAGCAAGCTCATTGAGGGGAGGATATAAAAATGGGGGCAATCGAGGAAAGTGAGGTTGTGTCACCTCAGTGCCGTCTCCAGAGGCTCCGCTTGCTGCAGGTACAATAGGGACTTGACCTCGATGTACATTTTTCACGACGCTCGCGAGGCTCTGAAGCTCTTGGAGCTCGCTTTCCAGCCACCTGCCTTTCTCTTGGTTGCTCGCAAGTCTCCACTCACACTCGATTGGCCTTGGTGAAGCTCGACGAAGGTGTGGGGACACGAGCGCATCGAGGTCTTCCTTTGGTCTTGGCAGTAGTGACACAGTCGTCCTCTGGTAATGTGGTCGGTGACGAGGTGGACCGTGACGGGGTGGACCGCGGTCCAAGTCAGAAGAGTGACTCACAAGTTGACAGCATGGTGACGGGGTGCTCAAAGGTTGACGACATGTTGAGATCTCTCAGTTCAAAATCACGTGCCGCAGAAGCTCGTCGAATTGCATCGACACGGTTTCGTGTATCGCGATATGGGTGCACACGACCTGTATACTGTGCTGGCAGCATCAAGAAACGCACCCTCTTTTTTTCGTCTGTCCTATATACAACCTAGAAAACAAGAAAGGGATGAGAAAACTGAGGCGACGGTGCAGTAAGACAAAAAGCTGTAAAAACGAAGGATCGAAGCAATGAACAACTGAAAGAGTAAAAGTCAAATGTAATAAGTAATAATTGGCCAACATCGAGAGAACGAAAACACAGGGAGGCGCAGCGGGTGAGGAAGAGAGACGCGGGCGCACAATGCCCACCCGTCTTCACTCTTCCTGGTACGAAATCTTGCGCATCTCGCCCAGCCGCCGCCGCGCCGACGACAGCGCGTTCTCCAGCTGCAGGATCTCGACCTGCTGCTCCATCTCCCGCACCTTGAACTCGTGCGAGCCCAGCTTCGAGTAGTCCACCGCCTCGTCCGACTCGGGCTTCAGCAGCGACTGCACCTGCCGCACCAGCGACCGGCACGCCGCGCCCACCGACTTGCTCGCCACCTCGAGCGCCTCCTGCGTGCGGCTCGCCAGGCCGCCCACGGCGCGCACGCGGCTCGCCGCCACCAGCTGCGCCGTGCTGGCCGCCACGTCGTTGGACGCCACAATCAGCTGCTCGGGGCTGTTGCGGTTCGACAGCACGCCGTCGGCCGTCTCGATGAGCGTGTTGGTCGACGCCGCCACGGCCTTGGCCGCCGAGATCAGGCCCTCGGTCCAGCGGTTGTTCTTCTTGTAAAACGCCGTCCGCGACTGCGCGCCCCGGCCCGCCTGCACAATGTCCGCCTGCGCCGCCGCCGCCGCGCGCACGAGCTCGGCCACCGCCGACGTCACCGCGCCCGCCGCGTCCAGAATGGCCTCGTGCACCTCGACCTTGTACGCCGCAAACGGATCCCGCGGCTTGTTGCGCAGCGCCGCCAGGCGCGCCGCCGCCGCCTTGACCGCGTCCGCCGCCTTGGCCAGCTCCTTCTCCACAATCTCGCCCGGGTCGCCGCCCTTGCCCAGCGTGAAGCCGCGCGGGAGAACATCCACCAGCTTGTTGAGCGCCTGCAGCGTCAGCTGCACATCGTTGTTGCCGTTGATCACCACGTCCGTCTTCTGGATCGCGTCGAGGCCGTCCAGGCGCCAGCTCTGCAGATTGCGGAAGAAGCGCGCCGTGGCCTGGGCGGCGACGCGCGCGGCGTTGATGAGCTTGTCGTCGTCGGTCGTGCGCCGCGCAATGCCCTTGACGCTGGGCACGAGGTCGGCCACCGAGCTGGCGAGCGTCGAGATGTTCTTGGGCAGATCGGCGAGCGCCGCCGGCGGCGTGTTGGGGCCGTCGGCAATGTAGTTGTTGAAGGCCGTGGCACACTCCATGGCGGCCGACGACGCCTTTTCGACCTGGGACATGAGGTAGGGAGGGAGCGCAGACGGGTTGCCGGCGTGGAGGGTCGAGTCGAGCTCGTAGAGGGAGTCGTCGACGCGGGCGGCGGCGGCATCGAGGACGGCATCGATCAGGTCGTCCAGCTTGCCCACGAGGAGCGTGTCGATTTCGTGGTCGGCGGACTAAAGTGAGAAGAGCGTCAGCAAATAAAATATGAGATGAAACACATACGTAGGCATGGCGCCGATTGGCACTCACCTGTCCCTCCTTGAGGACCTCCAGCTCCTCGAGGGCCTGGTCCATGCCGGCCTTGTAGACGGCCAGTTCGTCCTCTTTGTCGCGCAGGGCGCGCTCGAGATCCGTCGAGCCGTTGCTGAGCTGGCCGCGGGCCTCGTCGAGGGCCACGGTCTTCAGGCGCAGCGCCTCTTCGAGGTCCGCCAGCTCCCGGTGGTACTTGGACACCATGGTCGAGAGCTCGTTGCCCTTGGACCGCTCCAGGTTGTCGGCCTTGTCCTGCGCCATGCGCAGCTCGCGCTGCAGGCGCTCGACGTCGTCCTTGTTGGAGCCCTTGAGGCGGTCGCGGTCGTGGAAGGCGCGGTCGCGCTCGCGGATCATGTCGGCCAGCTCCAGGTTCTTCGTCTTGAGCTCGCGCTCCAGCTTCTCGCGCCGGTCCACGGCCTCCTGTGCCGACGCCGCCTTGAGCTGCACCGTCTTGAACTTCTGCAGCAGGTCCAGGTGCTCGTGGCGCAGCTGCGCGTACAGCTTGGCGAGCGCGTCGTACTTGGACCGCCACGTGTTGACCTGCTCCTGCAGCGCGCGGATCTGGTCGTCCTTGGCGCCCTGCTGGCGGTTCGCGTTCTCCTGCTGGTTCGCCAGCTCGCCCTCCAGCGCCTTGACACGGGCATCGTACTGCTGCAGCAGCAGCTGGTCCTGCTCGTACTGGGCGCGCGCGTTCAGATTCTCGCGCTCCAGCTCGGCCAGGCGGCCCTGCGTCTGCCACTGCGACTGCTGTGCCGCCAGCGCCTCTTGCTCGCGCCGCTGCTGCTCGGCCAGGAGGCGCTGCTGCTCCTCAAATTCCTGCTGGGCGCGGAGGGCGGCCTGCTGCTGCGCCAGGGCCTGCTGCTGCGCCCGCTCCTCGAGCACGCGCTGCTGGTCGGCAAACTCCTGGTTCTGGCGCTCCAGCTCGCTCTTCCAGAATTCCGACATCTCGTCGGGCTCGTCGGACTTGGGCTCGGCCGGTGGTGGGGAGGGGGCGCGCTCGATTTCTTGCTTGGGGCGCGCAGGGAGGGCGGGCGCGGTGGCCTCGTCTGCCAAGAGGTTGGGAGGGTCGGCCGACAGCTTCGGGACGTTGATGAGCGATGTGAGGTAGCGGAGGTTGGCGCACTCGTAGTAGAACTTGACGAGGCGGTAGTGTTCGGCATCGTAGCGCTCGCGGAGGGGCTGAAGAGCTTCGTCGTCGCCAGTCGCTGTGCGAGGAGAAGGAAGACGTGAGTATGAGACAATGATAACAACCAGCAGCCTTGGCACCTCAACAAAATCTGAAAGAAACAAAAAACACAAGAACACGGGAACACGTACACTGGTGCATGGCGCGCAGCATGCTCGTGACAAATTTGTACAGGCCGTAGCTCTCCTGCACGAGCGGCACAAGGGCCGAGATGCGGCACTCGTTGGCAGAGTGGCGGAAGTGCGCAAAGATGAGCTTCTGGAACGTGTCGATCTTGTCTTGCAGGGACATGAGGTCGGAGATGACCTCGTAGCCCTCGTTCGGGTCGTTGATCAGCTTGAGCGACAGGTACTCCTCGTACTCGAACGTGCCGTTGAAGTTGGGGTGCTGGTGGTGGAAGGCGAGCTTGGCCAGCAGGTAGCGCACGTATTCGTGGATCAGGGGGCCGTAGCCGCGCATGCCCTCGGAGCCGCGGCCAAGCGACTCAACCCATCCACGGTTGGCCATGGCTTCCTTGAGCGCGATCGGGTGGCCCTCCTGCAGGACCTTGTGCACGGTGATGAGGGCCTTGAACGTCTGGACTTCGTCGGCGAGGACCGGCTGGCTAAACACGGGCAACGGGAGCAACGGTTAGCTTCGGACAGCGCTCACATCGATCTGACTAGCGCATCAGCAGAGACATACACCTTCATGCCGGCCCAGAAGGCCAGCGACGACTTGTTGTCCCATGTGTAGACAATGCAGCTGCGCACATGCTTGCGTTTCGGCGCCGTCTCCTCGGGGTTGGTCGCTTTCTGGATGTTGACGGCGAGCTCCCGGTCCGTCCTGGTGCAAGCAGAGAGAAACGAGGTCAGTTTACATCTTTCAAGCCGACAGCAACAAGCACCAGTCGATGGGCAACGAGAACAAACTTTGCATGGGCCTGGGTCGACATGTTGGGCGAACGTGCCCCTGGCGGTGACGGATGGTCTGGCGGACGATCGCAGTTTGCTTGGACAGCGCAGGGGCTGCGGGGACTGCGGGAAACGAGCGGTGGTCGTGGGATCAGGAGAATTGCACGCAAGAAGCTGTGAAGTGTGCGTGCGAAGCTGTGCAGCAATTTCGTGCCTTGCAAAAAGGAGCACGATGCGGCAATGCGGCAGGTGAGAGATGTCGCGGCCGCTGGAGTTTGGCGGGAGGCTGGGGTGGAAGGTACGATCCGGTTAGGATGGAATACTGCTGCCTCGAACCAGACAAGCTCCGCCTCAGTAGAGCAACGCAAATGGTGGCGTCAGCTACTCCGACCACCGGAAAAACGTGGCTGCCGTTGACAGGCGTTGGTGGCTAGAGAGCGGGAGCTGCCCAATCTGGCAGGCACTTAGAGCCGCGCTCTTTACACGTTACGTCACGGGAGCGGACAAACCAGGCTTCCGAAACGGGTCGGTGCCTGGAACGTGCTGTAGATTGCCTGCGCGCCTCTAGAGCCACCTGTAACCAGCTGTCATTAGACGCTGTGGCTGCTGAAACTTCCCCACAGGCTCTGTAAGTCGCCGCAAGGCCTGGCCAGCCACCTAAAACGGCAATTGGCGATCGCGCTGTGCCTTTGTTTTGTTTCTCCACGCATTTCTGGCTGTCCCGCCTAAACGCCTTACACGCGTTGTTGAACCACGTCTCAAGCATCACCCGTCAGCACAACACAACACCCAAACACAACGCCATGGAACAGCACGCACCCACGACCTTCCACGATACAGCCTGCCCATAGCCTCCAGCACACAATGCGTCGGTCGCGACAATGTTCCAGGTGCGCATCCACTGCATCGACTACTGTCTAGCGGCCCCGTCCAAGGCCGATTTTGCAGCATCGCGCGCGCCAATCGCGAGAAACAACAGCAGCACTGCCAAAGACGGCAAGAATGGCGGCAACGACGCCGACCAGGCGACGGACAAGGAGGTGCGCGTGCCCATCATCCGCGTCTTCGGTGCCACGGCCAGCGGGCAGACCGCCTGCGCCCACATCCACGGCGTCTTTCCCTATGTCTTTGTTCCGTACGACAGCTTCCGCTTCGAGGACTCCGACCGCATCATCGCGACCCTGCGCAATGGCATCGACCGTGCGGCTGGCCGGGCCACTGTCCTCGCCATCACGTTTGTGCGTGGTATCCCCTTTTACGGGTTCCACGTCGGGTTTCGGCCGTATCTCAAGATCTACCTCTACGACCCGTCCCAGATGACTCGCGTCGCCGAGATGCTGCGCAAGGGCCGCATTGGAGGCATTCCCCAGCTCATGCCCCAAGAATCGCACATCCCGTTCCTTCTCCAGTTCATGACCGACTACAACCTGTACGGCTGCGACCTGCTCGAAGCCACAGCGTCCGACGTGTCGTACCGGGCGCCGGCCGCGTCTGTTCGAAGCTGCCCGCTGGAAGTGGATGTTGCTGCGTTCAGCATCCGCAACCGCCACTCTGTTCCCGAGCGTTGGCAGCACGAGACTCTCCCCGAGACACCGAACAAACCCAACGAGCGCCTGGTGTACAGCATGGCCGCGCTCTGGCGGGAGATGGCCGCGCGGTACAACAAGAAGGGCAAGAAGAGCGCCGAGGAGCGCAAGGTCTGGGAGTCGATCAGCACCCAGGAAGCATTTGCACAGCTCGGCGCCTCGTCGTCTGACCCGCGGCGAACGCCTTCGCCATGGATCCACGAGGAGGAGTACCGCGAGCAGATTGCCGACATCATTGCGGCCGAGCGACTCCGGAACACAGGTCCTCCGCGCGTACGAGAACCTCTCGAAAAAGATCTGCCGACAATTCGACAGTCCGTTGAAGACTTTTACCCGAAGTCGGCTCGGTCAGACAATAAGAAGCGGAAACGAGGTCGCAAGCAGAGCCAAGAGACGGCTGCAAATGGCATGGATGCCCCAGGTACTTACGCAAAGAAGGCGAGACTGAGCAGCTCACAGCAGCTTGATGCAAGCCGTCCGTCCCCTTCGCCTGACTTTGAGCAGCAACTCGGCTCGATTCTCGCTAAGCACGAGAAGGCGCCCGACACGGCGACGCGCAGCAACGAATGGCTGCGCAGCCAACACGCACAGTTGGAACCACGTCGATCGCAGGAGCTTCCATCGTGGAGAAAGAATGCCGGCGACGCTAAAGGCAGCCACCGTCCGCTTTCGCAAACGTTCCCAGTAGTCAAATCAGCTTTTGCACGAGACGATCCGGAAACGAAGCTGTCTCAGTCGCAGATCGTGTCTGAAGACGAAATCGAGGGCGACTATGAAGGTGAGGATGGGTATGAGGAGGAGGACGTTGACATTGACGTTGACGTTGACGAGGACGAGGACGAGGACGAGGACGAGGACGAAGTGGATATTGTAATCCCTTCGACCCCCGATGACGAGCTCGAGAAACTGGGCACGCCACGCCGTAAAAGCAAAACCAAGAAACACGAGGTCGATGTCGTCCCGGGATCACCAGACAACGGCACGGGTGTGTGCGACAATGCCAATCTACCAGAATCCATTGAGCACCTTGGGCCATTCTACCGCGCGACGGAAAACGTGCTGCTCTTTTCACAGCGTCCGCCATCTGTCGAGGACGTGATGGCATCTCTTGGCAAATTCGGTGACGCGGAGCTGCACCAAGATGCCCACTTTAGCAACGCATCCGACTTTCAGAAGAACAGGAACAGCCATGCCGGGCCGGAACATCTCGTCCCTGTCCTCCCGACGTTCTCTCCCTGTCCAGGCTCAAAGATCGATGTCTCTTATCAAACCCACAAGGAGCAACCACAGCGTTCTGGCACCATCAAGTCATGGGAATTTGCGCTCCTCCCGCCCTCGCAAGCAGATGTCAATGCTTGGCTGGAAACCGAGCAGCAGGAACAGGAAGCCGCCAGGCGAAAGGAGTCTCTAGAAACAGAATCGGTCCAGCGGCAGATGACGCAGAGCCAGCTCTCTCAGGAACAACGCGCCGCTCTCCGCACACCCAAGGCGGGCTTGCAACTGGACATGCGTACGTTGTGCCTGGAAGTGCATGCAGATTCGCGTGGCACCTTTTTGCCAAACCCCGAGAGAGACGCCGTTCAATGCGTATTCTGGCGATGCGTAGGCGGCGGCGAAATCAACATGGACGGCGCGATCGACGGCCTTCACCTTGGCGACAAGAACGGCGGTGTCATCTCTGTCGGCCGATCACTGCGCGACGACTTTTGCGTGGACGTGGCCGATAGCGAGATGCACCTGATCCGTCTCGTTATCCGACTGGTGCACCTCCTCGACCCCGACCTTCTTGCTGGATACGAGGCCATCGGCTCCTCCTGGGGCTACCTCAAGGAACGCGCTGCCCTGCTCGATGTCGACCTCTGGAAAGAACTGTCCCGTGTTCCCCAGCAGCGCGTTGTGCCGTTCCACGAGCAAGACCAAGGCGTCACCGGCCGCTACATGCTCTCGATCAACCAGGCCATGCGCGCCATGGTCGACCTTCGGCAGTACACGCTCGAGACTGCGGCATGGCACGTTCTCGGACGCCGCGTGCCGTTTTATCGCGCGGAAGTGCTGACCGCCTGGGCCGCGAGTGGCCGGCCAGGCGACCTTAGCCGGCTTATGCGCCACTACCGGCGCCGCACTGCCATCGGACTTGCCCTCATCGAGGCGACCGAGCTCGTATCTCGCACCAGCGAACAGGCTCGGGTGCTCGGCGTCGACTTTGCCTCGGTGCTGGACCGCGGGTCCCAGTTCAAGGTGGAATCGGTGATGCTGCGTGTGGCCAAACCGGAAAACTTTGTGATGCCATCGCCCAACCACGAACAGGTCGGGCAGCAGAACGCGGCCGAGTGCACGCCGCTGGTGCTGGAACCGAGAAGCGCCTTTTACAGCAGCCCCGTCGTCGTGCTAGACTTTACCAGCTTGTATCCAAGTCTGATGATTGCGTACAACCTCTGCTACTCGACCTACGCTGGTCGGCTGGACCCTCTGTACCATGAGAAGAAGTTGTCAGCTGCAACAGCAGGCCGACCACCGGCGCCACGTCCGAATGCATACGAAAACGTCGGGAACCACATCGACCGCGGCGATACAACCCAAAGCAAGGCCAACGGGCTTGTAGACAGTGACACGGCCGACCTGATCGCCAAGCACCAGGAAAAGTCCGCCACCCGGATGGGCTTCACGACATATGAACGGCCTCTGGGACTCCTCGAACGCTTGTCTCAGCTCGGCATCGTGGTCTCGCCGACGGGTACGATGTACGTTGACGCCCGGACGCGGCAGTCGTTGCTGGCCAAGATGCTGGCAGAAATCCTCGACACGCGGGCCATGGTCAAGGCGGCCATGAAGAAAACAGCAGCACACAAGATCGCCGAACGCCAGCGGCTGAACAACCGGCAGCTAGCGCTCAAGCTGCTGGCCAACGTCACATATGGCTATACGTCGGCGTCGTTCTCTGGTCGCATGCCGTGTGTTGAGGTGGCCGACAGCATTGTCCAGACCGGGCGGCAGACACTGGACAAGGCCATTGCGCTGATCCACTCGGTGCAGCGCTGGGATGCCGAGGTCGTGTACGGCGACACGGATAGCCTGTTTGTTCACCTACCCGGCCGGACACGGGAGGAGGCCTTTACGCTGGGTGCCGAGATGGCCGAGGCCGTGACGGCGTCCAACCCGCACCCGGTCCGGCTGAAATTCGAGAAAGTGTACCACCCGTGCGCGCTGCTCACCAAGAAGCGGTACGTGGGGTACGAGTTCGATACGCCGCAGCAGACCGAGCCCATCTTTGACGCCAAGGGCATCGAGACGGTCCGGCGCGACGGCTCGCCGGCCTCGGCCAAGATTTTGGAAGAGTGCCTGCGCATCCTGTTTGACACGGCCGACCTCAGCCGCGTCAAGGCGTACGTCCAGGCCCGCTTCGGCGACGTCATGAACGACCGGCTCTCGATTCCCGACCTGTGCTTTGCCAAAGAAGTGCGCCAGCCAACGTCGTATCGCGCGCCACCACCGGGCGCCGTCGTTGCCGCACGCCGCGCGGCCCACGACCCGCGGGCCACCCTGGTGCACGGGGAGCGCGTCCCCTACGTGGTGGTGGCCGGGCCGCCGGACATGGCGCTGCGCGACCGGTGCGTGCCGCCCGAGGACGTGGTCAAGAACCGCAACTTGCGCGTCGACTCGGACTACTACATCCAGAAGAGCCTCGTGCCGCCGCTGGACCGCATCTTGCGGCTGGTGGGCGTCGACGTGCTGCGCTGGTACTTGGAGATGCCCAAGGCCCGCATGCCGCTGCGGACGGCCGACCCGGCACCGACGCAGCAGGTGATGGCCGACGGCGGCGGCGGCGGCGTGGGCGCAGCCTACGTGGGCCAGCAGACGCTCGACACGTGGCTGCGGGGCGCGCGGTGTGCACGCTGCGACCAGCCCGTGCGGCGCAAGCGGCGGCGGTGGCCGGCCTGGATGGGCGGTGGTGGTGGTGCTGGTAGAGGTGGCGCGGTCACAAAGACGGCCAACGACAAGGCGCACAAGGCGCCCGTCCTCTGCAAGACCTGCGGCCGCGACAACCTGGGCACCTTGCTCGACTTGCAGACGCGCGCGCGGGACGCCGAGCGCGCGTACCAGGCCGTGGCCGACGGGTGCCGCAGCTGTGCCGGCCTGGCGCCGCGCGACGAGGTGCGGTGCGAGAACCTGGCGTGCCCCGTGTACTTTGTGCGCGCCGAGCGGGCGGTGCAGGCCAAGGTCGAGCGGACAAAGGCGCCGTTGGTGGCGATCCTGGCGCGACGCGGCATGCGGGATCTCGAGTGGTGACCTTGTCGTCCAATTTGGAGCTCAGGAGGGTTGTTGTAGTATGTCTTGTTTTGTCTTGTTTTCCGTCTATGCTTTTGTTCAGCATTGCACGAGGTTTTTGCATGGGCCAAGCGAGTTTGCATTGTCAGGCGGGTAAGGGTATGTGGAGTTTGGGATATCGTGTACGAATTACTTTTGATGTAAACATTCGTTGTCAAGCCACCCCGAAGTGAGAGATAACGCTATTGTGACCCAGCTGATGGTGAGTGCACATTGATGACTGTCTGGCACAAAAGGGAAGCATTTGGTTCTGGATTTTATGGTACAGTGACAAGGCGCTGCCAGCGTTCGAGATGTTGAGGTCAAAGTGATGAACCCATGCAGGGAGAGCGGTGTGGATGAGCACAAGGTCGACATGAAGTCGATTGAGTGCCGTACTGTCGAGGAGAAGGTAGGACCGTGGTAAATCAAGTGAAAGAGTAAGTGAGCAGGTGGTCCCGTCCGTGGCGATGGATCATGATCCTGAGAGTTGTTGCGTGTGAAGGACTGCCAGTAGTTTTGTGGGGTGGATTTGTCGATAAACAACACAAGAACTAACGATATGGCACAGACTTTGTACACGGATGAGAAGGAGCGTCTTCATTGCTCAAGGCAGAGGCCTATGTTGCCGTCGCTTTTCTTTTCGTATTTCAGCATTTATTAGTTTGCTTGTTAACTCGCATTCACACCTCAGTCACATCACCGTCAGTTTTGAGCGCACGACACGGTCAGGTAGAATAGACTTTGAATTGCTTTCAGATTTACTGCGCTTGACAATTTATGGCCATGGATCAAGCTGTCTTACTTTTCATCACTTCATATTTCTTGTAATATTTGCATTTCTTCTCTTTTCTTTCCCTAGATGCGCTGATATGGTTTCCCTTCTCATGTGCGTTCGTATTTTCCCAGCAGTCGAGTGTTCGAGTTACAGTGAGGTTTGCAGCGCCAACTCCGCGCACTTACAGACCACAAGCTGAATATTAGTCACGTGATCATCACCGTGACCTTTTTTTGAGGCTCGTTTTCCGCATTGTCGACAAGACAATCAAAAGGGTTCTATGGACAACCTGAGGGTTCACAGGGTCCCCGACCGACGTCATTGGAAAGTAAGGGTTGGGCGTCGGGGAGAGTCGCTCTTGACGATGTTTGCGGAGTCACACGATGTTCGGCCTCTGGTTCTAGACCAGCCTTTGTCGTCCTTTTTCTTATGTCAGCCGTCAAACAAAAGGTGACAGCGCAAGACGAGAGAGCGCCGTATACCACAAGGCCTTTGTGTGCTGGGGTTTGGACAGCGAACGCTGACAGTTTGGGCGCCGAAACGGGCGGCAAAGAGCATTGGCGCTGGTGCTGACAGAGGCTGCTGCGCCCAGACGAGCGCTGTGGCGCCTACTGGAGCGACGTCACCAGTCACAAGGTCAGCGCAAAATCTTGACGAATCCCCTAAAAATACGCCTACAGGGCGGCGCTGTAGGTGAGCTTTCAGTGACAAGGCGCTATTGCGAAAGTACTGTTTTGTTCGTCTTTGTTCTCTCTGGTCCTTTTGGATCACGCTGGGTCAGAAGTACTTTGTTGTCGGCCTCGAACCATTTGCGTCGCCCTTGCTCTGCTTTCTTTGTTCCTTTGTTGGCGTAACTATCCTCTTTGTCTCGCCGACTCCTGCGTTCAGCGACAAAGGGTTGTGGCCATGTGAACGGTTTTGAGAAGCACTCAGGCAGTCAAAGCTACCATCGATTCCCACCACAAAGAAACTGCACAGCAAGCGAGCCTTTGTCATTGCACGACAGCTGTATTCTGTACCCTGAGAGTTCCAGGCTGCCCGTTCCTTGTCCTGTCTCGGATAGCAACGTGGTAGCACGACCCTTTTGTCTCTGACGTCCCTTTTGTCTTTCAAGTGACTCGCTGGATTTTGTGGCCCTTTTGCGCCCTTATCTCTTCTTCACAACTACGTCAGAGGTGCTTCATTATTCTCGGAGCTGGGCTTTCTTTGAGCTCCGTCGGCCGTGTATGTAGAAATCGAAAGTCCCGGGTAGTACCTCATTGTTGCATGTCTTTTGCACCCTGTAGTCCCTGTAGTCCCTGTAGTCCCTGTGGTGTCTTGTACCTACATCGCTCCTCCTGCATCGCTCGCGCCTGCCTCTCCACAGCCACAAAGCGAACGTGGGGTCTTTCCGAGCCTGGCCGAGCCGCCAAGTCCCGTATTACTTTGTCCATATGTCAGAATGGCCCTTTATATCAAGCATGGGGCCATTCTTTTTCTTCTCTCGTCTCTCTTCTCTCGTTCCTCTTTTCTCGCTGCCCAACATTGTTTCCATCACCACTACCTCCATCTCCTCCACACATCCGCCATGAACACCAACGGCGTCTTCTCCCGAATACACAACTTTGACCTCGACGTGCCGCCCGACATCGACCCCAGCAACATTGCTCCCATGCTGTCCAAGTTCGGACCCGCCGCGGTGTTGTCGACATCGCCTGCCTCTCCATCTTCCCCCAAGGCGGTCTCCTTCCCGTGGAGCCTCAGCCTCAACAACATGAATCTCGCGTCGTTGGCCTCGGCCGACCACTTCGCCCTCCTGCACTCCACCGCCAGCCAGCTCTATGCCGACCATGCCGGCACCATGCAGTCTCTCGGCGCGTCCATTCGGCCCCATCTCCGGGGACCCATGATGCCCGTTCTCATTATTGCCGTGTCCATCCTAGTCTCCGTGCTGGTGTCGTTTATCGTGTCGATACTGCAAATGGCCGTTCTTGCCGCCGCCGTCGTCTACTTTTTCCCGTCAGTCATCACGGCCGTCACTACCGCAACATCTGTGGCCGGCCCGACGTCCGGCAAATCTCCAGGCAACCCCGTCTCTCGCACGCCTGTGGCCGCATTCGCCGGTGTGCTGGCAGCAGCCTACGCTTTCAGCAGCACGGCCACACTGGTCGTGCTGGCCAGCAGTGTGTATGCATACTTGAACCATGCAGCACTGGCGGCCAGGGACAATGCAAACAAAATCAACAGCAGCCGCAGCACCCCAGAGAGACGCTCGACACGGCGCGATGAGCAGGCTCCATCGCACAGCAACATATTCCGCCGCATCTCGGGTCACAGGGACTCGTATTAGACACGTTTCGTCGATTTGGATGTTTGAGCGTCTTGGTCATTTTGGTTCAATTCTGGGAAATAGATTGCATATATACAAAAAGTTTACGACCTGATGAAATACAAATCACAATGGTGGCAACACCCAGGTATTTTGCTGCAATCACTCTTGTTTTCTGCACTGGGTGCAGTACTGCGCTTTGAAATCCGTGATGCAAAATTGTCCACAGATGAAACAACAGGAAACATGAAACACTGGCAAGATGAAACAAATGGCAAAACATGAAACAGCCACAATATGCAAGATGAAAAATTGAATTATGCAAGATTAGGCAGGCAGCCGCTTTTGAAAAAACGCTGATTGGTGCAGAGCACACTCGTCCTGCAAGATGGAATATGCAAAGCAGCTGCAAGATTACGCAGTTACCCGTCTCGACAAAAAACTCACTTGACTGCGAGAAATGGCCAGGATGCTTGCAAAAATGAATTCTGCAAGAGAAAACAATGCAAGGCGACAACCTGTAGCAAACAAGACGAGGCAGGTGTCTGGCTAGAAATGCTGGAAGCTGTGGTCGCCGTCGACAAGTTGAATCTGAGAATCGTAGATGCAAGATGCAAGATGCGATATGCAAGATGAGAATGCAAGATTACGCAGCTACCCGTTTTTGAAAGAAAAAAAAACACGGGAACGAAGAGCAGACAATCGACACCGACGATCCCATAGTGGCGTATCCATCTCTGGTACTGTACCCGCCTTGACTCTACTTCTCTACTCGGCCGCCTCGCAACCATGCCACTTTCCACCGTCCACCCCACCATCACGAGCGCTTTGTGCCGTCCCACGTCGCATTCAAACGTGGCTCCACGTGCTGCACATTCCATTCCTCCTGCCACAGAGCCACGCATCCTCACACTCTCTCTGCATCGCCCCTCCCCTCTCCCGTATTTCGTCTCCTGCTGCCCATCAAACACATCTCCCGTCCTCCCCGCCCTTCCCGTTGTTCCCGTGCGCGTCCCGCCTTCCAAAAGTCGATCCCCGCGCATCTGCCGCATTGCAAAGTATGTCTTGCATCCTGCACGTCATGATGTCGTGCATTTTGATTTTGCAGCCAGACAGTGCTTAAGACGCACGGTTGTCACTGTGCTCGAAAAGGCAAGTGTTTTGGCACACTTTGCGAATTGCGAGAGTGGTGACGTCGCATCGTGAACAACACAATGGATGAGTCAGCACACCGAGCCACAACGCCGTATTCAGCCACATTATGTAATCATGTGGGATACGTTAGCTTAATCCGCTTCTTTCTAGCAGGCTTGGTCACTAAATCTGCGCTAGAAGAATCACCAACACTTCATGGCCAACAAAAGAATGTTGAAAATCGATGGCAGCAACATGACAACTGAGACCGATAATGAAGGCCGATAAATGTGTTATATTTATTCTCTGAAATAGCGTACCCTTCATTCCAGAGCGTATACAGTTATATTAATATTGTTTGCATTTGGGATTGTGGCTGCTGCAATGAAAGCCCCGTGGTTTGTTTACTTCCATTATCTGGCCATTGTCCTGATCGCCTGCAGTCGCTCCGGAAAATCAGCAAAGAAAATCAAATGACCAATAGTTTTGATTTATATATAAGTTTGCTTCGTTTCTTATTTTTCATTGTATATTTTCTTGCCTGATTTGTAAAATGTGCCTTTTCAATTTCTTAGAAAAAAAAAAATTTTTTTTTTAAAAAAAAAAAAACTCGAATTGAAACTGAGGTTGTATGTTTTCCCTCTGGGAAATTTAGTCACATCGTAAGTGCAAATGTCCAATGCACGAAAATAATAAATGTTCTCGAGTTGTCCAAACAAAGATACCAAAGGCAGATTAATTTCAAAATTAAATCACCAGAAAGCAACGCCGTCTTGCCATGTTATGAACTTACCACACCTTGCCGCCAAAGAACTTGCCTCATTCTCGTTCACACCCAATGGTAGTCCTCGTCGCTGTCACAATCTTCATCGTCGTCGCCGTTGGCGCTGACGTACCCCACCATGCTCACGCTCGCCGGGTGTATGCCGTGCTCCTCGCAGGCCCTGCGCACCCGCCGGGCCACCTCCTCGACGGCGCCGGCCACGGCCTCGATGCTCGCCAGCAGGCTGGCCGTGGCGCGCCTTTCCTCGGGCGTCTCCGTCCACGAATCGGGCGGCGAGGGCCGTGGACAGGGGCTGTGCAGGCGGTCGCAGTGCGGCTGCAGATGCTGGGCCACCAGCTGGGGCCGCTGGGCGGTGTGGATGCCGCCAAAGAAGATGTCGTAGACAGCACGGTCAAAGGCGAGCTCGCTGGGCGGCATGCGGGGCGCGATGGAGGGAATGTCCTTGTAGGGCGGGCGGTGGTAGGGGCCTTGGGCCTTTTGGACGACGGAAATGTAGCGGAGGCGGAGGTCGCCAAAGAAGGTGTCGGCGGCTTGGAGGCCATGGCGCCCGTCGAGCGCGGGTGCATGGCGGACGCGATGGTCGCGGTGGGCGGCACAGGAGCGCACAAAGGAGTGCACAAAGTCGGCCCAGTCGCGGGTGTTGTTGGCGAGCCAGGCGTAGTGGATGGTGCCCAGATCGTCGTCTGGGCCCTTGGGGTTCAAGTTTGTCATGATTTTGTCGCTTCTTACCTCGGGCGCGCTTTCTCGTTTGCTCTTAGTGTTTTGTACGCTGGGTTTGCAACCTCGGTTTTTTTTTTAAAAAAAATAAAAACAAAAACAATAATTTGCCTTTTCTGCTGGAAATATCCCACGAGACAATATTGGCCACCCTCCCAAATTCATGCAAGTTCTTTTTATATGCGCTGCCCAACCGGTCATGCATCACTACTTGCGTTCATGACAAGGGGTGCACATCGGTTTGGTGGCGATAAAAATCAAATAAAGACGAGTTGGCAGTAGTAGCCAACCCTTGACAACTTGTAAAGCAAAACTGCAGATAAAATCAAACTTGAAACTTGAAACTTGAAAACAAAAAACCAAACCCATATCCAAGACACGCCTAGGTGTTTCCAGCACACCCTTTATTGAGTCAGAGCCACTTGGAAGGATCCCCATAGTGCTTGAAGCCTCAACAGTCCTTGTCGTCCTCCTCTTGCTTGATCTCAGCCTGTACTGTCTGCGTGCCCAGGCTCGGGCGTGCGTTCGTATAGAACGAGACGGCCATCCGCCCAAAGTGGCGGACGGGGTAGATGTGGAACTGGATGTTGGGGATGCGCAGTCCCTGGACACGGCACTCCTGTCTCATCGCCTGCAGCGCGTGCTCGGCGGCAACGTACTTGACCACGGCATCGGACGTGGCCGCGCTGCACGTCTGCGTGCCTTCGCTCTGCAGGACCAGTCTCCTTGGGCGGGTGATCCGCGGCGCCGTGCGCAGCACCGCCAGCAGGGCCGCGATGGGCAGGTTCAAGGGCGGGGCGTTTTCTCTGTCCGCCGCCCGGCCCTCTTCCTCCTGCTGCCGGTGCCGCATATTGTCCCGGGCCATGGTAACGTGCAGACACTTGGCGTGCGAGGCAATGGCGGCGGCCGTCAGGTCGTCCTTGTTGATTGTGGCCTGCTCGTCCTCGTCCTCGGCCAGGGCGAGGCGACAGAGGCGCATGCGCTCGTCGACGGCGGCGGCAATCACACGCGCGCGCTGCGTGTTCTTTTGGTGGTCTCGGACGAGTTGGCGGGCCAGACACAAGACGCTGCGCTCCGTTTCGTAGGCGGTAATCAGGCCGCGCAGCGACAGGATGCGGCGCTGGTCGGCGCTGGACGCGCTGTGGGCGCGGCGGTCGCTGTTCTGGTCCTGGTCCAGGTCCCGGCTCCGGTCCCGGTCCCGGGCCTGGTCGTACAGACGATGCAAGGCCTTGACGTACGACACGGTGGCAAAGGCGAGGTCGATGACCTTTTGGACGGCGGCGTGGGACTGGTCGACACGGACATTCGCCAGAACCTTTTGGGACATGACCAAGCGGGCGCTCTCAATGGCATCGAGCGACGCTGACGTGGACGTGGCCGGGTCAGAGCACAAAACGGGCAGACTGTCCGCGTCGATGCCCATGGGGATGCTGAGGCGAGCCACCATAAAGTTCTCGACCATGGTCCGCATGCGGGGGTCGTGCTGTCCGGCCGTGTGCACGTTGAGGCAGTCCGGGAATACGGGCTGGTCATTGTCGAGATCGTGGTGGCTGATGGCCGTGCCGTCGAGGAAGCGTGTCTCTCGGTCGGCCATGTAGCGGTCCATCTCGGTGGTGAAGCACTCACGAATATGGGTGTGGTATGCGCACCGCTCGATGGGGATGTCGTCGACCAACATCGTGGTGGCCATGGTTGTGTTCCGGAGTAGCGTTGATCGCTTACCTAGACCATGGTTAGCTGACTTGAGCCACAGATGGGGGGGGGGTTACTCGAGTGTGACACGTGCAATATTGTGTGTGGCTTTGAAAAGCAACTGCTATCGAGGGAAGGTACGACGGGACGAGCAAAACCCTGGAATACCCTGGAATACCCAGGAAGCGCCGGTTTGGGGAGGAGCCAAAGTTAAGTACTCCGGGAAGGAGAGCAAGAACGCAACAAACAATAGAATCTTGGATGCTGGATTGGGGGAGCGATAAACCATTAGATGAGGCTGAGGAGCGGATCGGCAGACACGATGCAATCGGGACAACCGTTCGATTACGAGATCGCCTGCCGAGTGTGCAGAGCGCAGCATGCACGGTCTTTTTGCACTGAGACAGCCGTCTCTGTCTGCATCTGATCAGCGAACGAGCGGTGCCCTCTTTGAGAAGAAGAAAGAAAACTGACGAGCTGGAAGGCTGCAGTATGAACCAGGAGGTGAGACAGAACTGAAGACGAAGACAGGACTGACCAGGTAGGAAACAGGAAATCGAGCGAAACACGGCACGAACGAGAAGGAAAAAGAAAGCAACAAGGGCTGCGGACGCTGCCATGCAGCAAGAATACTGCGTGGCAATGGAGCCGCGGACCGTTGTTTGCTTTTGTTGTCTGCATCTCTTCCGTGTCTAGACTCTGATCCTCCCCCCCCCCCCCCAAAACGACTGCACGGCGCTGCACAAAGAGAACATCGCCGACTAAAAAACGGGCAATGAATGCAGTCGGTGCAGAGAGCGCCGCAACGCGCCGCCATGCCGCTCCGCCCAGTGTTGATATCATGCACGTTGTTTTCTTTTTCTTTTTTTTCACTTTCTGTTCTTGTTCTTTTCATTTGTCAATTTCACTTTCCTTGTCTCTCTTTTCCCCTTCCCGTTGGTCTGCCCTTGCTTTCTCCCCCACCTTGGTCTCTCGAGTGCATATGACCAGAGCGGCTGTATGCAGCATGTTTTCTTTTTCCTCGCACTTTCTTGCTCTTTTGCTCTTGAACCCCTCAATCATATCCTCTTGCCTGCCTCTGGATTTTCTCTTCTTCCCTCTTCCTCTCTTCTTCCCTCTTCCTCTCTTCTTCCCTCCTCCTCTCTTCTTCCCTCCTCCTCTCTTCTTCCCTCCTCCTCTCTTCTTCCCTCTTCCCCTCTTCTTCCCTCTTCCCCTCTTCTTCCCTCTTCCTCTCTTCTTCCCTCCTCCTCTCTTCTTCCCTCTTCCCCTCCTCTTCTCTTGCCCATCCCCCATGCATTTCGGTTTTCAAACGGGCAACACAAGACAAGGCTGGAACGCTGGTGAGGGGATCTGATGCCCTGTTCTCAAAGTCTTCTCAGGAGATGGCCATGCTTTGGCGCCCGAGTCTGTCGCCATCCCATCTGTCTTGCATGCCGCGACGTTATTCGCCCATCCTCGTCTGAACAGAAGGGTGTGCCTGGTGCAACATTGCACTGTGGCTGCAGTAGCGATGGACGAGTACTTCGTATGCACGCATGCACGCATGCACGCATGTACGCAGTATGCATGCAAGGGTGAAAGCTGAGCTGCACGTTGACTCGTCAATGTCGGACGGGGCCTTGGACGGGACGCTGGACTGGTTGCTGCACTGGCCGGTTTGGGTGGCAGCCATGGTGGGAATGTGTCTTGCATTCTCCGTCCTCTGTATGCATGGTGCGGGACGCGGGACGGGGGACGCGGGACGGGGGATGCGTTATGCATAAAGCGTACGACGCACAATGTGATGGGGCTGCGGAGCTGTGACGTGTCGCTCGTTCAAGTGTGCAGAGCTGCAGACGTGCATGCTGCGATGTTGGTTTCGTTTGTTCTCGGCGAGCAGTCGCTTTTCTGCTGTCAATCCGAGTCTCTCACACCCCCTCGCAGACAGGGAGACGCCCCGTTTGCCCATTTTCCTAATACCCTGCGACGCCCACTTCCATTGCAGTCGAGATGTTGCTCGTGTCCAAGGATTCTGTCCTTTTGCTGGCTCAGTCGGCTCTCCGCCAGAGGTCAGCTGAAAAGGCGCACATTCGGGAGGCTTCAGGGAACTACCCTTTTGTAATTCCAGCGCAGTCTGCCACAGGCAGCACCAAGTATACGCTCGCACACTTGCTCTGAGCCACAACTTTCGGCCATCGTTGATATCGCGATGCGATGTATCGTAAATATCAATTTAGCTTGCTCGGGAGTATGGAGTTAGTAGGACTTATGGTTTCCCTTTTTTTGGTCTCCGTCAGAAAACGCGCCGGCGCCGAGAGCTTTCGTTTAGGGCCTGAGGGGCAACCCGCTGAGGAGTTTAGGGGGCCCCCTAGTGGACATTGTGCGAGATTTTCGACTTTTCGGAGGATTTAGGTGAGTTTTTAGGGATGATTGGATAAAGGGGCCCGCTGATCTTAGTGCCCGTGAATGGCGATTAGGGCGACCGACCAGTGCACTCCACTTGAAGTGTAGCGTAAACTTTGCGACGAAAAGCACGACTGCAAACAGCGCAACGATGGCAACGACGACGCGATGACACGACGGCACGATGAGACAAGTGCGGTAGAGCCAGATACGTCTAAAAGAGAATCAAAGAAGTCAGGATAATAAATAGAGTCACACGGCAGACGGCCAGGAGCACACGCGCGACTTTCCTCGTTGGGCGAGTCTTGGTTCTAGGAGACAGAAATGGGGCACAGGCACAAGGGACACACCGTGGACGGACAGGACACGGATAGGCTACTACCGGAGGGACATTAGTAATGCCATCCAAAGTGCCCATTGACACACAGACAGCCGACGCGCGCCGTCCCTGGATGGCGCGCTTTATTCTCCGGCCGTTGGATTACAGACGGTGTCGCTCCAAGTCCCGACGTTTATTTCGTGGTTGACTTGAGATGATCCCTAGGGCGTCGAAGGAGAAGCACTTGTTTTCGATGCAGAGTATTTACGGATATACGGAGTATGTTGTTCTGGAGCTCCAAGCTGTTCGGAATTTGTGTATCATACTGCTGTGTAGTGCAGCTTTGCGAAGATTTGTTTTTTTTTTTTTTTTTTTTTTTTTTTTTTACTACGACACTCCTTCCTTATTCGCAAACTTTGGGCCTGCCTCTTAGTACGACTCTGGCTAGCTTTGCGCCTTTCAGCTGTCAGCGCTCCTCTCTTGCCCTTCATCCCACCCCAAATCAGCACTGCCAGCGAGAGTTTTACGGTGCGGAGCCTCTCTTCTAACGCCCTGGGTTTCCCTAGCAAACCCTGGCATCCTTGCTTGTCCTGGCTTCCGCGACAGCCTGTTGCATGCACCTGGACATGGATGCGGACGAGACGCCCCTTGAGAGTCCCCCTGGTCAACTGAATAAGGGGACTCTTCCCTGAAGCCTGTCAGGTGTTTTCGGTTGCGCACGACGAAGCTTTGAGCAGCTGCTTGGCCTGGCTTTTGCTTTCGTGCTTTCCGTTTTGTTTGGCGCCTCGCCGTATGAGGTATTCTGCACGTCTAATTGGGAGACCAGGCCCCCCGGAAATGAAGAGCGCCCTTTCGCCGCACGTTAGTGGAGTTCGCAGGACCCGCCCACAGCACTGACTGACCAGGGATCAGTGACCATGGACCAGGGACCAAGGCAGTGGCGACCGTCGCACGTGATTTGGAAGCCGACTTCCGATCGACATTCAACGTACGACATACACCGTACGACGTTTGATACACGGCGACTCTGTTTCTCTATTTCCGTCTCGCTGTTTTATTCTCCTGAGTCGCCTCACTCCTTTCCCAATATCTCCGCCGCCCAAAATGCGACGTGGCATGTGGCGAGACACAGACCAGTTCGGTATGGCTCCGTACAAGTTCTGGAATTCGTGTAACTGGATCTGTGCCACGTTATTATTTTCTCTCCATCGAGTCCGATCGATGATGAGCAAAACGTGTGTCCTTCCTTGACAGGATGAAATATCGTTACGAAGTGCAAAATCCCCGAACCGATCCGAGGCCTTCATTTGGTCGCCTGCGTACACAGAACGATGCACTTTGCTGATCACTGCCCGAGCCGGCAAGTCGACAATACCCATGCGGTGCCCGTCAACGTGCTCTTGCGTTGCACTGCGTCGTATGGATGACAACACGATGGAGAACGTCGACTTTATTTTTGTGCCCTTCAAGGGCTCGCGAGGGTCCCTCAGCATTGATTCTCTTCCAGCATGTTTACGCATAGGGCATATACCGACATCGCTGCAACACGTGTGAGATTCTTTTCTTTTCCGTGTTCTTCTATTTTCCTTTTTCAAATTCTCCATTTCCATGCAGGTGCAGGGATTTTGTGGATGACAGGTCCATTCCCTGACTCAACATGGCAACTAGGGTTCCTCATGGTTTGCACCCTGTTTTGCACATCTTTTCTCTTTTGTTTGAGTCTTTGCCCAGAGTGTTTCCTCAATTTGCTTTTTTTTGTCGTCCTTTCTGCCTTGCCGCTGCCCTTGAGTTCCAGGGTTTCTTTTGAGATCTTCGCTTTGCCGCGGCCTGCTTGAATCGACATGTCGTCTAGTCAGTCACAATGGATGTTGTACAACCTTCTTTGTCCTTTGTGCGCCAAAAAATTGACACATCGTATATCGTTGAGGCCAGCACAGTCTCACTTGTTCATAAGAGCAACTTTTGCAACAAGGCCTTTGTTTGGCCATGCCTTTCACCCAGAACAAAGAAACATCCAAAGCCATACAAATACAAATAGACCACCGGCTTGATTTCTTTCCTGAATATATTTCTTATTTTCTGCGGGATACAATTTTTGACTTGGGCAGCAACATCTAGAAGAAGAAGGAAAACGAAGACAAGCACGGCATTTTTGTGAGGTCGAGTTCATTACTTTTTCGTTTCTTTTTATTATCGTCTGTCTGTGCATTCGCACGGTTTCGTCCACTTGCTCATCTCGTTCTTATCTCTATCCTGGGGGTAGGAAAGGCGACAATAAAACGAAGACGAAAAGACGACAGATAATAACCAAAAAAGAGAAGGCGAGAGTAATTGACCAACACCGTCATCTAAGCATTACCCTGCTTCTGTTTAATTTCTTCAACTTCTTCTGCTTGCCCCTGTCCTTTGACGCCGGGACTGTCATTCTCACATCGTGAGGACGAGAGACACGAAAACTGCACTCCGGACTCGGCAGTCTCCATAGTTTCGAGAGTCTGCTGTTTCTCCTCTCGCTTTCTCGCTCTTTCGCTTGTCATTCTTCTTCCGTACGAGAAAATAGGAGTCGACTCCATCTCGTAACGTGGTTTGTCTTTTTTTTTCCCCTCCCCTTCCCCCTTGTCGTTTCTCACACGATCTAGACACGCACCTCCCCGCTCACCACTATGCAGGCACGCCCCTGCAACCTTTGGGTCGTAACCGCCGGTAGCAGCACCGGCTGCAAGGCCTGCAGTGTGTACTCCATCGGTGTAACACGCAATACCATGCCGCCCATGCAGGCTTCGCGGTGCAACGGCAGCGGCTGCGACTATGGCAACGGTCTCGTCAGTCCGACGAACCCGCTCACCTACGACGGCCGTCTTCTGTCGCCCCTTTCGACACTGAAGGCGCCCTGGGACGCGGACTGGGTGGACGAGTGTGGCGTCTCTCAGACGGGGGAGGCGGCTCGTGCTGTTCCTGCCGCTGCCCAAACCGTTGGCAGCCCAGAGACAATGCAATGGACACAAGACAGTTTCTCCGTCGCCACCTCCGTCGTTTCCTCGCCCACATCCAGTATCGAGATCACCGGCACCGACAATATGCAAACGACAAGGTCAACGACTCGCCGTACATCCCGCTTCCACTCGTACTCGCATCCGCGCAAGCGTGCCGGTGCTCGGACTGGGTCTGGATCTGAGTCTGAGTCTGGGTCTGGTTTTGCATGAAGACTTGCACATGTATGCGGGCTCCTCATGCAGTCAGCGATGTACTGCAGAAGCCTTCTCGACGCCAGCCGCCCTGCTCTCGCGTGGCCCCCTCGTGGCAGCTTGCCGCATGTTTTACCATGCCGTCAAGGCCCCTGGACGTGTAACAGCACAAGGTGAAAGTGCACCGTAGTTTGTAGCACTGGAAGCCCTGTATACGACGTACATGTACCTTTTAAACTTTTGTAGTGATGATCGGCGGAAGTTCACTTGAAGAAAGCAAGCCGACAAGGTAGGTGCTGCGTTTGCAATGTTGAAGAAACAGGGTATGGTCATGCAAAACGTTAAAGGCTGGTCCTTCTCCTTTCTCCTTCTGGGTTGTAAATTGTAGATCTCGGAGTTGGCGGTGTCGACCACATCGATCGTCGGGATTTTCCACCTTCCGTACTTTGAACTGAGCAGAGAGATGTAATGTAAGAATTTGATATTGTTTTTGTCATTGATTTCTTGGCCCGAGACTCGTTCAGTTGAGATTCAGCGGTTGGCCGAGCAGGTCTCCTCCGAGCCAAGTCGGCTAACCGCCGTTTCCAGGCAAGAGGTGCTCATCTCGGGGTCGCCATAAACCAAATTGTCCCAACGCCCTGTGTGGAACTATGAGTAGTATGTCGTATTTCCTAATTCTATCCGGAGCAGACGGCACGCAAGTACTTGCAGTGCGGGTCCACGATACGGGGATAACTAATTGTTAGGTGTGTAATTCGCCATGCCAGTGTTTATGTGGATAGGGAGCCGAATGTACGACACATGGATGTTCTCAGTCGCTGTCTGGGCAGAAAGAAGGACAATGGCTACGGAGCAACAGAGTTCTGGAACAAAAACCCAAACAAGACAGTGCACACGGCAATGCACCGTGAACAAGGTGTCCTTATCAGGGCGACCTTCTAGAATAGTGAAAACCGTCCAATGGGCCGCACGACTGCCACAGGAGACGCAGATTGTGCATGATCATATGGCGAATTGTATGCAGCACCGTCAAAAATGCAATGATTCATCTTGCCTTTTCGGGAAGCTTTGCGGATGACGGTCTCATGGGCATGGTAGGTCGAGTGGCTGGATGGTCTCAGACCGAGACTGCGTGTAAACTGATACTTGGCGCAGAAGGCACGCCTAACGACTGCCGACAATGTGCTGTGCCTGGTAGTAGTCGTAGATGGACTTGGTCAAAAGTGATCATTTGGTAATTTCGTTCTTCATCCTTTTCAAATTTCCGACTTTGATATCAATAGGCTGCCAAGGGCATCGTGACCACAACAAAGGGTGATCTGCCCGTGCACATCATGGGTATGGCAACTAGGTATGCCATCTGGAGATCGCTGGGGTCCACGTCGGCGGTTCCTATCAATCCCGTTGCTCGGGTTCATGGCGAAGCTGCGAGATGCTGACCGTATGCGGCAAGGCTTGGTCGAGAGTTGAATCAGGAGGCGTTTATTTTGTGCCCATGATCATACCATGGGCCGTGACATCGTATCGACACGAGGGACGAACGGTCGATAGAAACACAATATGGTGTGTTGATGAAAGAAACCAAAAGAGCGTCTTTCGACTCGCGCTGATGCTATGATTTTTCCCCGCGAGGTCAGGTTAGGGAAGCGCCTAGATCTCCTCACCGGCCGCCAACCATCGTCGTCAATTGTGAGGGGCGGTAGTATGTACTGTGTGGTCATATGGCATGGCCTAATGCACTACCGTGATATTGTGTAGCAAGATGAAAATGAAGTCAATACGAGTGGAGAGTGACAAAAGGCGGCATTGCTTGTAGTAAGTATTGTTGATACGCTGCGTGAGAGACGAGACAGGATTGCTCTGTATGCGGGCAAACGATCATTCTCGTAAGATGTATTGTCGTGATCCGGCGTGTCGTTTGTTAAATACAATTCGAACATATCTGAATTTGCATCTGTATCGGAGTACGCGGAGATGCCTCACAGAACGTTCTTTTACTTCACCACTCCGGTCATTCTTCCCCTTAAACGCTGTTTAAGCTATCGGGAAGGAGCGCCTCGCTTTTTGGCTGCAGGGTGTGGACGCCTTCTCGAAAGTCCAAAAACATGACCACCATAACCAGATTAGTCGGACAAGGCAAAACGACAAGGGTCGTCCCTTCGACGAGCTCGTTGCCGAATTTGTACAAGCGCGCTGTAACCCTCCAACTTCCTTTCCCGCTACCACGTAAAAGTACGGTACAACATGCACAGGTGTGTTTTTGAGCAAAGGCAGTTCCTTTGAGGCCACTGCAAAACAGTGATTGCAAGTCGTTTTCCATAATTTCGTACCATGTCTGCCTCTGCCAAGTGCCCAGCAAAAATAAGGCGACGGGAGACGGAGTGCCGCGGTAACGGACGGATTGGCGGACGGGCGGACGGACAGGGCACGAGACAAGCAACTCTTGGATGCTGTACGGCGTGTCTCGGGAATTGCTTGATTTGTCTTGGACGGGTGAAGCCAAGCCTGATATTCAACGACATCGAGAGCCATGATCGACAGAATAGGCAAGAAAAAGAACAGGAAAAAGCACTCACCACAGACCGTACCGTATCCACAGCCGTGAACGGCTGTTGCTTGCTAGAGGTTCTTGTTTTCCGCACCTTCAAACCTCACATCGTCAAGAGGAGAAACTGGGGCCGGTGGAGGGCCAAGACAAACGGCTCGCGGGACACAAACGACGGGTTGTTGATGTCCGGGGAAAGGTTCGTCAACGAGCTAGTTAATGCTCCTTCCCCGTATTCCGCCTAGTAGCCTGTGGCTCTTGTCGTCAGTAGTCTGGAGATATCTGGAGTCTGGAAACAAAAGAGTCAGTAGTACGGACTTCCCGAGACTTGTCCATATATTCCCGTGGTGCGTATGGTTTTTCAGTCAGAACCCAGTCCATCTAGAATATAATCGGAGTACTCCGTATTTACTACGTCTTTACGTCCCGTGGAACGTTCAATGTCAATATCTCTTCGCATCCAGCCACTTGGATGCGGTGACAACGAGTGCATCATCTCACCGCGTCTGCTTTATGTCTCGCCTCCCTTGTTCGTCCTCGTGCCACAAGCATGTTCCCAGCCCATGGACACGGGAACCCACGTCCTTGTCCGCGCACACATTCGAGATGCAGCAGTTCCTTGTCTACCACGTTTTTTGAGCCGACAGATGTTTCCCCTTTTTCATTCCAAGACAACCGCCGCTCCCTCGCGCTAGTTGTGCAAGGAGCATGAAGAGGATGCAAAACCGAGCCGTATGTTTCCTCTCCGTTGGTGAGACGGCGTTGGTAGACAAATTGGACTCGTGGGACTTTCGGGGCGTGTGCAAGAAGGAACCTGCAGGCATACTGTGCAAGAGTCGGGGCACAGCATATGCATAACGCATGTAGTCATCTTGAATGTGATTCTTGGGAAGCGGGTGTTCGTACCCCCTCAGTTATCTTGACCAATGCGGCGTCCACCTTGTGACCAAGATTGCCGTGTTGACAAAGGCTGATTCACAGGTAACGGGTAGAACATCGCCGAGTCTTGCGTCCGTCATCGCAACCTCGACTCTGATACTTAACGCCAGTGTAGCTTAACTCCCGGACATATTCAAGACTGTGACGCTCACTTTTTGCGACAGCGGTCATGCTCGATAACGAAAACGGCCCAATACGACTTACGAATTATTACACTGGAGAATACCACTCTGGGGGTCTGGGGTCTTGCCGGAACTGCCCATACCTTTTCGCGTTGGGTGTTGTGTTTTCCACCACCTACCCACGCCGCTCTTGTTCGACGTTGCAGTGCATTCTCCAATGTTCGCCCGGTCTTTCGACACCAGGTGGAACAACAGGAAACAAACCATCTGACACCCGATTGGCGTTGTCATCACAGCCATAAGCGGCCTTGCCTTTGCCCCCACCAGGAAAGAGACGAAACTGTTACCCTTTTCTACTCGCATGTCGTTTACAGCACATGTGAATAACGTGCTCTTGAATATGCCACCTTTTGCCTGCCGTGCAGTGCCTCCCGCGTAATACGGAACTTTGTCGGGCAGGCAATGGCTGCAGGCGCAAAATACCGGCCCACCACAGAATTGCCATCCAAAGGATCTTCTCCAACACCCCCGAAACAGGCACCTCGATGAGGCAAGGAGTCGACAACACTGCCGTTGCGCGTCTCTTCGGGCTAACCTGCGAAGGAGCGACTGATGCACTAGTGATTCAGCGATTCGGCCTCTGGGGACCCTATTTCCTCGTTTCTGTGAAATTTGGATGTCCGGCCGCCTGTCAGTGAGTTGACTCGTTCACTAAGATTCAGTGACTGGTAGGCACTGGCCGCTGTGAAACGCCCCTGACGATGAACTTAACGGCCGCTTTTCTCGGCCGTGCAAAAGACGGAGAATGCTTTTCCTCCCCACAAACGCCTGAAAACAAGAGTCAAACCGAGCGTGGTGGCCCCGGATTTAACTAGTTTTAGGGGACGGCGGCACAGAGGGAAACGGGACGAGGAGCCAAGAGACGCGGGACGAGGCCTAACACACATTTGAAGAGTCAGTGGAAGTGGACATCCGTGCGAAGAAACCGGCCCCGACGGCCCCAGAGCAGCCCTAGAAGACCCTAAAGAAGCCCTAAAGCTCAGCAGTGTCCAGTCCAGTGTCTATATATATAGGCGACCGGATATAGATAAGAGGAGACAAATGTCCTGTAAGAAACCAACAGCACGCAAGAAAACAAGTCATGGGGATTGGTTTGGCAATGCTGCAGACCCAGGTGCTGTGAAGTGATACGTATGAAGATACATCGTATATTAGGAGGTCCTCTAGCAGCACAATGGGTGGCGTATTTCTTCCTGGACAGAGCCGTCAAGCTGCCGATGAACTGCCTGGATAGGAATAGGAAGGAATAAAACTGTGATAGGGGTGGCCACGGGTGTCGATGCATACCAAATCCAGAAAGAGCAACGGGATAGCACTAAAGAGGTGACGCGCTAGAGGGAGAAGGAGGGGACGCTAGAGCGACGGAAAAGACCTGCAAGGGTAGCGTTGCAGCGCCGGAGGGATAAAAGTGGAGGAGGCTCGAATGGGGTGCGAGGGGCGCTTTCGAGGCAAGAGCTAGCAAGAGGAACCCACGACCCCAAGCTCCCCTTTTTCACGCCCTCTCCGTCCCAGCTTCACCTCTGCTTTCGTTTCGCTATTTCGCTTTGCCCACGCCTGTCCCAAAGAAAGCAACCCCCAACCACAGACATTGTTGTGAGATTGGGATTACGGGATTACAGGCTGGTCCCCTGTCCGACACAGCTGCTGGAGTGTCCCCCCATGTCGCCACGAATCCACGTCCCGTCCACGTTTTTCGCGCTGGCGAGGTTTCGGCGACGGGCGACGAAAGAAGCAAAAGAACTTCGGCCAAAGAGGAACCGGGCTCGCTGAGCGGATCAATGGCCAGGCCCTGGGTGTGTCGTCCATAGCTTCGTTGACTCGGTCCTGTCTGCATATAAGACGAGGCTGATCTTTCTTCTTTTTGGATCGACATCCCTCCTTCGATTTTCGTGTTGGATTTTTCTCTCTCGTTTCTTCTTCCGTTCTTCGTTGCTCTGTTCTTTTCTTCTTTTCACTTTCTCGGCGAAACTGTGAGAGCCAGACGACCTCCAGCTTGGAAAGAGATCCCGGAAGGCCCCATTCAGGATAAGAATAAGACTCTTACTTCGAAAAGATCTTCTTCTCCCTTCCCTCTTTTTTCACCTTCCACTCTTTTGATCTTTTTTTATTTCTCGTCGTCCGACCTCTTTTAATTCGTCTTTTTCTTCTTTTCCTTCCCTGTTGTCCTCAAGCCACCATCATGAGCGACAGCGCCACCGGCGAGGCCGCCCTCGAGCATGGCGAGAAGCAGGAGTTCCACCAGGTCAACAACAACCTCAACACCGACAGCGACACCGAAGCCGTGACCGCCCGGGGCGTCGAGGCCGACAACATCCCCTCGGGCTACTGGTACTCGTACCGCTTCCTCGGAACGTTTTCAAGTATCGTGCTGCTGGCCGCCTCGCTCTTTGTGAACTTTAACCTTCCTGTGCGTGTCGTCTTCCTCGTTCTGTTTTGTTTGTCACGCAGGCCCGACTTGCCGTGCGTCCCCGGCATATTGCCCTTGTGAATTCGAGACCTCTAACCAACCAGGCCTCCGCCATCACCGTCATCAACGAAGATCTCGGCTCCTCGCCTTCGTACATCTGGATCACCGATGCCTCGACCGTCGTGACCTGCATTGGTCTGCTCATCGTCGGCCGTCTCAGTGACATTGTCGGCCGTCGGTACTTCCTCATCGGTGGCCAGGTCTTTGGCGTCGTTGGCTCGGCCATCTGCGCCAAGGCCACGTCCATCAACATGCTCATTGCCGGCGCCACCATCTACGGCGTGGCCACGACGACTCAGCTCACCTTCCCCTTTATCGTCCACGAGATCGTGCCCAACAAGCACAGGGGCATTGCCCAGGCCATCATCACCGCCCTGGTGACCCCCTTCGCCGGCTTCGGCGCCATCATCGCCCGTGAGCTCATCGAGTACAGCTCCTTCGGCTGGCGCTGGTGCTACATGATCAACGTCATCTTCAACGCCGTGACCCTCGTCCTGCTCCTCCTCTGCTACTTCCCGCCCAACCTGAACCAGCTGCACACCAAGTGGACGTGGAAGGACGAGCTCAAAAAGCTCGACTACGGCGGCATCCTCATCTTCACGGCCATGTCCGTCCTGATTCTCGTCGCTCTGAACTGGGGCGGCAGCACGTACCCCTGGACCGACGCGCACGTCCTCGCCCCCCTGATCATCGGCTGCGTGCTCGCGCCCGTCTTCGCGCTGTACGAGACCTACGTGCCGCTGACGCAGCCTATCCTGCCTGTCAAGCTGCTGAAGAACCGCGCCTACGTCGCCATTGTCATTGTCGCCTGCATTGGCCAGATGGCCTACTTTGCCCTCGCCATCCTGTGGCCCGAACAGATCTCGAACCTCTACACCACCGACAACATCACCATTGGCTGGATGTCCCTGACCTCGGGCCTGTCCCTGATTGTCGGCGAGGTCATCTTCGGCGTCCTCATGAAGCCCCTGGGCCACACGCGCATCCAGCTCATCATCTCGACGTGCACGCTCTTTGTGTTCCTGGCCGCGCTCGGCGGCACCACGCACAAGAACCAGAACTACGCCATCGTCTTCACCACCATGGCCGGCTTCTTCTCGGGCTGGCTCGACATTGTCACGTCCGTCGCCAACGGTCTGGTCAACGAGCCCGGCGACCTGGGTCTCGCCAACGGCTTCCTCGGCTCCATGAAGCAGCTCGTCGGCACCATTGCCGTCTCCATCTACGTCTCCATTCTGTCCAACCGCTTCGCCGTCAACTTCCCCAAGGACGTCAGCGAGGCCGCCCTCAACGCCGGCCTGCCCGAGTCTTCTTTGGCCGCCACGTTCGCTGCCCTCACCAACGGCACCGCGGCCGCGCTCGACGCCGTGCCGGGCATGACCCCGGCCATCGAGGCCGCCGTCGCCCAGGGCACCAAGACCGCCTGGGCCTCGACCTTCACCACCGTCTACTACTCTTCGCTGGCGTTCACCGGTGTCGCCGTCATTGCCGCCTGCTTCAGCTCCGACATTGACAAGTACATGACCAGCTACGTGTCGCGCCGTATTGCCGGCACCCAGGCCATGGACGTGCCCGCCGAGCTGACCTTTAAGAACGGCCACCTGACGGACGACGACAACTAAAGCGAAAAATCGAATTTCGGTTGGGGGTTTTCTGCTGACGTTTCACCTTGATTTATTGAGACGAACCAAAAATTGTTTTGATTTGTTATACCATTGCTATTGTTTGGCCACCACACAGCGCTGTCTATTTAATTTTTGGTCATCTTCTATTTTTTGAGAGAGCTGACATCTTTCCCTATTTCGACCAGTATATATATCATTTTGCAGAATCATTTTTCTCGAAACCTTCTTTTTTCTTGTTGAGTAAGGTTTTTATGTCTATCAAATTCGTTCAAAAGAAGTAAAACGAAAGAGACGGCCGCAGTACCTAGCCTTTAATGTCTTGTTTCCCTTCTTTTCACGGCATATAAAATTCTCCAACTATGAGATGACGGTCCTTTTTTGCGCCTTGGTGACGGACGACTCTGCTCCGGTATTGGTGCGAGAAGAAAAGGCTTCCAGGCAGACCGAGGGAAAGGAGCTACCTTCAACACCCCCGATAAGGAAAGGCACTACAACAGGATCGCGCAGAACTGGGGCCAGATGGCGATTGGGAAAAGTGGCGATAATGGAAGAGACGTAAGAAACTGAGGTCAAAACCAGAGACGAAGCACACTGGGACATGGCGACAATCGACTGTTCCGTGATCGACAAACAACGCCTGCGATGAGAAACGCTTGGCACTTTCGGGGATTGTCCGGGAGCAGTCATCTTCTCACTTGGTTTCCCTCATGTCCTCTTGAGAGCCCATTACACAATCTTCCAATCTACAACCCCCGTTTTTGGTCTCCTCACTTCGTCGCCTTTTTGTGCTGCCGTCTTCCGAATGTGCCATGCGCTGCGATAGCAACTTATGTGCCTCCCAAGTGGAGGGAGCACGCACGGGATGAAAAGTCTTACCTGCAGCAATGGCGCCGTTTTTGTAAGATACACCTGGACGTTGTACGACGGTGAGAAACCAGGCGATCGTCGCCCGGCACACCACACGTTCCTCAGTTATCCAGGCAGCCACCCCTGGGCCCCTGTTCTCGGGCCGATGACTTGTGTTTCTCAAAAGTATCGGTACTTTGGCTGCCAACGAGTAGGCCGACATACAGTGACGGCGGTGCGAGTTGCGTCTCGGAAAATGCCGAGTACGTGAGCGAAAGAAAGGATGAGAGAAACGGCGACAAACAATTCCCCGAAACATGCAACCTCCTGTAGACACGTAATTCGTATAACGGACATTTATGCCAGGCTTTAGTCCGGTCAAAGACAAGCATGTTTCACCATGTCAGCTGTCTCGAAACAAGGCATTAAAGCTCAGATCGTCGCTTCCGAAGCACAGTCAGTTGATCAAGATACATCCCAAATGGTGGCCTTCCAAGGGTGAGTTTGTTCCACAGCTCAGTGATCGCTGGCCACGTTTTGATACATATTTCTGCCGTCCCTCATTTGTGCATTATTTGCGTTTCGTCTGTTTTTTCGTGCAGATGAAACTCACCGGTCACTGTCCTGACCGGTCGAACCGGTCAGCAAAAACCGCGTGGTGAAGAGGGAAGGACAAGGCCACCACCTAGGCCATCAACCAAAACAGAGACTCGATGTGTTTTGTTGACCGGTCCTGCAAGGGTGCTCATCACATACAGAGGACTCTGTACAAAGTATGTGTGCCAGCTGTGGTTGCATGCAGCGTGCAGCGAGCAGATTCCAGCCTGCACCTCCCGCAGGATACATCCGAGCACAGACACGCTCCCACTCCAAGCGTACCGAGCCGTACACGTCCACTTTCCTGAGAGACGATACCGGACGCATCGTCGCATCATTGGTGCAAAGCATGACAGAGAAGAAAAGGCTACATTGCCTGTCCGCGAATGGTACTTCGTTCGTGCTCCCTTGGTCATTTGCAGCCTGCAGCCCATACACCCTCGTTGCGGATCACATCCGCTGAGGTGTCCCGTCTGCATTCAGAAAGATGCACTGCATCCCAAGCCCCAAGTTGCAACTAGTAATGCAACCTCGCTGAAGGAAGGGCATCAGACATAAATCGTACATGCAAACTCCATGGCGAGTATCCTCATCTCATGCGGACGGTCATCTCGCTCACCTAGCACTCAGAAGCCACAGGCTCCAAGCCATCTATTCTGCACCTTGTTGTTTCGGTCGCCATGCATATGAAGAGGTGCATCAAGCCCAACAACCTTTTGCCGCCTGCCACTGTCTCGGAGGTGGCTCGAGAGACTTGTGATACCACCACCACCGCCACCAAATCGTAAATTTTTATTATTCGCAGCTCCAACACTCACGGCGCATGTTTTGCGACATTTCATAATGCCATGTGCAGTGGCCTTTTCTCACGATAATTCCACGTTGTCAATCTTCTCTCTCTCTCTCTCTTTATATTTTTATATTACTTTCTCTTTGTCTAATCAGCTCATTTCTCTCTTCGAAATCTGGGGCCGGTCTGTCGCTAAATTTCCTTGACCTTTTCTTTAGCCATAAGCGTGCCACTAACACAGCGAAGCTCGGCTGAGCGGAGTCGTCCTTTTCCCGTCCGAGATCTGACCCAGCGGGAGGGCCAGGCCAAAAATGGACCCCATAACTTTGTTTTGTACGCCCCGAAATGCGGCCCCGCCAATAGCTTCATCTTGGTTCTTGGCTCCCATTTCCACAAACGTTCGTCTCCGGAAAAACGACAGGGTATTCGTCACTGGCTTGCTGACCAAGGAACATAAGCCGGAGAATAAATGCAGAAACACACATGAAATAATATTGAAAATGCAAAATTGAAAATCAATAAAATCAACACGACCCTGAGCAAGGGCTTTCTTGTCTCACTTGCGGAAGTGTGCACGGCGGACGATGGCCAGAAGAAGGCGCCCGAGGATCCGTGCAAAGTAAATACCCCCGCTTCGTTCAGCTGTTGTCCTCATCAGATATCTCGGCGGCGGCTGGGTAGGAAGAGAACGGGGCGCCTTATGTGCCATCATTTTATTCCCTGTTCATGAAATCCAATGGACGCCTGAGAAGTGGCCACATCCTTGTCCGTGACCACTTTTGGATGGCATTTCTCGGCAATACCAGTGTCCCAGGTGCGTGGATGGGGAGGGTAATATCACCCGCCATTTTTGGAGCTCTGATGTGATGGACTCTGTGTCGTATTTCTTGGAATGTGACGGGTTTCTGCTTATTTTGGTGGGATCGTCGATGCTCCCTCGACCGTTCCTAAAGTATTACATGGTACTTGCAAGTATGCCGCACTCTGGTAGGAGGTTGCTGATACTTTTTTTTGTTCTCATGCTCCACGAAGACGGTAAGACATTTTGCTTCACGAGAAGGCTGGAAGGCTGGCTAGGGCCCACATTAACGCACAGAACCATGTTCTGTTTCTGGCCCCATGACTGAGCTAAAATAGAGCGCGGAACGAGCGGACACCAAAGTAACGCCCCGCATCCCTTGCTTTACTTTTTTGGGCTTACTTTTGTTCCATTCCTACAGCGTACATACTCCGTGCTTTGCAATATTCCAGGGTCAAGCATACTCTGTGCAAATCAGAGAAACGAGATAAAGTCAATTCCCACCGCATTCTTCTACTTTTCAGCCTCAACTGTCCCCGTACTATGATCCCTGCATTTGCGTGCATTTGCTTCCGGAGAAAGGGCAAACCACTGGTCATGGCACAGGCTAGAAACAAAGGGCGAGATAAGAAAAGAAAGCACAAAATGTACATTTGTGTTACGTACGACGTAAGATATTAACCTGGTACGCAATTTCAGTGGAAATAATCGTTGGTTTGGAATATGCAGCCATAGGACGCCTATGCTTTCTTTTTCTGGTGGCTCGTCACACCTGGCCAATGGGAGACCATAGACACAACCAAACCAAAGGACCGTTGCTGGAACATGTCCCTGCAACTATGGTGCCATGCTCAACAAAAAGAGGGAGAGATATGGTCGAGGCTCTCGAGCGTGTTGCCAGACGATACATCGTAAAAGGAAAGCAAGAAAAATGAGAGAACGCAGCAAAGAAGCATGTGGTCGTGACAGTATCCTGCTGAGTTTCATATGCATTCTGAAGCTTGGTCGGGGGCTATTTCACGTTCACACACGGTAAAGGTTTTTACACCTCAGCTGCCTCTCCCCTCCGCCCCTATATTCGCGCGAGTTATGCCCAGGCGCTCAAAAGGCGTACTGAGAATGTTCTTGCTTGTTTATGCATGTTTCAGTGGTTCCAATATCTGTGGTAGTGAAGCGGGATTTAAATGTTGCTGCAGTCGGTTTTCAAGTGTATTTAACATGATTTCAATGTGGCTGCTTTTCCAGCAATGGGCATCCTCTACACCGTACATTAGTCCCTTACGCAGGGATAGCACTTCGCTCTTACAATTATCTTTCCACCTCGTAAAGTGTCGCATATCACCAGAGATCGTCTACTTGCATGTCCATGCGTCATGGACGACTTCTAAACTCCGTAAGCATCGGAGCTGCTCGTGGCCCTTTTGCCTCTTTTGTCCTTTCTGTGGCCCTGTTCACCGAGATGCACAGCAAGTCCACTGTATGTACATCCACACCGCATATGCATCAGACCTTTCGTGCGCCACCGCCTTCACTTCCAGCTCGCTTCTAGCTCGTGTCTCTCTGCGTGAGAAATGTACCGCATGGCTGATGTTCCTCCCTTTTATTCCACGTGCAGACAACAACGTCCTCCTTGGTCACAATAGCATGGCAGTGGATGTTGTTCAATGCCCCGCGGGAGCCAATGTCGGACAAATCCATGCTCACTCATGCCATCAACAAGCCGATGGTAGCGCCCAGATGATGTGCGTTTAACATATGAAAACGTTGTATTACCTAGGATACCACCTAAATACAACCGCTGACACGTCGTACATTAAGCAGTCCTTTCTATTCCTGACATCTCACAGGCGTTCATCCCACATAGTACAGGGTAGGACAACATACTTGCCAGGGACGGACCTCGCATCAACAGGATTGTAACTAGCCCCTAGACGTGGAAAGATGTAGCAACAGCTTCAGGACTTCGAAATCTCCCTGGCCGTGTGGAGACCGATCGGAGTGAAAATGGGGGAGATCGAGCTCGAGGATGAAAGAGAGCAGCTGAAGGGGTGAAGGCTGTATTTTTTGCGGGTCGTTTAAGTGGGTCGATGTGGGTTCCAACAACAAGGACATCGTTGTGCGCTTCAGCTCTCGGAGACAACACCGTACGACAAGCATGGAACACACTCTCTTCTCCAAACATGTATCCGCAGCCCTCGAAATATAGACAACTGCTCTTCGTTCTGCGTCGTGGCAGCACCAGAGAAATTCAGAGACGTGCAAAAATGGCCTCTCAATGTCTTACAATAAGGAGGAGACAGAAAATGCGACAGGAAAGGAACGAGTGGCCATCACAGCCCCAACAATTCCGACGGAAGGAGCTAACTAGGGCCAAGGTAAGGGGCATCTGGAGACACAAAAAAGGAAGCATATGCAAGAGGAGGCACATGGTGACGTCTTGCAGTCAGCCACGCATTTTTCTGCCTCTTTTGTGTATTTTCGCCGCCTCCTGGACCAGCTCCTCGTCCAGCCCCTGGCGGTTTGTCTGTTGTATTACATATTGCTGCTCCGTAAACGTCTTTGTACCTTCGTCTACGGCTATGGTCGTCAGCTTGCATCGCACTTGCCTCAACATCTCGTATGTCGTACTCCGTAGTTGTACATTCCGTAGTTGTACATTCCTCGTGCCTTCCTTCCTTGCTTCGTATGTGCACACACCTTCTCTTTGCATCTCCTTTGGACAACAAACTCTCCCTCACATTCTCTCCTTCGTCTTTTCTTGCCTCATTTTATATTTTCTTGCCCCCTTACCCTCCTCTGCCTCCTCTTCGACATCAAGTATTTTGTTTCTCCCTTACCTCACTCGTTCGACCCGTATAATAGGAGTCTCGCTCCTCGCCTCCCTGGCTGTTCCTCATTCCTGAATTCCAATTATCCACCTTTCTTCCATTTCCATTCTCCGTTCTCCATCACCCATCTTCCCCAACCTTGTGCCCTACAGAATACTTTCGGTCAGATCTTCTCACTTTCAACATTCGCGAGCTACCTTTAGTTCCCACCGCGATCTACGCGCCAGTCGCTTCGTCCCGCTTCTTGTTTCCGACTCTCTGCACTGCGCACTGCTCGGCCTTGTCCGCCTAGATCTGGTCTACCCATATAACTGTATCTGTCCCATCCCTCCAATGGGCCACTTCGCTTCCCCCTTGATCAACCCCCGGTTTGTGTTTGTGTACCTTTGCATTACGGCAACCGTTTCCATACTCACGAAACTCATTGTCGGACCTATCGTTGCCGTCTACATCTTCATCCATCTCTTTATATCCTTCGTCCGCCTCTGCACGCCCGATATCTCTTGGACTCGTAGCCATACGGTTTCTGAGTGGGTATGATGTCCAAGTCTCCTCATCGTTCCCAACCGGGCGCACACTTCACATCGCCTATTGAGTATGCTGCATTCACTGTCATGATATGTTGAATGTTTATACCATGAGCAAAAGCTGATACGACGCTCTTACAGTCTTACCAACGTTCAACGTCCCTCGCAACTTAAAGGCAGGACGATGGAATGCCGAACAGGCTCCCAACCGCTTTCGGTCGAGGATACGTATCTCTTGAGCCCTCAAATGAGCTCCCAGTCAAGCCCGTCATATCAGCTCTCGCAGGAGCAGGCCGACTATCAACCGAGTTACCACCTTCCGCCGACACAGTTTGCACAGCAGCAGCAGCAGCAGCAGCAGCAGCAGTATTACGACCACCTGCAACCTCAGACAATATACCCCGAGCACATTCAGCCTCAACAAATGTATTTGCAGGCTCCGGTGCCCCAGAATCCACTGCCTTCACATATCACGCAGTATCTGCCCCAAAACCAACACCAGGTCTATCCGCAACCCTATTCGCAGGAATGTACTCCTCTTCCCTTGAATCCCGACCTCCCTTCTCAAGACATGCGCTCCTCTTGTCCACCGCTCCAAACAGACCTTCCAAGCCAGCCAGGCCTAGACGATCCCGTCCAACTACCAGAAACGGAAGAAAAATGTCAAAAGACCAAATGTCGGCAACTTAGGCTTCATATTCGGCTCCTGGAAGTACAGCTCCGGCGACTAGAAAAGCAGAACACTCACCATGAACCACCGGTCCCCCTGTCAGGCCAGCAACAAACCCAGGCCCAAAAACCTCAGCACCACGACAGCAGCTCGAGCGATATCAGCACGGACGATGAAGACGACTCAGAGCAACTCAGACTAGGCATGCAGAGAGAACTCCAAGAGCACACAGCGCATATGCAGATCCAAAATCCAACACCTATCGTCTCGCCGCTGCCTACCGCAATTTCTCAGCCAGTCCTTTCGAATGTACCCACGCCGACGACCTGTGCTCCACAGCAAACGTTTGACACGCAGTATTCCTGTCAGATGTCCACACAGGCACCAGCACCGACGCATATCCCTATGGAAGCACCGGCTGCAGTACCTCCGCAAGCTTCTGGGCAGATGCCGCCAACAGCGACAGGTGCTCATATGCGAGCGTCTTCACAGTTGTCTACACAGGCTTTCACACCAGCGAATTCACCAGTACCGCCTCCGGGCCCAGTGCAAGCAAACGCGCAACAATCGCAGCGGGGACCCACGATATTGTCCACGCGTTGTTGTGTGAAAACGTGCACCGCAACGCACGTTCCTTTGTCAGACGTTTTGACAGTGGACGCAAGCGGCATGCCCATTCAAGATATCGAGGCTTTTGACTTTACGACTGTTATCTTTGAGAAATACGACAGCTTGTTCGACCGATTGGGTGTTATTGACAGGGAGATGGCAAAGCTGGGTCACCTCCTGAAAGAACGGGTTCCCATCTTCGAGCGAAAATCAAACAACACGCAGGGCCAGAGCAATAATCAGACGGCATCTGCGGCGACGTCTTCTGCACAAATTTCGCCATGGCCAGCAAGTGGTCCCGCCATGGCAACATCCATGGAGATGCCACCGCCGCCCCTGCCATCGCCAAGTCAACAGGGAGCCGCGCCGCCTGCGACCGCCGCGGACGAGCGGGTAGGGCAACTCTTCAAAAAAGCGAGGGACACGTACCTGCGCAACGTGGAGATTATGGACGCAAAAACACGCAGCAGTGCTAAGATGATGGAAGAAGACGAGGATGGGCAGGAGGAGACGACAAACTCGTATGCGTACAGGAGTTCCTTTTTGGAAATAGAGAGACGGCGCCTTGTAAAGTTCTGGACGGAGAGAATTGAGCTTCTGGATAAGCTCACCGACGTTGAGAAGGAATTGGCAGATGCGAGAGACAATGGGCTGATGCCCTGGGCGAAGGCTTCTTGATTGTACAGGCGTCACGCATGGGAGTAGGTTGGTGACAAACTGTATCGGGCGGTAATTTGTAGAGGCGCTTGGGAAACCAGGGTTCAGGTAGATATCAACGAGCGTACGGATGCGGGGACAAGGATGCCAAGAAAGGGTATGGGATGTTTGCTATTTTGATTCACTTTGTAATGTTTGTGATGTTATTTTATTTTGTGTTGTACTCTATGAAGTGACAGCAGTTTTGAAGCAATTATTTGCCACTCTGTAATAAAAACATCAATATTCAAAAAGAAAGAAGCCAAGGAGAATGAGATCCACAAAGCACCCATAAACTCAATTCATGATTCTATTGGTATTGTTGTTGACTTGGATCGTTGCCGGCCACTGTGTTGATATTAAGTGTAGAGTGCTGCTGTGGAAGGCCTTGCCATACCTACACCGTCGATACTTATGATCTAGTGCACGGTTCTAGTAAAATCAAGTACTCCTTGTCTGAGTTCCTCCAAGTCTCGTAACGGCTTCTTTATGGTCACGAGCATACGTTTGCGATGTGTACTTAGTCTCAGTGCATACTCAATGCATTGTGATTTGCTTCTCACATCCAAACACGCTCTCATGCATCACCTGTTCTTTTTGTTCAACAGACCAGTGGGACGCCGTAGCTTGGCGATAAGTATGCCTGATAAGGTGGTGGCGACGTGCCAATATCGGTGGATGTAGCCCCTCAGCAGGCGTGCCTCCCCGCCAAACAGGACCTAGTGTGGGTCTCTGATGGTAGGCCCAGCAGCCTGTTCACGTTTTTACTTGCGCCATCACCGCGGCTGCCTCTGGCTCGCTTGGATTGGAAAGCTCTCACCGCACAGCGCATTCCACGGCATTCGATCGAATCGATGTATTGCGACCACAACGCCGTTTGCCTTTTGTCGTTTGCTTGTGCCTTGAACCTTTCTCACGACGACCCCTGCCAATTGCCCAGTTGGCCCCTCGGTAAGCCCTCTCTGTGATTGGCCCCACGGCCTGTTGCATAATGACGAAAAACTGACTGTTTTGCCCTTCGTGGCGTTTCCCAGAACATTCCGCACTTGACTGCCTGTTATTCGCCGGCTCACAATTGTTGAGTCCTGCCATACCCACAGCTCGACTTTCCCAACACACTCTTCCGTTTCGCGGTGTAGACCTGCCTTCGACCTGTGCCTCTCACCAGACACCGTCCAAGTTCGCGGTCGACTTCAACCTTCCCTGCAACGTCCTCCCACACAAGCAACCGCACCTCTCCACAACACACACGATGGCCAGCATGGATGTTGACTCGGCGGCTGACGCCGCCAAAACCACCGTTCCCGGTATGCACGGCTCGGTTGCTGTCCCTCTTGTCTGTTCTCTTCTCGCTTGCTAACCTAGTCGTTTGTAGTCGTCGTTCGGCACCAAGGCAAGAAGTACGAAGTCGACGTGGACGTCTCCGAACCCGGCGCCATCTTCAAATACCAAGTGTTCAGCCTGACGGGTGTCCAGCCCGAGAACCAGAAGATCCTTATCAAGGGCAAGCAGGTCAAGGACGACACGGAGATGTCGTCACTCGGCCTCAAGCCGGCGCAGGCCATCATGGTCCTGGGCCAGCCGGGCGCCGCGCCTGTGCGCTTCGAGGCGCCCAAGGAGAAGCCCCGCTTCGTGGAGGACATTGACGGCAACGACGCGGCCCTCCACGACAACACGCCCGGCGGCCTGACCAACCTCGGCAACACCTGCTACCTCAACGCGTCCCTGCAGGCGATGCGCTCGATCCCCGAGCTGCAGGACTCGCTGGTCAACCGCTTCCAGGGCGATGCCACCAACACCTCCCCGACGCTGGCCCGCCAGCTGCGCGAAGTGTACTCCCGCATGTCCGCCTCGCACGCCTCCTACGTGCCGCAGTTCTTCCTCAACACGCTGCGCACGCTGAACCCCCGCTTCGCCGAGCGCTCGCGGACCGGCCAAGGCTATGCGCAGCAGGATGCCGAGGAGGCCTGGACGTTTATCATGGACAACCTGCGGCGGACGCTGTTTGTCAAGGACGAAGCCAAGGCGCTTCCACCGGCAAAGGAGGGCGAGGCTGCGGCAGCGACGAGCTTGGCGACGACTGTGGAGTCGGTGCCGGAGGACGGCCAGAGCGCCGGCGCCGGCGCCAGCGCCAGCAGCTCTGTGAGCACGGTCAAGCGGTACCTGGCGGGCGAGGTGGAGAAGACGCTTGTCTGCGACGACCCCGCCGGCCGCACGGAGGCCGAGTCGGCGCCCACGACCGAGACGTTCCTGACGCTGCCCTGCCACATTAGCATCTCCATCAACCACCTGCGCGACGGCCTGCTCGCGGGCCTGACGGAGAAGATTGAGAAGCACTCGGAGCTGCTCGGCCGCGACGCGACGTACACGTCGACGATGAAGATTGCGCGGCTGCCCAAGTACCTGACCGTGCACTTTGTGCGCTTCTACTGGAAGCGCGACATCCAGAAGAAGGCCAAGATCATGCGCAAGGTCACGTTCCCGCACGAGCTCGACGTCTCCGAGATGTGCACCGACGCGCTGCGCGCCAAGCTGGTGCCCGTGCGCGAGAAGGTGCGCGACGTCCGCAAGGAGCTGGAGGAGATTGACCGCACCAACAAGAAGCGGAAGCGCCGCCTGTCGATGGAAAAGAAGGCAGAGGCGGCCGCGGCCCGGTTTGGCGCCGCGCCAGGCGCCAGCAGCAGCAGCAGCGACGACAAGAACAAGGACAAGAAGAATGACAAGAAGAATGACAAGGATGACAAGAAGGAGGGTGCCGAGGGCGAGGCCGAGGATGTCGAGTACAAGACGGACGCACAAATCGACGGGGAGAAGCGGGCGTCGCTGGAGAAAGCCAAGGAGGAGCTGTACCAGCTGGTGCGCCCGCGGCTCGAGGAGGACCGCTACGCCAACCACACGGGCCTGTACGAGCTGCGCGCGGTCGTGACCCACCAGGGCGCGGGTGCCGACAGCGGCCACTACACGGCCTTTGTCAAGAAGGGCTCGATTGTGAACCCCAAGACGGGCCACAAGTCCGAGGAGGACGGCAACTGGTGGTGGTTCAACGACGACAACGTGACCGAGGTGGGCAGCGAGCGCATCGACCAGCTGGCCGGCGGCGGCGAGTCGCACTCGGCGCTGATTTTGCTGTACGGCTCGGTGCCGCTCCCGCTGCCCGAGAGCCGGGTGACGGAGCAGTTCTTTACGTCCTGAGGAGAATGTATCAAGATTGCGGCGGCGGGGGGATCGACGCGCCCTTTAAGAGCATGATAGCAACGGGCTGACGGCAGGCGCATGAATGAGACCTAGACAGGACCATGAACGGCGTAATCTTAGGAAGCATTCAAGTGAAAATACACGGGCTGTGTTACTGTGTTCGCGAACCCGTCTTTCTGTGCGCGCCGTCTCAATACCATGTTGAAGCACGTTGGCTGTGTCTTATGCATCATGCTCCAGATATCGGATAAAGACGCAAACACATGCCGTATCAACGCATGGTGCATGCATCATAACAAGCAGCGCATGTCAGCCTTGCCGTTGACGGGTGCTCTCACCATATACTTTTAGCCAAGTTTCGTAATCCATGACGACGCAGGCAAACGCAACCGCTTTCTCGGGACCGGAACGTACATCTCAGGCCCGGTATTGCCCCGTGTTCCCGCAGCACGTGGCATTTAGCATGTCGGGAACGGAAATATGCTTGGAACACGTTCTGGCCCGTGGGGGTGCACCTGTCGTTGAGTTTGGAGGCTTTCCCGTATTTGAAATGCAAAGTAATGATGTTTTCCAAAAATAAAAAAAAATTAAAAAAATTAAAAATTAAAAAAAAATAAAGATAATTTATCTTCAGGTATTTGCCGATTTTCCTTTTCTTTTTCTGTCTCTCTTCTTCTAGCTCATTTCTTCTTATCTCTTATTATTTCCATCGCACTATAGTAGCAACATAACATTGACAAAACGTTCTGCACAAGTTTCACAACTCTGCAAAGCCCTGCCATAGCCAAAAAGGCGGGAATCGATCTGCGAGCAGCTTCCGCGTGGTGCACTGCCGCCGACGGTGAGAAAGGCGCGACAGGTAATTGACTCTGCATGGATCAGAACACTGACAGAGGAAGCGCACAGGGAGTGAAACGTAACGTAGAAACGTGGGAAGAAAACGTGTTGCGCACGGAGAACAGCCAGCACAGATGTTGAACATCAACTTGGCCTGCACGTGACACATATTGCACGACACAAATCTCCACAGTCTCACTCGGAGAACACGAATAGTGTCGCCTTTCCTGTTCCCTTTCAATCATTTCGAGACAGATTGGCAATCAACATGCAACAGGGCCCTTTTTCTCAGCTCTGCATCTCAAAATAGGCCCCTAAGACCCTGGTTGCTTCCAAACAATACGTTGCCGTGGGTTTCCAACTCTTGGTGCCAGAATTCCCATAAGTATGCACGCACCGCCACAACGCCACACACCAATGGACCACACCTAATCTACGTTCTCCACGCTTGCCCAGCCTGTCCCGCAGGGCTTCACCGATCCCACTAGCCAACACGACGCAGGCCCCTGGAACCCCTCTCTCACATAGCAAGGACAGCCCCTTACTCGAGCATCTCTGCCCCGCCATTCCATATTGCTGCTGGAGTCTCACTGGACAGCAGCTGCTTGCCAGTCGTAACATGTCGCTGCCTCGTCCTGGTGGGCTGGTCCACCGCCTTCCCGATGCTCGCCTGTTTCCAATGAGCTGCGTTGGGCTGGCAAAATTTTTGCTGGCGCAAGTCCTATTTTTTCAGAGCAATTAAATTTAAAGCAAAATAAACTCGGAAAATCAATCAGCAGCTAAGATTTTCATTGCTGCTTCCCCAGGTGGTCACGTCCACCTGAGGCAGGCACGACCGCCATCGCCATAACGACACTGCACGGGAAAGAGCGACTAAGAAGATATATTTCAAGTAAAAAATAGATACAAAAGGGGCATCTGTTTCTGTCCTAAACAATCCAATCCATTTTACGTCAACTTTTGCATCAAGAATCGCATGCCATCCGCATAGAACAACAAGGGAGCCAAGACCGTGCACGCCGTCACCTCAGCAAATAGCGGTGCGTTGTGCAATTAAGACAGCGGCCAGGCCCCCCTAGAGCAAGTCCCCCACCTCCCAGCAAGGCAAACCAGCAACGACCCGCCCCAGTATTTTCACCGAATGGCTCTCCCCTAAAAAACACTGAAGCGACCACAAACAAAAAAACGCCAGGAAAACAAAAGGGTCCAACCTCGCAGCCCTCACCACGCCTGCACTCGTCGCTTGCCTGTCTCGAGTGCGTTTCCCAGTCCTCTGTCGGAGCCAGTCGAGCATTCGGTCTCCAGTCCGTGGCCCTCTGTGATTGCGACCTACAGTCGGCCCTTCTATCGACCTCGTCCTTTTGCTCTCCCTCCCGTTCGCACGCCGCCTCGACGACGCATTGGCCTCTCTATCGTACCGCTCCCGTGAGCGTCTATTCCGTTCCTTCTAACCCGTCCATACCGGGTCTCCTGTCGGCGGTCCGGCTCGCAGCTGTTTCGCACCCCTCCGTCGGCCCATTGTCCCTTCGACAACCACCTGCGCGCCCGCCGCCCTCGAGCCAACCTCCCACCAGCACGTCGCAACGCGCGACACAGCCCGCCGACATGTCGTTGGACGTTGAAAGCATCAAGAGCTGGATTGTCGCAACGCTCGACGCCGATGGCAATGTCCGCCAGTCGGCCGAGGCTCAGCTAAAGCAGGTATGTTGGCACCGGCTCCGCCATTCTGGGCTGCCCTTCGAGTTGCTTTGGTAGTGCTGCTTTGGCACCTCTGCCTTGGCATCTCGGCGGCACAAGCCCGGCTTCACTCCTCCATTCGCTGACGTTGTTCTCGTCACACTCTAGGCCGAGGCCATTGAAGGTTTCACCGGTGTCCTTCTCACCATCCTCGAAACCGAGCAAAGCCAGAATGTTCAGCTCTCTGGTACGCCTATTCCAAAAGCCCCTTCTCCCTGACTGACAAGTGCTGCACAATCGCATGCGACTCTGGACTGGTCTTGGCTTCTAACACCTGCTCTTTCCGCCCCAAAATAGCTGCCATCTACGTCAAGAACCGCGTGAACCGCGCATGGACCTTTGTCGACGTCTACCCCGACGAACGCCTCCTGACCGAAGACGAAAAGACCCAGGTCCGCAACCGCCTTCTGCCCATCTTGGGCTCCGCATCCGGCATCGTGCGCCAGCAGCTCGTGCCCCTCCTCCAGCGAATCCTGCACTGGGACTACCCAGCAAAATGGCCGACCTACATGGAGTACACAATGCAGCTGCTGTCGACCAACAACGCACAGGGCGTCCTGGCCGGCATCCAGTGCTTGCTGTCCGTGTGCAGGACATACCGCTTCAAGGCATCCGGCGGCACCAGCCGCGACGAGCTTACCAACATTGTTGAAGCTGCCTTTCCCCACCTTCTCAGTCTCTGCCAGCAGCTGCTCGAGCTCGACAGCGAGGAAGCCGGCGAGATGCTGCACTATGCCCTCAAGATCTACAAGCAGGCCGCGTGGCTCGACCTCCCACAGCGCCTCAAGACCGACAACCTCGCCTGGTGCACCGTCTTCTTGCGCACCGTCTCCAAAGACCCACCCGCCTGCTCGCTGGCCGAGGACCCGGCCGACCGCGAGAAGCACCACTGGTGGAAGGCCAAGAAGTGGGCCTACTTCAACCTCAACCGCCTGTTCATGCGCCACGGCAACACCTACTCGCTCTCTGCCGACGTCCGCGACCAGGTCGCCTTTGCCAACGAGTTTACCGCCAACGTCGCCCCCGAGATCCTCAAGGTCTACCTGCAGCAGATTGAGAAGTGGGTGGCCCGCCAGATCTGGCTCAGCCGTGTCTGTCTGTCGTACACCGTTGTCTTTCTTGAGGAGTGCATCCGGCCCAAGGAGATGTGGCCGCATCTGCAGCCGCACCTGCCCAACCTGCTCACCCACCTGCTCTTCCCCCTGCTGTGCCTGTCCGAGGAGGACATCTCCACCTTCACCGACGAGCCGGACGAGTACCTGCACCGCAAGCTCAACTTTTACGAAGAGGTGTCCTCGCCCGACGTCTCGGCCACCAACTTCCTGGTGTGCTTGACCAAGACCCGCCGCAAGCAGGTGTTTGAGATTCTCCAGTTTGTCAATAACATTGTCAACACGTACGAGCAGGCCACGCCCGAGGAGAAGAACTACGTGGCCAAGGACGGTGCCCTGCGTCTTATTGGCACCCTCGCCCCGATCCTGCTCGGCAAAAAGAGCCCCATCGCCGAGCAGGTCGAGATGTTCCTCGTGCGCTACGTCCTGCCCGACTTCTCCAGCGACAAGGGCATCCTGCGCGCCCGCGCCTGCGACACCATTGAGAAGTTCGAGGCCCTCGACTGGCGCGAGCCCGCCAACCTGTTCACTGTCTACCAGAGAATCATCGACTGCATGTCCGACAGCGAGCTGCCCGTGCGGATAACCGCAGCCCTGGCCCTGCAGCCCCTGATCCGCCACGACGCCATCCGCGACCACATGCGCGCCAACATCCCCACCATCATGAGCCAGCTGCTGAAGCTCGCCAACGAGGCCGATGTCGATGCGCTGGCAAACGTCATGGAGGACTTTGTCGAGGTGTTCTCCAAGGAGCTGACCCCCTTCGCCGTCGCTCTCAGCGAGCAGCTGCGCGAGACGTACTTGCGCATCATCCGCGAGCTGCTCGACCGCGCTAGCCGCCTGGACGACGATGCCGAGGCCAACGAGATTGTCGACGACAAGAGCATCACGGCCCTCGGTGTGCTGCAGACCATTGGCACCCTGATCCTCACCCTCGAGAACATGCCCGACGTGCTGCACCACATCGAGAGCGTCATCATGCCCGTCATCCGCGTCACGCTGCAGAACCGCCTCTACGATTTGTTCAACGAGGTCTTTGAGATTGTTGATAGCTGCACTTTCTCCGCCAAGAGCATTTCGCCCGTCATGTGGGAGGCCTTTGATCTGTTCCACGTCACCTTCAACGGCGGCGCCGAGCTCTACCTCGAGGACATGCTGCCCGCCCTCGACAACTTTGTCCAGTTTGGTGCCGAGCACCTGCGCCAGAACCGCCCGCGCATCGACGCCCTCTTCTCCATGGTCGAGGTGCTCTTTGCCGATCCCAAGGTGGGCGGCTCCGACCGTGTGTGCGCCTGCCGCCTGGCCGAGGCCATGATGGTCAGCCTGCCCGGTGCCATTGACGATGTGGTGTCGCGCTTCATCCGCCTCGCCCTTGCCGGCCTGTCAGGCGGCACCGTCGGCCCCGACGGCTCGGTTGTGCCCAGCGAGGCGTTCTTGGCGACGGGTGCCGCCACCTCCGTGCACCAGGTCAGCCCGCGCTCGTACCGCGTGCACCTGATGGAGATGATCATCAGCGCCATCTACTACAGCCCCGTGCTCGCGCTGGCGGAGCTCGAGGCCATTGGCTGGACAAACCGCTTCTTCACCATGTGGTTCGGCAACATGGACGTCTTCAGCCGCGTGCACGACAAGAAGCTGTGCATTTCGGCCATCGTGGCGCTGCTCTCGCTGCCGCCCAGCAGCATCCCTGCGAGCGTATCTGTTGGCTGGCCGCGCCTGCTCAAGGGTGTCGTTGCCATGTTCCGGACGCTGCCCAGCGCCATTAAGAGTGAGTCCACCCCGCGCTTCACTCCAACATGACATACGATGTGATTTGATTGGCTAACCTTTTTTCCCCCTGTAGATCGTGAGGAGGCACTCCAGGAGGACTTCCAGTTTGCCGGCGGTGGCGGCGACGACGAGTGGGACGACGCCGACGAGGGCTGGGTCGAGGAGGACGGCCCCGCGGACCCCACGGCCGAGACCAAGGACGAGAACACGGCGTACATTGAGTTCCTCAGCGAGGAGGCCCAGAAGATTGAGCGCCTTCGCAGCCACAACGACTCCACCGACGAGCTCGGCGAGGAGAGCTTGCTGCTCGAGTCGTCCCTCGACAAGATTGAGCCTTATCAGCTCTTCCGCAGCGCCATCACACGTATGTTTGCATCACCTACGCTTTTGTTTGGCATCTTTTTGGACGCCTGTGCTAATTAATCAGAACTCGAACGTGACCAGCCGGAGTTCTATCAGGGTCTTGTCGGCCACCTTTCGGCCGACGAGCGGACTGTCATGGAGTCTGTCTACGTCCAGGCCGACCGGGAAGCACAGGCTGCCCAGCTGCTGTTTAACGAGCAGCAGAAGCTACTTGCAGAGAACGGCGCCTCGACCGCCTCCGCCCCGCCGAGCTAGTCGAAAGCTTGTCCTCTGCGCATTCCTCACGCCTCCATTCCATCTCAACCCCCCCTGCCTCTCTCACCAACGGCCGAGCCAAGACCTTCGAACGGCAATGGTGGGCACAAAATGAACCACGTAAATATACCTGAGCATTGGACACTGGGACACTGTATATTCTGCATTGAAGTGTCCGGCCTTTTTTGTGCCCCCTTTTTGACGCGAAATGAAACAAAAAACCAAAAAAAGATACTGCACAGGAAACAAAGAAGGATAAAGGCAACAGCAAATCCCTGATTTGCCGTTTTTATTCTTTGATTCTCGCCACGTTCCCTATATTTTTTTCGAAAAAAGGGACGAAAAATAAGAGATATACTTCATACTCCCGTCATCAACCCACACCTTCTTCCCCGTTGTGTTGTCCGTCGAGTCTTGGCTTTTGGCATACCAGGTTTGCATATTGTTTTCTGTTGTTCACTGTTGGTTATTGGTGCTTTTACCTTTTTTGGTTTCTGCTGCCTTGTTGCATATTTTACTCCCCGTCGGTCACTTCACCATCCCTTGTTCTTTTTTTGTTGCTACCATCCTTCTTGCATATCCCATCCACCCTCCATATAGTATCTTTGTTTGTCATCCACACCAACCTCTACATATATATATCCATTCTTATATAGCAAGTAAGAAGAAAGAACCAGAGAATAGGGGCCAGGAAAGAGAAAAGTGACGGAAACCAGGAAAATCAAGCAAAACAAACGAAAAAAACCACAATACAATCCTCTTCTGAAAAAGATCAACTGCTTACAGCCGGCTGTTTGACGGTGCATTTTGACTGCATTGTACTGTACGTCGTAGCATAGGAGAAGTTGAAAATCCCGAGATAAAATTGTGTTGTATATACAGCTTTTTTGGTTGGTCGTATCCGCCCATCCCACCTCGTCAGTGATACGAAAGCAACGTAAGGGTATGGAGTGACATGACAACGACTAGACTTTTTGGAATTGGAGCATTGGTTTCTTTTTTCTTTCTTTTTTTTTAGCTGACAAGGCTAGAACGGAACATTGTATTTTGGAAAAGTATGAAGATAGGTAAAAGCAGGCGGAAGTCGATGCACGCGTGGTGCGGCCAAAGAAGCGTTCTATCGGTAAGCGGGAGAACGGGAGAGAGGATGAAGGTGGCGTGGAAAGCCAGGGACGGCCGCGGCTTGCCCCTGACGCTGGGCAGACGAAGAGGGCCGCAAGAAAACAAATCGTTTAATCGAACTGGACAGACAAGGGTAAGTAAGTGGCCGTACTCCATGCGTGGGCCTGTCGTGAAGAGGAAGTACGTACTGGTGTCAGGAACGACTCGGCGACGAAGCGCGCACGCGCGTTTAACTGCCACGGTCAGTCAGTAGGCGGTCCATGCAGGGATAGAAGACGAAGACAAAACGACAGGGCCACGCACAAAGAGCTTCATCTCGGAAATCTCCTTGTCGACCTCCTCCATAAACTGGATGATAAAGTCCACGAGCTTGTGCTTGAGCATCTGCTCGGTGTGGAAGTTGGTGACGAGGAACGAGATGTTGTAGCCGTCGACGGCCTTGCGCCGCAGGATAAAAAAGGACTCGGCGCGCTGCGTCAGGAAGCGCGTAAACTTGTGCACCAGGATGTGCTCAATCTCGTCGGCCTGCTTGATCTTGATGCTGACGCGCACGCTGTTGACGCTGGCCTCGATGAGCACGCGCTCGTTCTCGTTGCGCGACACGACGAGCGGCGTCAGCAGGACCTCGGGCGACGAGCCGGCCTCGATCTCGGGCACGTTGTGGCGCTCGGCGGTCTGCGAGGCAAAGTCGCCGAGGCAGAGGGCGACCGTCAGGCTGCTGCGGACGGCCTGCAGGTAGGGTCGGAGGGATTGGGACTGCGGGGGGAGGCGCGGGGACGGCCGCCTGTGTTAGTGGCCAAGCTTTCGCACAGTAAGAGACATGCGTAGTGCAGGACGGACGGGGCCGCCGAGGGACAGAATGCGTCTGGGAAGCGCCGATCGATGCCGGAGCGTCGTCGTCGTCGGCAACTTCATGTCGCGCGGGCCATCATCGCCTATTGTCACTCACCATTGTGTCGGAGGTTCAGAAACGTCGATCAGTGTTTGTAATGTAAGGAGAAGAGGGAGACGCGCGTAGAAGAGCGCGCGGCTGGGCGCTGTCCGGTCCTTTGGAGTCGGTGGTCGGGTGCGAGATGTTGCGCCGCTGGTGACGTCGTCGCTGGACAAAGAGGGGAGAGAATGCGAGGGAGCAATTGGCGGGGATCGTTGCGGGCAATAGCTACCGGGTGCTGTCCCGCAGAACCGCTCGAGAAACTGTCGTCGCCCTGTATGTCTGGGAAGCCCGTGGGTCAAGGACAGGACGGCGTCTCGTGATGCTTCGTCGTGGGAATTTTCTGGTCGTTGGAATCCCGTGTGTCCCGCGCAAGTGCGAATCTCGGGGCATTCAATGAGGCAGTCGTTCTCTGGGGCAGCTTGTGGAGGGGGCAGGCGCGGGCGGTTGCTCCAAGCCACATTCGCGCAGCAGAGTGCCCCGCTGTTGTCGAGGCTCCACTTGCGAATGACCTAACACGTGACATGATTTAGACGACGACATTGCGTTACATTCTGGAAAGTACATCACTTTTGGTACAATTTATGTGCCTGAACATGTACCATCTACTCATCGCCATCTGTCAACGACTCTCTTTTCATGGGGACAAGGGGAACATAGATGAACATCCACGAATTGCCGACACATACGACGACATCTACTGTGAAGAAAACTGACAATGTTAGCAGACACATGTTGTAGTTGCTCGCCATAAACTCTGTTCTTCTTCATAAGGTCAAGTAAGTCGACCATTTATTTATCTCGGCAACTGTGGAATAAGCAGAACAGAAAACCATTTCCTGGCACCCCAAAATAAAAAACAGAAGCCCCCCCAGTCCACCTGCTCTAGTTGCTGTTCTGCATCGACTGGAAGGCCGCCACACTGCCCGTGCCGCGCACAAACGGCGCACCACCACCGGAGACCACGCTGATACTGCCGTTGCTGTACCCGGCACCACCCGGGTCTGCAGCGTCGGCCGCATGGCCCCAGCCGCCGCCGCCGGGCGTCAAGATCACCATGCGGTCGCCCACTGCCGCCTGGATCGAGTTCTTGGGGCCCAGGTTGATGACACGGTCCTCGCCGTTGGGCATCTTCTTGATAAAGAGGTTGACGCCGACGGCGCCGGGCTGGCCGCCGCGCATGCCGTAGGGCGGGTGCACGCGGCGGTCCGAGAGGATGGCGGCCGACAGCGGCTGGCGGAACTCAATGTCGCGGACACAGCCCTCGCCGCCGCGGAAGGCGCCGGCGCCGCCACTGCCCTGGCGCAGGCTGAACTCGCGCAACAGGCAGGGGTAGCGGCGCTCAAAGATCTCGGCATCGGTGATGCGGGTGTTGGTCATGTGCACGTGCACGCCGTCGGTGCCGTGCCAGCCGGGACCCGCGCCGGCGCCGCCGGCAATGGTCTCGTAGTATCCGTAGCCGGGCGTGTACGTGCCGGTGTCGGCGTCGAGGCGGGAGCTCTTGCCGAACGTCAGGTTGTTGAGGCAGCCCTGGCTGGCCGCGCAGACGTCGAAGCAGCGCAGGATGACGTCGGTGACGCGCTGCGAGGTGACGCAGTTACCGCCGACGACCGCGGCCTCGGCGCTGGGCGACAAGATGGTGCGCGGGGGCATGATGACGTTGATGGGGGTCAGGCAGCCCTGGTTGAGCGGGATGTCCTCCTTGACCAGGCAGCGGAGCACGTAGATGATGGCCGAGTAGGTGACGGAGGTCGGGGCGTTGGTGCTGCCGTAGACCTCGGGGCCGGTGCCGGTAAAGTCAAAGTCGGCGGTGCCGGCGTCGCCGTCAATGGTGATCTTGAGCTTGATGGGGCTGCCGTCGTCCATGAACTCGGTGGCCGCCATGGGCCGGCCGCCGAAGCGCGTGAACGTCTCCTTGAGCAGCCGGCGGACGGCAATCTCGGCGTTGTCCTGGATGGCGCGCATGTAGAACAGCACCGTCTCCAAGCCGTACTCCTTGACGAGCTGCCCGATGAGGTGGATGCCCTTTTGGTTGGCGCCCGTCTGGGCGCGCAGATCCGCGAGGTTGTCGAACAGGTTGCGCGCGCCGCTGCAGCCGGGGTACTGGGCAGGGCGCACCAGCAGGTGCTCGCGCATGGCCGCTTCGTTGAAAGCGCCGCCCTCGACGAGCTTGACGGACTCAATGGCGGCGCCCTCCTGCCACAGCTCCGTGGAGTTGGGCGGCAGCGAGCCGGCCGAGATGCCACCAATGTCGGCGTGGTGGCCGCGCGAGGCAACGTAAAAGACAATCTTGCCGTTCTCGAAGAATGGCGTGATGACCGTAATGTCGGGCAAGTGCGTACCGCCGCAGACTAATCTATTAGTCGAACGACAAAATAAACAGTGGTGACTGAGGAAGGGGGTGGGGACAGGAAACCTACTTGGGTGGTTCGACACGAGGACGTCGCCCTCCTTGAGCTTGCCCTTCCAGTGCTCGTGCTGCCACAGCACGGCATACTGCATGCTGCCGAGATGCACGGGGACGTGCGGCGCGTTGGCGACGAGCTTGCCGTCCTCGGAGAAGAGGGCGCACGAAAAGTCGAGGCGCTCCTTGATGTTGGTGCTGACGCTGGTCTTCTGCAGCGTGCGGCCCATCTGCTCGGCGATGCCCATGAAGCGGTGGCCGAACACGGACAGCTGCACAGGGTCCAGGACGGGGCCACCGGCGCCAGCCGGGCCCTGCTGACGCGAGCCGGCGACGTCAATGTCCACGACGACGTGCTCGGCCAGAGCGGTCACCACTGCGTTGGGCGCAACGACAATGGTCTGCGTGTTGTCGATGATCATGGCCGGACCGGCGACCTGCTCGCCCTCCCGGAGGGAGGTCAAGAGATACACGGGGGTCTGCTGCCAGCCGAGGCCGCCCTCAAAGTAGACCGGCTTGGCCATCTGGACGGCCGAGGCCGACGCGGGTCTGCGCGCGACGCGCTCCATCTCCTGGGCGGCGACGGTGGCGCTCGCGCCGGCGCTGCTCTTGCCGACGGCGCGGATGCGCACGTCGCCGACAAAGACGTCGCGCGGCATGGTGAAGCCAAACTCCTGGCGGTGGCGCTCGATGAACGTGTCGGCAAAGGCCCAGTCGTCGTCGTCGTCGTCGGCGCCGGCCGCCTGGGGGATCATGATGAGCGTGTCGGAGCCCTCGTAGTGCATGTGCAGGAACAGCTCGTACTGGGCGCGGGTGTCGTTGACGGCGAGGCCCTGGTCGAACAGCTCGGCCTCGGCCTTGACGCGCAGCTCGGCCGCCGTGGCCTTGATCTGCGGCAGGTTGTCCTCGCTGAACACACAGGCCAGCGGCGCCTGCACGTCGGCGACAATGTCGGCGAGGGCCATGCCGTAGGCAGACAGGATGGAGCTGAAGCGGTGCAGCACGACGCGGCGGATGCCCAGGGCCGCGGCAATCGAGCAGGCGTGCTGGCCGCCGGCACCGCCAAAGACGGCCAGGTCGTGGTGGGCGGCGTCGTGGCCGCGGGCCTCCGTGAGCGTGCGGATGGGACGGCACATGCTCTCGTTGGCGACGCGCAGGAAGCCCAGGGCGACCTCCTCGGCCGTCAGCTTCGCAGTGCCCACGGGCAGGCCGCTGTTGACCTCGGCCTTCATCTCCTCGAAGAGGGTTCGCGTGACCTCGACGTCCAGCGGCTGGTCCTCGTTCTTGCCAAAGATCTTGGGGAAGTACTCGGGGACCAGGCGGCCCAGGAACAGGTTGGCGTCGGTCACGGTGAGGGGGCCGCCTTTGCGGTAGCAGGCAGGACCTGGGTGGGCACCAGCGCTCTCGGGGCCGACCTTGAAGAGGCCGTTGGACCAGAAGAGACGCGAGCCCCCGCCGGCGGCGACGGTGTTGATGTCGAGCTGGGGCGTTTGGAGAGCGATGCCGGCTGTGGTGGTCTCGAAGATGTGTTCGTACGAGCCAGCATACCGAGACACGTCTACATATGGTATTAGTATGTGTGAGGGAAAAACAAATGTCAGAAACAGACTCACCAGTCGACGTGCCGCCCATGTCGAAACCGATGATGGGCTTGGCCGACCTGGGGTCGTAGGACGTCTGCGCATAGCCGACGACGCCGCCGGCCGGACCGGAGAGAATGGCACGCAGGCCGGAGAACTTGCGGAAGCTGACGAGGCCGCCGTCGCTCTGCATAACGTCACAGCGGGTGGTGGAGGCGTCCTCGAGCTCGCCGACAAAGCCGCGGCGGAAGTTGTCGAGGTACGTCTTGATGAGCGGCGTCAGGTAGGCGTCGGCCGTGGCCGACTGGCCGCGCGGCACCATCTTGATCATGGGCTGCAGCAGCGAGCTGACGGACACGCTCATGCCCATGTCCTCGGCGATGCGGGCGACGGCCAGCTCGTGGTCCGGGAAGGTGTAGCTGTGCATGAAGCAGACACTGAGGCTGCGGAAGCCGTCGTCGTACAGCCCCTGGATGACGGTGCGCACGGCGGCGAGGTCGGGCTTGGTCATGACGCGGACGACTTCTTTGGACAGGCCGATGACGAGGGCCGGGTCGCTGGCCGGGTCGATGATCGTCTTCTCGGGGTCCTCGGTGAAGCCCTCGAGGGTGACGCGCTCGTCGATCTCGACGACCTTCTCGTAGAGGACGCCGGGCTTGGCGACGGTGAGGTCAAAGATGTCTGGGCGGGCCTGGTTGCCAATGACCAGCAGGTCGCGGAAGCCCTTGGTGATGAGCAACGCCGAGCGCTCGCCCTTGCGCTCGAGCAGGGCGTTGGTGGCGACGGTCGTGCCCATGCGGATGCTGGCGACGGCCGAGACGTCGATGGGCTGGCCGCGGGGCACGGGCTGGCCGAGGGCCTGCTCCAGGACGCGGCGGATGCCTTCTGTGGGCGCATCGGGATAGTTCTGGGGGTCGACGGACAGCAGCTTGATCACGATGTCGTCGGGACGGCCGGGCACGATTGCGTGAACGTCGGTGAACGTGCCACCACGGTCGATGGCAATCTGGATGCCTTTCATGATGGGAGGAGGAGGAAGAGTGGAATGGAGACAACGAGGGAGAATATAACACAAGAGAAGAGAAAGTCAGGACAAGGGGATAGGGTATCAAAAAGAGAATAATGTATGAAGTATGGGCAGCGGGGAAGCAGAATTCACCAAGATGTTGTCCTCAATGTGTAATATGTAAAATGTGTCCTGCATTTCCTGATTCGGCCGACTTGGATACAGTCTCTGGCTTCGTCTGCTGTGTTGTCTGTATTAATACAAACTGACAGTTGTCACCAACGGGAATCTCACACACAAACAAAGCTCCCCTCATGATGCACAGTACGACGCCCACAGAGACACCCTCCCCGCCGTCGACGTCCGATGGCAGCCCGTCGGCGAGGGTTCCCGAGCCCACTTTTCCGCGAGCTCTCCAAGCACAGGATCGAGCTGGTCGAGGAGGTTGGTGCTGCCATCACGTAATGGGGGACCTCTGAGGTCTTGGTGTCCTCGGATCTAACGATATAGCCTACGCGTATTTGGCGGCCAATCGCGTGGAAATGTTGGCCGGCCATGTCATCTTGATCGGGTGCACCTAGCCGTAGCCGCACGGCAACTTCCAAAGCCCGCGATGACACCTGTCGTGGTTGTTGTTCTCGACTCTCGTGGGACATGTTGGCGTGCTTTTGGATTGTTCTTGGTGGGCTTTGTTGGCAGATTGGCGGACCGATACTTCTAGTGCCATAAGTTGGTGGACTGCTGTGTAAGTCGCGGGAAGCAGCTAACCCGCGGCCGGATCACCAGACATTAGTGTGCCTTTCTTATTTTCTCTGATCTGACAGGTAAGTTAGTTGATTTTCTCCACAGCTGATGATTGTTTCTCCAACTCCCTCACTTGCTCAGTTTCTCTCCACGGCCTGCATGCTGCCATCCGACGAGGCATCTGGATCGACTAAGACGGCACCAGGTTGCTGTTTGACAGCTTCGGTTGGAGCATCGCCACGACAATACGCGTGATGGAGGTGTCGGTGCTCGTGGACTGAAAATGTTGTTGGAGTGAGGTTTCTGTGAGGATGACGTGGGACAGAGACAGCAGTGAAATAGTGGTCACTCAGGGGCACTTATGCGCCGCACGGCAAGAACGACAAGTCAACAACAACACAACATCACGTGTGTTTTCTCATCCGAGTCACGGAAGCAACGAGATAGCTTTATGACGTTAAACGGCAGGCATCTGCACACCGCAACACACGATACGGTAAATACACCATTGACTCTCTTTCTAAATGCACCCAGGTATCTTCCTACGCCGTCACCACTGCGTACACTACCGCAACTTGAGGACACGCACTGCATTCTCGCCCATCACCAGATCGTATCTGTCGTTGCCGTCGGCGTCTTTGGCTGCGGCCGCGTCGCCCTCGGGAAACACACCGCGCGCGGCGTCCCGGTTCAGCGTCATGGCCGGGAAGGTCTGGGCGTGGATGTCGAGCGGCGCGAAAAAGGGGTGGTCGGTGCCAAACATGACGCGGTCGACGCCGCTCGCCTCGACGGCCGCGCGCAGGCCGATCTTGTCGAAGACGACGCCGTCGAGGTAGATGTTGGTGCGCAGCGCGTGCCACAGCGTCGTGCGGCCCGCCGCCAGCTTGCCCGCGGCCGCCCACGCCTGGTCGTGCTCGATGCAGGCCTCGACGCGGCCGGCCAGAAAGGGCAGGCAGCCGCCGCTGTGGGCGACAATCACCTGGAGCGCGGGCACGGCGTCAAAGGCGCCCGACAGAAACAGGAGCGTCAGCGCGATGGTGGTCTCCATGGTGAAGCCGAGCGCCAGCGGCAGAACCTGGCCGTAGTCGCCGCCGCGGCTGCCCCACACAGGGCCCGGGAGGCCGTAGTTGGGGTGCAGGAAGATGGGCAAGCTCGCGTCGGCCAAGGCACGGTACACCGGAATCAACGTGGGGTCGTCGAGGCCGTCGCCCAGGCCGCCCGTGCCCATGACGACGCCGCGGGCCTGCGGGAGGGTGCCGAGGCGGGCAATCTCGCCGAGGATGGCAGACTCGCCGCCGCTCAGAGGGAGCGCGCCGAAAAAGAAGAGGCGGTCGGCGTGCGGCAAGCAGATCGCATTGGTGGCGTCGTTGATCTCGACGGCGACGGCGGCGGCCGTGTCGGCAGGCAAAAAGTCCAGCCAGGGATTCCCCAGAGACAGGACGGAAATGTCGATCTGGTGGTGGTCCATGAACGCGAGCTTCTCGTCGACGTCATAGTAATGCGGGTGCAAGATGCGGCCTGGCGGAACCTTGGACGCGGCTGCGGCATCGACGGCGTCGGCGCCCGTCTTGCTGGTGTTTTGCGGCGGCCGGTTACACAGACAGAGCTCGTTGGTGGGCGGAAAGGGCCGCACGTAGGGAATTTCGGAGCGCTTCTTGAGCATGTCGATGTATGCCGTCGGGTAGAGATGGGTGTGGACGTCGACGACCAGCTTGCGACCAGCACGAGCGGCCATTTTGAGGCTGTGTTGTGTTTGTGTTTGGCGAGAGGTGGGTAAGCGAGAGGTGGGCAAAGGAGTACCGTTAACGAGGCACGAGTTGGTGAGCTGGCAAGTCGAGTCTGGATGAGTTTGATACGTCGGATTGAGATTTGTTTTGTTGAACTTTGCTTGAATTCAAACGCGGAGAACGGCTGTCATGAGATCCGACTTATGGACTCCGACTTTCGAGCGGTTGAAGGTCGCAATGACGCAAGGATGGAAAGCGTTCGCAACAGAAGCAGATTCAAGAGACGAATAACACAATGACAGAAGCACAAAGACAACAGTGCGACCCTGCAGATATCGAAGGAGTTTCCCGCCGTGTTAGTTCTGCGGCATGTAAACAAGCGAGAGAAGCGGCTTGTCTGCAGCCCGGATCCACCACCACCACAGACAACTGCGACGTGCTTGCGTCTTCCGCCGATGAGTGTTACAGTTTACTTTCTGTGAATTGTCTCTTGACGTCGGGCCGAGTACTGGCCGCTCCGTTGCCGTGGGACCATGCGCATCCACAAACGCACATCCACGACAGTCCGTTTCGCATCCGCGCATCCAGCCTCCTGGCATCTGGTCGCCTCGTCTTGGAAATGAGCTGCTGAGCAAGGATATGCTGTCTTATATGAATACGTAGAGGACCGGCCAGTCTCCGAGATCACGACAGTTTGACGGCAGCAACGCGGCCACAACGAGACACGGAAGCCACCGACCCTGGATCCCTCAATTAGCAAACAAAGCATCAGAAACATAAACAACATCTTCCCGCTTTGCCGACCAGAGCTTGCGATGTCTCATTCCTGTCTTTCCTCAATCTCTGGATCTCTTCGTTCCATCTTTACCTCGTCTTCGACATCCAAAAAGTCAAAAGAATCAAACCCGTCCACGCAGCCCGCACCGTCAGCACAGAAAACTCATCCTCAGCATCTCGCCAAATCTGCTTCTCCCTCTGCAATCGACAAGCATTCCATCAACACAGCCGCCAACAGCTCGTCCAAGATGCCGCACTCGGTCTCGTCCAACGAGGATGACGCAGCTGCTGGTACTCCGTCCGCGCCGCCCTTCCACATCGCCATCATCGGCGCCGGCATTGGCGGTCTGACCTTTGCCATTGGCTGCCGCAAGAAGAATGTCTCGTACACGCTCTACGAGGCCGCGGCCAAGTACAGCACCGTCGGCGCCGGTGTCGGGCTCGGCCCCAACGCGCTCAACGCGCTGCACATGATCGACCCCCAGCTGCGCGCCATGTACAGCGACATCTCGTCGGGCAACCTGACGCCCAACAAGGACCACGTCATGATGGACGCGCTGTACGCCGAGCCCAACTTTGGCGAGGACCGCGGCTGGGTGCCGGCGCCCTTTGGCGCGTCGTCGTACGACCGCACGAGCGCCCACCGCGTGGACCTGCTCAACATCCTGACGAGCATGATCCCGCCCGAGACGGTGCGGTTCAACAAGCGGGTCAAGGCGATCGACCAGGGCGCCCCGGGGAGCAAGGTCACGGTCGTCTTTGAGGACGGCGACGTTGTCCAGGCCGACGCCGTCGTGGGCAGCGACGGCGCCAAGGGCCCGACACGCGGCTTCGTGCTGGGCGACCGCTGGCCCGACGCGGTCAAGGCCACGTACAGCGGCAAGTACGTCTACCGCGCCATCGTCCCCATGGCCGACGCCCTGCAGATCCTGGGCCACCACGCCGGCGACGCCGAGTCCTTTCTGGGCAAGGACGTCAACTTCATCACGTTCCCCATCTCGCGCGGCGCCTTCTGCAACCTGGTCGCCTTCAAGTTTACGCGCGGGCAGCCCTGGACGCACGACCAGTGGACCAAGCGCGTCACCAAGGAGCAGATGGTGGCCGATTTCGGCGTCAGCGGCGGCGGTGTCGACCCGCGCCTCGTCCGGCTGCTCGACTGGGCCGAGCCGCTGCAGTGGTCGCTGCACCACCACATGACCACGCCCAGCTACTGCAACGACCGCGTTTGTCTGCTGGGCGACGCGGCCCACGCCACGACGCCGCACCAGGCCGCGGGCGCCGGCCAGTGCGTCGAGGACGCGCTCGTGCTGTCGCACATCCTGGGCCAGCTCACGAGCGCGGCCGGCCTGGCCCGGGCGTTTGCGGTGTACGACGGCCTCCGCCGCCCCCGCGCCCAGAAGGTCGTGCGCACGAGCCAGGAGGCCGGCGAGCTGTACTCGTTCAACCACGCCGAGTGCGGCGACGACATGGACAAGATCGTCGCCAACTTCCGCCGGCGCTTCCTGTGGATCTGGGAGCACGATCTGCACGCCGACCTGGCCGCGGCGGACGAGCAGCTGAAGGCCGCATTGAGTCAATGAGTAGGTTTCGTATGTGTTGGACGATGGGAAGCCGAGAGGGAGTACGCTTCGGCGTGTGGTACATTGCTATTATTTGCTTACCATTTACATTGGGTGCATTCTATGTGCCTGCGAAGAGGTCGTCTAACCACCGCGGGCATCAACACATCTACTCACGCCGCTCGCTCCTCGCCAGACCATTATTGGATACGCCCGCGCTGAACAATTCAGAATAAATTAATGTACCAAGAGGTACGCAGAAATATACAACAAATTACATTATACACAGTACACATGATCGATCCAGACATCCTCGTCTCGTGTGCCGCCCGCTTTACAGAGCCGCCTTCTCGTTCATGTCGAGGCTCTTGGTGCGGTCGACGTCCTCGTCCACGGCCGCCTCGGTGAGGCGCCTCTTGTCGAGGCGGGCCACGACCCAGATGAGGCCGGTGACCCAGGCAATCAAGGCAATAGACACGGCAATCATGGCCCACATGCCGCGGTTGAACCAGGGCGCGTACGACGCGCCGTAAAAGATGATGCTCCACCAGGCGTTGACGGCGTTGTTGCCCAGGTTCATGCCGGCCAGCACGATGCCGCGGAAGAGCGCGTCCTCGTAGCGCATGGCGTCGTTGCACCAGGCGAAGAAGGTGGCCTGGCAGGCGTAGACGCTGCCGGCCCAGTAGTAGGCGGCAAACGTCACGGCCGACGAGTGCGACGAGAGCGGGTGGCGCGCGGCCACGAGGATCATGATGGAGGTGGCGATGCCCGTGAGGCCGATCCAGTAGCCGACGAGGTAGCGCTTGCCGCCCAGGATGTCGGTGAGCGTGGCCCAGAAGAGCGTCGAGGCGATGCCGACGGCGGGCACGCCCGACGGGTAGTTGTTGAGCTGCGACACGGTGTACTTGACGTAGGGGTGGCTCTTCATGTACAGCGACAGCAGGCCGTTGCTGCTAAAGGACTCGACCTCGCCGGCAATCGTCCACAGGCCGACAAAGCCCCACCAGTACGACGACGTCAGCACGCGCCGCGCAATCGTGAGCACCGTCTTGACCGACTTGGGCTGCGCCTCGTGCGCCTGCTCTTCGAGCGGCACGCGCTCGCGCGCCAGCCGGCGCTCGGCGTCCGTCAGGTAGAACGCGGTGGTGTTGTGCGGCGTGTCGGGGAACAGGAAGATGCCGTAGAGGGCGACGGGCACGGTCAGCAGGCCGTCAATGATAAACAGCCAGCGCCAGCCGGCGAGGCCGTGGCGGCCGTTGAGCGACTTGTAGATGCCCGTCTGGATGAAGCCGCCGATCAGGGTGCCGGCCAGGCCCGACGACGTGAAGATGCCGCTGCGCTTGCCGAGCTCGCGCTCCGTGTACCAGGCGCCGAGGATGTAGTGGGTGCCGACAAAGGTGGAGGCCTCGCAGATGCCCTGGAAGAAGCGAATGGCCATGATGGCCTGCGGCTTGTGCGCGGAGGCCGTGACCATGGTGAGGCCGCCCCAGAGCAGCATCATGGTGGGGAAGTAGAAGCGCGGCTTGATGTGGTGCAGCGCGACGTTGGAGGGCACCTGGCCAATGACGTAGCCGACGGTGAAGCAGGTGTTGATCTCGTTGAGCTGGTTGCCCACGAAACCAAGGTCCTCCTTCATGCCCGAGACGTAGGCATTGGTGAGGTTGGAGCGATCGAGCTGGCGGCGTTAGAAGCGGCCCACGATCGCAGAAGCATGGAACAGCAGAGCATCGCATCGGGACGGCTACCACTCACATAGTTGATAAAGTAGCTGAGACAGCAAAAGGTGAGGATGAAAAAGTCAATCTTCTGCACCAGCATGCGCTCGCCGGGCCGGTAGCTGTTGGAGAAGTACTCGCGAATCCTGGAAGCCATGATGGATGGCGTGCGTCAATGGCACTTGGAAAGAAGCTGAAGACGGGGGATGGAGATGGGATGAAACAGGGCTGGACAAGACACAAAATAAATAAAAAATAAAAAGACACGACCACGATGACGAGGCGCGACGATCACATCTTATGTCCCAGGACGCACAGGACAAGGCTCGAGCGATCTCCTCGCAGCTGCCGTGGCCCGGTTGGAGTTCCTTTGTCGGAAGATGGTGCCTCGTGCGTGAGGGGGCGCCTTGGCCACGGAGACGAGGAGAGATAGAAGGACGAGATGAGGCGGTCCGATGATAGCTTGCTTGGGGTCGGCGCTGTGATGTTCAGTTTTCTTTCTCAAAACGGAAAGGAAACAAAGATACCGCGACGGGGTTACAAGCAACGGAACGCGACCTGACGAACCGGGAACCCAATAGACAGGAAGCCCAAACGAAAGTGGTCCAACAAGGAGAGGGGAAACGAGGCGTGAAATGTGACTGACATGGATTTTGGGATTTTCTGGGGTTTTGGCGCCAAAGTACAGAATAGTGCGCTTTTGTTTTCATTTGCTGGGGGAGATTGGAGAAGGCCCCAGTGGCCGGCAACGGCGAATGGCAGCGCCCGATAGCTGTAATCTAGGCAAAGCGGCCAACTGACAAAAGAGTGACCGCCGATGTGGGCAGAAACTGGAATAAAGAAGCCAAAAGATATGGCTAAGCTCCTAGGCTCCTAGGCTAGGGTTGTAGCGGGTCTGGGCAGCATGGCTCTGTCCACGCGTGCGGGTGGCTAGTCTGGCTGGCTGGGCTCCACACGCACCAAAAGAGAGAGGTGCTCTTTCGCTCTTTCTCGGTCGTGTCCTTGCTAGACTTTTCGCGTACGAGGGAAGGAGGAGACGTTGATTCCCTTCCCTTTCGAGCCAAGTCGCGCGAGGCAGGCACATCGCCGGTGGGTCATCTCCAAGGGAAGCTGCGACAGGGAGCGGGCTCTAGTAGAGAAGAAGGCCAAATGCGGGGACGCCCGGCTTTTGTTGGTCTGCGAAGATACGACATCCGCCGGAGGGGAGTGTGTTTGTGTGTGTGCGACTGCAACATTGTTTGCGACCAAAGAAGTCAGACAGGTCCGCGGAACAAAAGCGTTGAGTGTGTGGGGAGGGCGAGGGCATGTTGCTCAAGACAAGACCCATGGACCCCGGCTTATCGGCGACTCTTTTTCTTTTTCTCTGTTGGGCGTAAGCAGAGTGTCACCAGCGCGCCTTCCCGCTCCCCAACCCCTGGGTCCTTCCTGCCTCCACGGTGGCGACCTGTCTGTCTTTCTTCCATCGCGCCTTCCCCGTTCTTTCTTTGTGCAACGGCTTGGCAGGTGCGGCAATATCATGTCTGCGCGGCCGAGATAGGCGGGTGCGAACTTGTGGAGATAGCGACAAGTCGGCGCTCATGACTGGACTCTGACCCCAAACAGAAACGGAGGAAACAGAAACATTGCACACGCCGTTTGGACACTCTTGAGTCAATCCCGCTCCATTACGGCTGCGGCCACACGATATTCTGGCGTTTGCAGCCCAGGCGACACGAGGCAAACTCCTGCACTACTGACCCCAGGCCCATTCTTTTCTTCCAAGTCAGCTTCTGGATTCCCACCTGTCCACGGACGTGCCCACCCATCGTTTCGACGCTTTCATTTCGCCATTTGGTGACATATTCCCCGGCTATCGTTGCCGGGCGCATTCCCGCTCGGTATTCCCATTCCCAATATCCATCCCAATATCCATCCGCATTAGGCAAGGAATCATGCCGGCCAAGCAGAGGACGTCCAGTGTCTCGACCATCCCCGGCGAGCCACCACGTCCGCGGGGCAAACCGCGTGGCCGTCGCCGTGATCGCGACTGCGTGACCTGCAAGACTCGCGGCCTCAAGTGCGACCTCAATCGCCCACAATGTCTGCCCTGCGTGCAGGCAGGGCTGGCCTGTGGCGGCTACCCGATGCGTGTCGTGTGGCTGGAGGAGCGGCAGCGGCCGACGTCCGCGGCGTCGTCCAACAAAGTGACCAAGCCGTCACGGGCATCGACATTGACGGCGCCGTCGACGCCGACACCGAAGTCGACATTACCGGCCGCAGCACGGGCAAGCAAATTGACGATTGCAGCACCAGCACCACCACCAGAACCAGCACCAACGTCAGCACCTCCCATCTCCTCCTCGCCAACCTTCAGTCTCCCCACCGCACAGCCCTCCTCGCCACAACCCAACAACATGCTCCCCATGTCGCCGGCATCGTCGACCATGTCTGCCGTCTCGTCACTGCTCATCGAAAAGACGTGGAGCGAGACCGACCAGAACAGTCTCATCATGCGCCTGGCCGCATTGTGCAACCACGTCCTGACAACAGCAGCACATGCCCTGGCTACAGGGTCCGCCGACGAGAATGTCAATGCCAACACGCACCACCATGCACACGCACGTCACGCATCCCACAGCGACGGCCAGGCCAGCATACCACATGCAGAACCGGCAACTGCCGCCGCAACAGCCTTACCCTCCACGACCATTGCCGCCTCCGCCGCATCAGCCTCAGCCTCGTCTTCCTCCTACCACACGTCTTCTCTTGCGCGGGGAACCAACCACTACCTTTCCTTACCCGAAACCACGGGCCTGCTGTCCGATCTGTGCGTCTTTATCCAGGCACGCCTCGAGGGCCGCAGCCCGGCCCCGCGCCAGCAGCCGCTCGATTCCCTGGAGATGGTCAAGTACCGCCTCGCCGCCCTCGCCCACATCAACCGTGCCATTGCCGCCGCCAACCCCTTTGCCTTTCTGGGCATTGCTACCTTTGCCGTCTTTGAGGTCTGTGACGACACGGCCTTTGGCGAGTGGCAACGCCACTTGTATGGCGCACGCCACCTGCTGGACTACCACCACTGCCGGACCCTGGCCGACCTGCACCGGCTGGCAGCCATGGTCCCGGGCCTGATGGACATTTTGGCGCGCCTGGTGTGGTTTGACGTCAGCGGTGCCGTGGTGCAGAGGGCCGTGGGTGGGCCTGTGGAGGCCGTGACCAACAGGGAGGCAGACGACGGTGTTTTGTGTCCCACGCGGCCTGGACTCATATTTGACGACTGGCACCGCCAAGTGCTCTTGGACGACGAGTTCTTTGCGACCGTTGGCGTCCCGGCCGACGCCTGCGCGCTGTATGTTGATGTCGCCAAAGGCCGTCTGGTCCGCCGCCCTGTCCAAGCGTGTCTGCGCGCTGCCGAGCAGATCCTGCGCGTGGCCGCCGACCCTGGTCTCAGCGAATGGGACCTCTCTGCCAATGTGAGCCGGTGCGCCGCCGCACTGGCTGCGCTCAGCCAGGCCCAGGCCGCACACAGAGAGATGGGGCACGAGGACGACGATGCCATGGCCGAAGACGTGTCGACGTGGGAGTCGACCACCACCGCTGCTGTTGACAAGCTGTGCGCGTCGCTTGCGGCCACACCGGCATCGTCTCGTTTCTACATTCACCTGGCTGCCGGTGCGTACGTGGGCGGCATGCAGGTGCGAACACGTGCGCACTGTGCCGTCATCAAGCAGTACTGGCTCAACTGCAACGTGTGTGGCATCTCGCGCTACCCCGGTGGCCTGGCGCTATGCGAAGATCACTGGCGCCGGATCGGGCTGCTCTGTGAGGAGGATGACGAGACATGACTAAAAAAAAAAAGGAGGATCACATCTGAACACTCGGTCTCGTACGGAACGTATGGTCTACGACGTACGAGTACGAGAGGCAAACGGGTTCACGGCGGCCGGTACCGGCCAGGATAAAATTGTTGGCGTTCTGTTTTGACTTTTGGCATGTTTTATGTTGTCATGTCGTTTCTTACGTTTTGGTTGAGCGTGATCTGGGCGTTCAATGGTTATGGTGTATTGGGATTTCGTTGCCAGCTCCACATGTTTCGTTTCCTTTTCGGTAATCTTTCTGATCACTTAATGGATGATTGTTTCTCTTTTGGATATCAGCCCAATACACAACACGAAGCCTCACCGGGAATTTCTTTTTATGGACGCGCATCTGTGCCGTTCCTACTCCATCCTGCTGTAGTTGATGAGCTCCTTGTGTTCCCTGTGCCCGCTGCCCAGGATAGCGGGGAATTGAGAATACTACAACGTCTCCCAATCGGCAACCTGTCCCCTTCTTTCTTCTCACCATTCCCTTTTTCTGTCGCATTTCTTCGTTCTTGTCGCTGCTTCTTCTCCAAGCAGACGCACACGAGCGACTCAAACGAGATTGAATGATGAAGCTGGCGCGACGTGTTGGCGAGTTCCCTCTTCCGTCGTTTTCTTTTCTGCTCCTGGTTCTGCTGCGATGGGGCCCGGCACCGGCGTTGGGCTACGCCGCCTTCGGACCGGATGACCAGTACCCGATCATACGACCCCCCGAGTATGGATCTTCTTGTGCATCTGTTGTCTTTGATATACGTGATCTGATGATTGACCTGGCCCCGTCTGCCACAGAACGCGATACCCGCCGACCGCAACACGCATGAGATGCGGGCTTCGCAAACCTACAGACTACCCTGTTGGCCTCTACCTGGGCCCGTCACGACTGTTTGTTCATCTACTCTTCACGTCATCGCAGCTCATTTCGAGATCACCGCAGAAACTGTATACTGACAGTCACAGGACCGCGTCGTATTACAATGAGGATGACCAAGCCGTCGAGACCTTGGCCTCCGTCCCGGCCTGCCCGGCATGGCGCAACTACACAGAGGACGTGGTCCGGGACCGCGGACGATGGGGCTGGGACTGCGAAGCCGACATGGCCTGTTCCAATGCCGCCGAGACAATGTTCGCCGACGCCATGGCCGCCATCATGGACGCTTCCGAGTCTGCCCTTGGCCATGCTCCCATCATCGGCTACGTCGTTCTGCCGCACAACACAACTGAGTTGACGGGCCTGTTTGACACGGTGCTGCACCACGACTTTCCCTGCTACCAGTGGGCGCGCCGCGGCGACTACGTTGAGTATGATATTATCAGGCCCGCCGAGGCGGTGCAGTATACCTACCACGATCAGATGCCCTGGGGGCAAAGTGACGACACCGGCGAGGAGGACGCCTTCGTCCTGCTGGCCAACTTGGAGCCCGGCTTTCTCGAGCTGGCCGGTGTCTGTCCCGTGGACGTAGATGTCTGCAGAACGAGCGAACTGGCCGCGCGTGCCTGGCCCGCGCTCGGCGAGGATGCCCTTTGGCCGCCGGCCACGTGGAGCAACACGACCTCCGACGACCGGGCGTCGCCCAGCGCGCGCTTTGGCCAGGCGGTACGACGTCTCGCTGATGCCGTCGCGGCCTACGTGACAGCGGCGGCCACCGAACCTGAATGCAGTGGCCACGTCCGTGGCGTCGTTGTCGCCGGTGCGGCGTCCGAGCAGGCCATGGCGGCCTTGCGGATCGCGCTGCACGACGTATTGCCGTACACCAACGACACACCGTTTTACGACACGGTCGATCCGGCGTCCGTCTTTAGCCTGGGCGCCGCCGTCCTCGGACGCAATACGCAGCTTGCGGACGAACACGCGGACTGTGACTGTATGGTGGACGAGGCGCTGCGGCGGCCGCACGGCTCTCCATCGGACGACGCGTTTCCATGCAACAGAACGATGGCGCATCTGGACGACATATACTAGACGATCTCACCAAGTAGATCAAATATATTTTGATTCCATGGTTACTCGACTGCGCCACATATCGTATCAGCAGGAACTCGAGCTGGCTGCCTCTTATCTCCCGCAGAAAGTCAATTTGACTGCACCGCGTTCCATGCTTCACAGCCTCGCTTCGAACCTGCCCCGTCCTTGGGCATCGCCAGCGTCGCGGATGGCCTTTGCCAGAGCAGAGTCAACCTGGGTACAGGAGTCAGTGAACGCGTGGGTGATAAGTGGGTATATGGGGCATGTGAGCTCGCGATCCCCCCCTGGCCGAGACTCACCTCGTAGTGGTAGATCCAGTTGTTCTTTGGGTTCCAGACAGATTCAATGCGTGCCCGGATCTCGCCATTTGGCGGCAAGTTTTGCGCGGCTACGATCTGTTCGGCCGTCCCGTAGCCGTCAAGAATGCGGTAGAGGTCGGCGTAGTGCGCTGACCGCACCCGGTCGTACAGAGACAACGCCGCGCCCAGCTTGGCGCGCGTGTCCCGGCCAGACGGATCGCCCGCACCAAACGCCCACGCCAAGGCGCCGGCGAGCGTGAACGCATCCTCGAGAGCAAACCCGGCCCCTGCGCCAAATGCACCCGACAACGGGTGGGACGCGTCGCCCACCAGGGCCACGCTGCTCCGGGCCACGACTGTCTCGAGGCGCGGGCCGGCAAAAAAGTCGTACTGCTGCACGCTCGTGACGAGCTGCAAGAGCTGCTGGACCGGGGCACAGAACTCGGCGTACTTGGCGACGAACGCGGCCACGGATGCGTCGCGGCCCCAGCTGGCGCGATAGCGTTGGTCGTCGCCTTCCGGGTCTTTGCCCTCAACGATGCGGCAGGTGATTTCAAAGGTATCCCCGCCGAGTGGGCACGTGTACACCCACTTGCTGTCGGTGCCGTGCCAGAAGATCACCTCGGGCAGCATGCCGTTGATGTCCAGGGCATCGGAGGTGCGGACGAGCGAGCGATAGGCCGTGGCGCCTGTGTAGCTTATGCGGTGTTCCGGAAAGGCAAAATCGCGGACGGGCTGGATGTAGAAATTTTGATTAGCTGTGGTTCAGGGTCATCAACACTTACGGGTGGCTCTCTCACAGATCGTAGACCGTCCGCCCCGATGAGCAGGTCCACCTCATCGGTCCAGCCGTTGTCAAAGGACAGCACAATTCGGTGCGAGGGAAGCTCCTTGATGGCCACCAGCTTGTGGCCGACACGCACGTGGCTCTGGTCCACCTCTTTCAGCAGCGCCTGTTGCAGAAGCGCACGATGGGCCCGGCAGGGCTGGTGATGCGGCGCTGTCGTTGTTGTCCCCTTCGTCTCGGCCGCGAGCACGAGGTCGCCGGTGCGGCCGTCGCGGTGTTGCGTGATGTGCCCGTTGGCCGGCCGGAAGATGTCTGACGTGCGCAGGTGCTTTGCGGCGCCGAGGTGCTCCAGCATGCGCCATGTGTTCCGCTGAATGGTGAGGCCGCTGCTGTATTCGCTGATGACGTTCTTCTTCTCGTACAGGTGCCAGTCGACGAACGGAAGCCGTGCGAGCTCAATGACGACGCCGAGGCCGGCCGGACCCCCGCCGATGACGGCCACCTTGATTTGAGGCGCCATTGCTGGCAGAGAGAGTGGGCTGTCAGGGTGCCACAGGTGGGTGCTGTTGATGACAGGTCGGCGATGGTATGAGCACACAGACAGCCGCTGGACTTCCTCGTTCATTTATTTCTCGTTTTGTAACTGGTAGATTTCTATGGGTGAGCTATCATGTCCCGCCCCCTTCTATGTTTACAAAATCACGGTAAAAGTTTCATAAAAAGAAACAATAAATAAAATGAATTAAAGCAGCCGCCGATATGACAAAGTATTACATAGCAATCGAAAGCCGACGACGGATTTTTCTTGCATACTGCTCTCGGTATGTCGACATTTAAGCTAGTGATTGCATGTGCATGAGGTGTTGCTTTCGGAACGGTGTGGTTGCTGCACCGCAGTGATAAGACGGGACAGGACGTAATTACTTACACGAGATGATGCCGGCCGGATATAGCGCCTAGGCGACCGGGAACGGGAGGCAGCAGCCGCTAGGGAAGTCAAACCCCACGTGCGAGACGCTGTAATTGTGAGAGACCCACTGTAGCAGGCATTTTCACGCCATGAAGTTATCATGAGTTTTGCATTTGGTAGAAATGGGCAAGGTCGGATGGCGAGACATTGCTCTGACATGAGTACCACGCGCAACAAGATGATATTGGATGAATGTTGTATTTTAATATGAAACCAGAGGAGGATGGTTCCCGAAAAAAACTATGAGTACGGGTAGCTCCTTACAACGGACTAGTTGGAACTGGAGCGTCAGCTATCCAAGTGCCGCATGATGGCATTTTGCACCTCGAGTTCGACATCGTGCTCCGTGAGCCAATTGCTAGAGGGATTGCGCTCCACATAGCGCCGCATCCACTCCTGTTCGTCGGCCGCCGCCGCCGAGACGTACCGCCCATCGCGGCCGTCCAGTTCCATTTGCTCCTCGACGCGGAGCAGAAACGGAAGACGGGCCTGCTCGAAAATGCGCAGCGCCTTGGCGATGTCGTACCTGTGCGCGCTCTGGCCCGTCGAAGCAGGCTGTTCGTCCGCAGCGGCCGATCGGCTGGCCGACAGCGCGCGGTACAGGGCCCAGCAGTCCCCAAATCCCATGGCCGCGCCCGCGCCGTATGCGCCGGCCGTCGGGTGTGCTGCGTCGCCGACAAACGCGATGCGGTCCGCTTGGGCCAGCTGCTGCAACCACGGGCCGGAGTCGAGCGGATATGCGTCCATGCCGTCGACCACAGCGAGGACCCGGCCGATGAGGGGGTCCCAGTCCGCGTACAGCCCGCGCAGCCGGGCCACGCCCGCCGCTCCAATCGGGTGCTCCCAGCGCAGGCCCGTCCGGTCCATGTACTCTGGCGTCTCGTCCCGGATGATCACGACGCCGTACATGCCCAGGCCCAGCGCCGAGAGAAAGACGACCTCCCCGTCTCGGCGCCATGCCGAGGAGTCGTCGTGCAGGCCTGCGATGCCCGCGACGCGCGCGGCTGGAAATATCGTTCTGTACGCCACGGCACCCTCAAAGGACACGCGGTGGTCCGGCCAGAACTGGCGTCGAATGGGCGAGTACAGACCATCGGCCGCCACGACAATGTCAAAGTCCCGGGACGTTGGCGTCGTGCCGCCGTCGGGGTTCGCGAACAGCAGCCGCACGGGGCCCCGGGCGCCGTCTTTGTCTATGTCATTCGGCGCCAGCTCCACGCCGACAACAGGCTGCCCGTACTGGATGGCGCCCGTTGGTACGTGCGACAGGAGCAGCTTCAGCAGCGGCTCTCTGTGGGTGCGCGCCTGCACGTAGTCGTCCTTGAGATGGTCGGACGAGTAGTTGCGGAGCAGCACCGCGCCTGTCCGCCAGTGCCGTGTCACATAGACGGCCCGGTCGGGCGGTCGATAGGCAATGGCACTGATTTCGGCCGGGGGGATCAGCTTGGTCAGCACCTTGAGCCCGGTGACCGTGAGACTGATCCACGCACCGGCCTCTCGCGCGCTCGGGGCTTTCTCAAAGGCTACCACCTCAGCATCCGGCAGCCGCGAGAGCGCCAGCACCGCGGCACTGCCGACCAAGCCTGCGCCCACGATTCTGCCGGGACGATTAGGACATGGACGCGAAGCAAACGAACAAACGAAACAAACGAAACAAACGAAAACAAGGATAAGAAGCAACATACCCGATGCGTAGTGGCATAATGAAGTTGACGAGCCAGTGTCAAGTCGCAGGTGCAGCAGATCTCCACATACTGGTATTTTTAAACTTTGCCAACCGGCCATTATCGGCCTAATATGCAACACAAAAACCCCTTGGACGTGCACCTGTGCCGCTCTGGTTGCGGCTTTTTCTGGGCCCCAATTATTAGCCTTGTTTATGATCCACAGTCTATGGTAGACTATCTACTTTTGCACATCGATCTTGCATCATATAATTCTCCAAGATTAGTAAACAGAAAATAAATGAGCAAAGCAATACTTCCTTATTTCCTCTGCCAACTTCGCATCTGTTCTTCTCTCCTGCCCCGTGCTATTTCCTGTGCGACTGGCAAGGCATGAACATCTTTATTTATCCTCTCGTCTAAGCCTCCGTAGCTTTCTCACTGACTACGACCGCTTCTTGCGCGCCATCGTTGCTGGAGCCATCCTCGAGCGATGCGTTGCTCCCACCGGCAGCGTCTTGGCCAATCGCTGTCAAGTCCGCGCCGTGGGACGTCTCCGTGACTTTTGTAAAGGCAACCCACGACAAACCGGGCAGCGAGAGAAAGAAGAGGGCCAGGTTGATGGCGCAGGCCCCGTCGTAGTTGAAGTCCATGGCCGACACGACAAAACCAAACGTGGACCCGACGGAGCCCAAGGAGTTGATGATGCCGGTAAGAAGGGCAGACTCGTTGACATTGTTTGTCAAGCTGCCCGTGAGCCAGTACATGTAGACTGTGCATCTATGCAAAGGAAGAGGGTCAGCGACGAAACATCCCGATAGGCGGAAAGCAGCCGATGCAGAGCACACATACAGAGGATCGGAGATGCCCCAGAGGAGAAACAGGAAGCATGGCAGGCCGTAGTGTGCTTCGACCCAGTCCAGCGTCGGTGGGTTTGTCATATAGTGATGCTGGACTGCTTGACCGATGATCCACGACGTGCCCGAGGTGACGGACACGACAAAAAAGCCGATGCGTGCGCGCGTTGTGCGGTGGAAGCGGGTCCAGTCGAGCAGCTGGCCGAACGACAGCGCCGCGATCAGGCCGCCGAGGTAGAACAGCATGGAGTTGAGCGCCCGCGTGCGCACCGTGAAGTAGGCAAAGTTGAACTGCCACTGGTACGAGAGGAACCACTGCGAATACATCATAAATGGCATCAGGCCCAGCACCGTGGGCGTTTTGACTAGCGTCCACAGGATGCGAAAGGTCCTGGCCAGCGTCGGCGCCTTTCGGAGGACCACCGGGAGATTGTCACGGCGCTGGACACGGTGCGCCGGCGAGACATTGAGGGCAAACGGAAAGCCGAGACACATGATGGTCATCAGCGCAACATACGTCGCCTCGCTGATGGACCCACGGTACGCCTTTTCTGCGTTGAGGGCCAGGCTGATGATGCCGCCGATCGACGCGCCCAGGTTCTGAAAGGAGAACTTTAAGGAGGCTGGCGCATCGTTAGACAGCGTCCATGGACTGGAATACACACGAGCATGCTCTTACCAGCGAGGCCCTTTCTGTTCTCCTCGGGGTAGCCCATGATGATCGACCCGCTGGCCACCCACAAGAAGCACGCGGACAGGCCGCAGGTCACGGCGCCAAAGAGCAGCAGCCAGGACTCTCCATAGTGGTCGACGACATAAAAGCCCGCCGCGTACGGGGCGTATCCGAAGGTGCCAATCTGACAGCATGGAATTAGTATGTAGTTCTCAAACGTAGGCAACCGCGCGCTACTCACAAACAGCGTCCACTTGGGCGTCAGATAGTTGCAGAATATGCCGACAAACGGCGACACGACGGCAAGAATGCCAAAGGCAATGGCATTGGCGGCGTTCGACGTGCCGGCGCTGGCACCACCACCGGCACCCATGCCGTTCAGCGCACCAAAGATGCCTGGGCACGTAAAGGCTGTGCAGGCCACCATGACGACGGAAAACAGAGGCGACCGATACCACGACCGCCGACGTTGCTGCCGATGCAGCTCGTGTTGGACGTCAGACATGGCGACGGTATTTATTGTCACGCCTCGTGGGACTCGTCAAAAAGTTGCGGGTGCAAAAGTTAAAAAAAAAAAAAAAAAAAAAAAAGAAAACCCCAAAACAATTGCTTTATCTCGTGTAAAATGATGATAGAAGGTCCTGTCAAATAAGCAGCGAGGTGGGCAGACGAGATAAATAACGGAGCGAGGATACAGCAATGGATCACGCCTAAAGGTTTACCATGGGCCATGTTTTCATAGTAGGGATTCTTCTGGTAATGGCCTATATTTCCGGTCTCTTCTTTTTCTTTCGTTTTGTTGTTTCAAAAAAAAAAAAAATCTTGAGGAAATAAAAATAAAACCCGTAAGTGGAGTACTACCAATGCGCAATTATACCGAAATCAAACGCAATATGCACCTAGTACGATCAACACTGACCAGCTAAGCAGAACAGGGTGCTTGAGATGCCATGGTGTTGCGAATGACGACGCATGGGAACGGTGTCCTTGTTTCGTAAGGAAAATAAATAAAATAATTAGACGTAAATATGCGGATACACAATGAGCACGCACCTGCCGGCATATGCCAAGCAGTCCACCATGTGCCCTGGTGCCGATTCCGAGTCAGTGCTCCTCGAGACATTCAAGTAACATCATCCGCGTGAGATATGAGACAATGCTGCTGCCAGCCGGCCCGGCCTGGGATGCGACGCCCCACTCGCCTCTCCACGTGGTGCTGTTGGCTCTGGGGTAGAGTGCCCGACTGCCCTGGCTTATCACCTTGCCCCTGGTTTGTCCATCAGTTGTTTTCCACCGCAGCCGTTTCCGCGACCCTCTCTCTTCGAGCTCGTTCTTCTTGCCGATTTTTGCTCGAATAATGCACACACACGCTACAGCACACCAGAGCTGCGCCCACGAGTATAATCGGTACTCCGATGAACAAAAAGTTCAGTCCCGCGCTCCGACCGGGGCTGCTGTGCTCGCCGTCGCTGCAAACGAGAGGCGGAACGGACGCGCCGGGGACCCATGTCGCGAGCTCGGCGGAACACGTCAGGATGTCTGGTGGCGTCGGTGACAGCGTACGGCGGTCGGCCGCGTTCCACGCAATGTGGTACGGGCTGTGGACGCGGACCGAGGCCGGAGCCGAAAAGCTGTACTGGTCTTTCAGGGTCTCGATTGTGACGCCCATCTGCTGCACACACATGTTGGATGCGACATTGGCCAGGCTGACAGTAAAGGGCATGTCGTTGAGCCGGTAGTCACTATTCGGTTGTTTATGATGAGTTGGCCAGATCGTATGCAAAAATAGGGCAGTAAGAAAGGGAACTGTTGTGTTCAGGGACGTCCTACCTTGCACAGCAGTACGCCGTATTGACCGTACTGTACGACGCGTACGTGACTGTGGTGCTCGTGGATCGCTGCGTTTCGGTAAAGGCGGCTACATTGTACGCCGTCCAGCCGCTCGGGCACACGGCGGGGCTGAAGAAGAAGCGGCTCTCAGGGACGACCGCACCCCAGCCGGCCGGCTGGCAGTCGGCGAAACGAAGGTTCGTTGGGTCCGACACGGTGATTCCGATTGTCGTAACCGTGTAGTTGTTCCACACGAAGCTCGACACGATGCTGGTTGTGGAGAACAAACTGTCGCAGTCGGGTGGTGCGACAAAGGGTGTTGTGAGGGAGAGGAGTGACGTGGCTGCACCCGTGGCCAAGGCCGTGGTAGTGGCCGCTGTCGTTGATGCCGGGAGAGGGGGGGACATGATGTGTTTACCATGGAACAGATGTGCACTTGATGCAGTGAGAGCGGAGCTGTTCGGGCAAGGCGCGATCAACAGGGCGTCGTGCGTTGTGAGTCCATAGTCTGTGGGATCGATGAATGTTCATGTCAGTGGCACGTTCTTCTCATTCCTTAGTTGTAGATGCCGTCCACCTGCATGCAAAGACGTCGTTTGATTGTTTTTAGCCGCCCCTAGCAGGTTGTGCGACAATCGCTACTATGGTTTCCTCTTGCCCGCATAATCTTTTTTTTGGCAAAAGCTGGGCTATGAACACCGGGTAAGATGCCATGATTCGACCAACAGACCAGGTCTGCTATATACAAGGGCTTGGTCTGCGGCACAAGCTCGCGTCAGGTGTACCCGTTATTCTGCAATTATGTGTTGCATGTTCAGAGTGAGTCGCCGTACTATCAGCCAACGCCGAATTCGCGGTGTCGAACGAGCTGGCCGGCGACCCCGACTATAAGTGCTCCGGCGCAGCCGCTTCGGACGACCTGACCGAGTGCGACGAGTCGCGAGCCGTCGTAATGGAGGGCTGCCGGAACGTGCATAATAACCCGACACCGACGAGAACGCTGCCGTCGAAATTGACCACCTCAGGGGCATCACCCGCGGTGGCCTGCCCGAAAATGGATTGGACATGCTCTGCGCAATACAGCGGCAGTGCACGCCCGACGCCCAGGCCACGGGCGACCCTGGCCTTGATCGCGTCGCTGTGCAGTCCTCGAACCCGCAGCTGGACTCTCTACTGGGACGGCGTCGATGCCGTGACCAGACGCTCGTCATCGGCCTCAACCTCTATAGGCGGAACGCAGGGCCGCGTTGGCGAAGGCCTTTTGGCGAAGGCCTTTTTTCGTTTCAGTCCGAACGAGACAAGAGGAGACCGGATGATTTGGAGCACAAGGTCCCGTCTGAAGCATTCTGTCCGTCACAGACGATGACGGAGAGCAGAACGTACTACGAAGGGACAGGCGCACCTCTCTCTGGTGATTGACTCGGATGGGAACCCCGTAGGCAGCACTCCCGCAGCCTCCGTATGGCCCACAACACCGCAACGAGCCACATGGCGACATCAAACCAGATAGCCAGCGCATTGCGGGGGACTTGTATGGCGTACTCCTTGTTCTGGAGCGAGGGGACAGACTGGGGCGAGATATGGAGATGATATTGGACCAGCGAATCAGATGGTCCTCCGTTCTGCGCAGGGGCTCATGGCTATTTTACCACGTCTACGACTGGAGCAAAAGAGACGATGCAAAAACGACAGGCGAGCCACGGTCAGCGACCCTACGATGTATGTCAAGCATATCCACAGCATCCCACGATCTGAACGAGTCCACTATACCCACATTTGTCTGATGCATTCTTCTTACGACATCGTTCAGGCTACTCCGCAGATGCCAACACGGCCACGGTCATCTTCATCAAATCCCCACGATTCCCACCACGAGCCACGCTAACGAGACGAGCGTTATCAGCAGACAATTAGTTGGTGGCGAGGCTAAGACGCAGACTGGCGACTCCACGAGTAGACTGGGAAACGGTCCAACTATCGCTTCAAAGAGGGGAACGGCACACGACTCGCCACTAGCCCGGTTTAGGAAGGGAATCTACGAAGCAGCAACACGACGGCCCGACGTCACAGCGATACCCGGAACATATCACCAGGACACAGACGAAAAGGCGAGCGACGCGAGGGACCCTCTCGGCAGCTGATCGATGGCGAGAGAGACTCTTTTGAATGTCTCCCCTTGAGTGTTTATCTTGGACGTTGGAGCATTTTGTTGGCTGCGAGAAACTCATCTTGAATTTCCTCTTTGTCTTTTATCTTTCCATCCTCTTGTTTGTTCACACCCTCGTTTTTATCCTCATGGTGTGATCCGACTCGACTCTCTCCGGTCTCATCCACCCTTTTCTGTTTACACATATATCACCCAATCAAGACATCACACATACACACACACACACACAACATGACACAAGGAAAGTCATGGGAGGCGCTGGCCGCCCAGAAGCGTGAGCAGCTGGCGGCATCGCTGCCCAAGCAGTGGCTGGTGCCGGACGAGCTGCTGCCGCCGGCGGACCAGGACGACATCACGGGCTGGCCGGCGGCGTCAGGGTGGTTCACGCCCGAGGAGCTGCGCATCACCGAGTCGACGGCGTCGGAGCTGCTGCCGCAGCTGGCGTCGGGCGCGCTGACGAGCGTGGCGGTGACGCAGGCGTTTTGCAAGCGCGCCGTGGCCGCGCAGCAGCTGCTCAACTGCCTGGCGGAGACGTGCTTCGACCGCGCGCTGGCGGCGGCGGCGGCGCGCGACGCGCACCTGGCGCGCACGGGGCAGCCGGTGGGCCCGCTGCACGGGCTGCCGGTGTCGCTCAAGGACAACATCAACGTCAAGGGCCTGGACTCGACGGTGGGCTTCGCGTCGCACGTGGGCGACCCGGCGGCCGAGGACGCGGCGCTCGTGGCCGTGCTCGAGGCGGCCGGCGCCGTGCCCTACGTCAAGACCAACGTGCCGACGGCCATGATGATTGCCGAGACGGTCAACAACGTCTTTGGCCGCACCATCAACCCGCTGCACCGCGGCGTCACGCCCGGCGGCTCCTCCGGCGGCGAGTCGGCGCTCATCACCTTTGGCGGCAGCTGCCTGGGCGTCGGCTCCGACATTGGCGGCTCGCTGCGCATCCCCGCCGCCTGCACGGGCCTCTTCACGCTGCGCGCGTCCGGCGGCCGCTTCCCCGTGCGCAACTGCCGCTCCGGCATGCCCGGCCAGGAGGCCGTCATGTCCGTCAACGGCCCGCTGGCGCGCACGCTCGACGACATCGAGGCGTACACGCGCGCCGTGCTCGGCGGCCGGCCCTGGCTGCTCGACAGCAAGTGCCTGCCCATCCCCTGGCGCGCCGCGGCCGCCGTCGACGTGCCCAAGACGCTGACCATTGGCGTGCTGTGGCACGACGGCGTCGTGCGGCCCACGCCGCCCGTCGCGCGCGCCCTGAAGCTGGCCGTTGCGCGCCTGGCCGCCGCCGGCCACACGCTGGTCGACTGGGACCCCGTGGACCAGGCCGAGGGCGCGCGGCTGCTGTCGCGCATGTTTGTCGCCGACGGCGGCAAGACCATCCAGTACGAGCTGGACCGCACGGGCGAGCCGCTGCGGCCCGAGATGGCCATGTACGGCGCCGCCACGGAGCTGGGCACCGCCGACATGTGGAAGCTGCACATGGAGCGTACCGCGTACCAGGGCAGGTACCTCGACCGCTGGAACGCGGCCGGCCTCGACGCCATCCTGTGCCCGACCATCCCGTTCAACACGGTCAAGCACGGCGCCTTTGAGCACGTCGGCTACACCGGCGTCTACAACGTGCTCGACTACGCCTGCATGTCCTTCCCCACCGGCCTGCTCGTCGACAAGGTCATTGACCAGCCCGTGGACCCGTCGAGCGCGGCGTACGCGCCGCTCAGCGAGGCGGACCAGAAGGTCGCCGCGGGCTACGACGCCGACACGATGCACGGCTTGCCCATCAGCCTGCAGCTGGTGGCGCGGCGGCTGGAGGAGGAGAAGGTCATTGGCATGTGCCGCCGCGTGCTGGCCGCCATCGCGGAGCCGACTGTCAACGGCGTGCACGCATAGCGGTTGAGGGGTTGAGGCGTGTGTCGTTGCACGTCTGTCACTCGGCCGCCATTGCATCGGTGCGGACTTTGGTTGTGTATATAGAGGAGGTCATGACGTAGATTCGAATGCAAGCACGACGTACATAGTAGACATTGTGCATGTATACCGTTTTGGTGACTTGTCTTATGAGACACGGTCCAAAGTGAAATGATTGCAGATTATATTTAACACCATATTGCGGTATCCTGCGGCACTATTTCTTTCTAAATTTTTGATCGTTTTACATTTGGACTTGACATCTTACGCCCCCCACACATAGCCTACTTCTGCTTGCCGTCCAAATCCGCAAAGTACGTGTATCCCGCATCCGAGTCGTCGTTGAAGCGCTTCTTGCGGTCCAGCCGGTCAATCTCCTGGATGTCCTCGGGGTGCAGCCGGAAGTCGCCGCCGAGGTTCTGCTTGATGCGTTCGGCCGTCTTGGACTTGGGGATCACGACGTGGCCGTGGCCAATGCCCCAGGCCAGCGCCGTCTGCGCGCTCGTCTTGTCGTACTTGGCGCCGATGCGCTTGAGCGTCGGGTCGTCGAGCAGGCGCTCGGCGTGCGCCCCGTACGTGTCGTTCTGGTTGCCAAACGGCGAGTACTGCGTGATGGTGATGCCGAGGCCGCGGTTGTAGATGGCAAAGTCGGTCTGCTGCAGCCACGGGTGCATCTCCATCTGGTGCACGGCGGGCACGACGGCCGTGTGGGCCAGCAGGCGGTCGAGCTCGGCGCGGCTGAAGTTGCAGACGCCAATGGCGCGCGTCTTGCCCTGCGGACCAACCAATTTCTCCATGGCATGGTACGTGTCGACAAAGTCGACGTCGCCCGTCTGCGTCTTGGCCCCGGGCAGCTGGGCCGCCGGCCAGTGCATGAGGTACAGATCCACATAGTCCAGCTGCAGCTTCTTGAGCGACGCGTCCAGGGCCGGCTCGACGTCCGCGGGCTTCATGTCGGCGCGCCACAGCTTCGTCGTGATGAACAGCTCCTCGCGCGGCACCTTGCTGCGCTGGATCGCACGCCCCACGGCCTCCTCGGTGCCGTAGATGGCGGCCGTGTCAATGTGGCGGTAGCCCTCCTGGAGCGCGGTCAAGACGGCCTCCTCCTGCGCGTCCTTGTCGTTCCACGTGCCCAAGCCGAGGGCCGGGATCTTGGCGCCGGTGTTGAGAGTGAAGACGGAATGCATGGTGTAGTGCGCGGTGGAATGGGAGCGGCAGTTGTTGTGGAAATGAATATAGTGCAGTGTTTAACGAATTCGAGGTTTTGTTACTTGATTGAGACAGAAGACTCAATTGAGGGACAGCAGATCGTTCTCATATATCTTGCCATATCGATGATGTCAGTCGTTTCGTATTTTCTCTGACAGCTCTAGAGCTTCCACCCGTCCAAACCGTTGTAAGTGAGTCCAGTAAATTGTGGTCCCTTTGTCTTAGCTTAGCATCGACGACGTAATCGACGGAGCGATTGGACAAACATCGCCTCCGGAAGTACCTCGATGCCAAATGCGCTAGCATCGGTCTCTAGCCGATCAGTGCATATACCAGGATGTAATCGCACTGGGCCTCCCTACGTATGAATCGTCTCCCTGTCACGGACAATACATCCCTAAACATGTCTATCAAAGCACACAACGGAGCTTAGCAATCACCAATCAACTGTGACCACAGGGACTATCCCCCGCCAAGCCCGGTAATTAGGCCCCGGTCCTGCAGCCACCTCCGGCGCCAATGCCGGGAATCGGAGGTTTCCACACGCTTTTCGGTCGCGCATTAATATAGCAGTTATGTGTACATGGTCCGCTGCCCATTATGCAGGCCCTCCGTCGTCTGCATAACCTTTCCGATACGACTCCAACTGGAGTTCGCGGTAATAGTCTCTCAACTCTGCGTCTTCCCGCTCCTGTTCGCGCCGGTTCCATTCAATCATGTATTCATTGTACTCGTCTTCATTGTCAAACTCGAGCATGTCATCCGGGGTGGACCAGATCTGCTTGGGCGGCTCGCTCTTTGTGATGTCAACCACCCATCCACGGCTGCTCAGTTGTCCTACGATGGAGTCCCTGTGCGTCTGCCAGCGATCTTTGGTAGGGTCGTTCGATTCGACTCTCGGGTCGTCGTCCCCTGAATACTCTGCCTCGTCCTCGGTGTCGTCATCTGAGTCGCAGCCGATCAGGTGTAGGTGGACTGTGACTTTGCTCAGGGACGACAACTCCTTAAGCTGTGTGTGGATGAGATCCAGACCCTGCGTGACGAGGCGCGTATCAGGGGAGAACAAATTGCTGAGCCCAAAGTCCAGCGATAGCCCGAGTGTGGTGATGCCGGGGCATGCACGTTGTAGGAAGTATATCTCATCGAGGTGCAGTATCTCTTCATAACGCCAGGAGTGGTCTGGCTGTCTGTGGCTTATTCGCATATAATTGGGGAAGTCAACGACGACGTGACGAAGCAGATGAGCTTGATTCCCAACCTGCTCAACAAACGTGACGAGACAGTTCACAAACCGATAGTGATTGTCGGAATAGAGAAGCGAGATGGCTTCACTGTGTATGCGCTTGTTGGCACGGAGGACGGTAGGGTCGAGGTGGATTCTTTCGTCTGTGCACACCCGGTCCCCTTTGACACGGTTGGATGCATCATGGAAAGTTATTGTCCCGCGGTGAACGAGCAGTTCTGAGTAGATCTGAAGCCTGATCTCGACGGGGAGATGAAAGAAATCCATTATTTCGAAGTGGGAATGACAGTGGCATGGGTAGAAAGTCGCGTAATAATCACCGACGTCTACCAGGGCTGAGTAAACGGGTTTTGAGGACGTCAAGCAGCCGAAGAAAAATGGATCCCTGTACTTATATGGCCCTCAACGTATATGGCCCGGCAGCCCTTCGCAAACGCTGCATGTGGGCAGCGTCCTGGTAAAGGTTGCATCCATAAGCTTGAAGAGCGCCACGACATTTTTTAGAACATCCAATGAAAACGCGACACGCACATTATATTGTTGGGCATCAAGTATATTAAATTGTGAGCCATTGTGCCCGGGGAGTCAAACCTAACGTCTCTGGAACCTTGTAACCAACAAGTGTTTGCAGTAGTATCGGGAAGCAAGAGAAGACACCTTTGTTAGTGGGTCCTCCGGCAGGCTGAAGTTCCAAGACGGACAAAAAGCCAGCACAACGGAAAGGTCGAGTTGTCATGTTTCGGTCAAGTGCGGTGAAAACTAACATGGCGATGATGAAGATGGCGATGGTTATGACGAAAAAGCACCTGAACTTCCTCTAAATCTGTAAAACGAAAGAAAAGAGATGAGAGGGAAAACGGTTGACTAATGACAAAGCATGTCGAAGAAATACATTGGATTCATTTTCTTCTTCTTTCTAGCTATCCCGGTCTTCACTGCATTTCTTTGCAGACGTACGGTGTGCGTCTAACAAGGTAATAGACGTCGTCTCCATGTCTTGAGCCTTCAGACTTGTTAGAGCGTAATTACGGCGCATTTATTGTGCAAGAGGTGCGAGACACTGTGCCCGTAAAGTGAATAACAAATTATCTCCGGAGCGGAATCGGTCGACTTTTATCCCCGATGTTGACGTACACCGTATAAAAGTATATAAACCGAGACAGGTCGACGATGCAAACAATTTCAACATTTGATTTAATAAGCTCAGCATTATTACTTTTTTCGTTGCGTTTTCATTGATTCGTCACTCATCACTTTTGGAAAAATGCTCTTCACACAGCACGCAGGCATTGGCGCGGCCGCCACGATCCCGGTGCCGGATGCTCAGCCGATTGTGGTCTACAGCCCTCTCATTCTCAAGACACCCAACCGCCGTGTCGACCTGCAGCTGCGTGTCACTGCGCCGGCTTCTGTGGAGAAGACCAACAATGGCAAAGGGCTTCCCATCCTCCTTTTGTCTCACGGCCACGGCCGCAGCGACTGGCTGTCGTCGCAGCAGGGCTACGCGCCGCTTGTCGAGTTTTATGCCGGCCACGGCTTTGTGGTGCTGCAGCCGACGCACCTCAGCTCCAGGGCTCTCGGCCTGGAGCTGAACGGCGACTCCATCCGCGAGCTGTTTCTCGAGTCGCGCGTCCAGGACATGTCGACCCTGCTGGACCGGCTCGACGAGATCGAGGATGCGGTGCCTTTTCTGCAGCGCGGCCAGCTCGACCGAGCACGCGTCGCCGTGGCCGGTCACTCGCTCGGCGGCATCACGGCCAGCGTGCTCCTGGGCGCCGTCAACACAGACCCGCGCGACGGGCACGTGACAAACGCTGTGGACACGCGCATCAAGGCAGGCGCCATCATTGGCGGCCCAGGCAGTGCGGGCACGAACCTGTCGGACCTCTCGGACAACGGCAAGATCATGCTGCCGCTGTACGACCCGGAATTTTCCACGATGGCGACGCCCGCCCTCGTGGCGTGGGGCGACGAGGACGTCGGTCCGCACCTGACGGTGCGCGGCGCCGACTGGCACAACGATCCCTACATGCTGGCGCCGGCGCCCAAGGTGTCGCTCACAATCAAGGGCGGCAAGCACGGGTTCGGCGGCATCAGCGGGTGGGATGCAGGGGAGACGCAGGACGGCAGTCCCGAGCGGCTGGGCGCCGTGCAGCGTCTGACGTGGGCCTATCTGTGGAGCCAGCTGTACCCGGAGGACAGGGCCTGGGCAGAGGCGAGCGCGGCGCTGCAGGGGCTGGCGGATCTGGGCAGTGTTGAGAGCAAGTAGGCGAGCAGGCGATGATGGGAAGATTGGCACAAAATTAGGACAGTCCATACTAGCTGTGCATCCGATTAGTTGTTGTGGAATCTGGCTAGTTTGCATATATTCAAATCGTTGCCTATTTCTATACACGAACGTGTGGTGCCATACACCGGCATCGTACCTATTGTTCCGTAGTGTTTTGTGAACGATTGAGGATTTCAAGCAGCCGAGGAGAAATGGGTCTCTTGTCAAAAGTCATATAAATCGAACGTCGTATTTTATATTATATTTATAAAACATCATTATGGTGTTTGTGGACAGCCCAGCCAAAGACTTAGTCAGGCACGAATCCCTCCCACTAGTCATGGATCGTGTGCCCAGACAATTTTACCTATCAGCATCTAGTAGGTAGAATCTTCCTGGGGCAAAACATGACCTCCTTGAGCTCCTTGCCCTGGGCCGGCGTGGTGGCCTTGCCATTGGCCTATAACGCCGTCGTATCGGCAGCGTCGGCCATCTCCGTCGGCAGCTAAGTCGTCTTGTGGTCCACAATCGTGGCTCTGCGGCACCCGATGATGACTTCAGGGTCATCGCGTGTCAGTGTTGGGCCGTCATGGCATGCCAGCGTTGCCAAGTACGCGTTAGCACGACCATCCCGTGCGTCCGGCGCTCGTCGACGGTCAGCATGCTGACCACGAAGTAGGCCAGGTCGTGGAAGGCGGTGCCGATATGGGCAACCTGCCAGTCCAGGAAGAGGACCTCCTTGTCGTCCCCTCTGAGAGGTGTTGCCGCTGTGCGGGTCGCCGTAAGACATACCTGTATTTAAGAGAGTGGGCTATTGCTTCTCGAAAATCCTCTCTGCTCGGATTTTCCTTTTATATGACGCCTGGTGCCAGTACATCTGATATGGATTGGTGAGGTCGGAGAGATCAAGGAGCACGCTGCTTTCCCAGTTGCGTCTAAGGGGGGCGGGCGCCATGTGAAAGCCGGCAAGGTGAAAGAAATTCACCGTTTCCTGGACCTTGGCCAGTTCATTCTCTCCTGCTTTAACGTACTCGTAGACGATGGCTATGTGCTCTGTCTCATCGCTTCCGTAGTCCACTCTCCGTGTCAGTTTGCGCTCCACGTAAACGGGCGGCGGCCGTATCGGCCCAGGCAGGTCCCTAAGCATGCTGCCGCGGAGCGAGATCCAGCCATAACATTTACGCAGGCGAGGGACCGAGGTAATGGGCCGAAGCTCCATGTCGATCTCGGCCGCGTGCTTTATCAGCATGTCCGGGTTCTGGTGCATCTCCGTTGAGAAGGATCGAACGTTGTCGACAGCATCTACCCACTCCTGGGGGTTCGCGTACACCATAACCGGCTGTCCTACGACGCTGCCCTTGTCGATTGCTGCTTCCATCATTTGTAGCAGGGCAGCATTTCGGCATTCGCGTTCGAGGGCAAAAGCGCCTTCTCCAAAGTCGGGCCTTTTCCCGTCCCAAAACTATTTATGTTTAGTATTGAAGATTAAAAAAGCCCGAAATAAGAACAAGGAAACAAAGCGAGCTGTCGTACGTACCAGCTTTAATGCAAATGGGCCCTTGTCACCAAACTTTACTTTCCAACAGTAGCCGTCCCGCCCACCACCGAGGCGTTCAAGCCAGGAGATGCTGTCAATGTCAAACGGACATTTCCGGAGCTGCGGCTTCCCTAGATCGTCGAGGTCGCAACGAGGAAGACCCACCATGACCGCGTCGTTGAGGTAAGGCCATTTGAGAGCAGCATGCTTGAGTTTTCTTTCGACGATTGTCGCCATGTATGACGGGCAGCGAGTGAGATGTCCTTCGGGGTTTCGTTGAAGTTGACAGGAAGTCATTTAGCACCTTACCATGGTCATCTGTTAATGACGAAGACAACTGTGTCGGGTAATAGGACCAGAACAAAATGTTCGCGGTCTCCGCTGTGGCTGGACTTGGGTGGCTTGGAACACGTGGGTAGCCACCTTTTCCCAGGTGTGTTTTCGCCCCTAAATGGGCAGTGCAACTCGAATCCGTCACTATTAACCTATTAGAGCACAAATCGACCTCGTTCTTCCCATAAAAGCTTGTGGCATCCTGGCGAGTAGGGACAACAAGAACCTACGAGCGCAGAAGCGGCCGGCAGATCACTTTGAAGTTTCAGCGTAACAGAACAACTCAGAGTCAACTGAATGATTTGAATGAAAGGTATGCTGATGGAAAGTGGGAGCGGCCAGAGCTATGGCTACGTAGCGGGGTAAAAAGGTATCCCACCCCAAGGCAATTCCGTGATAAATCCTGACCTATCGATGGTGCGTGAAAACCAAGCCGTTAACTGACGATAGGTGGTGCTTAGATTGTTCGTTATGTTGCGATGCAGCCTTCCGTATCTCCCTCCGCAGTGAGATAAATTCCATCCAAAAGTTGATAAAAGAGTAGGATGAAAAAGAAAAGGGCGGAAAGTAAGACGAAATTCGAAATTCACTGCCACGGACAAAGCGTCGATGTCAGAAGGAGTATGGATCACACGATACATCACATGCTCTTCACATTAAAGCTAGCAACATTCTACAGACCACAATAATCATCACCAACCAGCCCGTATTCTATGTTCGACAGCAGATTATTACACAAGCGTGTATGTTCCTATTTGAGCACCTCTCCATAGACCAAATTCAGCATACACCATAAACAAATAAACAGCATCTGTGCTTTCACATAGAGCGAGCGGCATCCACTATTGTTTAACGTTTCTATTTTCTTTTCTTGCCATTTTCTATGAGTAGCGATCGAAATACATCATCTCTGCAGGGCCTCCCTTCTTTGTCGTGTTATCGTCCCACCGTCCCTCTCTTACGCCAGGTTCTGCTCGATGAGGACGCCCACGGTGTCGAGCGGGTCGTGGAACTTCACGCCAAAGTCCCGGGTCGCCCGCGTCGTGTCCGCTGTGGCTGGGTTCGAGAACGCTCCCGGGCCCGTCAGCTTCAGCGGGAACGACGGGTACTTTTCCTTGATATAGGCCGCAAGTTCCTCCCACGTCACCCGCGGCCCGAGGTCCACCACCTCCGTCACCGTATACCGGCCCTTGCCCTCCAGCCGCTCGCTGGGCACCGTAATCGCGGCCACGTGGGTGGCCGACACATCCCGCACGTCCACCAGCGCACTCGGCACGAACGGCTCCGGCGACTGCAGCGACCCCAGATAGAGCTTGTTCACGCCGTGCGGGGCATCCGTGGCCAGTTGCGAGCGGTCGTGGCCTATGACAAAGAACGGGTGAATCGTGACAATCTCGGGAATCTTCTCGCCGTTTTTGGCAGCGGCGTCCACGTAGTCCAGCGTCGCGCGGTGCGCCAAGATCTTGGAGATTTGGTACTTTGTGAATTCGGCGTTGCCGTCGTCCGGAATGGGCGCATCCAGATCAACCTGCAGCGACCGGTTGACGCCCTCCTTCGCCTCGTAGCCGGGGCGCGACAACCAGTCGAGCGGCAACAGGGCGACCGCCGACGAGGTAATGATGACGCGCTTCACAGTCTGCGCCGCTGTCGCGGCTTCAAGAAGGGCGACCGTGCTGTTGACGGCCGGGTTGATGTAGCCCTCGTGCAGGTCCAGGCCGGGCTGGGCCAGGGGGGACGCAACGTGCACAATGTAGTCGACGCCGCCCGACAGCGCTTTCTCCAGGGCCGCCTTGTTGCTGAGGTCGGGCACCACAAGGACCTCGAGGCGGTCGCCGGCGTCGGCGTGGCGCGCCTTGGTGAGTGCAACCTGCTCCTCTTTGCGAACAGTCACACGAACGCGGTAGCCCTTGGCAAGTGCATCATGGAGCACCTCGGCGCCGATAAAGCCGGTCGTGCCGGTAATGAGGACGAAAGGAGTCGACATGGTGGGAGGATGTGGACAATTTAAAGTAGCTGCTGGAAGTAGTTGCTAGTAGTCGGTCGTCCTGGGATATAGTTATAATTGCTTGAAGACTGTTAAAGCTATGAGAATGAGAGGGCCAGACACGAACAGCAACTCGTCAGCATCGAGGACCTGCTCGTCTCTATATACGTGGTCCATTCTTGCCGCGACGAGCACGCCTTGCAGCTTTTCTAATCAAGAACAACCACACCAAATCCAATTGCCTGATTGACAATCAAATTCCATCAGCCTCTCTACAAAGAGATTACGGAACGGAGACAACATAACGTGCTTAGCGTAATCGCTCAGGTAAGGCAAATGGACTGACGCAATAGCCTATTGGATGTGTATGTGGGCGCCGTGTAAGGGCGTTGCTGCCGCTTACCAAAGCGCGTCTTTGAAGCAAACGTACGAATGTATTAGTGAACAAATTGCGCATTCCGTTCCACCAACAGCAGAAGCTCGGCGAACCCCGCTTTTTTACATTTGTCAACCTCTCTCTCGACCAACCAGAGAACACACAGACTGACAAATTCATGGGTCACCTCCCTCGCTCTCTCGAAACTTTGCCCAAAAAGGCCACACAACAGGTGGAATGACGACAAGCTGCATCCGTCTCCGTTTCCAATTTGTCGTGCCATTGGACTACGGGGTTTCGTTTACAACGTGTTCTTTTCAAGACCTGCTGTAGGCAAACGATGCGTGACGTATTACGGCGTGCACATCCATTTTTTGTCAAAATGGAAGTAAGATCGGGATGAATCATTATGTTACACATAAATAAGAATTAAAATAAAATAAAGATGGAAGTAATGATTATCAAAAGACGGCCTTCCTTATTTCCTTATTCTAAAAAACTCCAGGAATTTTACCGTCGTGGCAGAAAACAACACCTACCGGCATACACCGGACCACAATCGGCGCTAGATAACGTGGGACCTTAGCACTCTCTTTGTCTTGGTCGTGCTCTACTCTATCTGCTGCCGCTTGAGATACTGTCGCCGTTGCTTTTGACCACTTGAATCTAAGGATGTAGCTGCCATATTTAGGCTCAATTTCCCCAGCCGCTACTTTTAACATATTGATAGCTGTGTAAGCCCACTCTTCCCCCTTCCTTTCAAAACGAATCGAAGGCCATCTACATCCCACCTAGAGACGGAGAGGGGTCAGAGAGTGAGCTTCCGACTACATTTTCCAATGTTACATACCGCTTTCGATTCTGCTATACTCTCGGCCGCCATATTCTCCACAACCCTGCAGCCTGAAGACCCTCTTCCTGCTGGAGACATCTGTAGAGTCCATGCAAGTCGCATTCTGTAAATCATAAAGACCTCACTACTTCCAAAGACAAAGCTAAGTCCTGCATTTTAATAAATGAAAAACTATTGCCATACTAGCTCCGCTCGCTGCTACCAGGTGCCAATTATTGTGACACGATTGGTCCCGTGTCTGTGTGCACCGCCGTATACGCTAGCTGCATGCTTGTTCTCGCTGCCCCGCAGATAGCCGCCCGCCGTGGGCTAGTGGCCCAAGCAGTGATGATCTAGACCCATCTGATGAAATCCGTCAAGACCTCCTCACAGCATGAATTCCGTGATTGCTGTAACGGTATATATTATGGCGTCATCACTTTTCATATGCATTTCGTCTTATTACCACTTGGAACCATCCACCAGCACTTCTGTCCGCTGCTTGTTGGGCCGCTCGTGCATAACCCGTCGTTGTATTTGTGTAAACGGCCAACACGGGCCACTCCTTTTTGGTTTAGGGCGACGAGAACTTACACATCGCCTTGCTCATTTCAGCGCAGCGAGGGCCATTGCCCCAAGCGAGGATGTTCGTACGCATCTACACCCTCCGTACAAGCGAGGATGTTCGTACGCATCTGCACCCTCCGTAAATGAGACGCTCATCGACTTCATCCATGGCATATTTCTGCAGATTCCCCTCGCTGCCCTCGAGCCAAGCGATGCAAACACGGGGCGATATGGTCGTCATTGTCCACTCCGTAGACGACATTGTCTACGCCCGCGATGGCCGTGTCAGTTACCAACCATGAGAAAGCGGGACACACTGTCTGGCGCCATTGTGATCCGGTATATGCCGGTAGGTGTTGCTTTCTGCCACGACGGCAAAGTTTGGTCTAGAACGCGTCTACAGGAGGATCGTACTTTGTTTAGAGCGCCCAGAGCTCCCGCTTGTACTTGTCCATGTGGCCTCACAGAATGAGGGCCACTCTCTTTCAATGAGCAATCGACGTGACTGGTAATCGACTCAAACTGTGGTGCCAAGTTCAGCAGAAGCTGGACTCCAATGGCCTAGACTCTCCAAGTCGTTCAGAGCAGTGCACGTGGGACCCAGACAGAAGCGCATAATAAGAGCGGTGCATTGAGACGGATTGAAGGTCGTTGTTCAACAAGGGATCGTGTCGAGGCAAGCTGAGTTGGATCATAGTGCTGTGGCTGACAATTTGTCCGCGAGCACTGGGCCGCTCTCCCCAGCCTCATCTTCATCGTCTGAATCTGTATTGGCAAACCATTCATGACCCCATATGTTTCTTTCGTCTTGTGACCATCCATTCGCGCGTAGCCAGGTGAAGATGTTCCGCGTTGCGTTTTCGGATATAACCTCCTTTGACTGATCTATCTCTTTGTGGGAAATGCATTTCTCAGAGACGCCAATGCTATGGTCTTTTTTACGGCTACGTCTTTGGTCTATTTCAAAACTCACCCAAGAGGGGGGAATTCTCAGATGCGCGCGAAACTGTAGCCAAGAGATCCATTTCCCCCTAAATCGCAGCCCAGCTTCATCCCGCGTCATCCAGTTGAAACCTTGGTAATGAAGCTTGTGGTGTCTGCACTTGGCGTGGGCCCGCACTTCAAGGTCGACATCTTCTAGCTTCGTTGCACCAAATGGTTTCCATTGTACCACGGGAAGTCGCGTGTGGCCATCTGACTGGCAAAGGAACAGTATACGGCACTCATCCGCGCGGGTGATATGTGTGGTGAGCGGGCCGCAAGTGGGCAACTGAAGGAATGTCTGCGTCGTCCCCGACCACACAGCAGAATGAAGGTCGATGGGAATTTGTCCTCGGCGGGCTTCTTTGAGCAATGTCCCTTGCAAACCGAGAACTGTCGCGCCCAGCCATAAAAGCGAGACTTTGGGCGACCGGTCCATCAGCATACGGCCCAGCACAAGGGGATCGTGCCGGGCGAGACGATCGATGGCAGCCATTTCTCCTTGAAGCCAAGCAGAAACCGCATTGCAGGTGACGCTGGGCTCATAAAAGACGCTGAGCAGCATGGGGCGCACTCCTCGTGTGTGGCAACTCAGCATGATGAGTTTATCCAGGTCATGATCTCGCAAATGCCAGTCACGGCCAAGAGCGCCAGGGGTTCCGGTGTCCTGTGCGGCCGTCTGTGCGCGTGCATTCGTGTTCTCGGGCAGGGAAACAGGCAGCCGTAAGGGTTGACTCCGGCCCATAAAAGGAAACAAGAGAACGGCGGCAAGTGCAGCGTGGCTTTGGGCAAAGATGTCATGGCGATCGCAGAACTTTCGAAGAAAACGCATGGCATCCACAGAGGATGGCCCCGACGGAGAGGGGCGACGCGTCGAAGTAGCGAGGTTAGCTGCCAGCACCAATCGCTGACCGCCCTTACGATGGACGGACCAGGGGGCCACAAACGCCTCGCCATCAAACGTCATAGTAGCACGCCAGCCGTGATCTTCTGCCAAAACGGCAGACCACCACCGGGCCTCGTCGGAACTCGTCTCTCCAATATCCACAACGATGGCACCGTTTTCAGCCGGGCTCTCTTCCGGGCTGTTCTTCGCAACCATCTCCTCGTTATATGTGAGTGTACAAGGCCCAGGCATCACCTCAGCCCACCGGGCAGAGAGAATGTAGGACCACGCCAAGGCAAGGACACCGATGAAATTTCGGCTACCATAAAACCATTGTTGGTGGAGGCCGGCCGTCGATTCTTCGGTAATCAATGTGACCATGCTCTTCGACGCTACTTCGATCCGTGCTGGCAGCTGGAAGGACGGCAAGCGACGCCGGCAGCGCGACGCTGATGTGCCCCATGTCGAGTAGCCAGAAGCGTAGAGCCGCTTCTCGTTGGCAATTTTCTCGCACTTTATGCTTAAGTTCCGCGGGAAGGAGGGTTGCGTTTGGAGCACGTCTCGAAGATCCACGAAAGGAGGACTAGTTTGCTTGACGGCAGAGGCATGTAGTGCGGACCATAAGCAAAAGGCTTGGTCATACGTCATGCGGAAGTGTTCCTGGGAGATTCGGACTGCATCGCCTAGTTTTGAGTTAGTGTGTGCCCGTGGCAGGAATATCGCCTCCTATAGTTGATTGTTGCATGGTTTGCTCCTCACCCCTCATTGTGATGTGTTTATTCCGCCCGAGTAAGAAAGTAAAGATGATATGGAATGTGGCTAGGAGCGTTGCCGGTCCCTTCCGCGCAGATAAAAGTAGGCCGCGTTTTTGGGGGGGGGGGTTGATGAAGGTGTTCCACCCAGAGGCACTTAGCCTAAAGGGCTCGTTTGTGCATTGGTAGAATGCAATAATCCACGAACAAAGGGAATGAATTGAGTCGATTTGTATTGTCTTTCTTGTTGGTCTTGCGTCTGTTGGTCTTGGAGTTCTTGCCAGCTCCTCTAGGGGCAAATTCTCTACTAGAAAAGGACCCATTAACCAGCCACAGCATTCTTAACCAATGGTGCCGCTAACTTTGATTGGCCCACATTTCCTTTGAGATCATGTGGCTCCAAGCACCACGCGAGGGCAACAGCCACAAACATTAATAAAGTCAAGCCACTTTCATAATATCCGACATTTGTTAGTAATGCTAGCCTGTCAAATTGGTGTCAAAGAGGTATATGGAATTCTCATAAGTCCATAAAGCTTCATCTAGTTTTATCCCTGGGTCCGCGAGTATTATAAGGCAAAAATATGACGAACCATCTAAAGAATAAGCTCCAAGATGCGTGTGTCGAGCTCTCGATTCGCGCTTGTACTCCGTGACGGCGGATGGCGGCGCAAAACGGTCTATGAGTACCGGAAAAAGGACGACCAGCGCCGCGAGCTTCTCGCGGCCTTCTTATATTCGACGGGCGGCGGCCCGCCGCGCGGGTCTGACCTGCTGGAGCCTGCGGTATCGAAATAGTGGAACGGCCGAGCGCGGGATCTACCTGTGTGGCGGGTCTCAGATCTACCTGACCCACAGCCACAAGGTGAAGCGCTCTGCCCTTTGCAACTTGCTCGTACAAGTGTAAACTCTCTGTAAAGGGGAGTGCTCGCCTTATGTCTTTCGCTTTCAACCCGATCCAAGCAGTCCGCCCTAGGCAACCTCGCGGCTAACGTCTATGATCAAGATGTGGACAGAGAGAGTCTGGGGCTAAGCTGTTTCGTTGCAAAACTTGCGGCGCTTTGTATCGGCTTGGCGGAAAAGTCTCCCACTCATGGGAAGGGAAATATTTAATGTATTATGAAGAAGACAATAGATTTCCACCACTACCATAGGTCTACCAGCCTTCGATAATCGATATATATGATCTTAGATCGCCAAGAATCTATCATCGTTCATCCAAAAAGATCATGCTATAGCAATTGCTCGAGTCAGTACATTGGCATCAAGCAAAAGTAGAGCCAAGTATGACTCACATCTTCGTATACTTCGTTGCCAACTGATGCGCCCGAATCTCGGCAAAATTTGCATGGGCCGCGCCTTTGGGACGGTAGATGATTACCGAATTCGAAGGTAGGATCAGGACAGCGCGGTCCCGGTTTCGGCTGATCTTGGCATCTTCTAAATAGGCGCTTTACAATTTTATGCTGCGGATTCCTTGCGCAGTCAACGTGGATAATTTCGGCTGTTGTGTACGTGCACATCGTGATGTTCGGGCATCGATGATGCCTGAAATGTTTCACGAAACTTTGGGAGCCGATGGCCCCGCGCCGAGGTTTTGTCAATTCCCGCGTTGTCACGTGTTATTAGTCACGTGTTCATATGATAAAAAGACGCTGGCTTATGGAACATATTCCTCCATTCCCCTCAATTTTACAAGCCCGTTTTCACAACGAAAACTACGACATAGCTTTTATTTCATCGGATTAACCTAACACAATGCCTGAAACCACAGAGCAACAAAGGATCTCTTTGGATTTGACTAAATTAATATTTCTTACTGCCGGAAAGTCGGGAATCGTGTACGGCATAGACGATGGAAGAGTTCTCAAGCAGTACTATGACCAGATGTCAAATGACATCCTTGTGGAGCGAGAAGTCTTTGCGCGCCTCGGATCGCACGCAAACATAGTTCAATACCTGGGGGCTACCGACGGTGGGCATGCGGTTCTGGAACGCGGAACACCACTTCAAGAATTCCGCAAGCGACGAGACCCGAACATTTCGCTGGATCAAAAGTTTCATTGGGTAAAGGACGCGGCTATGGGACTGCACCACCTCCACGAAAACCGCATCTTGCACGCAGATGTTGGATGCCATAACATGGTCGTCATACACAATCATGTAAAGCTCATTGACTTCGAAGGCTGTAGCATTGACGGAAGCGAAGCAACATCCTGCTACCAATGGTTCAGCTATCGAAAAACGGAGCCGGCTATCAGTGTCAAGACTGATATTTTTGCTTACGGTTGCGCTGTGTATGAGATAATGGCCGGACAGCATCCGTACCATGAGCTGGCAACAAAGGAGAATGGGACAGACCTTGTGCGGAGTCTATATGCCGACAACCAATTCCCCGACATTACGAATCTGCCATTCGGTAGCACCATCCACTCTTGCTGGACGGAGAAATTCAGCTGTATGAGTGAAGTCCTCGCGGCGCTTGAAGCAGATTATGCTAGCTTACTATTGTCGAGAACGACAATGATAAAGACGACTGCGATGCCGCGCACGCCCCCGACGCCCCCGACGCCCCCAACGCCGACGACGAGACGTTCAAGGGCGTTGACGGGCGTGATGGACGTGACGGGCATGGCGGGCGCCCAACCGGCTCAGCCGCCCAGTGGATGCCGCCGCGTATCCCGCGGGCGATCACGACAAAATACTTCATCCGCCTCCTCCAGGACGGCGTCTCCCCTACTTTCGAGCCGCGCCCGAGGAGCCCGATGGCAGCAAAATCCGTCCATCCAGACGTACACGGTCGGGGATGACCGCTACAACGAGCGGGGGGTGTGGGCCTTCTGTCAGAAGTCCTAGGGATAATGGTATGGGTTTTCAGTTGAGAGATGATCACGAAGCAACATAGACAAAACGTAGGTAGTAGGATGTGCAAAATCCAATCCTTGCCCTTCTCCAACAAGAGGTGGCGCGGCGGATAGGCTTTAATTATTACTGACGGCATGTGGCAATGACTTCTTGAATTGGTTCAACAATCAACATCATTACTGTCGGCAGAGAAACTACACTTACCACACGTCGCAACACCGCAACGAAAACTAAGCAGGCGGTGACGGCGAGCGGCAACGACAACGGCCTCGATTTCAACGACAGGCGGCCGCGCGAGGTGATTGGCCAAACAACGTCCCTCATGTAAGAATGGCGCTCCTCTCACAAGAATCATTCTTCCAAAAGTGGCCATTCCGTCCACTTCTACAACAGTAAAGAGGGAAAAAAAAACACGTAGTGGTGTGAAATGAATTGGCTAACCAGTTGCCCGAAGCTGACTTGGTACATTACATCGGCGCCTTCTCCCGGACACGTGGTTCGCAAAGCTTTCCAGTGCACAGAAAACCAGTTCCACAAGGGTTTGTCCAGGTTGGCATCACAGTCGTCCTACTGGGGAACCCGAGACGGAAGAAAGAAATGGCGGATGAAAATTATAGTTTCCTTTTACGTGAATTTGGCAATGATGGTTATGGTCAAAATTGCGTTCATCTAATCTCCTACGACTCCGGAAAAGCGATGACTTAGATTCACTTTTGCGGACAGTTGGGCGATTTTGCCAGAGATTTGGTTCAAAAAACAGGTATGTAGGAAGGCGGCCTTGGGATTACACCTCAGCTATCTTCAGGCTTCCACCGCCCGCGATTTGAATAGTTACGAAATTTCTAGGAGAGTGTCGGATGGTGGCACATCTTTAGCTAGGTGCACGTATACCGGACACCTTTATGTACCGGCCATTTAACATAATTTCCGCCTTCACTTTTCTTTTCTTTTTCTTCTCTTCTATCCGGTGGCGAGCCGTTCCCAAGGGGATGGGCACTTAATTTCTAGTACTATGCCAAAGAGTGATTAAGAGGATTCAAAAGCAATCTGCCTCTTATGTCCATGGCACTATTTATATCATCTAATTGATATCCGCAGCCCAGTTGTTGAACGTAATTGTCGCTGGGCCGCCAGTGAATGCTTCGCTTCCAATTTGGAAGACTGAAAGGCCACAGTTGTTAGCCGTCATTTCCTTCATAATACACTGGATCTCAATTGTTCAAGGTTAGAAGATGGAGGGAAGGCTCACTGATTAGGTTCTGCTTGCTTGCCGGGTAGTTCTGGCTGGTCTGGAGATAGTTGAAAAACTGCTTTACGTCGGCACTGAAGGTACGGACGGGGCTTGCGGCAACGAAGCTGTAGACCTGCATCTGACCGTTCATGCCGACCCACAAGTCCCATGACTTGCCGGCCACTGTGACCGTCCCAGTCGACTTGCCAATTGGGTAGATGCCACCGAGACGGGCAAGCCAGATCATAAGCTCATAGTCACCGCTGCTGCGATCATGGTTCGGATCTGCGGCCGTGAAAATATCGTAGGCGACATTCGCACGTAGATCCTCCGTAGTGTAGGTCCATGATACCGAAGTCTGCATGCTGCTGATAGCGCTGACGAGCTTCCCTTTCGGAGCAATTTTGCCACAGTAGGCGTAGCTCTTGACATTGTTAGGCGCGCCTTGCCACGTCCAGGTCGTGTGAAACGACACGCTGTTGCTAGAACTGCCATCCACGTAGGTGCACTGTTGGCCTGAGGTTGCCGCCGTGTCACCCCAGAGGTTGTTGAGGCATTCATAACCACTACCAGGCTCCTCGTTAGCGCTCGACCAAACCATACTCGCATCGTTCGCGGTTGGAGGATATAACGAATTTTCTTGGTTCCATACTTTCCAGACCAGTAGTCGTATTTTTTGCACAGATTTGTTGACTGCCGCGGTTGCAGTACAGCGGATGGCACCGCGGCGGCAAGCGGAATGAGCAAAGCTAGTGTCAACTTCATTTTTTCAGTCAGTTTTGAACTTGGAGTGTTGTGTCACTGTAAGAGAAGCGTGGCCTTGTGAACTTTTTACCTTGTGAGGGAAGTGATCGGGGTTATAAGTACTTTCTCTTACTGTCACATACACGATAACAGAGAGCTGGTCTAGGTCTTAGATCTTACCATAAACCTATACAACTTATCATTATACCAGGTAAGTCGTATAGTTTTGAAAAGGAATCGCTACAGAGTACAAACAGTTTCAACGTTTTCAGTTTAGTTCCCGTGACTGGACTGTTTGTTGTTAAGTTATGGTTAATTAGGATGTAAATGAGCTAACTTAACGGCGCATTGCAGACGATCTGAAAAGCTACTAGTAAGTGATTTCATATGTAAATGGTAATGAACGTGGTCGGCTTTGTCTACATTTAACGGCTATTCTACCTGGCCCGGTTGGTTAGAATGGAGCGTTCGCTCGCGGTTTATTTCGTGCCGTACCTGGGGTATTCACACCCGTCCCGTTACTCTTCTCAGAGATAGGCATGGCTTAATTAGACCTATGCCTCAACCCGCAACAGATCGCTCTTCTCAACCGAGAGAATGGCCGAGCCGAATTTCGAACAATATACTGGGCCATTACCACCGACCTAGGCCGAAACGCCAAGGCTGACCACTACGTTAATATAAGGATATACTGGCCTATTGGGACGAACACCTACACAGGTACAGTTGGAGGAGCGACGATGCCGTCGAACCGAATCTCAATACCGAACCACTAACTGACACCTCGAATAGACAACCAAAGTTGTAGCTAGGGCCCGTAAGTACTCCGCGAAGCCCAAAACGTAACCATAAACGGGCCGCATCAGCCTAGGGCCCCCCCGCCTCTGCCATATATATAAAAATTGGGCCTCCTTTACGTAGTCCACAAAGGCGGCAGAGGTGACCCCGGATTACATAATAATATAATGTGCCAAAACCGTGGAGAAGCCCCCAGGATGGCTGCAAACTCTGGAGGACTGAATTACCGGCCGAATATAGGCCGACCGGTGACCCGGCCCGTAGTGTGGTGGCTCAACGCGAGTCTAGACTATTGACATTGCGTCCGGCGATTACAGGGGAAGCCCTCGGTTACAAAACTTCACCGTAATTTCTTGCGCTACCCGCGGCCCCTCTCGTTGCAGGAATGCGATGACTCTTTGGTAGCCTGGCTAACGAGATGTCACGGCATTGCAATCTTTCTACGGTCCTGTCTTTTGTTCGAATTCGTCGTTCATCTCGGTCATAGTAATCGTAAGCCTTCAAAAGGCTTTCTTCTTTGCAAAACTGCTCCAGTATGAACAGTAAACGCGGACGGTCTTCCGTGTGATTCGCATTTGGTAAACACGGTAACCTCATGGCGACCTCAGCTAAGGCCGCTGAGGAACACTGCGGGAAGCCCGGTATATAGGAACACGCCCCCTACCTACACAGAACACCCAGAGAAAGTAACGACCAGTCGTTACCCCTTGTTTGATATAGAACCCTACACGAGCCTCTATTGCATCTTCACTTTTGGCAAATTTTCCTTCCAGTTCGTCTCCTTCTCGGCTCACCCCATCTGTCCGCCAAATGACCCGCCGCCGCCATTCAGCAGCGACCAGTACGTCGTGTCGACGCCTTGCATGACCCAGTCGTCACTTGACCCGGTCATGTCGGGAAAGGCCGCCACGCCGCCAAATCCATAGAGGCCGTCGCTACTGGTAGGCGCACCACCTCCCTCACCATTGGGAGCACTGGTGGTAGTGTCGCCATCGTCGCTCATCGGCATGGGGTCAAAGTCGACCAGCATATCGTTGAGATCGACTGAGCCTTGATGGCTCGTTTGCTGCTGCTGCTGCTGCTGCTGTTGCTGATGTGGCTGTTGCTGACTCGGTAGATGGCTACCCCAGTCGAGCACAGGATGGCCAGCGCTTGGTGAAGAAAGGAGATCGTACGAGATGGGCACAGTGATGGCGTCGGGGCTGAATGTCGGGGCGGAGGCAACACCAAGCGAGGCACTGGTCGTTTGAGGCTGCTCAGACAACTCGTGGTGGAGCTGCAATTGCTCTTGTTGCTGCTGGTATGGGGTCTGTGGTGGCTGTGGGTAGAACGGTGACATGGACGACGTGCCCGTGGTAACGTTGGTGTGGATGTTGACCGTGCCAAAGTAAGGAACGTTGAGACGGACTGAAGACGTCCCTGCCCCTGGTGTTCCTGTTGAGCCCGCCCCGGCAGCAGCCTCGGCACCGACACCGGTGTCACCGCTATGTGAACTGGTCGTGTTGTTCCGCATATTGCCGTCGTGGCCATAGTTGTTGCTCTCCTTTGTCGTTGGCGATGTCGAGGCGTCAAAGTTGTTTTGTAGGTGTTGTGATGACAGGGCATGGCCGTTGCTGCCGCCACCGGCACCTGCATCCGCATCTGCGGCGGCAACTTCCGACTCCGACTTTTTGGCTACCAAGTCGAGAATGGGCATCAACTGCTGGATCGTCGCAGCCGACTCCCGTGATAGCTTGTCGTTGTTGACTTTGCCGAGGCGCTCCATGGACTCGCGCACCTGCTCGACCATTGCCCGGTCCTGCCGAAGTTGGGTGTCAAAGGCATCCAAGACGTTGGGGTCGGAGTCGAGGGTGGGACGGGGTCCGAGGTAACCAATGATAAGCGTCATGGCGGCGATCAGGGAGGCGTAGTCGACTTGTCGGCAGGAAAAGGCCGTGTTGACGAGCCGGCGGAAGGTGACGAAGCGCTTGAGGACGGCGCGGCTGGACTGCAGGCAGGTGGCCTTGCTATAGGCCAGGCCGCCGCTGCAGCTGCGGCTCTCGTCCATCGCCTCGTTGCGTTGTGGCGAGATGCCCACGTCATTGGGGGTATTGCCCACATTGGTAGGGATGTTGCCCATGCCGTGACCCTCACACATGCTCGTGGCAGCCGAGCTGGAGGCCGCCATCATCTTGGCGGCGGTGGCTGCTGGGTGTTCGCCGCGCAGCATGTACGGCAGATGTAGCAAAATAAGAATGCAGTGGTGGTGGATCTGCAGGACAGCGCGCGACATCTCGTTGGCAATAAAGTCGGGCCGGGAGCTGGGGTCATAGGAGGGCACCTCCCACCAGGTAGGACCAAGGTTGCGCGAGGCGGCAGCCTGGAGTTCGGCGTCGATAGCTTGGGTCACGTCATACGACTTCTCGAGGGAGATCTTGCTGTGGTTCCGTTCGATGATGCGGCCGGCCACGATCATGTGCGCCTTTTCGAGCTTCTCGACGGGCGTGTCCATGTCTTCCTCCACAGAGTTTTTCTCGCCGGGCTGCTGGGATGGCGGATAAACGTCATCATCCTGGCAACCTGCCCGCAAGCCCAGCAGAAGCGAGACGTAGCGGTCGCACGCATTGATGCGGTACCACATGGCGGCCGGGGTGGGCCGCAGACGCGCGTCAGACGTCGGGTCACAGGATTTCAGCGCGCGCGTATTGCCGCGGTCCAAGCCCATCAGCTGGGCCAGACTCATGGCGCGGCGGTAGCTCAGCCAGGCCTTGCGCAGCTGGCCGGTATTGGACTGCTGCTCGCCGAGCAGAACGAGGCACTCGAGACCCTCGACGGACCCGATGAGCTCGTCGTTGGAGGTAACAGTGTGGGTGACGACGCCGGCTATGCGATTAATGACCGCGGACAAGGACTCTTTCATCTGCAGCTTGCCTTGCAGTGCGAAGCACGGGGCCATCTGTTGCATGCACAGGGTCAATTGAAGAAGCCGCCGCGCGATGGCCGTTGGGTGCAGGCTCATGGGCGGGATCTCGCGCAGTTTCGATGCCGGTTCGCAGCGGCCTGATGCAATATCGTGCTTTGAGTGGAAGAGAGACAAAAAGTTATGTTTCGGGGAGTAAGCCGCAATCGTGTTCATGTCTTCCTGTGACGGAAAAAGCGAAACCAACATCCTGCTGAGGTGCCGGTGGCGGCGCCATTCCTCGCTGACCGGGTCGTCTGACCGTGTAGAGAGCATCGACGCGGAGGGTGCTGTCGAATCTTTTGTAGCTGCTGTGCCTGTTGTACCTCCAGTGTCGGAGGTGGCTGAACCTGAGCTGTTTGCCGATCCACGCACATCTTGGCTGGAGCTGCCTGCTGCACTTCCCTGACCACCGTTCGGAGAGTTGCCGGTGACATCCATCGAGCCAGGGCTGTGGCCTGATCCAGCCAAAATCGCATCTGTCGAGGTACCGAGCACGGCTGAGACGGCTGCAGCAGTAGCGCGTGTGTGGAGATTGGAGGAGGAAGACGGGGTACCATGGTTGTTGGGACTTGATCCGCTGCCGCTGACACCGCCGCCGCTGTTGTTGGAAAGTGAATCCTGAATGCCGAGAAGTGCGGCGACGGGTGTGTCTTCGGCTGTGGACATCTCAAGGACGTCAAGTTTACCGTAGCCCTGCTTGCCGGCAGCAGTAGGGCAAACATGGGCGACGATGTCAGTCGGATCTTTGTATACTTTGCTAACTTGCTCATACGCTGTATCAATGTAGGCATCGCACTCATTGCAGTCGTTTTCGGCATTGAAGGTCAGGCCGATGCCATCGGCAACGGACGGAGAGCCAGATGTTGAGTGGCGGTGGCTCTGATGGTCCTGAGTGTGTTGGGTCGCCTGGCCGTGGCCGGCATGAGCTGCACTCTTGTCCGGTCCCATGTGCTGGTCTGCTTGATATTGATTCTGCTGCGGCGGGGGAGGAGGCCCCGCCATGACATGTGTCATGAGCTGCTCCATCATGGTCTCGAGTCTGTCGAGCCGTTGGGCCACCTTCTTCTCCGGCACCTGCTGTGGCGGCGACGGCGTTTCGTCGGAAAACTCTTGGCTGCGGCAAGCGGATCCACGCGCCCGGCAACCGATGCAGACAGCATCATCCGGCGACGAGAACTGGCAGCGGATCTTGCGGCGCCGGCACTCCCAGCAGCTGTGGGTTCCTTTCCGCACTTTGCGGCGCCGGGCGTCCAGGACCTGCGCCTGCGTCAGGCCCATGCCTGAGAGCGACATGGTCCCGGGTGAATGCGCAACCTGCGGTGGTAGTCTTTATTCGTTAATGTTCGGTGGCGTCAGCTTTCCGTGGGCCACGGCGTCAGTCGCTCAGCGAGCCGACGGCGGATGACTGCAGAAGTTGCGGTGCCTGGATTTTCATCCGTCGTTTGTGCTTCGGCGGACGAATGGGCTTTTCCGCAGTGAGACGGGTAACTGTAGGCGCTTAAAACAGTGCGATGTCCCTGTAACACGCCGGCCGGGTTTGTCGACTTGCTTTATTTGTATTTCGTGTAGTTGTCGTTTGTTTTCTGCAACCGTTTTTTTGTTGATTGACTCTGGAATGCTGCTGATGCAAAATCCCTCTGTCCTCCAGTACGATTTCTAGCTCTTTCCTTTCCTCTCCTTTTTTTCGATTGCGTTTCTCGAAAACAAAAATTCAGGAAGGCGGTCGGCATGCATACGAATAGGAAGGAGCAGCAGGGCCCCCTGCTAATACATCGACCTGTCTAGATTATTCAGCAGCCAGCTTTTGGCCTATTTTCGGCCGACCGCGGACGACGGACGGCCAAGCAAAGAAAGCGCCCAATACGTCCCCACAATTTACGCCAAGCACTCCGTAAGACTGCCTTGTAGGGCATGGACGTGAGCGTGTGGTCGCATACGAAGTACATCGTAGGTATTCTCGTGGTGGGGAAGCTGCGTATTATCGTGTTCTTCATATTTGACACGATTTCCATTGTCCAATACCTTTGACCTGTCATGATGAGTCCTTTGAGCCTCATGTCTTAGGAGATCAATACACTGCGATCGAATGTCAGCCAGCTCCAGCTTTTCGTTACTGCTACCAGCTATCATGGGCGTCTCTGGACAAGAGCATAATATGGAAGCGGCTCTGTAGTCGTCTTCGGCATCATCAAAATATGACAAATCGAAAGCCACCAGACAGGAACGTAGACCATGCTGTCGATCTAGTTCGTATTCCCCTTCACTTTATTTTTGCCTACGCTCTACGTTCCTGTGTGGTGTGCCCCGTTTACACTAGTCTTTACACGTAGCTTACCAATAATATCAACCCCGGTGAGATGCACCTCGGTACCAAGACAACGTACACGGCCCTTAGGGAGCACGTACTGCCATCGGTGACGGCCATGTCAATGGACACACTGTCGATCTTGGTATAGAGAGGGCAGCAATGATGGCCGCCGATTATCTACTTTCTATTTCGCCGGAGGGAAGAAAAGACATCCAGAATGTCCACATCCACAATTTCGATAGATGCCAGGCCAAGCATACACCGTGTGACCTTTGGGCTGTCGCAGCCGCTCGTTGGCGCGTTCCCACTCTTTGGTTGACGGCTCAACTTGGTTACTTGGACTTGGCTTCAACTGGCCGGTCTCGTGTAAAGGGAAGGCCGTTGCATCGCGAGCACATAGGCCTCACTTCGTCACACTTCCAGTCGCGCACACACATCTCGGCCGGAAACGCCTGGTGATATTTTTGTGCACTTGTTTTCTCAAAGGGTGTGACGCAGACGACAAGCATCAAGCCGCAAAAGGCCATCGCGACGATCTAGACGTTGAATGAACACCCAGGACGTCAGTACAGAGGCGCCTCGTCTAAATTTACAAGCGCCTCAGTTCCAAGCACACCATCACTGATAAGCAGGGCGACAAAGTGGCGCAGCCATGACAGGCAGTCCTTAATCTGCAGACGGTTCGACAACGTAATACTTCGGGTCAGTGGTGTCTACCTTTAGTGTACGGAGTAAGGCCGACGCCAAAACAAAACGACATGCAACGTACCTTTTCTGTCCCAGCCGTCTGTGGCCGCAGGCTCAGACCTGGCGCCGGCACCGTCGCGGCAAGCCGCTCCAGTCCGTCGCATGGCAGGTCGCTACCCGCCGCTCTGGGAGCCGCCGCTGTGCCGTCTCCATAATCATCGGGACGTATGGCGTCCACCATGACTCGCCCGCGTTCCTGCTCCGGGCCCATCGTGCCTTGTTATACCCTTAGTACCAAGGCAGCCAACCTGACTGCTGCCAGTCGATTATGGACAAGACACGAGGACAACCAGAGCCGACTCCTCGCTCGAGGCCTTCAAGTTTATCGCTGGCAATGCCTTCGTTCCCTCCCTTTTCTTCACTCCCGCTGACCGTATGGGTTTAACCACGCCGTGGGGTGATCATGATATTGCTCGGGCAGGCCGGCGTGGGTGAAGACGATGGGCACATCATCGAGTAGCTCGCCACGGTACGGGTGTGGCGACCGGTTCCGCCACTCGTCGTGCAGGGCAGGGCCATACGCATTGGTATGATATTCGTGGAACTCGGGGACGGAGGTGAACGGTCCCTCCTCCGGGGCGCAGGAATTGACAAATATCCAGTCAAGCAGAGACCCGCCGGCGGCATTAACCGTGGCTCTCAGCCCAGTTAGAATACCACATCGACTTGACTCGAGTGGGTGTGGCAATAACAAAAAACCAACAAATCAACGGTAGACTGGTGAATAGCGTCTGTGGGAGTCGCCTCTAGGCCTCCAGGTGTCAACAAATCCATGCAGCTGCTGGCAAATTTGGCCCTTTTCGTCCTCGGAGAGGTCGTCCCAGCAATCCTCTACCGTCTTCCCTTCGAGCAGCTCCATATAGATTAAGCACTACCTGCCGTCAAATTACCAGCCGTAGACTTTGGGGACAGGCACCGTTGCTGGGTATTTCTGTACGAGGAGTAGGCATTGGGCCTCTGCCTCCGACACAAGGTAATCGAACTTGACAAAGAGGCCGAGCGGTGGAAACCTCACGGGAGGCGGCCGGTTGAGGTTGAGGTTTTTGGAACGGGCGCCGTGCTGGCGGATGCACTCTTCTCGAACGACCGTAGAAGTTGGCAAAGCGAGTCGGCTGGCTGGTTGGTCATCGCCATCCTGCGTGAAGAAGACAGAGTGGGTGAGAATGACAATCTTGCCGCGCGGCACATCTTCGGGCAACGTGATATGCATGCCATCGCATGATGGTAGCCGGGAAGCAAGGTCGACAAGGCTGCGATCCATTCGTGGGGTTATGGAGAGGAGGATGATCTGGGGAGCAATTAAGACCCGGCGGCTCATCAAAATCGTCCTCTTTCAGGGGTGTTTGGATTTTAGCGTGTAATGCAGGCGGCCATATGGTTTCTAGCGTATCAACATTGGCGGTGACCTGTAATTGCCGTTCACAGCCAGAGAGCATCTGCGGCGGTTGTGTAAGTGCTTGCATTCCAGCTAGTAGCCCCATAACACACCTGTAATCAACGCACTATAATTGGCTACCCTGCCCCGCCTACAGCTCCATCGGCCGTTATCATCACCAACTCGAACCACCTTAACAGCAACTTGCCCCCGCATCTCGACAGCGCCCGCACTCATGTCGTCATACGTCTGCCGGGCGAGATACGCTGCTTTGTCTGCTTCGGCTACCGCCAACCCTAAATCGGCCCTGCTTCCAGCCAGTGAGCGTGCCCGTAATGATACACTACTTCTTTTCGTACGTCGAAACGCGATGAAGCTGCGTTCGGCCGCCTGTGTCCGGCCGTCCGCAGATGACGTTTTCGCCGGCTTCGTCAGTTTCGTCTACTGATCGATCGCCCTTGCCAAGTAAGATACATGGCATAGGATAGTATCCGCTGATAAATCTTGCATATTTCTTTACCTGGCGTCCCCCCGTTCCTCTCCCTTCCACCCTCGTACTTCTCCTCCCCACTCTTCATCCATCTGAAGCAATTCACCATTCCGCGACACACCCCGCCTCCAGAATAGACGCCAATCTACGGTACGTGTGCCGTTTCCGTCTCTCTCTGTTCAGGTCCCCCTGGGCTCTTCCTCTCTCTCTCCTTTTACGCTTTATTGCCCGACCGGCACGACTTCTGTCCTTGTTTCCTCCTTCATGACTTGTGCCGCCCCGTATTTCCAAAGAGCATCGAACTTGACGGTCCTCCATCGTATTTGTGCGGCTCCATTGTCTCGACGAACACTGGCACCGTCATTGGCTGCACGATCCTTGCTACTACAACCTCTCCTGCTGCGACGCCCGCCCATCTCCCCCATATCCACGACAGCACGCGCCATGGCCGAGTTCAAGCTGAAAGACGTCTCGTCGCTGGCCCTCAAGGTCGGCGAGAAGAAGGAGGTCGAGGTCGAGGGCATTGACGACGCCAAGGTCCTGCTCGTCAACGCCGCCGGCACCATCCAGGCCATTGGGCCCAAATGTACGCACTACGGCGCGCCCCTCGTCAAGGGCGTCCTGACGGCCAACGGCCGCATCACCTGCCCGTGGCACGGCGCCTGCTTCAATGCCAAGACGGGCATGTAGGAAGCGCCCCCGCCCTCGACTACCTGCCGACCTTCAAGGTCGCGGAGCGCGACGGCGCCGTCTACATTACGGGCGACAAGGAGACCATCAAGGCCGGCCGCCGCAAGCCCAAGTTCAAGGCCACCGTCGCCAAGGAGGACGCCAACAAGGTCGTGGTCGTGGGCGGCGGCTCGGGCGCCATTGGCACCGTGGAGGCCCTCCGCGAAAAGGGCTTTGCCGGCAGCATCACGGTCGTCACGAACGAGGGCTACCTGCCCATTGACCGCCCCAAGCTCTCCAAGGCGCTCATCGCCGACCCGGCCAAACTGCAGCTGCGCGACGCGGCCTGGTTCGAGACGGGCGGCGTGTCCATTGTGCAGGACGAGGTCACGAGCATCGACTTCGCGGGCAAAACGGTGCAGACCAAGGGCGGTGCCGCCCTGCCGTACAGCAAGCTGGTCCTGTCCACGGGCGGCACGGCGCGCCGGCTGCCCCTGCCCGGTTTCAAGGAGCTCGGCAACATTTTCACGCTGCGCAACGTGCACGACGTCCAGAAGATTACGGGCGTGCTGGGCGCCGGCGACGGCGCCAAGAAGAAGGTCGTCATTGTCGGCTCGTCGTTTATCGGCATGGAGGTGGCCAACGCCACGGCCAAGAACCACGACGTGACGGTGATTGGCATGGAAAAGGTGCCGCTGGAGCGCGTGCTAGGCCTCGAGGTCGGCGCCGCCGCCCAGAAGGGGCTCGAGAAGAACGGCGTCCAGTTTTATCTCTCGGCGTCCGTCGACAAGGCCGAGCCGTCGGCCGCCGACCCGGCCAAGGTCGGGGCCGTGTTCCTCAAGGACGGCACCAAGCTCGAGGCCGACCTGGTGATTTTGGGCATTGGCGTCGCCCCGGCCACCGAATACCTCCGCGACAACAGCGCGGTCCACCTCGAGGCGGACGGCTCCCTCAAGACGGACGAGACGTTTTCGGTGGCCGGCCTCCAGGACGTCTACGCCCTCGGCGACATTGCCACGTTCCCCTACCACGGCCCCGGCGGCGAGGGCAAGCCGGTCCGCATCGAGCACTGGAACGTCGCCCAGAAGGCCGGCCGCATCGCCGCCGAGCACATTGTCGACCCGACGCTGTCCGGCAGCAACAGGGGACCGGGCTCCTTTTTCACGCCCGTCTTCTGGTCGGCGCTGTCGGCGCAGCTGCGCTACTGCGGCAACACGGCCGCGTCCGGGTTCGACGAGATTGTGCTGCAGGGTAGCTTCGACTCCGGCTCGTGGGCCGCGTTTTACACCAAGGGCGAGACCATCGTCGCCGTGGCTACGATGGGCAAGGACCCCGTCATGGTGCAGAGTGCCGAGCTGATGAATGTCGGCAAGATGCCCACCAAGAGCCAGCTGGTGGCCGGTGTGGATGTGCTGACCTTGGGTCCCCCGTGAACGTGTGGGGGGCGATACTAGTTGAATTGTATTACTTTGTGAATGATCTTATCGTGCTCGATATCTCGCAGATGATACTTATGACACATGTTCGATGCATTCTGTGATTATTTCTCCTTGTAACAGAGGGCTATATATGACGTTCTGGCTAGCATGTCACCAGTCTCCCCGCCAAAAGTCAACGTCTATACAACCTCAAGGCTCGCCGAGCTCTGCAGCTTGCTTTCCCTTCGTCGACCGTTCATTGAGAAGTGCAACGACTTCGGTCAATACACAAACGAACCCAAATTGCGTGCCACATCACTCGTCAACAAAAGCGTGCTTTTACGTCATTACAGCCAACTCCGTGCATCTCGAACGCGTCGTCTGCCTTCACACCCTATTCTACTTTTGACAACAGAAAAAAGCCGGTGGCTGGTGGAGGGTGTGTGTTGGTTTGGCCAACTACGTCGGCCTCCAGTCGTCGTGCGTCCACAGCCAACCAGTCTCCTGATGAGTGGATGAGGAACCTGAGCGGGGCTCGAAAGTGCCTGACGCGTGCCGTGAACGCGGACAGTTCTTCAGCCAGGCCAAGACATGGAAAAACAGAACCCACAATGCTGGACTAACACTGAAAACACGTTAACACTCAGCGCATTTTTAGCGAGTGAGCGGCCATTATTCTTCACGCTGCCCTGAAAACGTTCTAGCGCGCATTGCAAGGTCTTTAATTACTGATTTCCATTTTGTACCTGCAGGTATCTCCACGGCCAACTGCGCCTAGACAGTACCATTCCAGTACTAGTACCCATCAATCTCCCATTGGGTCCGGGCGCCATACCCGTCGTGTCTTCGATTGCCCTGCAGAGAGCCGCGATCCGGGCCTCGCCTTCCTACTTCGTACTGTCGCGATACTCCCCTGTGCTGCCTGCCCACCTTCCCTCCCACCCCTCCAACGTCGCGACGCTTTTCCGGTCCTCTTTTCCCTCAAACATAAGAAAACGACACCCTTACAATCTTTTTTGTCCGCGACGTCAGTGTCGTATCTTTCGTTGCATCTCACTCGTTTTCGAAGCGGCATCCGGCTGGTCGCAACCGGCAGACGGCATTACCCGTGCGATCTTGCGCCGTGGCCTTGCGCGCTCTCCGACCCAGACTCGGCAACGGTTTTTCTTGAGAACCTCGACAGAAACGACGACTCCAAGCCGATTTACGCTCTTCTCCTCCTCGGTCTCCTACAGCTACGGACGCAAGGACTTTCCTGATCAGACGCTTCTCGGACAGACAAAACACACCATGTGCTGGTCATCGCGGGTGCTTCTCGTCACGATCGCGAACTGACGCCTTTCGTCTTCATTCTCGTCTTTTTCGGCTTCTTGTCACCTACTTTCTACTTTTTCGTCTTTCTTTTCGGCCGTCCCACGGTTGTCCTCTGTGCCTATCCCATATACGCCGCACCACGAAACGGACATTGGTTTGAGCCTTCGCGTCTCTCATCGAGCGCAAGCCCGTCCCCGTCCAATCTTTTCACATTCCAGAGCGCTCGCCAATCTTTATCTACATTTTCGTCGTCCCCCGATCCATTGCGCCTGTCCTTCGCGATTGGCTGCCCCAGTATGCGGAGCCCCAATTTCCAAACTGCATTCCAGCCCGTCTTCCGGCAGCTATGGCAGACATGACGAGCCCGCACCCGCGGCGAGACCCTGAGAGCACGGCTGCCGGCTCTGGCCCTGTGTCTCGGTCCGGGACTTCAACACCACTTTCTCGTACCACCCAACAAGGCGCCCCCGACGGTGCGTTGCAGTGCTGCTGTGGACAGATTGGCTGCGTCTATTTGCAGCACAACTGCACGGTGCTGGAGAGCGTCGAGAATGACGTCCGTACAGCCGCCAAACTCGGTCAGGTAAGGGCTTCTCATATTTCCCACCCACGCCTCTCTTCCTCGCGCTTCTTCGCACCTCTTCGCGCCTTTTGCCTTGTGTTATTTTACACATCTTGTTTGCCCGTGGAGTTAAGCGTCTCCATCGCCATTCCTTCCATGTGTCTTCTGCCCTCGTGCCCAAGTGAAGCCATGTTTTGTCCCTCGCTACCAGGTTGCTGGAAACATGATCCGATCTCGAACGCGACCCTACCTTTGTCCTTCTCTCCTCTCTTCCTTCCTGTCCCTGGTTTCACATTTATTCTTGGCCTTCACATTTGTATTTTCTGTATTCTCCAATACATCCCCCAATCATGCACTGCGCATAACCAGCTGCTAACATACGACAGTCGCTCCTCGAACGCCACGAAGCGTACATGGCCGATGCCGAACGCGACCGTGCCGAGCTGTTCAAACGCATTGGCCAGCTTGAGATGGACAAAAAGGAGCTCGAGGCCGAAAATGCAAAGAAGATTCAAGAGAACCGGGCCCTGCTCGACCAGCTCGAGACCCTGAACACGACGGCATCGGACTCGGACACCCACATCAAGATGCTCGAGGCCTCGCTGCAGTCGTCCCAGCAAATCATCCGCCGCCTGGAGGGCGCCGCCGAGCGCGCGGAGGACATGGAACGCCACTTGGCCGTCCTCGAGGCTGAGCAGGCCACGCTCCAGAACAACCTCATCACGTCCGAGTCCGAGGCCCGATCCGCCGTCCAGCGCTGGAAGCGCGCCGAACGGGGCATCGCTGACCTGCAGTATCAGCTCGACGTGATGGAAAAAGAGTCTCGTGAAGAACAGGCACGCCACAAGGAGGTCATGGGCCGCATGGAACGCCAGCGCGCTGTCGAAAAGGAGCTGAATACGGCCGCCGGTCGCCTCAAGGGTGCCGCCGCTACGAAATCCCTGCACGATGCCAAAAGCAGCAATGGCGGCAGTGCAGTCGTTTCCCACTTTGTGCGCGACCTGCTGCAGGACAATGCGAATCTTCAGCTCGGTATGGCCGAGCTGCGCGACATGCTCATGACGTCCAACGACGAGATCCAAGCACTGCGCGACCAGCTCATGTACCACCAGCCACTAGTAGAGCACGATGCGAGCGCCGCATCCACATTGCGTGCCGAGCTGGAGACGGATGTTCTGCCCCAAAGTCCAGAGCCGTACGACGCGGGCGACAGGGGCCGGCACGATCTTCGTGATCCCAACGACGCACTAGAAGCCATTGACGCGTCGATCACGATATCCACTCCGTCCACACCACAGCCGGGGCACCATCAGCCATCATTGTCGCAGGAATTCCACATTCACCATCATCACTACCACGTCAACAGCAAGAAGGTGGACATGAAGAAACCCAAGAAGAAGCGCACTGGCCTGACGCCGACCGTCTTCACGCCGCCGTCAGCTACCTTGTCTACGCCTTCCACCCCCCTCTACCGGCCGTCTCTGCCGTCTCTGTCGGCTCTGCCATACCAGCAGGACGCCTTGTCTGCCACACCAGGCTCGAGCCCACCGACACGCCACTCCCACCACCTCAGTAGAGATTCGATTTCGACGGCCATGTCCGGCCCATCCAATCGGTGGTCCGTGTTCTCCGACCAGCCGTCCGACTTCAGCATGTCTTCGGTACCCAGCTCGCCGCGTACTGACCCGCGCAACTCTGTATTTGATCGCATGCTACTGTCGAATGCATCGATGCCCGTGTCTCCGACAACAAGTGTGGATCCACTGTCTCCGACTTGGCGCTCGTCTAGTCGCATGCCCAGCCTTGACGAAAACCAGATGGCGTGCGGATTCCCTCAACCGCTCTCTTTCTCGTCGCCGGCTCCATCGGATCAGCCAGCGCAACCGCTACCTCAGCTACCTGAACCGATCATGGAAGACGAAGAATACGCTGTCTCTGCTGAGGACCATGACGTGGCTGCCGCAGTGCATGACGAAGCGCAGTCGGACACAGGTCACAGTATCGACGACGTGCCCGACTTTGCATCGCACGCAACTGGCACTGCCGACGAATCGGCCCCGTCGGAAGCAGAAGCGACGACGCCGAAGCCGACCCAGCCTTTGTCGTTCCCAAACGACGATGACGTGGTAGAACCCGTCGAGGACGAAGACGTCCACTTTGCGCTTCCCAGCCGGCATCACCGGCCACTGCATCGTGCCGTGTCCCACGAGTCCATCATCTCCTTGCAGGGCGGCCTCGATATCCACACCCTCAAGACACGACCGAGCCAGCTCACTCTTCGTCCGCTGGGCACGGCCATGGCCGACACGGGGCTCAGCTCCATCACGGCCCGTCCTGTGATCGCCCGCGCCGGCCCAGAAACGCTGAAGAGCAACAACATGCTACGAGGCAACCTTTCTCTCGGCGTTCCGGCATCCCGCACGTCTCGCGTTGTGTCCAGCCCGGTCACGGCAGCCACCACGTCTGCCAGCGCCTCGTTGTCGACCGTATCCCAGGCAGCTGCCACCCTCTCTGGCGCTCGTAAACTGGGCAAGTATGTCGGCTGGCGGCCATGGGGTGGCGGTGGCACAACCACGACGACGGCGGCATCCGCAGCGGCACCAGCCACCCAAGTGGCCACGCTCGCGACTACAGCCGCTGCTGTAGCCACGCCGGCGATTGCGACCACGACGACGGCGATGACAATCGCCCCGACAGGGTCCGAGCCCATGCCCGGTGCGTCACAGGCGGATTCGATCGTGTCAGGCACGGGTGCGCCGGAAACGACAAGATCCGCGACGCCCATCGCGACGGCAGTAGATGTTCCCGGAAGGAACAGCAGCAGAGGCCTTTCCAGCGCCAAGAGCACGGTCCACGCAAAGAGCGCCGCCACCAAGGCCATGCACGATCTCAGTGTGCTGCGCTCGCCCGGGATCAACCAGCCAGGCGCCATCCCGGGCTTCTTTGAATACTGGGCATCCCACCAGCGCCGTGGCGTGCCCAGCAACGTGCACGCGGATGTGGTCGATGAAGAGGCCTTGCGGGAAGGTCTGCTTGGGACATAGTCTGGTCGCATCTCTTGTTTTTTTTCATTTGTTTGATTTCATCATCTACTCTTTATCGGCGTTAGTTTCCGGGCTGCAATAGTTGGAGGAGCACAGACATTCCAATTTCCTTTGTCGAATTTCCCGTTGATCCTTACCTTCATATCATTTTTTCTTCTTTTCTCCTTTGTCGACACATCATATGCATCGTGTCAGAAACTCATTTTGCATTGGATATACCCACTACTTTTCCTACAAACATTTGTATCTTCGGTGCATCACCTGGGGAGTTGTATTTGTTTTTACGGCTTATCTGCGCTTTGTATTTTACGTTTTCTGCCATTCTGCTGGTCGGTGTTTTGACCATATATGTTTGTACCATATTCGATTGAAACAGCATATCTACAACATATCTACTATCACTCGATCCAACCACGTCTCCTATTGTGTACTATTTTCGGCAATGCACGCAAAACCTCCCGCGAAAGTCTTGTTTGGCCTCAACAAGGGCGGAAATGTCTGATTGTTTCAAAACGGGACTACACATCCGCACCAAAAGTGAGTTATCACAGACATGGTCTACAACACTGACATGAAGCTCTTCACAGTGCTATGTTCTTGTGACATCTCACCAGATACCTCCAAATACCGTTATGAAATTCAACAAGAAAGGCGGTGGGGACAACATGAAGCTGGAAACATGAAACAAACTTGCTCCGAGCATTTACACCAGTCACGGATGACAAGTACCTCCAGATTGTGTCTTTCTTTTTTATTCTCATGGTATACATATAAGAGACCGTGACGCCGTCTGGGTAGATGTTCGTTAGTCTGTCTTCAGCTTCTTCATTCCATCCTCCAGCAACCAAATATCTCAATCAATACCGACTTTGTGGCCATGCCTCCTTCTCCTCTTGCTCGGAATGCTACGTTCGTTGCAAATACGATTGCAAACAAACAGGACGAGCGTTTGAATGTCGCAGACGAGAAACGCCACGAGAACGTGATACCATCCAACCTTTTCCCCACCATCCAGCCCACGCCCACTTCGACCACACTGCCTTCGTCGTCACTCGTTTATTATCCAGAGCCGCCCGCCGGAGGCCTGCTGGGCTCCGGTCCAACCGACGGCCATACGGGCGTGGTCATTGGAGTCTCCTGCGGCCTTCTGGGCGTCTGTCTGATGGCGGTGGCCTACGGCTTCACCATGCACGTCCAGCGCATGAGAAAAATTCGTGCGCGCAACACGTCTCGGACCATCCACGACACCTTCCGGCTGCAGGCCATGGGTGCCCAGCATCACCATCGGCAACAGAACGTGCAAGAGGAACTGGCCCAGCAGCGCCAGCAGGAACGGCAAGCACCCACTGCGCCATCGTCGTTCTCGCAGTGGACGCCACAGAATACACAGGGGCAACCGCGCGAGAGCGTGGAGGAGCAGCTTGATGATGCTATGGAGATGGCCCGGCACTGGAAAACATAGTCAAGACGAGCTCGCACCACTCAAGGAAGGGGGTATAGCAAGACAAGGCTGGTAAAGGTGCCGGTGTAGATAGATACTCATATAATTTGCTATGGTAGAACAACAAAGGTCGACAAGTTTTCAGCCTACAACACGTATTGTTTACAAAATCAGTGGTGTCAACAGGCGTTTTGGCAAAAAAGGCACACAGGCGCAACCGACGATCTGACATCGTCAAGAGGACAACGACTTTGCCAGACATCACAGCGTGTTTAGGCGATGATGGCGATGGCTATGGTATCCAATGTTCATACTCACACGGCTTCGACGGTTGCCATCGGAGCTAGCCTGCGAGAATCGGCAATGCGCCCTTTTGTCGATGAAACAAATGACCAGCGCCGTGTAAGACATAGACGCCTTTGCCGGAGCTCATGGTTTTGCCCCTATTTGTTTCTTTTGCCGCTGTCGCCTGGTCTGCCTGTCCTGTTTTGCCCCCAGAGCCTTGGCTAGTGACGCAGGGCCAATGGTGGAGCGGGGCTCCATGCCAGGCAGCTACGGCGGGCTAGGCTGTTGTACCATTACGTCGGTGTAGCCTGCGGCTGAGGCCAATACCCCGCGAAAGCTTGCCTTCAGCAGCCACCAGCGCTGCGCATAAAGAGCTGTGGCATTTGTTTGCTTCATTTCTTCGGAGCATTTTCCCGGTTGTACTCTTTTCCCCTTCGCAAGCACTTGTTTTCACAACACAGTACCGCAGATTGACCACGAGACCGCTTCCAGATCACTTGCTGCACCTCATCGCAGCTATGGCGTGCCCTCATCTGGCCTCGATAAGTACGGCTTGCTTGCTTCGGTCCCCGAAGTAGAGAGACTAAAGACTGAAGCTCACATTACTAACACGTTCGCCGTTGCTCGTCGTCTAGGCCTTCGACCTCCTACACCCGCTCAGTCCGTCTACCGTGAGGATTGCACAGAATGCTTTGACTCGATTGTACGTCCAGCACCGAGAATTGTGTTGTCCGCCGGGCACCCACTAACGACTTGCTAACCACCGCCCTGGTCCTCGCACAGGATGACCCCGATGGCCTTGATGTCTGCCTGCAGTGCTTCAACGGCGGCTGCACGGGCGACCGGCACCATGCCAAGATGCACAACATTGTCTGGAAGCACCCCTTGGCGCTGAACATTCGCCGGACGCGCAAGGTGGTCGTGCGCGACGAGCCGCCCCCGAAGATGTCGAAGCTCGCCATCGCCGCCGAGACCGAAGACGACCGCTACGACACGGCCGTCGCCGTCAAGTGCTTCGAATGCGACGTGGCTCTGGACAAGACCGACCCGAAACTGGCGCCCGTTGTCGACGGAATCCTCAAGGCCAACACATTCTCGCGCAAGGAAGAAGTCAAGGCCTGGGAGCAGGAGCTGGTCTCGTGCGAGCACATCCGCTCTCTGCGGCAAGAGGCAGCGCGCACGATCGCATCGCAGGACCTCGGCCACTGCTCGCTGTGCGAGCTCAACGAGAATCTGTGGCTGTGCCTGCAGTGCGGCAACCTGGGCTGCGGCCGCGCGCAGTTCGGCGGCGTCGGCGGCAACTCGCACGGCCTGGCACACGCCACTGCGTCGGGCCACGGCGTGGCCGTCAAGCTGGGCTCGATCACGCCCGAGGGCCATGCCGACGTCTACTGCTACACGTGTGACGACGAGCGCATTGACGACAAGCTCGGCGACCACCTGGCCCACTGGGGCATCGTCCTGGCCGATCGCCAGAAGACAGAGAAGAGCCTGACGGAGATGCAGATTGATCAGAACCTGCGCTGGGAGTTTACGATGACGACCGAGGACGGCAAGGAGCTGCGGCCGCTGTTTGGCAAGGGCCTGACGGGCCTCAAGAACCTCGGCAACAGCTGCTACCTGGCCAGCATCCTGCAGTGCCTGTACGATCTGCCGTCGTTCCAGAAGCGCTATGGCGCCATCAACCAGGACATGGTTGGCATTCGCGATCCGGCCGACGACCTGGAAACACAGCTGCGCAAAGTGGGGGACGGTCTGTTGTCAGGCCGCTACTCGAAGCCGGACGCCGACGCGTCCGCCAGCACAGGCGACGATGCCGTCGTGCCGCACCAGAAGGGCCTGGAGCCGGCCATGCTCAAGCATCTGGTGGGCCGCGGCCACGAAGAGTTTTCGACCATGCGGCAGCAGGACGCGTTTGAGCTTCTGCAGCACCTGGTCAAGCTCATCACGCGGTCCAAACACCCGACGCCGGCCGACGATCCGACGGTGCCGTTCCGCTTCACGCTCGAGCAGCGCCTGCAGTGCCTCAGCTGCAAGAAGGTCCGGTACACCTCGAACGAGCAAGACAGCATCTTCATCGACGTGCCGCTGGAGAAGCTGCCGGCCGGCGACGGACCGGACGCAGCGGATGCCGAGTACAAGCCCGTCACTCTCAAGGACTGCCTCGACCGCTTCACGGGCGAAGAGACGGTCGAGCTGACGTGCGCAGCCTGCGGCAGCAAGGACGGGTACACCAAGCGGTCGCTCTTCAAGACGCTGCCCGACGTCTTTGTCGTCAACGCGCGCAAGATGACGCTGGTCAACTGGGTGCCCATCAAAGTCGACGTGCCCGTGCTTGTCGACGACGCGGCGTTCCCTCTTGACGGGTACTTGTCGCCGGGACAGCAACCGGGTGAGGAGCTCCTGCCCGAGGATGCCTCGACGGGGGGCGGCGCGCCCGCGTTTGTCGCCAATCCCGAGGCGGTCGCCCAGCTCGAGGGCATGGGCTTCCCCCTCGTGCGCTGCGAGAAGGCACTCTATGCGACAGGCAACAGTGACGCCAACGCGGCGATGGAGTGGCTGTTTGGCCACATGGAGGACCCGGACATTGACGAGCCTCTTGTGATTGACGCTGGTGCTGGTGGCGGTGGCGGTGGCGGTGGCGGCTCGGGTGGCGCAACAACGGCCGATCCCGAGAAGATGGAGATGCTCGGTGCCATGGGATTTGCCGAGCCGCAGGCCAAACAGGCGCTTCGCGAGACCGGCGGTGACGTTGAGCGGGCTGTTGAGTGGCTGTTCAGCCACCCCGAAGCCACGGGCGAGGACGACTCGGCCGCTGCAGAGGCCGCTAGCTCGTCCGCCGAGCGTCCCCCGGCGGGTACCAGCGAGACGCCCGCGAACTACCAGCTGCAGAGCATTGTGTGTCACAAGGGCACGAGCATCCATGCGGGCCATTACGTCGCGTTCATCCGCAAGAAGCTGGCGGAGGACAGCGACAAGGTGTCGTGGGTGCTCTTCAACGACGAAAAGGTGGTCGAGGTTGTGGACGTAGAGGAGATGAAGAAGTTTGCCTACATTTACTTTTTCAAGCGTGTGTAGATTGTTAGGCTTTGCATAGGAGTCAGGGGAGACATGGGAGACATGGTAGACCTATGATGCGGGCGTCATGGCATATTACGATTCAACGGAAAGCATACGATGGGGCGGGCGGTGCATCACAGGGATTGGCATGGAGCACGGAGTACGACGAGAAGCAGGGCAGCGTTTTTGAGGGCTGCTCTTGCAAGTAGGGTTGTGGCAAAACGTGCCCGATATATACTAGCCATACGAGATGTATGCAGATATGCAGATATGCAGACGAACGCAAGAAACCAGAATAGACAGTGTATTCCTTTAACGATTCAAACGCCGCGTGCCTTTTGTACTACAATGTAATGAAGAGATGCCACCCAAATCCCGTGATAATATCGCCCGCATAAAGAACACAAGAGCACTCCGTAGTCGTACAGCGTTTGCCGCATCGTCTCGCCTAATCCGCCAACCGGTAGCTCACGAGGGTGTCGACGCGGTGGCTGGATGTGCTGAAACCGCGCAGCTGCACACGCTCGCCATTGACAATCTCCTTGGCGTCGCTGTCGCCCCACTCCACGGGCACCTCGCTGTCGGCGTCGGCGTAGACGAGCACGTTGAACGTGCAGTCGCCGGCCAGCTGCGGCAAGAACGTCACGGACGCCGTGATCTGGCGGAAGATGGCCGCAATCTCGGCCTGGATCTCGGCCTCGGTCTTTTCCGGTGCGCTGTCCTGCGCTGTGCCGGCGTTCTCCTTGTTCGCGGACGGCACCACCGGTGCGGTCCCGTCGGCCTTCTCGGCCTTGTCCGCCTTGGACTTCTTCTTTTTGCCGCCGAAAATCTGGACGTCAAACTGCCATCGCTCGACATGCTCGCCCGTGTCCTTGTCGGTAATGACAAGCACCAGCTTGCTGATCTGGCCGCCGACCATCCAGCGGTCGAGCTGGCCCATGATCTTTTTAATGTATGCGCGGACCTGGTCGTCGGACGAGACTGCTTCTGTCAGCACCCCAAAGCCTACACCCAACACAAGAGTCCCCCTACAACTGCAAAACTACACAACGACACCTACCCAGCATGTTCAGTCCATATTTCTTGACGGCGGTAAAGTCTTCGGCCGGGTAGACGCCGCGCTGGAACCTGTCACGCGGGGATCAGTACAAACGTCGCAGGGCTAGGCTAGGGCGGTGTCGCGTGGCCGGTTCGGGGACCGTACAGGATGGAATGGATCGAGTATTGGAACTGTACGAGTGTCAGCGACTGTCTGGCGCCTTCTCCTCTCTGTCGCGACAAGCCGCTCCCGGCAAACGTACAAACTCAGACACCAGCTTCGCACTGCCTTTCAGGGACAGCTTGTGGACCTTGGACTTGTCCTTTTCCTTTTCTGCACTGGGCGCCATGGCGGGGGTGTATGTGTTCTGCGGCCGGCCGTCGGACGGAAGGTATCCTGTCAATCACACAGTCGTCGTCGTCGTCGTCGTTGGTGTCGCTGTCCACGCCGTAGTCGTGGCCGTCAAATCGTTTTCGTCGCTTGTCATTTGTTTACTTTGGTTGCTATGCTAGGTCGTGACGCGGGGTCAATTAATGACTCGCTTAGATACATTTGTGGTATGTGCATATTCTAGGCCCACTTTACTAACTGCAACCAAAAGATGCCAGCATAGTAACCTGCTTTGTTTTATTCCGCGACTTTGTCCCACTATTGTCGGCGACTCAAAGAATAAACCTCCGCGCACTGCTCTAATAACAAGGCAACTGCTCCACGATTCGGTTCGTATGGACATCGCATCGTTTTGGCACTGACAGCACCAAACGATAACGAGTAGAGCGAGATTCGGCCAGCGACGGGAAGAGTGGGTCTTGCCGATCCACTCCGCCAATTGCAACGGAACTTACAGTGTATGTCCAAATCGGGCTTCATTGAGCGACTGCGCCTTTACAAAGCCATCCCAAAAGCAGGTCCTCGTATGGTCTTGTACAACATACGTCGCAAAACACCGGACAGCCTAGGGCAGCGTTCCGTAACGACAGCAAAGCCAGCCATAAGGAGCGGCATTTATCGTAATTGGCGCCGCCTCTTAGTGCCTGATGAAGGAACTATTGGAATGCTCTAAAAATCGTGTCTAGAAAACGGCATTGACAAGCACCGATCGACCGATCCCAGCCCGCCATGGCCCCTCTCTTCCACCTCTCTGGTCCTCTCCAACAAGAAAGCAGAATTGGGCCGAGGCCCTCTGTCGTCAGTCTATAGAGAGTTGTCCCGGCTTACGACATACAAGCGCGGTCTTCTGTTCGAGTTGTCGCCGACTGTCACTCTTGGGACCGCTATGGATGTGAGGCAGAGCCGACCGTGCATTCGTCTTTTGCCCCGTAGAAGAATGGGATACAAGGCCGAGAATATATAAAAAGCGAGGGGATTCTCGACACCACGAGGGTAATGTGTGTCTGTTGTTCCCATCTCACGCATCAATCATTGACTTGAACATTCACGGCGTCGTTCCAGGAGAGAGCGACACAGCATTCAGCATCCAACATCACTCTTGATGGACAGCTTCACAGCCCTTCCCCCGCAATGACGGAACAAATTCCTGGCCCGGCAGGCTGGCCGTTCATTGGCAACCTGCTCGACGTCCAGGGCGAGGTGCCCATTCAAGCGATCGAGCACATCGCCGACATCTACGGGCCCATCATCAAGCTGTCCCTCGCCGGCAACGAGCGTCTGTTTGTGGGCGGCTTCGACATTTTCGACGAGCTCTGCGACGAGACGCGGTTCTACAAACTGCCGCCGCCCGCCCTCACGCAAAATGCGCGGCCCGGGGCCCGGGGCCTCTTTACGTCGCCGTCCGAGAAGGACGCCGACTGGGGCCAGGCACACCGCATCCTGATGCCGGCCTTTGGGCCGCTGGCCATCCAAAACATGTTTGACGAAATGTACGACATCGCCACGCAGATGGTCATGAAGTGGGCGCGCCTCGGCCCAGAGCCGCGGGTGCTGCTCACCGACGACTTTACGCGCCTGACGCTCGACACCATCGCCCTCTGCGCCATGGACTACCGCTTCAACTCGTTCTACTCGGACACCGTGCACCCGTACGTGCAGGCCATGACCAACACGCTGGCCGCCCGCAGCCAGTCCGGCCAGATCGGCCAGAAAATCAAAATGCTGCTGCTGCCGTCGTATGCCGCCTCGCTCAAGGCCGACGTCGCCTACATGGGCACGGTGGGCCGCGATCTGGTGCAGCACCGCCGCGACAACCCGACCGACAAGAAGGACCTGCTCAACAACATGGTCCACGGCAGAGACCCCAAAACGGGCGAGTCGATGCGGGACGAGCTGATTGCAGCAAATATGCAGACGTTTCTGGTGGCCGGTGGGTCGTTCCTTCCGCTGTCCTTTCCCCATTACGTTCTTAGTTCCTTCCTCTGACTGTCGCAGGACACGAAACGACGTCGGGCCTGCTCTCGTTCGCCTTCATGTACCTCCTCCTCAACCCAGCAACCTTCTTCGCCGCACAACAGGAGGTCGACCGCGTCCTCGGCACCCGCCGCATCGAGCCTCATGTCCTCAACGAGCTGCCCTACCTCAATGCCGTGCTGCGGGAGACGCTCCGTCTGTCGCCCACGGCACCCGGCTTTGCCCGTGGCGTGCGCCCGGAAAACAAGGAGGAGCACGTCACCGTCGCCGGCGGCAAATACGAGATCCCCCGGGGCGCCCCGGTGCTCTGTCTTCTGGGCAAAATCCAGCGCGACCCCAAGGTCTGGGGCGACGACGCCGGCCAGTTCCGCCCCGAGCGCATGCTCGACGAGAACTTTGCCAAGCTGCCCAAGAACGCGTGGAAGCCCTTTGGCACGGGTCTGCGGGCGTGCATTGGCCGTGCGTTTGCGTGGCAGGAGGCGCTGCTCGTGACGGCGCTGCTGCTACAAAACTTTACCATTTCGCTGGCCGACCCCAACTACCAGATGCAGGTCCAGCAGACGCTGACCATCAAGCCGAAGAACACCTACGTGCATGTCAAGCTGCGGCAGGGCATCGACGCAACGCAGCTGCTGCAGCGTCTCACAGGACGTCCAGCCACGCCGCCCAGATCCGTCAGCGGCGCGTCGTCGGCCCAAGCGACGAACGGCATCAACGGCACCAAAGACGGAGCGGCCACAGCCGACGGCCCGACGCTGGCCATCTTGTACGGCTCCAACACAGGCACCTGCCAGTCGCTTGCGCAGTCTCTTGCTGTCGAGGCCGGCCAGCGCGGCTACAGGGCAACGGTCCACGACCTCGACTCCGCCGTCGAGCATGTCCCCAAGGGCCCCAACACGACCGCTGTGATCATCACGGCCTCGTACGAGGGCCAGCCGCCGGACAATGCCGCCCGCTTCTTTGCGTGGCTGGAGCGTGTCGAGGCCAAGGATGCCTTGGACGGCTCCCGCTTTGCCGTCTTTGGCTGTGGCCACGTCGACTGGGCCTCGACCTACCAGCGGATCCCGACACGCATCGATGCGCTGCTGGAAGAAAATGGCGCCACACGGGTGGCCGCGCGCGGCGCGTCGGATGCCTCCCAGCGCGACATGTTTGGTGATTTTGCCAAATGGGCGGACAACGTGCTGTGGAAAGCCTTGCCCAGTGCCGAGGACGCAGCCACCGCCATGGGCGACAAAAAGGTCCACATCCCCACGATGGACATGGACGTCTCGACCGAGCAGCGCGAGACACACCTGCAGCAAAAGCTCTTCTGGGCCAAGGTCACGGCCGCCCGGAGCCTTACGGCACCCGGCCAGCCCGAGAAGCGCCATATTGAGTTTCAACTGCCATCCGACATGACCTACCAGACGGGCGACTACCTCGCCGTGCTGCCGCTCAACCCGGACGACGTCGTGCGCCGCGTGATCCAACGCTTCCGCCAGCCCTGGGACGCCGTCGTCACCATCAAACGCGGTGCGCCCACAACGCTACCAACAGACACGCCCGTTGCCCTGGCCGAGCTGCTGCGCGGATACGTCGAGCTGGCACTGCCGGCAACGCGCAGAGACATCGAGGTGCTGCTCGAGCTCGCCAAGCACGGCGAAGGTGTCGATGCCCGTAACGAGGCAGAAAGACTGGGCGCCCTGCTCAGCGACCCATCCGCCTTTGGCACCACTGTGATCGAGCACCGCACCAGTCTTCTGGACTTGCTCGAGCAGAACCCCAGCGTCGGCCTGCCGCTCGCCAGTTTCTTGGCCATGCTGCCGCCCCTGCGTGCCCGTCACTACTCGATTGCCTCGTCGCCGCTGGCGAGCCCAGACTCGTGTGCCCTCTGCTACAGCGTCATTGACGAGCCTACATGGGTGGCAGATGCCAACGGCCGTGGTGCGTCCCCAGACAAGGCGGCGACGCCCCCGCGCATGTTTCGCGGTGTCACTGGCGCCTACCTCAAGTCCTTGCAGCCCGGCGACCAGGCCCTCGTCGCCGTCCGCGCCACCAACCATGTCTTCCGCCTCCCTGCCGACCCGGAAACGACCCCTCTCCTCCTGTTCTGTGCCGGCTCCGGCTTCGCGCCCTTCCGCGGCTTCTTGCAGGAACGCGCGGTCCAGATCCGCGACGGCAACCGGTCTTTAGCGCCTGCTGTCCTCTTTGTTGGCTGCCGCCGCCCGGACGCCGACCGCCTCTACGCCGACGAGGTCGACGCCTGGGCCCGCGACGGCGTCGTCGACGTGCGCTACGCCTTCTCCCAGGCGCCCACGGACCCGCGCGCCGCCGGCTGCCGCTACGTGCCCGAACGCCTGCTGCACGACAAGGATATTGTCGTCGCCCAGTGGAAGGCCGGCGCCAAGGTGTACACCTGCGGCAGCGGCCAGGTGGCCAAGGACCTGGGCGCCGCGGCGCGCAAAATGATTGTGGAGCGGGCGCGCGAGGGGGTTGTGGCAGGCGAGGAGGGGGTGGTCGGGATGACGGAAGAAGACGCAGCGGCGTGGATGCAGCAGCGCCACAACGAGAGGTTTGTGACGGATGTCTTTACCTGAGCGGTGGCGACCGGAAGGACTCTGTAAGTCGGCGCGGATTTTCGGTGGTCGCTGTCGGTTTTGTTGTATTTATTCTTTTATTTTTATAAAAAAAAATGCAAATTGCAGAATTCTTGCTGAAGTAATTAAGACAGCAAGGAAAATGAAATTAATGAGAAAATAAACAAACCACCATCGTCAAAGCGTCACAGAAACGGACACTCAGTCATGTAAACCTGGAATCAGTATCGTCAGAAACTATCAAATTCGAAAACACCGCCTTAACAGCGCAGACACTAAGCCACGTCGTAGTCTATCATAGCTCTCAGTCATGGCCGGAAGGGCGCAGCCAAAATGCATCTAGTCGACGGGATATGGAGGATGAAAAGAAAGTAGCCTTCCAGTGAGGCGCAACTAAAAAGAACAAAAACAAAACATCCCTTACTCCACTAAAATGCAATCCCTGTCTGCGCTATCCTACACACTCATCGTAAAGTCGTGCTCAATGCTGGGTGTGACGCTGGCAATGAACTGTCGTGAAAGGTTAGACAATGATTCCAAGAGAAGGGGCACCGCATCAAACAGGGGTGCCGGTCTCTTACCTTTAAAAACACCACCAGGTATTGATCTACCCGGATAGCCACCTCGCCATCGTCTAGGTCGGCCTGCACCTCTTCCCACTCGTCCGATGAGCCGGCACCGCCCGACGGCGGTGCTGCATCCGACTTGCCGCTGCTTCCGCCGCTTCCGCCGCCACCAATGTCCAGGTTCTTTGTGCCGTCGACCAGGCCCTCGAGACCGGACACGTTCCCGCCGCGCTGCCCCGCCAGCTTCTCGCGCCGCCGCTTCAGGGCACCGTCGGCCCGGTCGAGCAGCACCTTCATGACGGGCGCGTGCTTGCACGGGTGGACGCTGGCCATCTTGGTGCTGTGGGCGAAGAAGGGGAAGTCCTCGAGCGTGACCGTCTTGTCCTTGTAGTCGCCGACAATGTCGTCCATCATGAGGTGCGGCGGCAGCGGCTGGCCGCTGGGGAGGTAGCCCGACAGGTAGAGGCGCGGTGTCCGGTAGTACGGCGAGTACATAATGTACATGGTGTACGAGCGGTTGCCGCTGGCCACATGTTAGCAGGAAAGCAGGGACGTTGTACGGACACGGGGGGGGGGGTACTTTGGCAACTCACTTCTTGGGATCGGTCGGCTCCGGGATGATGGCCTCGTCGTCTTCCTCCTCCATGTCGGGGATATCGTCGTCGTCGTCGTCGTCGTCAACCTCGTCGAGCTGGTCAGACGAGCCAGCCGCGGCCTGTGACGACTTGTTCCACGCGTCGTCCTTTGGTGCATCACCACCGGCCCTGCTGCTGGCACCGCCACCGCCACCGCCGCCGGTCCGCAGCCAGCCGTCCTCGTCATCGTCGCCGTTGCCCTTGCCACCGGCGCCGCTCCCCTCCACGACATCGTCGAACCCGCTGCCGGCCGCGCTCGCAAAGGTCTCGTCCAGCCGCCGGTGGCACGGCACGTTGCGCGTCACCAGAAACTGCTTGCCTGGCGGCAGGTGGGCCGAGCGGCGGCTGGCCGGTTCGGCATCGGCCCACGACCAGGTGGGGAACTTGTAGACGAGGTAGTCACCGGCGGCCACAAACTCTTCGGGGGTGATCTCGCCAGTGTTGCGGAACGTCGACGTGTGCTTGGCCGGCGTGTAGCGGTCGCGCAGCGTGTTGACGGTGGAGTAGAGGATGTTCATCGTGGCGGTTGTCGGGGCGGCGTTGTGTGGATGGTTCGGTTTGGCCGCTCGTTCGTCAGTTCAAATGTCTGCCTGTGATGAGCGAGTTGCCGCCGCTATCGATGTCGCCCTTCTGTTGGAAGACTCGACCACTTGGAAATACAGATCTCGCTTGTCAAGTCGTTGGTGCTGATAACGAGGATTACTTGCTATGATGGCGTCGAGTTTCTATTCAAACATGCGGAAAGGAGCACAGTTATGAAGCGTCAAAAGAACAAGAAGCACGCAAAAGGCAAAAGACCAGGTGGCGATGTGGTCAAATAGACATTGAATGGCGGAAGACGGAGAAGAATGGAGAGGAGCAGGAGACAGGCCGTGAATGACAACCCTCCAGGCAGACGGGGCGGTTTGTCGGCCTGACCAGGCTGCTGGTTTCAGAGCATTTCGCCCTCCAAAGAGGCGCGCGCACCCTGTCACATGGCGGGGTTCACGGGGCACGACTGGCTAAGCTCGCCCCTAATTGCCTTACAACCCCACCTAGGCAGAGGAAACGGTAGTGAGGGCAGCTCAGATGGACCCACGCACAGCTCTTATCGGACGCCACGTGATCCGGCCTGGCGCCTGGATAACGTCATAACGTCAACAAGGCGCGAAGCCCGATGGCTTCACTCAGTGCAGTCGTCGATCACAACAATGTTTCCATATTTGCCAAGGCTGTTCGGGTAAGTTTTCAAGTTGAATATATGTTTGTATAAAGGTCGTCACTCGTCTACTATATAAATGTTACGTAATGCCTACCTAATGCCCATGATGAATGCGCCGCGATGAAAACAATAAAAGAAAAATGATAATGAGAAACAACAGTAAAAGGATCACGATCGTACCAAGGCAGTCAAAGGCTGCCGCATTCCCTCCATGAAACACAAAACGCATTGGATCTTGATGGGTATTATCATCCCTCCCCTCCCCAACCGCAACCATTATGAAGTCCGGGAACCTTCAGCTCCCGGTGCAGGAATCAAAATGCCCGCTTGCTATTCCCAACAGATCGCACCGTCACAAAAAAAGAAGCAGAAAAGTTGGAGTAAAACAGCCCCGGAAAGCAAGGCCGTAAAGCAATGTCAACGAGAGACAGTCCCATGTAGGAAGCGATGTTGCTCGCTCGCTAGTATCACATCTGGTGCATCTCCTGGCACGGTGGCAAGTCGAGAGACCTGCAGTATTGCAGAAACTTTGGGTTGATCTTGTAGTAGCTGACCGTCGAGTCATGGTTGCAGCAGGGCGAGCGGCGGAACGGCAGCAGCCACCCGAGCGGGTTGGCGCCCATGACCGACACCCAGTTGCCGCGCCAGCCCAGGTCCCACACGTGCATGCCCTTGGGCACGGGCACAATGGCAAAAGAACGGAAGGCCAGCAGATCACGGGCGTCGAGAGCATCCCGGGCCTGGCGGCGCGCTGCACGGGCTTCGCGGTTGACCTTGAATGGGTTGGGCTCGTCGGTGGGTGCGGCAGCCGCCGGTTCAGTCGGGCCCGCCGTGTTGGGCATCGCCACACCGCCTGTTTGCGGGGAATGATACGTCAGGCCGTACCTGAGCAGCTCCGGGTCTTTGGGCAGAGGATACGTGACGACATTGTAGCGCCCGACGACCGGCGCCGAGCCCTGCCGGATACGGACCGCCATCATCTTGACCCGGTCCTTCAGTTGATGGCTTTCAACGGTCGTCAGGTTGCGCATCACAAAGTTAAAGCACGTGAAAAACATGCCAAACGAAAACAGGCCGAGCACGGCGGCCAAGGCCAGCGCGGCTATGGTGCGGCCGTCCGAGCCCAGGCCGCGTTTGTTTCGCTCCGACATGGCGGCTGCACAGGTGCCGACAGTCAGTGCGCAGAGAAGCGTCGCGTAGAACGTGAACTGGATGAAGAGTTTAAATGCTGCAGGCCAGGGTTAGCGGATTGGGATATGTCGAAGCGACGCAACACGCAAGAGGGCCGACACGTACTTGTCTCGGACACAATGCCGCCCACCCAGGGGCAGAAATGGTCCATTTTGAGGACGCAACGGCCGATTTCCGAGCAGTGGTGGGCGCGGTCCGGCTTCCACGTGCCGCAGGGACTGCACCAAATGGGGCGGCCGTCCGCAGTGCACTCAAACATATCTTTCGTATAGAACGTCTCGAGTCCGGGGCTGTCCGGATCAAGCCGGGGATCGTGGACGGCTGGTGCATTGGTGTCCTCATAATTCGAACCAATACCACCATTCCGATGCGTGTGGGCACGACCAGCCTCGATGTCAACGTTGTCATTGTCGCTGCCAAGAGCCGCCGTCTTGTTGGCCAGGCCGCTCCGCCTGCCGCCAGCGGCGCCCCGCTTGCCGCCGAAACTAGCACGGAGGTCGGCCCAAGCTGCAGCCATGTCGCCGCGGGCGCGTGGCCCTCCATACGAGGCCGACGCCGCTTTGGCTTTGATGTTGTGGTAGTTGCGTGCCGATTCGGGACCCAACGCAACGACGCCAGGGTCGGTCTGAATTGTCGTAAAGAGGCGGATGTAGGTGAGCACCATCAGTGCGGCAATGACGGAGTAGGTGACGACAAGGCCGATGGCGACGTCATGCTTTTCAAAAACGTTGTAGTATTGCTTCACTGCAAGGGAATTCGCTGGGTTAGTGAACGCCATCATTCGCATGCGTACAGGAGGCAGCTCGGAAGAAACGGACTGAGGACATAGTCGGCAACCGCGTAGAGCACATAGGCAACGCTGAGGGTGAGGAAACCCGGAATGATCAGAGCCATGACGCGCACGGTCGGGTTAATACTGTGGACATGGCCGGGGCGACTGGCGCGACCGGCGCGACCGGCGCCTCGGAGGGCCGGCGCCATTGTGCTCGGTGGGTTTTCGGTTGGCGAGTTTCTTGTCAATCGGATTGCTGACTGTCGCTTTGGGGACTTCGCGGGCACGCGCGGGAAAGAAGCCGCCGAAAAGTCGCCGGCAACTCGAGATAGGCCAGGAAAGGAGATAATCAAATACGAGAGATTGAGCAGACAACAGGTAGCAAAGGAGAATCAAGGAGGGCGTTCGACTGTCGACCGTTGCGATGCGCAGGCGAGGATCGCTTTCTGGGACCGAGGTGTAGCTATGCTGCGAGATCTGTCGCCGGTGTCTCGAGCGACAGCATCGTCGTCGTCAATGAGGACGAAAAGAAGAGGCAAGGTCGGACGCGTCGCTGCCCTCTTTTATCGAGATTTCGACGAGGGGGGTGGGTTGCGCCTGCCGACTCTGCGAAAAAGTAGGCCGCGATGGGAAATGAGAAGTGCAAACGGAATTTGCGAAAGCGAGGAAAGACGGGAAGGAGCAGGCGGTCTGGGCGGCTGCTTGACTGCGCGCGGCTGCCCAAGGAGCCAAGGTCTTCTCGTTTTCGTCACTGTGCGTCGCAAAAGCGGGTCACGCTGCCCCCAAGTTCGCTAGTTCCTGGTCTGGGCTTCAACCAAGAACACTCTGCAAAAGACCACGATGTGATCTTAACGCATATGAAATCTACGGGGAGCCTCTATGGGGAGCCTATCTGATACACTCAATATGCATTTGGATGTGTGAACGACCAAGTATTTGGGTTAAGACCAGAGGAGGACCACTTGCCATCTTAGACGCTGTCACGCGGCAAGGAATCCCGAGTCCTCGCTGCTCGAGTCGAGTTGCGACCTGGGGCTGAACCTCTCAGAAGTAATTACTCTGCAGTGTTTGGCATTGTGTAACAGTTAGGCAGGAAATGGGATGGAATGGGTGCCTCCGTGTCTGGCTTAAGACCTTATGGTTGGTTGTCCTTCGAGCTAATGCATGTAGTGTCCCGAGCAAAAAGCAAACAGAAAACACGAGTGTTTGCTGGGCATGAACGACATTCGCACGGTCACATAAATCAATTAGATTTTATTACAAGACGATTAAAAAGTAAGGAGAGAGCGCTACTTACAAAGCAAAGTTCGTCGCACCGAATTCGTCGCACCGGAAAGTGTAAGGGGGCATGTCGATCTGTTTGACAGTTGTAAACAAAGAGGCTTGACGGTGCATCGCGGCCCAGTCACCACGCTTTGCCACTCCCCAACATAGCCAAAGCACGATCGTGGGCATCGAAACTGGTCCATGAGGCTGATGAGTCTCATGGGGCTCAATTTTTAGTGAGTGAAGGTGCACTTTCGAGACAGGAATAATGAGTAGTCGCCTATCCAGCTGTCTGCATATTCGCCTCTGCTCTCGTTTCTTTCTCTTCTCACTCTTTCCGCCGCTTTGGAGCTTATTGCAGACCGCTTCTTTCGAGGAAGAAGAAGGCAAGAGAGAAGCCGAGCGAGACCAGGGAGCACGTCTTTTTTGTGCCTCTGAAATGTGCCATAGAACGGGTAGATGCATTTTTGGCCCTATTCTGAACTGCAGTCCTGCCCCTGCATAACTCGGGCAAGTAAATCGATAGGAGCAGCCTGCTTAGCACTATTTTCTCTTTTCGTGTTCAGTTATTTCAGCAAAGGCCGCGGAGGCCACCGCTTCTTTTCGGTACACGTGCTCAAAACGCTATGCAGGCCACGGAGGTTTGTGAAAAAAGTGATACATGACTACATGTCGCGGAGCACACGACAATATGGTTCGCAGAATGCATTGTACCTTGTTTGCCGGCTAGCGTGTAGGACAAGTTGTGCATATTTATTTCTATTGCGGTCTGCCAGACTCGACATATATCCTCAGGCAATGACACGCATAAAGAACGGCATGAGTGTCTGAGGCTCAAAAAGTGCAAATAAACTAGTGGATGGAGACGACGGGAACAATGCTAAAGTGGAAAATGTGAGTAAATGAAAAAACTTCAGCTTGCATTGGAGCCTTTGAGGGGAAAGAAGGAAAAGAATGGGTATTGTTTCCTTCGGCCTTGTCGTCTGTGCGCCCTCGGATACGTCACAAGGCGGTCGTCGACAAGGCGTCTTGAAGGCAACGAGAAGGCACTGGAAGGAAGCGGCCAAGTTGTGCCAGACGCCTCCGGCTCCGAAATTCTTCAGCCTCTTCACTTTTGCAGACCTTATTCAGCCTTGCTTTTCGCCTTGTAGGAACAGTGTAGATTTTCCTTTCAGTCCCCCCCCCCCGCCCCGGCATCATGACATGAAGAGCAGACTGAACGCCGAGAGCTTCTCTCCGCCTTGACAAGGCCACAAGAATTCGTCACAAGGCTTTGATGAGCGGCTTCGCCGGTCTATCCGTCTGGCACGAAGGCTCCTTCTGTGCCCTGTCGACGCGCCTTTCGACACAACGAGCACGGCCGCCATCACGACATGCTGGCCAGAAAGCATTTTGTGATTATTTCTGGTCTTTTGTTGTCATAATGCAAACCCACGTACCGGGTTCGCAAAACCTGTCCGTCGTATATAAAAGTGGTATGGACATATCTCCTCCCAAAGCCAAAACCGCCGTGATAGCCAGATATTAACAGCATCACCATTTCTTGCCTCCAATTTCGGTTTTAGGCACACTCGTCAGCCGTGCTACGATTACAAGCTCAAAACTACTCAACATCAAGCAAAAGTTGCCAACTACACTGAAAATCATGGCCGTCACGGAGCTTTTCGAACTGGTCTCGTTTGCCAACTTCGTGTGGAAATGCGTGAGTGATCCCATTTTGTTCCAATTTTATGACCTCCCATTTGTATTTTGAGACATTCATTTTGAGCTTCTAACACGTCTCCGCCCATCTCAAGCACCGCTGTTGCAAAACTTGCAACCTCGCAGCCACCAATTCCTCTTGTCCCGAGTGCAGCCATGTTTGTTGCAACCAGTGCGAGAAAGAGAAGGTGGCTTAACATGGTACAGCAGCATGTATCGTGACAGAATGTGTGGATCTGGGAAATATTGGGGCGAAATGAGGAGGTTGAGGTCGTCTCATTTTTGTGCTTTTTTATGGTGTTTTAAGTACTATAGTTTACATAGATGTCAGTGAAATTCATGCATTTAACACAGCCTCCCTGTGTCTATTTGTGCGCTTTTTTATATTGATATTTACCTCAAGAAGCAAATAATATTTTGAAATAAAATTCAACAAGCCAGTATTTATGTGGAAATGTTTAACATTACATGTGTTAATAAAACTGTCTTTTAAATACCGATTACAGTTCCAAGCATAATTCAGTTCTCCAAAATAGCACAAAATAGACACCGTACTCATTTGGCTCGCATTTATGTCGATGTCTGAGTTGTGATGAGATGTCGTCGTATGAAACTCACGTGATAGCCATGACCTCGTAGGTGTGGAGATGACGGCCCCGCTGTTGGGTACCTACTTCGCTGAAGCTACCCCTCTAAAAGCCCCGCTGGAACGTCACCAAAAAGGCCGCTCCGAGCTCCGGCATATGCACTGCGCGGAAGCGATACGAGGGTCCCAGTCAGCGAGGACGGCTCCAGTTGCTGCGATCGACAGAAACGTCACTTACAGCTCTCGCTAACGTCACGGTCCACAACAGTGGCACAACAGCGGCACAGCAGCACAGCAGCACCTGAGCTCGCGTTCTTATGTCCTGGCCGGCCCATTGACTCCTCAGACTCCTTCTTCATCAGCCTTGCTACCGCGCTCGTCGTTTCTTTCCAGGTTGTCTTGAAGCTTTCTCTTTCCTTTCCATGACCTGTCGCCTCTCACCGGCTCCGTTCGCCTCTTTTCTCCTCCTCTTCCGTCATGTCGGCACCGCGCCTCTTCATCATTCGCCATGGCGAGACCGAGTGGTCCCTCAACGGCCGCCATACAGGAACCAGCGATATTCCCTTGACGGCGAATGGTGAGAAGCGGATTCGCGCGACCGGCCATGCCATGGTCGGCCGCGATCGTCTGATTGTTCCCAAGACCCTGGCACACATGTAGGCTCATTTCCCCCCTTTGGCTGCGCTCTCATCTCTCCCCTCCCCCTTCGTCCTGCCTGCATTGCCCACTAACCACTTCCTTGCGGCCAGCTACGTCTCGCCCCGCAAGCGCGCACAGCGCACGTTTGAGCTCCTCAACTTGGGTCTGAACGAACCCCTGCCATGGCAGCAGCACGGCGACATCGACGAGGCGGACAGCAGCCGGGCGTGCAACGCGCGCGTGGAGGTGACGGAGGCGGTGCGCGAGTGGGACTATGGCGAGTACGAAGGCATCACGTCCAAGGAGATCCGGGCGCAGCGGGCGGCGCAGGGCATCGAGGGCCGGTGGGACATTTGGAAGGACGGATGCCCCGGTGGCGAGTCGCCGGACGACATTACGGCGCGGCTGGACCGGCTGATTGCCGAGATTCGGGAAAAGTACCATGTGCCTGCCCTCGACGCTAAGAACTCAAAGGACCTAAAGGACCCAAAAGACCCAACGATCGACAAGAAAGAGGCTTCCGCACCAAAAGGTGACGTCCTGATTGTGGCCCACGGACACATTCTGCGGGCGCTGGCCCTGCGATGGGCGGGCGCCGCACTACAAGATGGGCCGACGTTCCTGCTCGAGGCCGGCGGCGTTGGCACGTTGAGGTGAGTGTGGTTTCTGGGCGTGCTCCAGGAGACGTGCTTGGAGGACTCTTACTGAAAATGTGACCATTGCAGCTACGAGCACAACAGCATCGACGAGCCTGCGATTCTCCTTGGCGGCGCTTTCACGGTCGGCGATGACGAGCTGGAAAAGGCCTAGGGTGCCTTTTCAACGAACACAATGGAGAGCAGGATAGACGTCTGAAAATAGACAGAGTGGGAAGATGGCCATGAACACTGCTCGTCACCGGACACTACACGGAACATTGCACGATGGGGCGCTGTGGCCGAGCCTTGACGACCAGCTTATACAAGACTATAGAATGCACTCCTCGCGAGACTCAAACGCTTCGGACATACATACTAGATCCTGACCTGAGATGCTCGGTCGCTAACAAAGGGGACAGACCTTCAGGAAGGATGCATCTACTATTCCTGAGCTTATCTGATAGAGTGGACTACGTTGCGTCTCTGCTCCAGGCTGGCCTATATTCTTGCTGTTGGCACGACTTCGGGGGGACGAAGGTCGTCGCCGCATTGGTCCCACAGAGCGTATTGCTGTTACACAGCCTTACTCAGAAAGCGCACACATATGTTGGGACAGCAACGAGCTCAATATGTTCTATTGTGAGCCGATATCAAAGAGGGACCGTAGCCGAAGGCTGGTTTGCCGCTGCGTCTGTGTGGGCACGTCCTCGTTTGCGTCTTTGCGTACAAAATTAGACTCGACGTTCGTTTGCGCTTGACGTGGCTGCCGGCCAGGACTTTGTCGGTATTGGTGCCACGTCAACTTCGGCCAGCGTGCATCGTTTGTATGTTGCACAAGAGCACACACCATCAACAGCCCATTCGTCGAGACAGTCTCGCCAAGATCTGGTTCCGGTTTTTCTCGTGAGGTCTTCGTGGACGCTGTTGAAGTCGTTGAAACGGTTGGCAGCGGCACAAACGGCAGCTCGACGCCCCTGTTGGCGCCTAGCATGTCTGCGGATGCTTTTGTTTTGCTTGGCTCCGAATTCTTTGTACGACGCTCGCGTCCAACGAAACCTCGCATCCTCACATCCTTGAATCTTTCCCCTTTTGTCTTGCCTTTCTTTATTCTATTTTTGTTTCTCACCACTGGCCTCCACCGTCCTCCACTTTCTTTATGCGACGTCGTAAGGACGGCGAACGGAGCTGCGAGCCAGCCATGGTTTGAAGGATGCGATGTAGCATGCAACTTTGCAGCCTGACACTTCATTTGCAGCGCCTTTTTCTCCTTTCACTCGTTAATACCTCGTCGTTGCAACCGCTGGCCCCCAAATGTCCACCCCCGCCCAGTGCAGTGCCCTGTCCACTCTGACAGCGGGAGGCGGAGCATTACACGCCTCCTCAATAGTTTTATTCTTTTGACTGCTCGAGTGGGTGTCACCCCCATAAAAACGGCCCATCATGCCAATGGGCCAGGGACACGAGCCACCAGGCAAACCGAGCGCTGCAGTCATGTGCCCGCGTGTATTTTATGGGACGAGAAAGAAGAACGAGGTCGAGTCTCTTCAGTGGTACGGGGGCGCCTCTATGGAGTTATTACTCTGTGCTCTGTCGTACTCTGTCTAGCCGGGGGACAATCGTGGGATGGCGCTTGTATCGATGTAATCATTGGCAGGCTCCGTACAACGGGGACATGTTTTGAAGTATGTATCTCAATGTGTTTGCGCCTTCATTGGCTTCAACAGGGTCTTGTACGTATTGGCTTGGTCGCGTATTTTGGCTTCGTTGGGAGCTGTCACAGCAATACACCGACAACTCCCTTGAGAGAGCTACACTAGTCCTGCGCCTAGCTCCGTCGTTCAGTAGATCATCCGCCCGTAGCGCGCAGCCTTTGTCAGTCTCTCCTCATTTCTGGTCGACACCCCTGACTGGCCGGTCATCGAAAGAAGAAAGCAAACAACAGGGTCGTAGAAAGTACGTCGTATTTCCTGGGACATAATGGAGAGAAATTAGAACCAAATCAAGCGAGAGCGGCTACACCAGAACAAGCAAACGACAATCACAAAGAGAGGCATTTCTGCTACTGTTCTCCGTACCCTTCATAAAACAGTGACACTTCGTACACTTTGGCTTAGTTACCTGCTTTCCTTTCAAGGTATTCTTCCCCTGTTGGACAATCCGAAAAGGAAAACAGTAATGTCCACTGAAGAATCGGCGACGAAATAAGGGATGGGCAGAAGAAGGTATTGTGAAATGGAAGCAGAAACGGAGCGACATGACCAGAAATATCGGTGTGCATACAAAGTACTCTGTACCTCTGCTGCAGACCGCTCTCCCTTTATTCTTTTCTTTGTTTGTTTCACCAAAAATATGTCGAGGAAGAGGTACTGTTACATTGCCCTTTTGCATCCCAGGTCATTTTTTAGTCTCTGTGCTTTACAGTTTCGGTCCCGTGCCGGGCCGCATCCCAGAGTCTCAATCGAGGACGGGATATTTTAGCCCCTCTTAGCCTCTCGGTTGCAAATCTACAGAGCAGCGAGGGCAGGTCGTGGCAGCATGCTGTTGGCTGCGCTGGGCCCTCGTTCGTTTCCGTCCATTTTCTCGTCGTTCTTGTCTTTCTCCGAGGTAAGCAGAGCTGCTCGACTGCCAATGGCCATGGCTCTTTGTCGCTCTTTCTTTTCCATTTTCGATTACAGCCGCGGTTACGACGAAAAAGAAAACAAGCCTGACAGCTGAATCACTTTACTGAATGCGGTTACAACTGTCCGAGGAAAAAGAAAGGAGGCGGAAAGAAAAAAGAAAGAAGAAAGCAAAAGAAAAGGGAAATCCGTCGAAACTCTCAATTACTGGCTGTTTAATGCCTGGGATTCCCTCACCACCCCTGTCCTTCAGCTCTCTTCCGCAAAGCGTGTCTCGGGGTACATGCCCGCTTGTTGGCGCCGTATTCCGTACTTTGCTTGATACTGTAGACTGCACGCAGGCAGGCAGCTCACATGCAGGTAGCATGCAGAAAGCGTAGATGACAAGTCAAGTGCAGCCCATACGGCGTAAAGAGGGGCTTGCCTCGCCCTGCATGGCAAAACGGCAAAAAATGAAAAGTATGTCATAGCCAGGCGAATAGGGATGCAAAGGACCACTGACGGGGAGCTGCGTCCGAGGCCGTGTGGCAGACTCCAAGGAAGTACGTCGTACTCTGCAAGGAATTCGAAGAAAAACAAACAGTACGGAGTTGGTATGGCGTCCACAGAATATGACAGCTCCCAACGGGGGTCCATTTCGCTCATCAAGACTGCTGGCCGCTCCACTCTGGATAGCCTCATTTTCTGTATCCTTGTCGTGTCCACTCCAGGCCGTGGGGGACCGACAATTACTACCGAGTACGTCGTACAAGGTGCACTTGATGCCTCGTACAGAAAAGGAAAGAAAACAAAGGGCATGGTAGGGGATTATTTCACGGCGCAATGTAGGACTTTCTCCATGCGGATGTTTTGTGTTCTTTCGATATCCCATTGAAATGTTCTGCCAAACAAAGGAGACGAAGCGACTGTTTGCCACTCCGCAGCTTCTCCGTGCCGCTAAATCAGAAAAGGAAGCAAGAGCAGCTCAACGTGCAGCACAATTCATGCAGGCAAGTATGCAGGTCTAGGTCTGCAGGTCTGCAGGCCTGCAGGTCTGTACGCGAGCCTGCACGCGGGTCTGTGTGGGAGGGGGGCCTAAAAACCCTGCAAGGATTGTGATGGAAGACGACCGGAGGGAGTGACACGTATGTGATGAATATGCAGAGGAGCACATGGGGACGAATGAGGACGCTCGAGGGCGCCAAACGATGTGGCCGGTTGGCGGTCAGCGATGTCGAGATGCCCGGGAGGCGCGCCATGCAGCCTGCATGCACGATGCCTGTAGAATAACGGGCAAACACAAGACCGAGGAATATGAACCAACATTTGCGTTTGCGATGCAATCCAATGGCTGCTGGAGAAGGACCATGACAAGGCAAACATAAACATGATGGCCTGGTGCGACATGACCTGCAGCTGGCCAGCGTGTTTTTCATTTGTTTGACCAAGTTGAAAAACTTGACGAGTCGCAAGATGACCGCCTGCAGGCCGGTAAAGCTGGCAAAAGTCAATACGACATCGTCTGCAATGTAGGTTGTTTTCATACACTCCGACGTACACATGCAGAGCCACTTGGCCCAGGCAGCAATTCAGGAGAAATGCAAACGGCGATACGCGCTGGAGTGTCGCTGACGGCCGACTTGCATCAAACGGCCTGGTCACTGCCAGGCCTCGCGATGTGCCTTCCCGGGTATTTCTACGACCATAGTTAGCAGTCTCGTAATGAACAGCCATAAGATCGACAATATCTGGTGGCGCGGCCAGGCCATGTCAATAACCCCCCCCCCCCCCCGACACGACGCCTTGGTCGACTATGATAGCGCCAGCCAACACATATGACAAACGACTGCCACGCTACATTGCAGCCAAATCAACGAACAACGTAATTACGGGTAACTACGACGTACACAAAGTCTGCTTGCGCTCCACAGGCGCTTTGGGTTTTAGAAGCGGGCCGGCGCAGTAGGTCGTTCGCATCTTAGCTCCGTTTGTGTAAGTCGTCGGCCGGGCTTAGTTGCCTTGTGCTTACCAGGACATCATGAGCGCGAGATGCTGTAACGCTGAAACAGACTTCATCACACGGTCTTCTCCGATCATGCCATGGAGTTTTGTATTAATAGCTCGTAATATTGCAACCCCAATCCGGCAAGAGTTGAGTGCCGAAAGTATCAAGACAGCGCAACACTAAACAAGACCAGCGCACACTCCAATCAAGTCACCACAGCCCGGTCAAACATCTCCTGTAGCCGCCATTGAAAGCGCGTTCCCAACTGAATGTTGCCGTCTTGGCCTAGTTGCCACAGGAAGGGCAGTTGCCGCTCATCCATTCAGTCTCGTATCTGTCGCGCACTGAGGTGCAGTTCGAATTGCCGCAGTTTTCAAAGTCGTCCTTGTACACGATCTTGTCGCCGCAGTCGTACTTTACCTGGGTCCAGTGCTGGGTGCACATCTTGTGGGTAATTGTATTCGTTTTTTTGGATTTAGGTGTTTTCTTTGGTTCTCTGTACCTGTCAGCGTTGTCTCTGAACGAAGGTTGATTGGTGACTGGATTCTGTAGAAAATGGAGGCAGAGTAA